CGCCGTGTCGCCTGTCCTCTCAGCCCAACTGGGCGCCGTCGGAGATCTACGGATCACTGCGACGAGGGCGACTTCAGACGAGACGGAGACGGAGACGGAGACGGGAATTTTCCCACCCTCGTCCCTTATTTCTGGGTCCAGAGGGCCCGCGGAATGATTTGGAAGGAGCCAATGTGGGAGATTGCCGACCCGTAAACTCACAACCTCGGCGAATACTGTTCATTGTTTGTTGTTTTGCTGGTGCCCAGGCGCAATCCCGCTTGTTGGTGCAAGCGTACTGGCATTCTCCGCGGGGCACCTCGTCACCTAGTCACCCCCATTATCGTTAAGCCTTCCTCACAAACCGTTTAGCCGCATGGGGCTTAGCAGTGCTGCTATTGATAGCGCGGCTTCTCTGTCTCTTCCTATCCCTCGCCTCTCTACACTGTATCTGAGGCAATGACATGTGGGCGTCTCGTGATCCTGGGCCCCTCTGGTCCACGGCTGCGAACTGCCGTGACTCGTGGGAGCCCCACCGGCTAACACAACCAGGCTAACGGAGAAGTCCATGGTACTGGGCCACCTCCTCCCAGCCTAGATCGTCGCCCAAGGGAGACCGTGGCCGGCGCCGTTGAGACCACTGGCATAGCCACTGCCCCTACGGCGTCCCGGAGGCTTGGGACGGTGTTGAAGGGGCCATGGCCTGAACCACTTGATTGATTGACAGACCGTCCCGGCGGCGGACCTTTTTGCCCTTGCCGGGGGTGGCATCATATTGTACAGTATGCCAAACATTGTACGTCAAATGTACACTACGTCTGAACGTCTGTCTGTACGGGTTGGGTCGTCGCCCATGGCATATCCAACCAACTAACCAACTAACTGCCTTGCTTCAGTTCTCTCTCCCACCAGCAGGGACCACTCGCAAGCACTTGCCCTACAAGCAGGTTTTCCCCCCTTTCCCTCACCGGCCTCTTTTAGTCCTCTGTGTTCCCTTGGTTCACTAAATCTGTCCGTTTGAGGCCCGGCAGGCACGCTGCAAACCGACCGGAGAGAAGAAAAAGCCTGGGTCGATGGGCCGGGTTGGTAATGCGTCACTGCATATGTGTGTGTGTGTGTGCCCTTGTTTTATCGCTGCTGCTGCAGCCGCGCGCTGCCCAGACGCGACGTCGGTATGGAACGGGGCTTGCCTGCAGCAGTGTGTGCATAGTTGTACCTCCCTCCTCCTACTCCCTGGGCTCCTCCCAACTACATACCTACATGCTGCGGTCTGTTTGTCTGTCTGCTGGGGATATCGATCTCGGGCCAGCCCAGCCCGCCAGCCCAGCCCAGCCCAGCGCTCGCCCTCCCTCCCTTTCGGGACGAGCCTTGTGCCGAGGCGATGCGCATGCGCATGAATAGAAGGAAGAGGGTCCTCGGGCCCCTGTGGCAAGCTGGGCCGTCCCGCCTGGGAGGGAGTGAGTGAGTGAGTGAGTGAGTGAGTGAGGCCGAGTACGAGAACAGGGTGCAAATCTTGCCCGTCTTTGTTATCGTGGCGGGCTGTATTCTCTCTCTTCCTCTCCCGTCCCCGGGCGGGCTTGCTCCCGGGCGGGTCGTGCAGGAGGTCGTCCGATGCTCCTATTTTGCCATTTTCTGCTAATTCCTCTTATTCTTATTCTTATTGTGCCGCCTGCCTACCTACCTAGTCGAGACAGCCCGACTAGACGGTGCACCTATGTAGTTGCGGTACCGCCCGACCGAACAATACAAAAAAAGATCGACAGGACCAGTAGCCAAGTCGAATGCAGATCCCCGAGGACAAAACGTTTTTCCATGTTTAGATGCAGATGGAGAAAGGCTTGGGGGACGTGAGAGGCAGGGACGGACGGACGGACGGACGGGGAGGGCCAAGTTCCGTCGTCCCCTTCCTTGCCCCAGGTGATGTAACGGCCCGGGTTCGAGCGCGGCGCCGGTTCGCAGTGGTCGCCTGTCGTTCGTTCGTTCGTTCGTTCCGCGCGGGGCGATGCGATGCGAATGCATGTATACATACCGGTACGGAAAGTGATTGACAGGCGGATGGATAGATGCACTTGTGTGTCCTGGAGCCTCGGCTTGGCCCCCATCCCATGCCATGGCCATGGCATCATTGATTGAATCGCATTTGAAGAATTTGTGGATTTGCGAATACGCATTTTTCTATCTTCGGGAATATTGAAGGGACAGAGTGGGGGATCAGTACACCCCCACCATCACCGCATGGCATGGGGGAAAAAAAGAAATAGGGAACAGCCCACTCAATTAACATGCGAGTATGTGGTGTAGTGACCCGTATGTACACACGCTCAATCCATATACAGTACACACAATGGAGCCCCGGCCGACCCCTGCGCAGCTGGGTCTCTGCGGCTTGCTTGCTTGTTGCTTTTTTTGCTCTCTTGCCTGCGCGCCACCCACGCACGCCCCTTCCCACGGTGGGGCATGGATAGGACAGGGCTAGGAACGAGAATATATATGTCATATACGCACATACCGGCTGCGGTTTCTTCAACTCTTGCCGCCGCACGCTGCTGTTGCTTCTTGCTACGGTGCGTGTGATTCAACTACTTCTGCAGTGGGGGGTCCCATCCTTTCCACGGACCATTGTGAGAGAGGGTGTCACCACGTCGATATCCAAGACGGATCGGGGGTGGAAGGGGGGGTGGGTTTGAGGGTCAGAGGGTGTGTGATCTCTGTGACCCGTGTTACGGTGGGTCGAGTCGAGGGAAGGGGAGAGAGGGCGTGTGCGCATGTGTGTTGTGTAGTGTGGGTTATGTAGATTGTTAGTTTGACTTCCCGAGGACGCAGCTTGGCTTGATTGACCTTTTGATACATGACAGACCACACACACACACACACACACACATACACACATCTCACAACTCACCCACGGAAAAGAAGAAAGGAATGCAGGCCGAGTTGCTGCTGATGCAGCCCCTGGATGTGAAAGCAGCAAAAAGATGACTATATGGCAGACTTCTTGGGGCGGCGGATCGGCCTTGCGCATTGGCCGCACCTAGAATCCTTTCTCCGGGCCCCTTTTTTCCCTGTAATCCCATCAACAGTATGGATGGATGTATGGATGTACGGCTCCTGCTTGCTGCACGCTCCGAGGGGCAGGATTTGAGGTGCCCGGACCGGAAACTGCAAGGTCAGACGATGGAGAACGGCTCCTTCGGAGCAGCAAGAGAAAGGACCTCATTTTTTTAACCTCGTCTTTCTCGGGTGCTGTGGCCCCGGGATGTGTGAACGTTCGAGCGTGGCAAAGAGATCGCGGGGAAAAATGAAAAAATCTTCTACAGATCCAATCTCTTGGGCCCTTTTTTCTTCTTTTTCTCTGCTTGTCTGGGCCTTGGACTTGGTCATCGATTATCAATCGTCGTCAACCAGAAACACAGACGCTGGAGATGAGGGCGATGGATTGGGGCGCGGGGGGGCGGCGTGTAATTTCCAAGATATGGACAAAAGTCGGGCAAGCGATGTTGCAAGGAGGAGCCGGAGCCAGGCCCATGGCCGAATCCCTCGAACCGCCCTGCCCTGCCCTGCCCTGCCAGGTTGCCAGGTTGCCAGGTTGCCATCTCCGTCCGATAAGCTTTTTTCCCCCTTGTTCCTCTTTCCTGCTCTCGGGGGACTCTTGGAATGTGTGCTACCTCGGAGGCCCGCGAAGGCTTGAAGCCCACGATGTTGCCTGGGTTTGTGTGGACTGAGATGTTGGATGGGCATTGATTTGCAGGGCCGCGGCATCGGGCCTTTTCCGCCCCTTCCCCCTAGATATGAGGGGGATTCTCATCCATCCCCCATCGCATTATACATACGCGACGTGTCGTGAGCTACGTACGGCACAGTAAAAACCCAAATCCAACCAGCCCTGTTCCAATTGCAGCCTTGCTTGCTTGTTGGCTTGCTGGCTTGCTGGTTGGCTTGCCTGCCATGCCGTTGTCGTCGCGACGATGAAACGTAGCAAGCCACTGGACGAGTGGACGTGCCCAAGGCTTTTTGGCGGGGCCACGACTGTCTAATTCGTAACTGACGGACGGTCAGATGGTCACTTGCTCTCTGTTTGCGGAGCGGAGCACCATTGACCAGTTCATGCACATCACATCACATCCACAGACCCGCAACGAGGTGTAGTCTAGCACACAGGAGAGGGCGAGAGTCGCAGACAGTCATCGAGGGCAGAGATGGGGGAGGGTGGTGGCTTGTACCCCCGTACCTGTACGTATCTTTTCCGTGTTGGTGCAGGCGAGGAATGACAGAGAGCAGGCAAGCAGGGAAGCAAGGAGGTACGTACCCAGCCGCCCGATATGGGAGGGTCCGTGTGGTTGGTGGTGGTGAGTGACCTCAGCTCAGTCCAGGGCCAGAAGAGAGGCACCAGCAGCAAGCAGCAAGCGGCGGCAGCAGTCAAGCAGGCCTGGGCAAGCAAGCAACCACCAGTCCAGGTCTGGCTGCCCTTGCATCTGCATTCTGCACTGGCCCCTACCCAGCGTCGCCCCTGGCCCCGACCCCTGCGCCCTGGGACGAGAAACAGTAGCGCCGCCGGGTCAGGATAGGCCCTGCACAGGGGGCGATGGCCTGCTGGGCTGGTGGGTGCGCACAGTGCACTGTGTAGCAGACGGACCAGCAATCCGTCATTCCAAGGTCCAATCCGTCTGGGTAACCCATGCACCAATGTACCAGTGTACCCACGTACCCATGTACCCCTCTACCCCAATCTTGCTCTGCTCTCCCCCCGCTGGTGCATGTGCTTGTGCGGCACGGTAGCAGTTACCTAGCCGTTGGGCGCAGGAGCCGCCGATCGCCCTCGTTCCTTCTACCTGAGAAGGTACATCCGGCCTCCCCTGTCAGACCCTGGGCCCGCCTACCTCATGCCTCTCTCTGTCCTGTCTCTCTGTCCTAGGCGTACGTACCCCGTACCTACCCTGCCCATGGCCACCACGGGCATGGGGCACGGGCAGAGAAAGGAAAACACCCAAGTCGCCCATGCCCTTACCCATACAACACCCACACAGATCCTCTCCCTCCTCCTGCTACAACATTCCAGAACGCTCCGCGTCTCTGCTTTGCTCCCTTCTGCAACTGCACCTGCACTGCACCCGCTGCTGCTGCTTGCTTTCCGCACCAGAACGGAACAGACGGACAATAAACAACAAAATACCCACCGTCGAGATCGTGGGCCTCCCTCCCCAGGACATCGAGGCTGTTGTTGTCGTTGTTGTTGTGTGTTATTTGCTCCATCGCTCGCAAATAACACCTCACAACAGATACATACGTACGCAGGCACACCACAACCGTGCCAGACAGACATTGATTGAGGACGACCGGGAACCGAGATTGGAAGTGAAGCCGCGGACCTGAGCTCCTCGGCCTGTCTACTTGTTATCCATCTACCCAAGACTCGGCTCGACGACCTAATACTTGTCGAGACGGACCCAATTGGGAGCCACAAACCTCAGACCAGCAGCCCAGGCTCTAGTTACCTCGCCATTGTTTGGACCGCGGGGCAAGGAACGGGGCAATTTGCGACGACAGGGCTGGACGTTTATTTTTTTGAGGGGTCTTGGGACGTTGAAATTCAGGGAGCCAGTCGTCGTCAACTGGCAAATAAGAAACACGGTGCTCGTGCTGGCGGTGCTCGTGCTTCCAACAACCGAGGGATACTACTAAGATACCTTGGGACTTGGAGGATTGGCCACCGGGTCCACAATTGAACAGCCCGACACGACACGACACGACACGACACGGACAAGGACAACACGGACAACGGCTGAAAAACAACCGCAGCTCTCATGACTCTCCACTCGTGAATTCCACCGCCATGGTTATGCTGAGCGAACAACCTTTCCGGTCGAGTTTGCAGGTGGCGCCTCTCACAATCCAGAAATCCAGGTCCGACTCGAATGCTGGCGATGCCTCGACACCCGACCACTCTACTTCTTCCTCCACCAACCCTTACCAACGATCAGAGATGACTCCCCCGGCCACCCCCGAGGGGTCGCAGGAGGACCTCAACTCGCCTGCGAACCCGCCGCCCGTCTTCCACAACTTCCTGCGAGCCTTCTACCCCTTCCACCCCAGCTATGCCATGACCGATTCGGCCGTCACCCTGCCATTGAACGAGGGCGACGTCGTCCTGGTCCACTCCATACACACAAATGGCTGGGCAGACGGCACATTACTGGTGTCCGGCGCAAGAGGCTGGCTGCCCACCAACTACTGCTACGCCTACGACCCCGACGAGATGCGGAACCTGCTCAAGGCCCTCTTGAACTTTTGGGATCTCTGCCGCAGCACGGCCGTCAACGACAGCGAGATCTTCGGCAACCAGGAGTTCATGAAGGGCATCATTGCCGGCGTGCGCTATCTCTTGGTATGTTGACGACGACCTTGTTGGCTGGGCGTGGCGCATCTGCCCGTTCCGCGGTGCAGGGGCTCCCACCCACCACCTCGACCTCGCTGATGCGGCGCTGCTAACCATTGTTACACAGGAACGGACGCATTGCTTGACCCGCGAATCTTCCGTCATCCAACGCCACGATGGCCTGCGCAGGGGCAGGAAGTCGCTCCTATCCGAGCTATCCGCCCTGGTCAAGACGGCTAAGCGCTTACAGGAGCAGCAGAAGACCATCACCCCCACCGACGCCGTCAACGACACCGTCGACGAGATGATACTCAAGGCCTTCAAGATCGTTACAAAGGGCGTGCGCTTCCTCGATGTCCTCGAGGAGGACAGGCAGTCGCGGGCACCAGCCGTCACCCTCATGCCTACCGTGATGGAGGAGAACTACGTACCGCCGACGCCACCAGCCGACGCGACAAGTTTTGACGACGACCGGAGCACAATCAAGTCGCACGATGCAGGTTCCCGCGCGGGTGACAGCGGATTGGCTCCCGAGTCACCCACAGCCGGGGCCAGTGAGGAAACACAAATGTCCACACACACCAACGACCGTTTGTCAACCGGCCGGTCCGCCGGCGCAGGGGCACGGCTGTCTCAGAACAGCCAGAGGGCTGTCAACTTTAGCCGCCTGTCCTCCAGCATTGCTCACCGCGTCTCTCTCGCAGGCCCGTCGCCCCTTTCAAGGCCGCAGAACCTTGTCTCGGAACGTCTCACCGCAAGCCATGACACCTTCCTTTCTCACCTTGGCTCATTTATCGGCCGGCTGCACCTCCAGTCACAGTCGCGGCCACACCTCGCACTGGCAATAAAACAGTCGGCAACGTCCGGCGGAGAGCTCCTGGTGGTCGTCGACGTCGTCTGCGCGCACAGTTCTCTAACCAAGGAGCTATTAGAACAGCCCCGAGCTGCCATGTACGACCGCGTACTAGACCTTGTGCACGCCGCTCGCGACATCCTGCACCACGACAATGGCCCCGAGCTGGCTGAGATTATTATGACCGAGGACAACAGCAGGCTCCTGTCTGCTGCGACTGGCTGCGTCCGGGCCACCGGCGAGTGTGTGGCCAAGACAAAATGGGTCATCGAGAGGATAGGCGACTTTGAATTCGAGCTCGAGGATGGGAGCCACGGGCTCGACCTGGATCTTGGTGCTCTCGACATCATCGGAGAGGAGCGCGGGAGATCCGGCAGCGTTGCGTCCATCGCCCCATCCCTCCACAAACCCCTACCGAAGGACAAGCCGCTCCCGCAAGTCCCATACACCGCATATCCCGACAGCGATGACACCGAGCCTCTCGTCATGCCCCTCCCACCCCGGCGCGAGTCACTCCTCTTCTCCGACGGGAACACCTCCGACAGTGCGACATCGGTCTCCTCAATCCGCCCCAGCCTTCCACCATTACCGAAGCTGTCGACATCGTTCACGGCCGAGGACTACAGCCCGACCAACTCTGCTGGCCCCGAGAGCGAGGGGAGGTCCTCATACCAGCGCGAGAGCATCGTGGCTTCCAGCTCTGCTAACAGCAGCGCATACGTGAACAGGGGCTCCGAGTCAAGCCTCCTGTCTCAAACATCCACCCGTGCTACTACCCCGGACCTGCACCTCGGTCCGAAGCTCCAGCCCTCCATCTCCGAACTCAGTGCCACCAGCAACAACGGCGAGGAGGTTGAGGAGGTCGAGTCAAAGCTCCTGGAGAAGACATACGCGCATGAGCTTATGTTCAACAAGGAGGGCCTGGTTGTCGGTGGTTCTCTGCCGGCTCTGGTGGAGCGCCTGACGACGCACGAAGCCACGCCCGATGCGCTGTTCGTGTCGACCTTCTTCCTCACCTTCAGGCTGTTCTGCACCCCAACGAAGCTTGCCGAGGCTCTGATTGACCGCTTTGAATACGTCGGTGACTCGCCACACATGGCTGCAGCAGTCCGCCTGAGGGTTTATAATGTCTTCAAGGGATGGATGGAGTCGCACTGGCGAGACGAGACGGACCACAAGGCTCTGGAGCTGATCAAGCTCTTTGCCGAGTCTAGGCTGCACTCGGCTTTGCCGTCGGCCAGCAAGCGCCTTCTCGACCTCGTACAACGCGTCTCGTCTACCGACACCACCCTTGTACCCCGCCTCGTCTCCTCCATGGGCAAGAACAATGCCGCCGTCTCGCAGTACGTAACCGTGGACACGCCAATGCCGGCTCCCGCTCTCACCAAGAGCCAGGCGCATGCATTGGCCGCCTGGAAGGCTGGTGGAGCGAGCCCCACCATTCTGGACTTTGATCCTCTGGAGATCGCCCGTCAGATCACTGCCAAGCAGATGAGCATCTTCTGCTCCATTCTGCCAGAAGAGCTGCTCGGCTCGCAGTGGATGAAGAAGGGCGGCGCGGGCTCGCCCAACGTCAAAGCCCTCACCGCGCTGTCTACTGAGCTGTCAAACCTGGTTGCCGAGAACATTCTGCACTACAACGAGGTCAAGAAGAGGGCTAATGTCATCAAGCAATGGATCAAGATTGCTCACCAGTGCCTCGAGCTCAACAACTACGATGCGCTGATGGCCATCATCTGCAGCCTCAACAGCTCGACCATCACCCGTCTCCGAAAGACCTGGGACATCGTGTCGCCAAAGCGTCGCGAGTTGCTCAAGTCGCTCCAGGCTGTCGTCGAGCCAGCACAGAACCACAAGGCTCTCCGCGCCCGTCTCGCCGACCATGTCCCACCGTGCCTGCCCTTCCAAGGCATGTTCCTGACTGATCTCACCTTTGTCGACATTGGCAACCCCGCCACGAAGTCGCTTCAGGGTGAGGACGGCAACGACATGACTGTCGTCAACTTCGACAAGCACACGCGCACGGCCAAGATCATCGGCGATCTCCAGCGATTCCAGATCCCCTACAGGCTCACAGAGCTGCCAGACATGCAGGATTGGATCCAGTCCGAGCTTGAGCGTGTCCACGACTCGGACCCCAAGAGCAACGTGCAGGTCAGCTACTACCGCAAGAGTCTCCTGCTGGAGCCCAGGGAGAACCAGATCCCACGCACCCCGGTGGAAGGCCCCGGCGGTGCGAACGCGCAAGGCATGTTCACATGGAGGAAGATCGGAACCTCCAACTCGAAGACACTCAACCAAACACTTACCAACGACTCGGCTTAAAACGCCTATTACCGCCATCACACACTCGCGCGTTACCTAGACCCGACGACATCAGCATCTTCCTGCCTCTGCGCACACACACATTTGTTTCTTGGGCTCTTTTGTTTTTTGGTCGCTTTTATTTTGATACCCAAAATTACTCGTTGCTTTATTGTATTCTGTATCGGACATCGGGAAAAGAACCACACGAATTGTTTTTATCGGCATGACATCGAGGTCTACGATGCCGCATCGCACCACACGACTGGATGACTTCTCTCTCACCAACAACCACCATTACCGAGGACCACTACACGTCTTTGGGAGCACTGTCGACCCACAATCGACCGGCTTTATAATCCATTCAGCTCGCGCTACCTGGTTATGAGTAGTCCACCCCGTTATACTTATACTCAGTATGGACCTCTCAGAACCAGCATCGTTGAGTCCCGTTGGCTGCCGGACCGGTGCAAACCAGACCGGCATACCACGACCCGACCTCACCCATTGGGTAGTTAACCTCTTTGCTTTTCAGCCCTTGCTTCTTGTGTTTGGTTTTCTGTGTACCATCATGGGTTCTTACGAAGCGGCGACTGGGAAAGGAAAAACAAAATCCTTGCGTTTCTGCTCCCCCCGCGCTCTCCACCTGGCTCCCAAACAGCCGGGGTGGAACGAGCGGCGGAGCAGCTGAAAACTCAGGCGTCTGAGCATCATCATCATCAATCATCACATGGAGTTCCCGGTGCTTTCACTATCTTGATTTTCCTTTTTCAGTGTCTGTTCAACGCCACGGGCGTGCACTACTACTTGGGGCTGTCGCTACTGCTGTCGGTGGAAGGACGGGATGGGCTGGGGTTGGATGTACCGAAGCGGTCGCTTAAGCTGCAGCGAGACGCGACGGGAAAAAAAGAATCGGGGATAATATTTGAATGTTGAGGCTAAATGCGCGCATTTGGATACTGGGACAACGGAAAAGGGCCTGATGGGATACCAAGGAAGGAAGGAAAGGACCTGGGCGTGGGACATATGTACCCGACCAAAAGATCAACGACTCACTACTACAACTTTACAACGCCATAATCCATGTACACAAAATGGGGATATGACCACGGCCAGGTGGGAGGAACGGAATGGGGATCACGGGGAACACTACAGCACAGCACAGCACAGCGCAGCGTCAGCGTCAGCACAGCTCGTCATAACAGCGAAACAGCCCAGCCCTGCCCGCCCGGCCTTGCTAGAAGACGGGTAGGGTAGGGGGGCATGAAACCACATCATACCTCACTCACCACACCACGAGACCAGCCAGCCAGTCACCCGTCCGTTAGTCAGGGAGCCAAGGTCCCCTTCTAATGTCTGGGTTCCGGTGATACATACTGGAGTGGAGTGGAGTTGAGTGGTGGGCATGAAAGATGAATGCGTTGATGAAATGAAAGCGTCAATGACAGACCTGACACAAATACATAACATAACATAACATAACATACATACATACACACAATTAAAATCAAGTTACAAATCACCTGTCTTGCTTGGGTACTTGTCTTGTTTCGTGAGTGTGATGAGCTGGGGTGTGATGGGTGGTGACTGTGTCCACGGTGTGGTGACTGGGACTTGGTAGTGTGTGGCTGACTGGCTGTCTTTGAGCCGTGGGAGATGGGTGTGAGGCTGCGTGCGGGCTTGTTGGCTTCGTTCCAGGTATGTGTGTGTAGTAAGTAAGTATGTATGCGGACCTCTTTGCTGCAAGGCCGCGGTCGAGATGAGGCTGGCGGCGTCACATCACGTCGCATGAGAGAAAGGCCGGCGGGCTAGTCCATCCTGTCCGGTCAGGTCAGGCCAGGTCTTGATCATATCTGGTACCCACCAGCGGTTCCGGCATTCTCAAATCTCCACGTCGCGTCGTGTGTCGGCAGTAAAACGAGATATACGTGAGAACGGGTGGTGAACCCGTCATGTCATGATATTATCTCAATCCAACGCGTGTACGCGTACACGAAACAGAAGCCAAGCCATCACATGCTGCCAGCAAGCAGTTCAGACAGGTAGGGGGTCCCAAGGTCCGCCCGGCACGAGGCGAGTCCCCTCCTGGTGAACCCAAACCCAACACGCAATGCCCCAGCCGTCAAGACCGTCGCCTGATTACCCTCCTCACAACACAACACAGCACCACCAACCAACCAACCAACCCGCTAACCCCTATCCACAAAGCCCCTCGGGAACCCAAAACAAGCCGAGGCATGGGACCAAAAAACCGCCGGATCGCAAACGGCAGGACCTCGAGACGGAACAAGAGGGGCCCAACCCCCCCCTCCCCCCCGCCCTTAGAAAATCACACAAACACGGTGTGGAACGTCCTCTTCCACGCGGGCATGGCGGCCAGCTCGGCGCGGTAGGCGTTGATGCGGTCCCAGTCGAGGTCGCGGCGGCCCGTGTCGACGTCGATGTCGCGCGTGCGCAGCCAGCCCTGGCGCTTCCACGCGAAGCCGACGAGCCAGAAGAAGATGACGACGGGGAACGCGAGGTACGACTTGAAGAAGCCCGCGGCGTCGTTGTAGCCGCCCCCTGGCGGGCAGACGGCGACGTAGAACTGGGTTTGTGTTTGTTAGCGGTGATTCATTCCATCCCAAGTCTTCTCAAGGTGGACCACAGGAGGGGCAGGGCCTCTTCTCCTCGTCTTTGTTTTGGAGGGGGGGGGCAAGGGGGCCAAGTAGTACACACCTGCGCGACCAGCACGAGCACTACCAGCGCCAGGCCGATCCAGCTGCCGTACACGCCGCCGATGGCCTTGAAGGGGATCTCGTCGGTCGTGTGGCCGTGGTACGCCCAGGCGCTGCGGAAGCGGATGTGCGCGAGGCAGATGCTGCCCCAGGTGAAGAGCGCCGCGAGCCCCGAGAGCGCGAGCAGCCAGTCGAAGACGACGGGGCCCTTTGCGTTGAGGTTGACGTAGGCCAGGCAGCCGAAGAGCAGGATGATGCTGACGCTCCAGAGGGGGCGGCCCGAGCGGTCGATGTCTGGCGGTGGTGTGTGTTAGTAAATGAGTGCGAGTTCTTTAGTAATGAGACTGTATGAATGATGGCGCCATGTTATGAGAAAAGGCTGCGTCTCCTTTGTGCTAAGGTGAGTGAGGCGAGAGGTGGGTGGGTGGTGGTGATACGACGTCAGGAGGGAGTGCATGTAGGGGATATGTACGCACAAGTGAAGATCTTAGGCGCATAACCCTGCTGCGCAAGCGCGGTGAGCGTACGGCTACCACCGTACACGCCCGAGACACCAATAGAAACCACCGACACCAGAATAATGACATTCATAAACGAGTCAAAGCCCCTTAGGCCCGCATACTTGCCCACCAGGACAAACGGCGACGCGTTCACGTCAGCATAAGGGTTAGCGCCGAGCAGGCTCTCGTCGGTCGAGTCGATGAGCAGCCCCACGAAGAACAGGCCCAGGATGTAGAAGAGCGTGATGCGCCAAAAGACCTGCTTGATGGCTCCCGGCAGGCTCTTGACGGGGTTGGCCGACTCGGCGGCGGCGAGGCCCACGAGCTCGGTGCCGCTGAAGGCGAAGGCGGCCGTGACGAAGACGGAGCAGAAGCCGCGGAAGCCGTTGCGGAACGCGCCCGGGTCGTACCAGAGGCGCGCCCCCCAGTACTCGCTGTAGAGGCCCGACGAGGGCCCGCCGCCCAGTACGAGCACGAAGGCGATGATCATGAAGATGACGATGGCGCACAGCTTGAGGCAGCTGGACCAGAACTCCTCCTCGGCGTAGCCGATGGTGCCGAAGACGTTGACCATCACGATGAAGACGAGGAAGACCGATATCCAGACCGCCACCGAGATGTTGGGGTTCCAGTACTGGACTGTCAGGCCGCAGACTGTGAGCTCAAGCGGGAGGACGACGGCCCATTGGAAGACGTAATTCCAGCCCTGGGTGCGTGTCAAGTCCGTCAGTACATGTGATTACGAAAAGGGGGTTGGGCTAGGCTCTCGCCCGACAGGTGATCGATCATAGTGCTCACCATGGCAAAGCCCCAGCTGGGGTCGATGAACCGCGTGGAGTAGGTATAGAAACCACCAGAGACGGGGTACATGACAGCCATCTCGCCCAGCGCGTAGACAACGTTGAACATCATGATGCCAATGATGACAAAGTCGATGAGCAGGGAGGCGGGGCCGCCGGTAGACAGGGCGCTGCCCGAGCCGACAAAGAAGCCGGCGCCGATGGAGCCCCCGATGGCGATCATGTGCAGGTGGCGGCCCTTCATGGACCGGTCGAGCTCGACGATGCCGTGGCCGTAGGCGCGGGGCTTGAAGCTGTCGAAGGTGAGGCCCAGGCGGGTCATGAGCGGCTCCGCGGCGATCTCGTCGGCCACGGTCTTGTGGTGGCCGCCCGTGGGCGAGGCGTTCCCATCGTAGCTCGGGGGCAGGACTTCGGCCTCGGACTTTGAGATGGCAGGCTGGGCGGGCGTGAGGCCCTTTTCCTCGGACGACATGGTGACGGCTGTCCGGTCAGAAGAAGAGGTGGTTTGGTGGGTCGAAAGGGGTGGTTGTGGTATTTGTAGCTGGGCGACAGCCGCGACCTCAGACTCTGGAACTCGAGGTGTAAGATGCCCGGGTTTCGAGTTCTCCGGTCACTTGGATTGGTAGTGAAGAAGAGACGTCGAGACAAGGCAACAAGGAAAGAAAGTGAATTTGTCACCGAGTGCAGGTGAGGGGTCGAGACTGGAGGGCGGCTGAGCGCGGCGACGGAACAGGGAAAGCAGGGGACCTGGGCGTCTGGACGTATGCAACTGCAGGCTGTATGCTGTATGCCGTATGCTGTAGGCTGTAGGGGTGCTCGTCCTCGATGCAACCACAGGCCCAGGAACGAAGCTAGGCGTGTTTTGGCTGGTGGTGGTGGACCCGGCGTGCTGGAGTGAACCAACTGGCTGGCTGGTCACGAGGAGGATGAAACAGATCGAAGATTTCTGGAAGCTGAGGGGAACTTGGCCAAGCTGGAGCTTGCTGGTAGTGAGGAGGACTTATCGTCCAATTGGGGACGCTGAGAGGAGCGGCGATGGCGGCAGGCTGTCGAGCAGATGGGGGGGAGGGTGACGTTTTGGAGTTTTCATGTGTCAATAGGATCCTGGCGAGTGAGAGGCGAGGATAGCTGGTGAGCCAAGAGCTGGAAGAGGCAAATGAGATGAGTTGGGGGCGAGTGAATGCTGATCATCTAGGCCTGATGCAGAGGAATGCTGGGACGACGACCGAGCAGAGAGATAGAGGACGAGACCCGGTCAGCCGGTCGGCCCAGACCAAACGGGCGAGGCAGGGATGGCGCGCAAAAGCAGGCAATGCAAGGCACAATATACATAGAACGGAGTACTGTATGAGAGATGATGAAAATACCAATATCAGGGTGCAGGAATATGCACACACGGCACAGCACAGACAGACAGACAGACAGACGGTAACGTCTCGGATGCGAACTCAACTCGAATCATTGTCATGCCGGAGAGCAATATTACAGCCAGCATACGTCTGCCTGTCTGTCTGACAGGGACGACAGAGAGGAAACGGTCGGCTTAAGCGAGTGTGCTCAGGGAGCATGGCGCAGGATCTGCTGCGCTGAGATAGAGTTCCACGGCGTAGCACCCGGGACCAGACACGAAGACGAGGAGATTTGCAGGCAGGTCAGCCAGGCAGTCAGGGTGGGATGGGCGCGGGCAAGGCGAGACTTGTTGGTCGGTTGGTCGCCCTGTTCGATAGCCAGCCCTGTCAATCACGGCCCTGGAGGTTCACGCCCCCCACGAGCATGGCATGGACAGACAAAGATAAGACAAGACAGCCTGACCGACTGCCCGTCAGGTCATTGTCCACGTCAACACCCACGTCCACGGCCACGTCCACCTGAGCACCATGATATGACCGACCAGGACGACTTGTCTCTCTCGGGTCAGCAACGGGAGCATCGGGAGTCTCACCCAATGGCCTGACTGCTGCTCCCTGCTGCTGGCTGGCTGCCCACGCTGTCGAGCCCACACACACAACGACGAGATAAGCAAGACACCAAGCACCAAGCCACGGGCAAAATGCTTAGCGGGGGCTCGGCAAAGCTTTCCCGGACGTTGTCGTTGCGTCGGGGGCGCTGTTGGGCCCGCCTAGCAAGCCTAGGCATCAGGATTCAGCACGGGGCCATGCTGCCAAGCCCACAAAGTGCCGGGGCCAGTATCGACGCTCCGGGCGGAGGATCGATCTGGCTGGGTTGTGGGCTGGGCCTTGGTTGTTTGGGACGTTTGTGGACTGGGACTCGGCAGACGTGGGATGCCCTGCCCACATGTTCGTCTCGGGAGGAGTCGCCATGGAGCTTGAGTTTGAGGTCGAGTTCGAGTTCGACGTTATGGTCATCTTTTAGGGCTCAAGAAGGGCAAACACGCACAGCCAGGACCGTTTTTTGTCTGCTGTCAGAGGCGGGCTGTCTGGCACAATAATAAGCAAGCAAGGCAAGGGAAGATGCAGAGGGGGGGAGTGGTCAGACCACCTGTCGCCTGGCCAACTCCCCTGCTCCCCTCACTCCCTCCTTCCCGCGGTCCCGAACCCGCCCGCCCAATTCCTGCATGGGTTGGTGAAGTGGGGCCCGCTAGTCCCGCTTTTACCCCGGACTTGTGTGTGGTGTTGGAGGGGGGGCCCACTTGTCCACCTTCTCCACCCATTCTCACTCCTCCTCCCTTCCTCGGGTCCTTGCTCCAACAAATGACATAATGACAATTTCTTCCGTCCTTTGTCCTTTGTCCTTGTTCTTTGTCCCTCCTCACTGTTGGCTGTCTCCGACCATCCGACCATCCGGCCATCCGCCCGACTGCCCGACCCGCCATCACCTGCAACTAACAGGTCGTCGTACAGACGGGACCAACCAAATGCTGCTGCCCACGAGACAATCTATTGTCTTGCCTACCATATTACCACATGCAGGGTGTGGGCACTGTCGGTAATGTAGTTCCAGACCTCTGCACTGCATTCGCCATCAAGTTTCAACCGCTGCTTAGGTAACTATATTTCACATCAGTGCTCTTTATGTGAATGATAGTAGTCAAGGCCTGCTCAAGGATCCGTTGCGCTTCACCACCTAGGTACACGGCCGCCGCCTATCTCCACTATCGGGTACGGACAGCCTTTGAATGGGAAAACTCCCGAGGTCCTCAGCAATACCCTCTAGAAGAACGACCCAAAGATCATCTTTCTGTAATATAGTAAATCAACGTCAAATAAGCTGTGGCTTTAGCAAGGTCATACTAATAACACTTTGGAGGTATGATAATTTATACCAACGATCATGTACTAGTAGCCCGAATCCATCAAAATATACATCCTTTGTTGCACTGTTAACGATGGAGTGTGCCTGCCACAGCAGGATTTAGAATTGTCTCACCATGTTTAGGCACAAGGTCTTTGAGCGTTCACTACTGTGTGAAGGGACTGTAACTACGTCCTTGGGAAGTGTACGGGTCCAAACTAAACCAACTAGGTGCTGCGGATCGGAGTGAACGGAACGATCGATGCATCTTCCACCTTGATATCGAAATATTTCGATGGGTATTTTTGCTCTCCGATCGAGACTTTCATGCAGTTGTGAGTGAAAAAGAGAATTCATTGTCGACGACATCTGTACCCACCATCCTCCTTTTCCAACATCAATGGATATCGAAAGAAACTAGCAGCACATTCTGCGGTGCCTATCTACACGTTCAAGATTATGACAGGAATTCCAGCCCCTCAGTCACATTTCCCCATCGCGCATGAATTGTGTCATATATGAAATGCCGCCTGGGCTTCCAAGGACCGTCCGACCCATACTTGGGAAGATAAGGCTCCGACGCTAGTCGATATGTCGAGGAGAGCTTCCAAATAGTCTGGGTTTTGTGTTCAGATCCCGGCCGCGTCTTGGGCACAACAACACGAGTACCCTCCCTCTCCATGTGCTTAAGTACTCGGCACATGATAGTCGCGGTTGAGTCGACACCCAGCGTCCAGGCGGCATTGGTATACCCCCACATGAAAAACATGTTTGGCACGTCCTGGACCATTGCTTTGTTCCAGAGCAGCTTCTCCTGCCATCGTGTAGGCTTGTTGTCAACACTGATGGGAATTCCGCCCCCGAAGCGCAGGATCCAACCCGTGGCGGTGACAATAATGTCCGCATCCAGCGTAGATCCACCATCAAGCTCTATCCCGCCCGCAGTCACTGTCTTGATCGTTGCCGTGACAACATCGGCCTTGCCACTGCGTAGCGCGGCGAAGAATTCACCATCCTTGTCAAGACACAATCGCTGGTCCCAGGGATTGTATGACGGCACAAAGTGAGGGTCCAAGGGGATATGGGCCGGGAGCTGCTTGCGCGTGTTGTCCGCAATGGATCTACGCATTGTTCCGGGGAATTTGGCGCACATGAAGTGGATCATCCACATGAGGCCGAACCACGTCATGCGGCGTAGCCAGATGAGTGTGGTGAAGGGGAGGAGCCGGCCGGGCCCGCTGGGTCTGTTGTCTGGGTTTGGCATCGCTGCTATGTGCGACGGCGAGCGCTGCAGCATGGTGACATTTTTGGCGCCGCCTGCCACCATCGCGGGTAACATCGTGATGGCGGTCGCGCCGCTCCCGATGATGACGACCTTCTTGTCTGTGTAGTCGAAGCCGGCTGGCCAGTGCTGTGGGTGGAACACTTTCCCCTTGAACTTGTCGATGCCTGGGATGACGGCGGGGAAGGGCTTGTCGTATTCGAAGAGGCCGGGGCCGAGGACCAGCCACTTGGCGGCGTAGGTCTTCGGCTGTCCTTTGTGGTCCACCTGGACCGTCCATCTCTGCGCTGCGGAAGTCCAGTCTGCTTTTACCACCTTGTGGCCCAACTTGAGGTATTCCTCCAGACCGTACTTCGACACAGACTCGTGCAGGTACGCCATGATCTCATCGCCGTCGCCCAGGACCCTGCGTCTCCACGGGTGCCAGGCAAAGCCGAACGTGTACATGTCTGAGTCCGAGCGGACTCCGGGATACCTGAACAGATCCCAGGTCCCGCCGATCTCGTCACGGGCTTCGAGGACCGTGAAGCTGAGATGTGGCATCTGGGTCTTCAGACGGTACGCCGTGTTGATGCCGGCAATGCCGGCTCCCACCACGAGAACGTCATATGAGATGGGCTCACCAGCTGATGGAACGATTGATCTGGCAGGTTGCGTATTTGTCTGTCGTTGGCGCGACATGGTTCGATGGTGATGACCGGATCAAAACCTTCCTCTTTAAGAATGAAGTAGCTTAACAGTGAAGCCACTTGGAAAGTTGGAGATCCTTCGATATCTTGCGAATTCTAATTTCTTAGTGAGCAAGAAGAGGATAAGTAGGAACAGACTATACGGAAAAAGAGAGGAGGTGGCATCCAGAGACGTGGTAAGAGATGGGGGGCTCGGGACGCATCACACGAGCGCTTGGATGATGGGTGCGGGTGGTGTCAAACTAGGATCACCAACGGTATTACACGTCATATTGCAAATTTGAAAGTACCAGGCCGCCAAGAAAATACAGGTAAGTTGCCCTTTGCACGTTGGTAGAAAGAATTTGTGCAACAACCGTGCCGAATGATTTGTGGCTCTTGAAAGATTACGCGGCACCAACAAGGCTGGCTCTCACGGATGCAGCGTCTCTGCAGCTGTTGCCATACCTCCTTAATCAGGTATCTGACCGTCTCTATTATGAGCCAATTCACAGGGGGGTCCACATGTCAAAACCATCTCCCTGTAGCTTCTTGTAGCACTCCTCGTCCTCAGCGCTCCACTCCCTGTGCCCCTTCAGAAGATCCGCAGCCGCAAAGTTATCTTCCTCCTCCGCGTAAATCACAGCTTTGATGTATTGCTCCCTATATGGTCCCACTGTATGAACACCATGATCTAGGAGCAACTGAATTGTGTCGATCCGGCCACGCTTTGCTGCTCCTTCCAATGCGGTACGGCCATACTTCTCTGCGCCTCTGGCATTGACATCTGCACCAAGCTCCAGCAGCCGCATACTGATCGCGAGATATCCATGAATGCATGCGAGCTGAAGTGCAGTGGCACCGAAATTCTCTCCGGGTGGCGCATTGATACAGGCTCCACGCTCTATGAAGCGATTAGTAAGTCCGAGATCGCCGTTGCGTACCGCAGCTTGCAATGCAGTTCGAGGAAACATGCTACCTAAAGACGCATTTGCTGCGGTTTCGTTGACGCTGGCACCTGCCTCCAGAAGGAAATCAATCACTTCCTGGTGTCCATTTGCGGTCGCTGCTTGCAAAGCGGTAGGACACCAAGGAAACCGACTGTTTTCTTCGACGTTTAAAACACTTTGCCAGTTCACAAGATGTTGGAATCTGCGCAGGAGACGTAATTTGCCATTAGCAGCAGCTATGACAACCGTCAATGCGTCAAGCTCGTAAGAGCAGGCCAGCAGGTAATCCAACATTTCCTCTGAGGTGGTCCAATCGACGATTGCGTCACGAGTCGTAGCTAAACCCATTAAGGGGGAGCATGCGATCGATTGCCCACAAAAAATGCTTTCCGTGGTATCGATCCAGTGGTACGACTTAGTAGGGGCCCACCTTTCTAACAGTCGGCTGAGGTGTTCTCGTGAGAGGCGTGCTGTTCTCGTCACAAAACTTGTGCCCGGTGGAATGAGTATGCGTAAAGTTTCAGATGAGTCAAGCGTCGCGGCAACCAACACTGCGGTATTCTCCTTGTCCCAATCACATGTACCTTGGGTCCGTCGACCGACCATCGTCTGAAGGTTGGCGAGGTGTAAGCGAAAACCGCGCTGGCATTGCAGGCCCCTCAGAAGGATAGCAGACAGGGCTCCTGAATCATATGCTGAAGGAAACTGCCTCAGGGCATCTCGCACCACCTCGGATGTGAACTTGATGCAGCAAAGCTCAAGCCAAGACGGTTCGGCTTTGGTCCACTGTTCAATCTCTGGCATAGCGCGGATGAGTCCTAATTGGATCTCGGTGGACAGTTTTGATGTGCCCGAACATTGAAGGGAATGTAACAGGTCTTGTTCTTTGAAGGGGATTCCCTCTTCAAGAAGAAACCTCACAATGTTGGTGTGGCCGCACTTGAGGGCATGCTGCAAACAATTCCGACTGACACTTTCTTTATCAATCATCCACCAATCATTTCTGAATAGTGCTCTAAGAAGCCTCGCCATTCCGTACGCAGCTGCCAATGTCAATTCTCGGCCTGTCATCTGGCAGCCCCGGCTGATAAGGCGGAGAGCGGAGTCTTCGTGACCGAAGGTGATGGCGTATTCCAAGGCGCTTTTAAGATTGAGCCCTGGCCGTTGAAAACAAACATGCCATGGCCGGCATGTAATGGGTCGAGACCCGAGCAATTCGTCGGATGTCTCACAACATCGCACACCTGATCCTCGTTGCCGAACGTGATAGTTTATGTCACCACCTGTGTTCATAAATAAATCGAGAACGCCGAGAATGTTGAATTCCTCCTGTCCATTTCCACAAGCTTGACGTGAAAGTAGAGAATGGAACGGAGACTGGCATATGCCAAATTTGCGGTGCGTTTGAGGGATGTTGACAGTAGCCCCAGAATACAGTATGAGTGAAATAATATTGTACCGCAAATTCGCACTTAGGCAAGCCGCGTGTAAACAGGAGAACCCATGACGATTGAATCCGTGTAATTGACCTCCATACGCCATCAGCAGTCGGAGGGCGGTGATGTCAGCGCAAAATGATGCCAGGATCATCGTTTCCAATGAAACTGCTACATTTTTCCCTAGAAGGTATCGCAGACTGCTGTACCTTGAGCATTGTGTTCGGTGATTGTCCATGGACAAAAGCTCTTCTGAGTCGCAGTCGCATTCCCGAGAAGTTAGGTCAAGACACACAAGACCCGGCAGTGTTGCCGTGTCCAGCTTGAGTTGACGCAGCGGAAATCCTTTAAGTTCATTAATGTAGTTGAAATCGAGGTCGAGAGACTGATCTGATCGCAGCATACGATCCGACATTTTGAACTCTCCAGCAATTATCGCATTTTTCAAGCTAGTCTGATCACAGACAGCGCCTGAAACGAGCAAAAGGTCGGCAATATCTTGATTCCCTTGTGCAATCGAATAGTTCAGAGCGGAAACACTCATTTCGCAATCATCGTCGTAGACCAGCCGATTAGGGTCAGCTCCAGCTTGGAGCATCATCTCTGCCAGGCCCCTGGCATTTTGGACGACAGCGGAATGAAAAGTCTGTTCAACCACTGACTTTGACGTAGCTCCGTTTGTGGAACTCAATAGACCCCTCCAGTTGAAACCAGTGTTAGCCAGATGTTTGAGTGCAATCCCGAATTCGAGTGAGTCAGAGTCGTAACCTTCGTCGGCGAGCGGTGAGAGCTTGTTTGATATCTGGAATATCTGGAGGCCCAGAAGGATGGAAATCCGAGAAACGCTAGGGATCACTCGAAGAGACGTGGCTTCCCGTTCTACTGCCTTGATATCGTTGTCTGACCACCCTAACAAGGCCATATAAGATATGTCAATGTTCTCCGGGCGGAAAAGCGACTTCTCCATCCCAAATAGCTCGACGGCCCAGGTACGCGGGAACTGAGATGGTCTTGGGAGACTGAAATTGGCCACATCATTCCAGTCAATATTGAGACCTAGTGATGTCGATTCGAGCTCTATATAATAGTGGGTCAAATGTCAGCATATTCGGAAATCACCATGTCTCTTGACCGCTGCCAGATCCGGCCGGCTAAGCATTGCGAGGCCAATCTTTGACCGGAACGGGCAACCGAAAGGGTATAGCAGACAGACACTCATCTTGTGATTCACAACTCTAGCGACAAATACAAGAATGAGACATACCTCCTTTCAGGCCGCGATAGAATTTCAGCCACGGCAGTGAATGACTTGGCATATTGTAGTGAAGCATCGACTTCTGGAGTTCTGGAGAAGCATCTTGACCAGGCGAGTCCACCGACGAAACTGGGGTGCAAACCATCAGGTCGAAGCCTTCGGGGCATTTTGGACTGTCTACCCTCAAGGAAGTCAGCTGGACAATCATAGTCTCTCGAGGTTCTTTCTATGGACTCTTGGGTTTGAACTCACCACCAGGACTCGGGAAAAGTGTCGGACGGTCATGTCGCCTGGTTTCCTTGCGAACTTTGGTCTCCGGTATGAGAGCACCATTGAAGAAGACTGCGCTCTTCTTCTTGTCCCTGGCTCGCTTTTGCACCTTGTGGCTGGTATATCTCCATGCTTGTTCCGTAAGATTGGTTCGCTGTCCCCAGCATTTAAGCCGGTACTCCAGCTGTGACTTCCTACTGTTGCGTCAGGATATCTGGACACGATGGACAATTATTAGTTGGGGCGTTTTGACTAACGTGATACTTCGCCCGTTCCTTGAAACTTCCTCTATCACTTGCTTGCGGCTTTGCCCTGCAGATAACAGACGTAGGATCTCCGGCTTCAGAGCCTCCCAATCTATCGCTGACGACCTCTGGGGCATGATGACGATGTTATTCCGGCGTACCTAGGTTGATGCGCTGGTCTTGAGTTGGGAGCACTTGAGATATGCAGAATCGAATCACAACAGCCATTCCAATTGGCAAAACTGGAGAGAATGGGTAACACGAGAATGATCTCGAGCCTGGCCCTTTTATCAGGCTCTGAGACTTTGCCGCAGCGGCTGTACTGGTGTCAAGTTGCCTGGGAACGCGTTTTGCTTGGCGAGACTCTATTGGACGAGACCACAATCTGAAATGCACCTGGGCATGCATCGGGGAAGCAAGTGTGGTGGCCAACGATGCAACACAAACTCCCTCCCGATTGGCTCGCCCCAGAATCTGGTGTGTTCCCTGCTTGGAAAGATGTACCTAGGTACTCAAGTATTTGTTTGAAGCCAGTCAGCCCTGGCCGATGCCAACAGTTCATTGGTCGTTACCATTTTCAGAATGCATCCGTACTGCAGAAGCGGCGCGAAGAAGTTCGATTGGCTGCAGCCAAAGTCGGAATCCTCAACATCAATGAGGGCTTTACTTGTGCAGACACAGACTCAAGCTGGCACACTGAGGCTCTCGCCCGCAGACACGCCCCCGCAAGTGAAAAATGCCAACTCTGGAGACTGTCCAGTATCTGAATGCCCCTGTGAGGCTGCGCCCCATCGGAGTCACAGAGGATCCCTTAAAGAGGAGCCGGTCCAGTCTCCTCCCAAATCAGGATTCTATCATCTTTGTTGACTAGCGACATCATTTCCTCTATACAAACGACGCATTTCGTTTGACCACCAATTGAGCGTGTGCGCCAATGGCTGTTTCAGCAGAGTTGACTGTGGCGATCCTGGGGGTCTTAGTCACAGTACCCTCGGCAGTCCTCGTTTTTTGCAAATGCAGGCGAATTCGACGTTCGAGCGCCTTGTTGCCCATCACCTCAGGTCAGTCTCACATGAAGCTCTGTGTGGACACAGGGTGCTGCAAGACAAACCGTTTTCAACATCATTCCACTGACCCATACTAGCTCAGGGAAACGATCGAGCTCGATCATACTATGTCATCGCAGACGTACAACTATATCAAAGGAGGTCGTGATGATACCTTGAGCAGTAGTGGGAGATCGGGGGATGTTCTTGTGAAAGGATTCGCACTGTCATCGACCGATTCAGATAATTGGCTCATTCTGTACTATAAATGAGCAGAACCCAGTGTTGCGGTTTGCTCAATCCACTCTGTGTATTCCGTTGGCAAGGAACCTTGGAAGTGTGTGCCTAAAATGGTGGGTGTGACCTTGGCGACTCAGGAATCGGGTGCCACTCTAGCCACCACAATACTGTACATACCATTTGGATTTCATTGCCATAGAGCTACTCTAAAATCTGACCGGAATTCTTTTCATCATAACTTTTATCTTATGCTTGCACATGAAGACCCCGATGCTGTGCAGAACTATTTTGGCCCAGGAGCATGAAGAGGCAAGTCGCCCCAGTTTCGGACTGGCACAACGTTCCGAATCAGCGGTGACTTGGAGGTTAACTGGTCTCAGTGTCAGGCAATACAATTTACGGAATTACCGTGTAGATTTGGGAATCTGGTGGTCGTGTTGCGCGTCGGCGGCGGAGTGCCAGCTTCGAGGCTTTCCGGTGACGAGAAGTAGCCGACCGTCATTGCTGCTTCAGTCCCTCGCTTTAATACCTAGGTTTAGGTACCTCGGTACTTTTCCAACAAGCAGTTACCTCCGACGTCATTCTACCGCTTCATTGAGGTTCACTTCTAACAATTGCATGAAGAATGAGTCCGCCCATCGGCATGTAGTATCGGCGCTGGCTGCTACAAGATGCGAACGGCGACAGGTAGGGGTTTTGTGTCCTCAATTGTAGTTGAAATCTTGTTGAATACCCCGATATAATCTGCTCATTTGCCATCCACAGCCGTCCGCCCTCAGTGGTTGGGCAGAGCGGATGTAGGGCGGGGTTGAGGCATCGCAAAGCAACGAACGCTTGTGCCAAGCCCCACGTTTCTGATGGGGGTAATCTCAGACAGTCCCTGTAGTAAGGTTAATGACGTAAACCACCTGAGATTTCAAACTTTCGGCTCTGTAGGTAATCTCACAGTCAACTTGTTTGGGATGCCGAGACGGCCAGAAGGGAGAGCACTGGGGCAACACAATGGATGGTACTCGAGACAGGCTGTAACTGAAGGCTGCCTGAGCTGTGTGAGCAACAAACCTCCATCTGGAGGATGTCCCTTGCCCTTCTCCAGCAACAATGAGCTAGCTATGTTGCTGAAAGACAGCTTCTGACCCAAGCTGGGGGCTTGTGGCAACAGGCACGCATTGACCCACTAATGAATGCAAGAAAGCCAGGCCTGGACGTAAGTTTGATGTCTATGATTAGTCCTGTGCATGCACCACTCAACACCATAGCTATTCTCAGGCAGGAGTTGTCAGTTAGGTGCAGACGAACACTGCAATGCTGCTAGCCCTGGTGGAGGGCAGCCAGGCACTTGCGGAGGTACACCATGCCGCAAGGGAGCCCAAGGCAGCCCTTTCAAGCTAATTTCTGCACATTGAATTATTGGAAGAAAGGAGACAAGGGCACATTCATTCCGTCCATACCTCTAATTGGCCCGCACACGTGGGACGAGGCAGCTTGTCGTCCCTGACTGGCCCTTTCTTCCGTCTGAAATCTGGTCACGCACGGACCACCGCTTATTTGAACATCAGCCATATTCGGCGGGAGGACTTACACCGGCTAAACCTCGGTTGGTTGCACATATAGTGTGCATTGCAGCTGCGACTTTGACTGCCACTTTCACCACCATTTTGGTGGCTTCTTTGTTGAGGCTGCCTACTTCAGGTGGCTGTCTTGTTTGAAGGTCTGTCAGACATCTGACCAGACTTTGCAGGCAATAACATGGGTGCAGCTGTCAGCCGAGTACCCAGCATGTCTAGGCTATGCCCTGCCGTGGTGCCTGCTGTCATCAAAGTACATGGGAGTTCGCGATGGTGTATCTTTCCTCTTTTTGACGCCCCACTCTTCCGACTGAGCTTCATTGCCAGGTGCAACACCCTCGCATGCCAACCTTGCGAGAGCTAAGGATCGTTTTGGGGTCCTCCGTGGAAAGGGTTGCATCTTTACGATACTAGCCTTTGGTCACCATGACCGCCACCGTCGAAAGACGGACCCTAAGGCCCTTTCTGATTCGGGGAACGGTTTCACGAGAGCATCGAGGCGCCGCTACAAGCCCAGGCAATCGAGGCACGCACGAAAATGAATTTGGATCTTCACTGTGACGGAAGAGCACGTATCGGCCTTGTGCTATGAGACCAGACGTCTACAAAACCAGGAGTATCAGCAGCCTACTCCCCCTCGGTGGTTGCGTTGCTACCTGAGCGCCAGCTCTTGGAAGCTTTGGGCGAGATGACTGTGCTCAGGAAAACCTCCTGTGATGGAATGCCCGGCGATGAAAACGCCATTTGCATCATTTTCATCGGGGACAGTGATATGAAGGACTTGTATGTGGTCTACACGCCTGCGAGGGGTTTGTGGAGCCTCATATCAAGAGGTATCCTACCGCTACTTGTGTGTGGGACGGTCGCCATGGCACATTACTGACATGTTCTTCTCCTTCAAAAATACCAGTTCAAGGTACCTGGCAACCGTGCAGCTTCGAAAGAGCTCAAGCTCGAAGGCCCTGTTGGAGACCTGGGCAGCCCTAGCGCCTCTCTGCGTTTGATAGAAGCAACCAGCCTTTTCCTGTGGTCCACAAAAAGCCCACTGACACACCTTCCCTGCCGCGAACCTTTCCCTCCACAACAACAACTTTCTTCCATCACGCAACCTCAATCTTCATCCACAATCCACTCATCAATCATCAGTCAAGCCATTCGCAAGAACTCAACCAAACTTCATCATCACGATCATCATGGCTGCTGCTGAGAACAAGACCAAGATCGACGTTCCTGTCCTCACTGAGCGGGAGCTCGAGATTATCGTCGGCGCGATTCGCTGCATGGAGGGCGGCCTCCCTAAGGTAAGCCGTATCCTCTCAAGTTTGTTTCTACAGCTCTGCCCCGAACTACTCAACCCTCCTCTCGTTTCACTTTCCCGCGATGCTTTCTGTTTTGCACGATCCCTTGCTGCCTCTTGGCCCCAAGAGGACAGCCTCGCCCCCTTCAACCTCACACGATGCGTCAAACTGCGACGACCAGACCCCACTTGGCACAGCATCCACACGGAGGCTGACACCTTTGTCACAAACAGCCCGACCTGCAGAAGTTCGCCGACATGGTCGGCTTCAAGAACACCAACTCTGCCTCTGTCTCCCTGAACACGGTCAAGAAGAAGATCATGGGCGACGCCGCCCCGGTGAGGACCCCCAAGAAGCCGACCCCTGCGTCTGCCAAGCGCAAGAAGAACATCCCGAAGGACGACGACGAGGATGACCTCGATGAGACGCCTAGCAAGAAGCAGAAGCCCACTCCAAAGAAGGGCGGCAAGAAGGGTTCTTGTATCAAGGTCGAGTCCCCCCAGGATGACAAGGACGACTCTGCCGCCTTTGTCTGACTCGCCGACTCTGCCACACGGCTTCGTAAGTACTCTACACTACAGCCTCGTTCCATCAGGCCTCGCTGCTGACTATCACAATCACAGTTTCGCAGCTATCGTTGGACTGAGGGGTGATTTGCGTGGTTCGGTTTGGCTCACGGCTGCTTTGAATGGACTGAGCAGCCGCGTTTGGCACTCTGCACGTCTTGGGTTCCATAGCACATCAGGGAAGTCTGCACATGTGCACAATCGACACGGCTTGAGTGATAAGTCGGTCTGATAGGGATCAATCAATTGAATCGAATCGGGAACACGGCCCGATTTCTTCCGTCTTACTCTTTGCTACCGTGACATGTTCAAGTTTTGGGCCGAAGGATTGCCCAAGCAGCATAGCCACAGCCACCTACCTGTTCAGATCGATGAACGGCGCTGCCGTGCAGCTTCCACGCGTCGCGTGCAGCCGCATTGGTCGACGCCCAAGCCGCAGCCAGGCACGATACTGGATGCGGCCTAGGCCCGTACGTTCCGCCTGCATGGTCCTTAACTAGGGCACAGTCCCTAGGCTCGTTTCAGTGAGGCGTCAGCAGGCTGAATACTCAAAGTGTAGAAATGCCTCTTATCATTGATGACATAATGGCGCAACGCCCGTATTGCTCGTATCAACGGAGGCCTGGCGGAGTGAGTGTGAAACAAGCAACATACAAAGCCTTTCAGTCCCACATTGTGTGCGGATTGCCCCAAGTCCTTCAAAGATCTTCTCTAGCAAGGAAAGCCTCAGCCAGCCAGAAACATCTTCGTTCGCGCTGGGACAAACCAGAATGTACCGAAATTCGCCAAAGTCACAGGGCTTTGTTTCCCCTGACTACAGCAGTCACCAACAACAAACAACCCCTGAAGAGCATGTGCTCGGATCACCACCACCATACGAACCAACCACAGATCACACAACAGCAGCAAAAAGGTATGGGCTCTTCATTCAGAATGTCTCTCATTCCTCGCTGACAGTCCATGTGCACAGCACCCCTCACGAATATAGGTTCAGTGATGAAGCTCCCCTGAACACCTCCGCCAGCCCTGCCGGCAACTGCCAAGCCTACACCCAAGAACCTCCCATGTCAGCCACCTCACCTGACCCATGGAGCAAGTATGACGACCAGCCAGGCTGTTGCTTCAGTAACACTGGTGGCTGTTGTTTCAGCAGACGCGGGGGATGCTGTTTCAGTGACACAGAGGGCTGTTGCTTCTCCACCACTAAGGGGTGCTGCTTCAGCAGCAACGACGCATGCTGCTTCAGTGGCCCCAGTGGCGCAACATTCTGCCCTGGCAAGGTAACCATGCTCCTTTTCCATCCGTCTTAAACTTAAAGTGACGGTACGCTGACATGGTATTGTCACAGAATCAAAAGTAGACCACGGGCGTACGGCGAACAGTGCGAGCGGAAAACATCAACGTGATCTCTTCATACGATCCCTTCATACCCTCAAATCATTCTCGTCCTCTCACCGCCAACGAACCCTATACTGCATCAAACTGCAGCACCCGACCACACGGCGGACCGACCGAGGGAAAACACGAAACAAGACACGACCAGATGGCATCAGGCCTGGGGGACAAGATAAGGCGGCGGCGGACGCGGAGGCTGCTCAGGGGGAGGAAGAGGCCATGATACGAGGCCCTGCCTCAGCTCCGATTCCGCGGGGCCTGCGCTCGCACTCGCCTTTGTGATGGCCGCCGGAATCTACCTCACATTGTTAGGCGCGAGGACCGCGGGGGGGTCAACTTTGCGATAGAATATCATTGGGCCGCCACCAAGACTTCACAACAGACACGGGGGTAGCTAAAGTAATCCGAGTTGAATTGGAGACGAATCAGAGTCTATAACCGCTCCTCCTCTAGGTGCTTCTCCTCTATGTGAAATTGGACTGAACTATGAACAAGAAGTAAAGAAGAAAACGTCTACGCGACACCAGCCTAAGCGATAGTCGCGCCGATCGCCGCGCCAGAAGCAGGAGCCAGGAAGCTGCTCGCAGCAACCTTGCCGCCGGCCGTCCTCTTGCCCTGGACGAGCGAGACGTCGACGCTCTTGAAGCTGGCGTCGGTCCACTTTGCGGTGGCGTCCCACGAGTTGTCGCCGGCGGACTTGGCGCCCGACAGCGAGACCTGGTCGGCCTGGTTGGAGCTGCCGCCGCTGTTGAGGGCGGCGACGTTCTTGGAGTAGGTGCCCGAGACGCCGTCGGCGCCGGTGAGCTGGAAGCCGACGGCGCCGTTGCGGTAGGCCGTGTTGCGGGTGAAGGTGAAGGCGCCCGGCTGCTTGTTGTCGGTGAAGCCCTTGGCGGCGTTGCTGAAGGCGATGCTGTTGGTCACGACGTGGTTGGCCTTGGTCGTGCTGCCGCCGCCCAGCTTGTACCCGTTGCCGTCGCCCTCGAAGGGCGTGAAGTCCCACCGGTTGAAGCCGTTGCCCCACGAGATGGTGTCCTCGATCGTGACGGGGGATGCGAACTCCCTGTTTTGGTTGCGGTGTCTTGTCAGCAGGTGCTTTCTTTGCACATCATGGCATGGAAGTCTCATCGCGTCGAGAGGTGTCGAACTTACCACAGGTCGAGGCCGTCGTCAACGTTGTTCCACAGACGAGCCCCCTTGATGATGTTGCCCGTGCCGCTGCCCTCCTTGCAGGCAAAGCCATCCGCACTCTCCCCGTTCTTGCGCGGGTCACGGTTCATGTACGAGTCCAGGTACAGGATCTTGTTGTTGCTGACGCTGCCCTGCATCTGGAACCCAGACTCGTAGTTGTCGTGGGTGACGAGCCGGTCAAAGATGTTGTTGTTGCCGTCCTGGAGGTAGACGCCGTAGGGCCCGTTGATGAGTGTGATCTTGGAGACGTTCCAGTAGCTGCTGCCCTCGAAGTGCAGCACGCCGCGGTCGGCCCGGGCGAGTGAGCCGCCGAGCTCGGCTGGCGTGCCCGTCAGGCTCTCGCCGTCGATGATGACCGACTCGTCGCCGTACGCTGTCAGTGTGTAGTAGGCGCTGGCAGTGCCGCTCTTCTTGATGGAGATGTTCTTGGTGGGTTTGTAAGTGCCGCCGCGAAGGGTGATGACATCGCCTGCCACGGCTTTGTCGACCGCGGTCTGGATCGACGCGAAGGGGCTCTCCAGCGTGCCGGTCCCGCTGCTGCTCCCCGTTGGGGAGACGTAGTATGTGGCAGCCAGAGCTGCTGGCAACGAGGCCAGGAGGACGATGGGGGACGGCATGTTTGTTGGTTATCGAGGAGTCGGGTGAGGAAGACGAGGCAATCGGAAGGGACACCAAGCAACACCAGCCTGCGTCACTTCTTGGCCCCTGCGACGCGACATCTTATACCTGAAGACTACCTACATAGTTCGTAGACCATCCACCAGACACCCCATCACGATGCGTACAACAAGGTGCAACTGAAGTGGCGCCTTCGGCCTCATTTCGTCTTTGCTGCCCGGCCAATCTTACTGAGAAGGGGCTGGCTTGGCATGGCGGGAGATCTCCATTCGTGGGATTTGGGAACCCGACCTTACTGGTGCACACCTTGTGGGGAGCGCCGTGGGTCCGGCAGTCACCCTTTTCATGTTTCCCACCGGCACATGGACTGAGCCAAGACAAAGCCAAGACTACGGAGTGCTGGGCCTCCCTCCGAGAGACTGTCAACTACGAATGTGGCAGGCAGCCCGTTCCCGCTGTCACAAGTGCACAAGTGTCCCGGGGTGAGATTGTGATAGGCGGATGAACATGCTTAAATCACGCAACGGTTCCAGTAAAATAGACCCAAAAGGACAAGTTCAGGAACAGACTTGTTTGACAATTCGGTTAGAGTATTAGGCGCCGTGTTAAAAATCCAGGCGAGTCGATGATAGGGGCTGCAGTGGGAACGAGTGGGTTGTCCTTTTGGAAAACCTTGGAATACAATTACAACCTTGCGCAGCTTTCCTAATAGAAATGACTCTTGCTACCCCTGCCAAAATGGGACCAGTTGCCTTTTGCGGAACCTCAGCAGCACGCTCCCAAGGTGTGAGCAAAATGATTACTAAAAGCTGATCTGACTGTAACGGTGGTTCCTCAAGCAGCCCCCCTCCCCTCCCGAAGAATGCTATCAGGACAGCTGTTAACGTTCAATGGCTTGCCTCACGAGTTTGCCACTTTTCCGTCTCGTCGGAAAAGTTCCCAGTCCGCCTACGAAAGGGGGTTGGTTAACTTCCCTTTGCCCCCACCAACACCTCGCCCCAGACATGGATACTTCATAATGGCAGAGGGAACCCAACGTTCCCAGAGTCATATGCGAAGTCATGTATACTCCTCCGCCGTTGGTGAAGCACCACTAGTAGGTGCACTACCTAGTTATGCACTAAGCATACTTGGGCCAGCAACGCCGCCCGCATCGCTGGGTCTATCAGCACCCTATGCCAGGACTGCTAATCAGAGACCCTCGAACTTATAAGGTCTTTTGAAGAATTGTGAGTAGTCTGCCCCGATTCCTCCATCCAAGCCCACTCCCTGATCACCTCCCAGTCTTGAAGTCTTGTGAATATTTGGTCCAGGTTTTCAAAATGGCTTCATCGCTTCTCTAGTACAACCACATCAGCACATAGACTTTGACATCTGGTAGCTCAGAGCCTGCCATTATCTAATTATAAATGAGCGCGCCTGGGAGTGCTTGTCCCAAATTACATAGGTAGCTTGAAGTAGGTGGCTGTGTACGGACATGTTATAATAACTTGCCCAAGCTCTCCCTTTCTTCATCCCAAATGGTCGACGTTGCGCAGGCTGAAGTCACGTGAAAAGGGAAAAAAAGGACACTGAAAGGGCAGGGCAAGCACACTTTTGATTTGATCTTGTCTTCTATGGCTCCAGTGCACAATCCTGGTCCAGTTTTGTGCTTGTGGTTTTAATCGTACTCACTTGCAATGCATCACAGTCCTGATTCTAATTACACCCTTTTCCGCCCTAGGGCACCACAGAAGCGAGACTTGGTACTTTTCATTTGCCACTCAATGCTGAAGTGAATTTGACGAGCCGACTGGGTGGTTTTTGACGGCCCTTTGTCACGTGGTCGGGCAATGAGTTCCAATGTGGAAATATTTGGAATTCATCGGGATGCTGGCCGTCCACGGAAGCCAGAACTACAATGACATTGATTTCAAATTCTGAACATCTACTCTGTGTGGACTAGGTAGGGTTGGTTTGTGGGTAGGTGACCGTGAATAGATGGCGGAACAGCATCCCAAAAAGCAAAAAAAGAATAAAGTAATAGTAGGCCACAGCTGGTTTCGATCCAGCGACATCCAGGTTTGTGGCCTGGCGCTCTTCCACTGAGCTATGCAGCCGTTGTGAAAGCCGACATTCTTGTTCAGTCAAGTGTTCGGGTTGAAAGGAAAGAATTTCTGTGGGTGAGTCACAATGGGCGGCCATCCGTTGGCTGTGGGCATGTGAACTCCTAGTGTGATTCGAACCTCAAAGTGCATTTACCTGGCTGCCCCAAAGGCCTCCTAATGACCCAGAAGTGACTCACTGCGTCCTACCCTCGCAAACATGGCAGGTTGCAGCGCAAATGCAAGCGGCTGTGGCTGCGACATCGATCTCACCAGATGACCGAAGCGGATCAGATGACAGATTTGGCATTCCCCATTCCTTCTTGAACTTCTGTGTTGTTGCGGTCTGATCACCAGAAGCCGGATGCGACGCCCACGTGTCGGCCCGTGGTGCTGCTCGGAGTATCTCACAGATCCGTTCTGGTATGAAACTTGACATGGACCGTGAGGTTGCAGTGTAATTGTTGTTGAATCTTTGCAAGCACTGTCGCAGTCTGACTCTTGAACTAGTCAAAAGAAGATTGCAACTGCAGCGAGTGGCAGTGCTCAGTTGTGTGGTACAAACAGTATCACTGACGTTTCAAGTACTTGAGCCACAGATCATGATGTCTGTGTGATAGTGATATCAAAGTGCCGTATCCTACAGGTAGTGTGTTACATTAGCAAAATCGAAAAGTTGCTGTTGAATAAGAAGGCATAAAAGCACTGCAGTTGTTAATGCACGAAATTCACGTTATCAGCTACTGAATGGCATCTCACAGCAGACGAGACCTCGATAAACTCCCCGGAATGGTGAGACTCCCCGCCCCTGATCACTCCAAATCTACTGGTAGCTCGCATCTGGACCAACCCAAGCTTGGCAATTCAACGGTCAAATCTTTCAAGGACCACAAATTCGTGAAACTGATCAACCACGGTCTGTCCGACGCGACTACCGAGGCCATGCTAGAGTTTGTGAGGCGACCTTGTCGACTCCTCTCGGAAATACGCTTTACAAACCTACTTGGGTATTGAATCATGATACTTGATTCACGAGCCTTCGGCCAGGTCTCAGCCGAGGCCAAGAATGAAAGCGTCTGCGGCCGTAGCTCTCAACCTTGGCGTGGGTGGAGCTGCGCGGGATCAGAGCAGACGTCGAAGCTGAGGAAGGAGTTTTGTCAATCGTGACGCGAGTGAGCTGGTGGACGAAAAAGTAAGTCGCACCACATATTTCATTGACGATCTATACAAGAGCACAATCTGTAGATGCATTGTCTCATGAAAATCATAGGAACACTTCGATGCTGGTCAGCTGGACAATCCCCAGTATCCCGATCTCTTACCCGAGGAGATGCTTTACCCAGCGTCCGAATCGTTATGGAAAGCAGATACGGGGGCACTTCGGGGCATCTCACCCTTGGGGCACCGTTGATACTCGCAGTGAACGAGATGGAAACATGTTGATATCCTTGGTTGAATCCTGTGATTGTAGTCGTGGAGTAGGCTAGAAGGCCATATTTTTTTTTCACTCGCTGACAGTCGGGAGGGGCGTTTCTCGTGGGTTCTCGCTGACGCGCGTGAGATAGCAGTACAATGGTATCCTCGACCATAATGCATAACTCCTCTGTCTTTCGATCCATCTCTGACTGTCTTCAGAAAGTCGAAGGTCGAAGTTATAAATCAGACGTGCTAAGATAATGCGCATCTCGACATAGGCCAGGCTGAGTGGTTGCAGTGCGTTTCGTTAGTGACCAGGTAGGACGTCATCGAGAACAAAGCCAGGCGAAGTCAGTGGCTCTGTGGACGGGGGAACTCACTTGCGGCCGATGCAATTACGAGGTCCCACACTGAAGGCTTGCAGGGCTTCCATTTTATTTCCTGGCACATCCTCCAGGAATCTTTCAGGCTTGAACTCCCACGGGTCTGCCCAATTTTCCGCGCTGTGGTTCATGGACCAGTGCTGGCACTCGACCATGGTCTTGTAAAGCGTTAGCGAATGTTTGACTATTAGTGCAATGCAGTATACAGAAGAAAAAAGCCTGGTTGGAACGTCGCCTTACACCTTCCGGGACCCATAGATCTGCAATCCTGTCACCGCCTTTCGGTACCACCCGGATCAGGCTAGACGTTACCGGTGGGTATAGCCTCAGTGCCTCATTGAGATTGGCAAGCATGTACGTCAGGTTGTTCACTGAACTTGCTGTGATCTCGTGCTCGCTCCGAAATGACGATCGGACCTCGTGCTTCAGCTTCTCCATCTTGTCTGGGTTCGTGAGCAACAAGTAGGTGCAACCTGAGAGCAGTGTTGCTGTAGTCTCGCTACCGGCAAGCACAAGGATCTCAGCATTGGCCGAGAGCTTCTCAAATGACATTTTCTAGTAAATCAAGAGGTCCAGTTGTCAGCAGTGCTCTTCTAGTTCGCACTGTCACAACGAAATGAATGAGCTACGCACCCATTCGGCTTGCTTTTTGACCATCCCTTCAAAAAGGTCATTCCTCTCCTGATTCAAATTCAGTCTCGAAACGACCATATCGTTCGTGTACTTGTTGAGCTGTTTCAAGTGCTTGCTGCCAACAAAGCGGAAGAACAGGTTTACAAGAGCACTACTGCCCACGTAGACCATCGCCGACATGGATGCACCATATTTGATGGCTTCCAGCATGGAGTGGACCCAGGGATTGTACTCGAACTTGTCGAGGCAGCCGAAGGAAAGACCAAAGACCAGTTCACCGACGACATCAAAGGTAGTCCAGTTGTACCAGGCCTCCATGTTCAGCGGCTTCCCCTCTTGGCAGCGATCTTTTAGGCCGCTAATCATCTTACCGACGTGTTTCATAATGAGCGGCTCCTGCGATCGGATGGCAGCATCGCTGAAGCCGTGGCTCAGTGCCCTTCTTAGGCGCTGGTGTTCCTCCTTGTCCGAGTTTATGATTGTGGTGGGGAGGGCACTGATCGGGTGTGCGGTGGCGCTCGACTTGGACATCTCCAGCTGGTGGCCATCTTTCTCACCCCCAGTACGGTGGCCATAGATGTCCTTCCATGCTCTAGGGTCGGTGAAGGTGAGGTGGTTTGGTCCGATGCGTACCACAGGCCCGTACTTCGCGTGCTGACGGTGTGTATAGAACGCTTGGACACCGAAAGACTGGCGGAGTGCCCAAGGCCATGGTGTTGCTCGGGATAGCAGAGGGCCCGGGACAGCGCGTAGTGGATGGAAGAAGAGGTTGTAGACGATGAGAACTAGTAGGTGGGTCAGGATCTGCGATGGTCAGCATGATGACATAGAATACACCTGTAGTAGTCGGGAGTATGGTAGGATGTGGTTAGGCTGTGGTCAGATCTTACCGCGCCAAGGATGACTGCAGCAATTGTCGCGGGACGGACCGCGATGCCCGCATCCAAGATAGTGTTTAGTATCGCCATAGCGTTGTCTCTGTCTTCCCTAGGCTGGTTTGAAGATGATATTGATACAGGGACGTTGAGTCGGAACTTGGGGATGTCGAGGATAGTGCGAAGGTGGTCCAAGAGATGCTTAATAGCATCAACTAAGCGCCAAGGGTTATGTGCGGGGCATCTCAACGAGAAAGCCAGGCTTGATGATACGCTGCGTCTCAGGGAGAAAGCCAGGTTCGATGATACGCTGCGTCAGAGATCGGTCAAGGCGGAGACAATGCCTCCCGCGCCGTAGTAGGACACCTGTGCAGGGATTCGCGTGGTACATGTGCCATCTCGTATCGGCATTTTCTAATTACAGTTCTCAGGAAGCTGTCTTGATGTCGCATTGAGATTCATAACCTGAACGTGATACGTCCCGTATTTTCCGTCTGTCACTGCCACAAGTGCAAAGTTAAGGCTATCCAGGCATCTGTGTCCTCCTGGAAGTATAAGTTTCGCGTCATGCGCAGGTGGCGTGTTTATTGTCTCAGCTCCTTTGTACCGCATTGGGTCTGGTCTTAAAGGCTTGTATACCTGTCCGTACATCTTTACCCATGCAATCAATCTCGTCCACGAGCAATCTTGACCGTTCTTCTGAAGTACTTGAAGATTTATATTGAAGAGAGTATGCTTTTACATTTACATGAGCTGTTCTATGGTACACTAGCAGAATGGAGGAGGCATGTCTGAAAGCAGACCCTTTGACTGACACCTGTGGTGACGTGAGGTCTCGTGTTGGCGGCAGCCACAGCAGCAACGGATGTATGTCAGGCGTGTCTGTGCCTTAACAGTCTGCTTGGGACTTCCAAACAAAGGCATCTATGTGGATCAAAATGCCGAGCACAACTCGGCAAGAAGGCGATTTCGAAGACTTCAGCGGAGTACCTAGGTAACTTCGATTCGTTGATCGTGTTCGGTCGGGCGTTGAAGATTATGGAGAACGATGGTCATTGCTGAACTAGACCACTTCAAGTTCCGCATCCTTCGATGTTGGCTGTGGAGCAGGGCGAAAGAGGCGAGGGGAGCAACCAGGCGACTCTTCAAAATCTGTCTTCATGGCAAAGTCCTCTTTGCCGACCTTGAAGTAGATATTCGCCCGATCAGTGCAGTCCCGATGTAGTCGTGGGATAAGGGTCAGAGCCGGCCCGAGAAAAATAGAACCCATCTTCCCCCCGAGACTCGCCTGTTTCCAGAGCTTGAGCGAGGTTACGGCCAGCTGGCCCTGTATTCCCTCAGTGAAACTCATTGGCGGTCCGTCATGGAGTGGGCTGTTGGCCGTGTTTGTATCTGTGGCAGCGGCGTAGATCGTCCGTTCCTGAAGCTTGAGGAGCGTCCTCGCCGATCTCGTCGCGTTCTGCAGTTGCCCGACAATGCCAGTTATAGCAAAGAAACCAGTGCTAATAGTCAATAGTAGGGCGTAAGAACCAAGCTGCGAGGCGGTCGCGTCGGTATTGTCAGTCGAGGTCCATGGTGCCAGTGCGGTCGCAAGACAGATGCCAAGCATGGCGGCAGTGTTTGCGAGTGTCTTTTCCAGCACCGCCTCAGCAGCTTTCTCATACGCCTTGAGTTCTGCTTCCCGCACTGGCTTGGTGATCTTGTCGAAAGCCGATGGGCCGGTTTTTCCGTTGTACCACTCCCTCACATGAGCTTGGCATCTCTTGTCGTGCAAATCCCAGAACATTCGCCGCTCAGTGCCGTATTGACGTTTTGTAACCTCCCGGAAATTGATTCTATATATAGGGTGATAGGTATGCAACCGTTCTGATTTTCCGAAAAGTTCGAGACCCAGGGTCGCCCATACTTCCTCGGGCGCCCTGTTCTCAAGTCCAGTTAGGTAACACTTGGATTCCTTGTCGACGCGGTCAGATCTGTAGGCGTCGGCATTGACGAATATGAAATCGCTGCAAAGAAAGGCCCAACATGTCTGAAAGGCGGCACACGTGAAGTTGTGATAGAGCTGTGCCGAGAAATGTGTTCGAGCCAAAAGAGTTATCAGTGCGTACAGTCCGACTAAGACCAGCCGCAGTACACTATCATTGCTCAAATTGTTGGTCGCGAAACCGTTGTAAACGACGGTATTCGTAACCATCACAACGACGAGCCAGCAACTAACGTAGTTCCATACGGCGGCTTGAACCAGGCTTCTCATGACTGGGGAGAACGTTCTGATCATGATTGGTCTGCTTGCTCTGGACTGAATAGGCTGCGAATTTTCCGTTTCAGGCTTGAGCGGGACTTCACTGAAGCCGTGGATGCTATAATCTGCACGTTCGCTCTTGGAGAAGCCGCTTTTTGCTTCAACGGTTGTACAGGATCTGGTGAAAGCCTTGTAGAAGAGCACCCAAGGCAATCCAGACAAGTGTCCGGGGAACCTTTTTGTCGAAGCTCCCATGTACTGTTCCGGCCAGGTCTTTGCGAGGACAGCGGCGATGTTGTCCTCCAGAAACTTCGGAGGCAAGGCGATTTCGTGTGACAAATCGGGGGTATATCTCAACAAGATCCAGTAGGTTGCTACTGTCAGAGAGAAAATGAGGCCAGTCAAAACGAGATTGATCTTCTTGCTGAGGTCTTTGGTGTAAGGCATCTGGCTGCTAGGACTGCTCAAAACTCGCTCGGACGTTTCAAGCTCAACAGGCACAGTAAATGGCCAGCATTCAGTTGAAACGACAAATAGGAGATAAATGATGTGACGTGAACGTATTCGGACTCCCATTGTTTCCGGTTGGCTCCAGGATCAAGTGCATCGATGAAGGCAGGCGATGAGGGAGGGAAATCAGGGATGTCCACCTCGTGACTGTGAGAGCAAGACTCTAAATATCACCTGAATCAGTGTGTCTTGATGAAGACCCGCAGGTAGAGGATATTTGTGGGCTGTCTCCATGATTGTGGTGACGAGCCCCCCATGCACTACCACTTCAACCAACAACTCTCCTGTGGAGAAAAGCTGTTGTCTTAATTGGTCCACGTTTTCATGGCCTCGGAAAAATATTGCTTTTCAGACCTAGAAAAGCTTCACAACTTCGGATCCTTCTTCGAAATTTCGTTCTTCTTTTTTCAAAAGAAATTGCGCTTATTTCAACGATTTATCTTTTAACGCGAAGGAAAGCAAGGCCAAGTGGCTTGATGCTCCGCTGTCTGCCAGACCATACCGTCTTTATTGCTATCATGTTGGGATTTGGGTCCCAAGGTATTCTAGAAGTTTCCCGCAATACAACTCAACTAATGCAATACTCATGTAGGCCAACACTGATTCACTGCCAGCTGGCATCTTTCTCACAATCCGGGCCCACCAGCGAATCCAGGGGCTTGAAGTTGTGACTGTGCATATTTGAAGCGCCACAAAGCCAAAGAACAGGAATTCATTACCAGGTTCAAAGCATTAGCCAGGAAGAGAGTATCGGAGGGAATTAGGATACTATTAATTTTTAACAACATGTAGGCTAAGGTGGCCCAAGTCAAGGGCTATTCTGAGACGAAAGGCCAGTCGGAAAACCGCAAAAGGCAGCACGGGCGGTCTCGTGGAAGAGACCCTCGTCAGTTTCATCGAGCTCAACCGAGTTAGATGTGCCCCACGGGGTCCACGAGATCCAGGCTGGCCGGAGGTGCCCCGATTAACGTTGCCACGAGCCCACGGTGGGGTGACTCTCCATGTTCGGACTTTAAGCGAGAAACAGCGAATTCGACACGGCTGAACTTCCCAAAGCGGGTGCGTTATCTGCTCGCCGCCAGCTGCCTCCAGATGGGCATCAAAGCGTTGGAGAGCCCCCCCCCCTCGGCTTGTAATACACCAAAATACACCAAGTGAAGATCACCCACGTACTACTCAGGAAGAATTTCACATACACTACTGCTGTAAAACAGCCAAAATTAAAAAGTTCCACCCATCGTATCTTGACCTTTGTTATCAAAGCTGCAACTGTATGCTTTGTTAAATGCTAGGTCTTGGGTGTTCACCTCCGTAGGTACCTAGGTATGAAAGGCGCCATTTGTGTCTTCAGACGTAAACGTAATAGAAGCGAAACCCATCAAAAACTACAAATACATCATAGCGGAGTTCTATGGAATCACCAAAGAGCAAAATACCCACCTGGCCATGTACCACTTTGCATAACTCCATTGCCGCAGGCCCATGACGGAGGGTGAGCTCCAGCTTGCGGCCTAGCATATTTATCACGCAGATGCCGTGGTCACGGAGCAGACAACATCTGAGTGAGGCTCGTGCTACTTAGCTACTACCTACCTAGGCGCTGAGGAACCAACACACTGTAGAAGGAAGCGCAGCAAAGGCTACCTAGGTGGGTAGGTAGGTAGGTAGGCAAAGGCCAAATCTACATATGTAGAGACTCCGTTACAGCCCATCGACTGCCACACACATTTCAACATATGGACTCGAAGTGGCATCTCTGCCCTTTTATTGGTATTGCGTTTCTTTTCATTCCATTCCTTTTTTCTTTTTCTTTTTCTTTCTTTTTCTTTCTTTTTCTTTTTATTAAAAAAAAAGAAACACTTAGTCTCGAGTATTTACCACTATATGAGGGCACCACATACGTTTTATATATATGCTCAAGTGGGGATTAAAACCGAAACCGCCACACGGGGTGGCAGCGAGCTAAGACTCGATATCCAGCACTGACAAAGCCAGAACGCTGGTGTAAGCACGGCACAGCCTGAGACGAGCAGATGGATAACTATGCAGGCGTAAGCGGACCAGAAGAACTTAAAGCAGCAACAGGCAATGCTCACTCCCGAGGTCCATATGTAACCCTTCTCATTCTCAGCACACCTAAACTCAGAGTAGTCAGAGCATCACTAGCATCAGTCTTCATATGGCGCGAGACACTACACTTTACTAGCCAGTTACTCCTTCAATACACCATGCCATCTTCGAACTAGTCAATGTTTTCCTTTTTCAAACAACACAAGACGCACCAAAGTCTCTTCTAACCACGACCCGCATGACTAGTCAAGGCTCAACGTGCGCCACAATATAAACCCATCCACCCACCCACCCACCCATCCATCTGCATATGTAAAGCCTAACCAGGTAAGTAGGTAACTAACTAACTGACTACGGTACCAGTACATAAACCACCTGCCCACCCGCCCACAGCACCAACACGTGGAGCCCCAAATGCAAGAAAAAGAAAAAGAAAACAAGAAAACGGCATTCACCCAACTGACAACTAACAACAGCCACAAGCCCTGGCCACCTTCCAAAAACAAGCACCAAGCCACCACGTGCCCAAGTGCAGCCACCTGGGCACCTATCTTGGTTCGGTGTGGATCACACCCCCCCCCACACCGAACTACAACCCCCCCCAACCCCCACACAAAACAAACATATAATCAATAACAACGTGATATTATACACCCGATCATGCATGCGTCTCAAACACCCAAACGGCGTAGCAGTCTCGTGGCAATATAATAGCCCGTACATGATATACATACCGAACGCATCAATCAGTCAGTCCTGCATTTTATGTAACCACCTGGGCACTAATATTACACTGTGCCAGTGTCAGTGTGCCACTGCCCTCCCACGCACCGCGCAGATGAATGCCTAGTACCTACCCACCTAGGTACCTTTACCCAGGTAAGTACACCATGTACCTAGGAAAGAGGCCTCACTAGAAGAAACCACACCTGTCTAAGTACGTAATTACAGTAACTATTCACCAGCCACCCTCCCACCACCACACCACCACAAAGCAGTAGGAGGGTAGCGTTTCCCATCCACATCCCCATCCCCATCCCCATCCCCTCCAGAACCTATCCAAAATCAGCATGCAGGCCAGGTAGGTCATGTGAATACTGCCCCCCTACACCAGGCAGACAGAGAGACATCCAGACAGACAAGCAACAAAACACCCCGGCAACAAAACCGAGCAAATCTCATCTTCGGAGATTGACAACTCACGCCCTCGGAGATGGCAAGCAACCCTCCAACCCTCCAACCCTCCCCTCCAACCAATCCGAGCGGGGGGGGGGGGGGAAGGGCCACACAAGCCCCAGCCTCAAAGTCAAAGGGAGGGCGGCCGAGGGCACCCACGTAGCATGACAGAAACCACAGAGCCCTGTGTGGGATAAATACACCGTTTACTGCCCCTGCCCGCTCTCCCCGCCCTTGCCCCCCTCCAAGCAGCCAGCCAGCCTTAATAATAAGAGGCCTACTAAAGTTGCCGAAAGTATCGAAACCGAAACCCCACAAACCGGCAGCCAGCCAGCCAGCCAGCCAGCCATTCATCATCCATCCACTCAGCATGCCCAACAACAAGGGGACACCGTGCGTGCGGTGTGACTGACAGCTGCATGCGGGGGAAGAGAAGAACCTGTGGTGCCCTGTCTGGCGACTAGTTATGTACTCCGTGCACTACTGCAGCGTGGCAGCCGTGGGGTTCCAAGGCCCGGGATTGATGGACTTCAGGATTGCATTTTCGCTCGGGCCACCACCACCACCACCCTGAGCTCCCCTTCCTCGCTTCGCTCCGATCCAACCACCTCTGACATGGCCGTGTCTTAACCGACCTGCTGGGGCAGCCGAGTCCTCCGGCCGTGAGTGCCGAATGCGGGACCCCTGCTCACGGGGCACAGACCGTTTTAGGGCAGAGACGTCGGCAGTGCAGTGCCGTCTGTCATCCTGGTGGCAGTGACGGTGTTCATCAAGCACAATTGTCTTCATACAGGATGGCACAAAAGGCAAACACTATGTCGAGTAAGAGAAAGACTCCGGTCTGGGATTGGCATACAAATGGGAAGGGAAAAAAAGACTCGAGATAGTTCCACGTCCGGATAATGGATTGGCTCCCTCATTTCGGGATCATTCCAATGCATTGATATAACACAGTAGCAAGGGCAGATTCGGTCTCGGTAATAGATTCAACGCAGAAGAATGTTACGTTCAATGTGTTGCAGTGTGACGCAGCCGATACCACACTTGTGCGCATCCTGGAGGTCGTGTCCATGCCTATCAATGTACGGCTGCAGGGGCGCCACGAGGCGGAAATGATAGAAACAAGTTCAATCCGGCGATTAGGTCCTCGAAAGGAAAGCAAGCACCGCGTACAATGAAAGGTGTATAGGAAAATCGCACAGTATGTAGGCTGCTACTCCCACCACCATCGAGGTCGCCTTGTCCTTGACAGAGCTGCACTCTCACTCCCACGTGCGAGGATGGCATCACACCTTCGGAGGATTCCTAATTTCGGCGGATTCTGCGAGTATCCCCCAGGGGAGCAGAGAGATGGCCTTTACACAGTAAGTGAGAAAGTGACCAGCTCGTGCGATCAGCAAGCAACCCCATGAAACCTGTGGTAGTTGCTCGCAGTCGAGTAGTCGCAAGATGGCGTGATATGTAATGGCAAATGGAGCGGCTTGCATCTTGCCAACTTGCCCACCGCACGTGCAAAGAGGCAACCCACAGTAAACACAGACCGATGATAGCCACCGGGCCTCAAAGATGGTCGGCCGTAGAACTTTCCGAGGTGCCTTCGATGCACACTGCGAAGCATTGAGTCACTTGGCCCAGTATAATAGACCCGGGCTTATAATGCCAGGGCCTGGTTAGACGGAACGGCACGGGACGAGGAGACGCGCGGAGACACATGCATTGCTCCTTGGTCATTTGATCACGTTCGTCTGATCATCACGTTGGCCGAAGGGTTGGCGATCTGGAACTGCCACCCTGAAAGCGGGCGACAGAACACGCCCGGCAATAGATTAGCTCAATTGCCGAAGGAGATGGGATCGGGATAATGGCGGACAAGCCAAACCTCGTACGATTGCTCAAGATGGATGGGACTGTGGAGATATGTGTCGTCCCAATATTCGTGTGGGGGCAGATACAATTTGCATAGCACAGTGCTTCGCACACCCTCTACCCTTGTTTCTGGTGAAGACGAGGTTCGGATATAGCCGGTCGCATCTAAAGTCTAAGTTGTTGAAGATTGTTTGCTTTTTCAGGGACGAGGGACGTTCCCGACAGAGTGCTCAGGGACGAGGACGCCCCTCACTCACAGATCGCACAACTTCTTTGCACAGCCCTGGATATCTAGTAAGTCAACTGTACTGCTGCACTTAGTTGAAGAGCCAGCCTGAACCGACGGTCCTAATAAACCAGTGTGCACTGCTAGATCGGCAGCCAGCGGCACTTGGATCTGGATCGTCGCTCCAATCCAAGTGTGGAGTCACCCGGCAAGTGGGTTTCGAATTGAAGCGAGGAACACAAGTCGCTGGCTGAAGATTGGGATTAGCCTGGCCCAGGCGCCGCGTCGAGTTGCAATTGTAGGGATCCCTAGTCTGCAGGCACATGAATCCAGCGATTGGACACGGGGACGAAAAGGTTGAAGTTTCGGCGATGCTGCATACTGTAGTATCTACAATGTACTCGAAGGCACAGGTCAAGATCAGCAGAGATGATGCCAGCAACGCCATCATGGTCTAGCACACGCAGCCACGCGTGGCGGGTTGATGGGCAACGGCGGCGAGGATCAAACCGTGACGGGCAGGTTTCTTTGCCGATGGTCGAGGGCGGACGCTCCCGGGAGCTAGTTAGCGGACAGAAATGCTCCACAAGCGGCTTGGGTGTGATCTCCAGGGGAGGACACCATGGCCGGGCTAGGGAGGAGTCCGCGGGCGGGGAGATGGTGTCCCAAGCAGCCGGGAGAGACTAGGCAAAGCAGCGAAGATTTATAAATCTCCGTCGGGGCTCCTGGGCTACCAGAAAACCAAAATCGACGGCGTCGGGGCGTGAAGCAGCATCCATCGCGCTGGTGTGTGGACTGGCGGGCGTGGTAAATGTCGGAATGTGTCCCCGAAATCGTTGGTCGTTTGAGATAGCGCAAAGTACTTCGCAAGGGACTTCAAGTGAAGTTCAGAGCTTCAGAGACCCGCAGACCCGCTCCTAGGGCGCCTGTTTCGTGAAAAATATGGAGCCTGGCTGGACCCGGCCATCCATTCTGCCATTGCAGCCCATGTCCCCAAACTCTGAACAGAGTTTGTGTCGAGCCCACCGATTGCCCACCCGAACTGATCAGGACCCTGCAAGATGATCCGGGTGCCGAGTCAGTCTGCCAGTGAGGTGCTGGATCAGCTATGCTGTCGGGTCGATTCAGCAAGCTGGTGTGCGGGCAGGCGGGTGGGGATCTCGTGTGCCTGTTTCGTCGGTGGGGTGTGGGACAAGATGTCGGATCTCCAGACCGTGTTCCCAAAAGCGCGAGGGCAGTGTCGATCGGACGCAGCAGGGCGGCCAATCAGGCGCCAAAGGTGGCTCTGGGGAACAGCGTGGGGCAGCGAGCTGGGCAGCTGGGCCGGACGCTCGCAGGTTGGGCAGCGACACACAGGGCGCGGGCAGCTGTGCCGTTTCCCTGATGGGAGATGCTCGGGATTGTGCAGGCCTGGCAGGCCTGGCAGGGCGTTCGTTGGGCGTTGTGCGAGGCGGCGCTGGATGGAGGCTTGCACGGCTGGACGGATGTGATCCGGACCCCTTACAAGTTAGTCATGGCCGCAAGTCACCAATGGTTCGTTCCTGTGTGCCGAGAATGCAGACTGAAGAGGACTCGGGGAGTGGCAGTGGCGTTCGTTGGAGGTTTGCTGGCACAGCTGATCAGGGTGATCAAGGTGATGTTCTCGTGTGTGTTTCGATCGAGTCTGGCGTTGGTGATTGATGGACTGGCTGATTGATAGACTCTGTCATAGACTGTGGTTTTGGGAGGCTCGAGCGTGGTGACCCCAACGAGAGTTCGACAAACACCAGGTCCATCACGAGGTGTTTGTCTGCATGTGTCGGGCTGTATGCAAGCTAGCAGGTATGCTTTGGTCTTGGTCGGGCTGGTGGGGCAGAAGACGTTGGAGAAGCGTGGGCGGGATGGGACCAAGGCAAGGAGGTGCTGGATTGAATTGGTGTTGATGGACGACGACAGGACGACCAGGCGGAAAAGGGAGGGCAGAGCACGGGCAGTCCCCAGCAGGGAAACGCGCTAGGCGAGCTAGACGGCGAGTACCCAGCTGCCCCCTTGCACCTTCCCTGCCGTTCCGTGCCACACCCTTGCCCCAGATGTGGCAGGGCCCCTGCAGGCGCGCCCTGTCACTGGCGACTGCCCGCAAAGTGCCTGCATCGACCATGCTCGGCCATGCTTCTGGACCTGGGAAGGAGGGTGACATGGAGCATGCAATGCAACTCTCCCCCTTTGCCCGCTGCCGCCAGGGGTTTGTCGGGTGGGTTAGACCATCTATCCATCTTCTACGGAGTAATAGATACGATCATCAGTCCTGTCTGACAGTCTGACAGTCCAGTATTCCACCCAGTCTTCCAGTATTCTACTATTTGTTGTTACGCCCCCCACGTTCTGCCACACAAGGTGACAAGGTCTCAGCCAGTCCTGCTAGTCTGCCAGCAATTATTGATTCTCATTGACACACCAAGAGTGTGCAGTGCGAAACAGTGCCTCTTCAGCTACACAGTAGCAACACGACCTTGGAACCTGGGGTCTTGCCGAGAGAGACACACACACCCACACGCACGAGGCAGGGGACGAACCAGACTGCCAGAAGGGCAAGAGCCACTCACACCTACAGTACAACTGCCACCGCGCGCTCTCTTTCCCTTGTCTGTTCTTGCCCACATATCTGAGACATCTCTGGCAATTTCAAAGACAACCTCGATCCTCTCTGGCTGTCTGGTTTCCCTCAACTCGGTCCACTACTGTCTAGACTAGTGCATGGTTGCAGCTCCCCAGCTCCCAGCTCCCAGCTGTGCTTCCTTCCTTCCTGCTCACCTCACCGCCCCCATCACCAACCCGCACGACAGGAGCTTGGGTTCGTTCGTTCGTTCGTTCGTTCGTTCATTCGTTTGTTGGACCGTCTGGTCGCGCTTGCGTCCCGCCATCCGATCTCACCCAACCTATCTAACCCGTCCTGGCTGGTCCTGGCCCTGTCACAACTTAGCACACCCGCCACAGCTCGCCGTCACATTCAGCTCGTCTCTCGCAAATCTCAATCGTCACTGGCCTCAACTCGCCAATCTCGTTTTGCTGTGTACTCGCACCAACCCGCCACACCTGTGCATACAATGCCAGCCTGACCAGCTGACCAGGCGGCTCACCATCTCACCATCTCACAATCGGGGTCCACTGAACCAAATCTGCCTCCGATACAACAATAAAACAGTGACGAGATCCACTTTTCGGCACCGGCACCCGGGTCTGGAGATACTCCCCGCCCCCGTCCAGCTTTCCCTCCAGCCACACGGACTGTATCCACCCGGTCGGCTCTTATCACAATCCCGCTGCTCTGCTACTACTACTGCTGCTGCTACACACATCTTCGTAACCAACACCATCTACCAATTGCTGCCTCACGAGTCACGGACCCAGCAGGGCGTGGCGTGGCTGGCCAGGGCACAGCGCGCGCAGATACAGCCCAAGGCAGCCATTTCAACAGGGGCCAGGAGCAAGGGCCCAGCGCAGCGCCCAGGGGACCTCAAATAAACCCACACGAGGGTTCTCTCTTGGTGGTGCTGTGCTGTCAGGCTGTGTCGTATTCCACATCCCACGTCCCTCGCCGTCCCGCAAATAACGCCGCCTCCCGGACAGGCATGATCCCGTCCCCTGGTGCGTGTGTCTCATTCTCTCCTGACCTGCCTGCAATGTACGTACGGCGTAGTAGGACTAGCACTGACTGACTCTTCTGGTCACATTTCAGCTGCCTTGATCTTGCCTGCTGGCTGCTTGTGAGACCCAAGGCCCTTCCAACGATTCCTGTTGGTCGCTTGGTCACTCCTGGCGTGGCGTCCCTGATTCCCCGTCTGCTGTGCCGTCATCATGGAGCCTCCCGCGGCTCAAACTCCGCGTCGAGACCGCCGGCGGCCTTCGTTCCACTCTCCAAACAGCTCTCGCACCGTCTCGCGCTCAAGTACTCGCCCCCCGTCTGCGCGCATGCCTTCCCACAACATGAGCGATTCCGCCTCCAACATCACCCCCTCGCCTGGCCAGAGATACGCCCAGCCCGTTGGTTCTCGTTTCCCACAGCGTAGAGGCTCCATGGGCTCCAACGTGGATCGGCCTCCTACCCCGGTGTCCAAGGGCTCTATCAGGGGCTCACAGTCGAGCACCCACCAGGAGCCTGCATCCGCCCTGCTGCAAGAGAAACTGCAGCACCAGCGGAGATCAGAAATCCAACGCAACCTGAACAGGCTGGCCGATGAGATGGGCACAGCCGACAATGCACAGCCGGCCGCGTCAACCCCGGTGCGGTGTGCCACCGCCGACGGCAAACGGCCGGCATCCAGCGAAGCAAGTGACGATGTCGGGAAGAATAGGGGCCCCGCCCTCAAGGAAATGGAAAAGGTACTAGTTGAGATCGCTCTCTTGCACCGTCATGAACTGCATTTTCCCCTTGGCCGCTTGCTAGCATCGGCCGTTGATCATCCATCTCTTCCCTGCCGCCAATGCTCTTGCCTTCCTGTCCAACGCTTTTATTTGATCCCAGTTGCAGAGTTACGGGTTGAGAGCTGTCTGTCAGAGTTGCTGACAAGACTGTACACAGGCAATGTCAAACCTGCATAAGATCAACTTTGATCTCAAGCTCGAGTTGTTCCATCGCCGGGAGCGGCAGGCCGTCTTGGACAAACAGGTCGAGGTACTGGAGGCAGAGAAGTCACGACTTCAGGACAGCAACGACGGACTGATGCTTGAGATTGAAAAGCGGGACAAGGCGGTCGAAGAAGCTGTTCACATGATAGTCGGCTTCGAAGCTCGCATAGAACTTCTGTTGCGCGAAAGGGAGATGCTGAAGCAGCTCGAGGCCGACAAGGCCCTCTTCTCTAAGCTGACGGCGGCGCAGTCCATCTCCGGACTCGACGGCGCTGGCACGACGAACACACTAGATGCTGTGTCAACTGATCACCGAAAAGGCCTCGCACGGATGCCCAGTTTCCTCTCAGAGCGCACCGATAACACCGAAAACCTCCGCAACGTCTATCTGGGAGCACAAGGGAGCCTTCTCAGCTTGTCCAAGACAGACCCGAGGGCGGATCATGTTGGGACCGGCAGCCCAAATATGAGCGTCTTGAGTGAGAGCTCATTCCGTAGTATTTACGGAACGCAGCCTGCACCACGCGACCACTCCCCTCCCCAGGCTGAGGTCGAGTCTCAGCTTGATGATCCCGCCGGCAGAGGTGTCGGCCGGAGTCTGTCTATGTCGATGCACGATGTTACCCCCACCAGGCCAAGCGCGAAGGAAGCCATCGAGAAGGGAGAGACCACCTCGCCATTGCGGAGGCTCGAGAGGCTCGACTCCTCGCCTGTCATACAGGAGAGCTCGGAGACAACGCCTCTGGGCAGGGACATTGACCGGCCGGCTACGTCCATCAAGCTAGCCAAACCACAACCCCTCCTTCGCGTCAGAAAACCCAGGGAGAAGCCAGCGCCGACTCGCAGGGTCATTACGGATATACCTGCAACTCGTGTGCACGCATTGCCTCCGACCCCCGACACCATGTCAAGCTCGATGAACCAGAGTCTTTGCTCTGACGACACCACGAGGCACGGCCGAGATGATCGGGAAGCGACCTACCCCGTGACGTCCCGAGCAACCCTGGATCAGACGGATGAGATCGAGCCAGGGCACTGGCGATTCAAGGGTGGCGGTGCTGCTCAGCCGCCATCGGTTACAGCATTCACGGGCCGGAAAGACTACTTGTCCACCAACTATCCCGACATATCGCTGGGCCTCCCGAGGCGCCCCCGATCGGCCGACGAAACCACGATATCTCGTCATAAGCTTGACTGGGATTCGGGAAGTGAGTTCGATGATGCCGCTTCGGAGGTTTCCAGCTTCGATCATTTCATGCGAGAAGGTCTTCGACCTAGCCATGCCGGCCAACCTCACATGCTGAATAGAGCGGCAGCATCCCACAGATACGCCAGTGGAGGCGCGCCCGATCTATTCGGATTCCCGTCTGACTCCAAAGGCTGGCAGTCGAACCATATGTTCGGGGCTCTGAATGGGAATGGCTATTACGGCACAGCAGCTCCGCTTGCGTCGGCGTTGGACAACATGGGGGCCTCTTTGCCGGCACCAGAGATTGGAACCTATGGTTCAGGACTTGCCGGAGCAAGCTCTCCTCGACCAACTGGCAACGGGGTTGCGCCGCCCCCGGCACCTAATCGGAAGTCTAGCCTACGAGCCCGAACATCAGCACCTGGAACTCCGATGACCACGCGCCCGCCAAGACCCTTTGGACGACATGGCGAGACTGATTCGAGCAGGAAGAGCTCGTTGACTGGCCACACACAGACGGCTTCTAATTCCCGCAGCATCACGCCGACCCCGCCGGATCGGCCCCCAGCGCAGTCTCAAGAAGATGCTTCGGCCACGAAGCGCCACTACCCGCCGACCGCAAGCCAACAGCAGCAGGCCGCGTCCCGCCCTCGCAGCAGAGGCATCACCAGTCTATTCCGACGTTCTCTTGGTTCCAGCCATCCCCAGCCCTCGGCATCGGTGCCCAACAACCAGTCACCCTTCCCTCCCCCGGCAAAGGCCGAGCCCCCGCCAGCACCTGTCGGGGTCCCGGCTTGGGAGTGGAGAAATGAGCGGGGAGACGAAGAGATGTCAGCCACTCCTCCGCCAATCATGCGCAAGCGGGCACCTGTACATGACGTGGGCTTCGGGGACAATACCGAAGCACAAGGTGCCACTGGGCCAGCAAGGGCCGCAAAGCCTCATCCTCTCCGGTCCTCGAGCCCAGGCCTGGGCGCTGGCCTGAGCAACGTCTTGGCCACACATGACGGCGGTGCTCCTTTGACTTCGAATAGTGGGCACGACCAGGAAGGCGCTCCCACTTCGGCGTCCACCTCGGGCCATGGCAGCGGACATGGTCACGGACACGGGCATGGCCACGGGAGGAAGTGGTTCGGACTGCGGGCCACAAGCTCCAAGCACAGTGGGACATAGTGGTCCCGTGCGGAGGCAGCCCTTGATTTCTCGTACCAAAATTACCCGCATTATGATCTCTAGGTTCGGTGAAACATTGTTCTGTGTTTTTACATTGGGCTGGAGTAATGACACGACCTATAGAACAGGCCGGATTACCTGGACCTCAGCAGTGCTTTGGGGCCAGTAGGGTTGATTTCCTTTGTTAGCGAATCACACACCAAACAGTGGGCTGAGTAGTTGGAGTACCCTGGAACAGCATATCATCTGGTGTAGAACGAAAAGTTCCGGGTTTGGTTGACTGCATGTGTTCGGAAATTGCAACATCGTTTGGGTTGTGGGATGTAGTGACTAGGCTCAGGACATAACTTGGGTATCATAAGAAGACATGTCCACCACCAGAGCATTCAAGTTGGCGAGTGGATCAAAAGTCGTTTACGCCCATCATACAATGGTGTGATTCGATCTATCCCTTCCGGCATTTTACGTCACCTTGGGAGTGGTGAAACTGGTGTCAACGATAGGTAATCAGCGTCATGTGCTAGAGTTGTGTGAATCGTTGGCTAAATGAGTGTACCTAGGCGTAGATGTTAACTAACACCATACACCGACAAATGTCTATCCAGAACTTGAACGACAGGAAAACGAGTGTATCTCTATCGGTCCACCCATAACTCCTGATGAAATCGCTGCTGACCAGAGCTATGTGCGATCGAACCCTCACTCGCCAAGCACGCCCAACGCCGTGAACACCTCGTCTGCCGTCCGTCTCTGCCCACCGCCCGCCGCCCGCCCGTTCCCATCTACCGCCTTCCACCATCGCATCGTGAACCAGCACGAAAGGCAAAAAAAGGAAACAAAACCCCCGACTCATGGAGAACCTGTGAGGCAGGTATCTGTTCACCCTGCCCGCCCTTGCCTTCTCATCAAACTAGCTACCAACCAACCAACCCGCTAAGCAGAAAACCCCACAGCTCGCCTCCTAACCGCCACCCGCCGCCTACTTATCACCCTGGCCACACAGGACACATTCGCAATCATCGAAGTCGTCGGGCGTGTCCGGCCCTTGCGCCCCCTTCTCGAGGGGCGAGTCGCCGGGCGGGTACGACATGATCACTTTAGTTCCTTCATCATCGTAGACTTGGGTGACGTTGACGTTGCCGCTGCGCCTGTCCCTGCACTTGCTGTCGATTGAAGCGCTTGGCGGGTGCTGGTGATGCTCCTGCGTCCTCGCTCACGGGCTGGTGACCTCGGTGGTGGTGTCTGGGATGTTGTTGAGGGTGTCGGGGACGACATCGGTGTTGTCTGGGGTGATTTCGGTGGTGTCTGGGAGGATATCGGGCGGCGGGATGAGTTCCACCAGCGGGTCGAGGTTGATCTCCTTTTGTTCGGGCTCGGACTTTGGCTTGTCCTCAGGCTTGGGCTTGTCCTCAGGCTTGGGCTTGTCCTCAGGCTTGGGCTTGTCCTCGGGCTTGGGCTTCTCCTCAGGCTTGGGCTTGTCCTCAGGCTTTGGCTTCGGCTCGGGCTTGGGCTTCGGCTTGGGTTTGCCGCCACCGCCCCTGCCCCGGCCGCCACCGCCGCCGCCTCCTCGACCGCCCCTGGGGCTGCGCTTGATGATCGATGCCCCTGCCCCCGGTGGTGGTGGCGGGGTCGCACCCTCGGTGTCCTCGATGAGGCTCTGGATCTCGTCGGTCGGGAGGACGTCCACCAGCGACTCGACGTCGACGTCAGGCTTCGGCTTGCTGCTCGGCTTGCTGCTCGGCTTGCCGCGGCTGCCGCCGCCGCTCCGTCCGCCACCACCACCGCCTCCTCGGCCGCCGCCGCCGCCGCCTCGGGGGCTGCGCTTGACGGTCTGGTTGTTGGCGGGTAGGACGTCGTCGGCTGGTCCTGGTGATGCTTCTGCTTCCTCGCCCATGGCGGGCTGGGTGTCTGGGTCTGGGAAGGTCTCCACTGGCAGGTTGATATTCTCCAGCAGCGGCTTGAGGTCGACGTTCTCCAGCAGCGGCCCGGGGTCAACGTTGTCTGGTTCGGGCATTGCCTTCGGCTTGGGCTTGGGCTTGCCGCCGCCCCTGCCTCGGCCACCGCCCCGGCCGCCGCCACCCCGGCCGCCGCCTCTGGGGCTACGCTTGACGGGTGCTGAGGATGCTTCTGTGTCCTCGCTCGCGGGCTCGTCGTCGGAGGAAAATAGCGAGAGGATGTCCGACACCGGGTCGAGGTCGACGTCCTCCGTCCCGGGCTTCGGCTTCGGCCTGACCCCGCCGCCGCCGCCACGGCCGCCGCCGCCGCGCCCGCCGCCGCCCCTGGGGCTGCGCTTGACGGCTTGTGCCGGGGTGGCTTCTGCGTCCTCGCTCACGGGCTGGTCGTCGGTGGATATGATGTCCAGCAACGGTTCGAGGTCGACGTCCTTTTGCTCAGGCTTCGGCTTCGGCTTCGGCTTGCTGCCTCCGCCGCCGCGGCCCCGGCCGCCTCCACCCCGGCCGCCTCCTCCTCCTCTTGGGCTGCGCTTCGCTGGCGCTTCCTCTGCTTCCTCTGGGACCTCTGCGTCCTCTGAGTAGATTACCTCGTTGACGCCGTTCAGGATGCTGTCCGAGATCACGTTCGACGTGGTGTGCGTGAGGATGTCCTTGCCCAGGGAGCTGCCGTCTCCATTCTGCTGCTGCTGTTGCTGCTGCTGCTGCTGCTGCTGCTGCTGTTGCTGCTGCTGTTGTTGCTGCCCTCCCGCGGGTTTGCCGGATGGACTGCCCTTGGGCGGTGACTGGGGCTTCTTGGGGCCCCTGGCGACGATCTCGGTCATGTCTGGGGCCTTCCAGTTGTCTATAGATGGCTTCTTGGGATCGTTTGCGATGGGCATGTTACCAGCATCAGCAGGGTTTAGGGCCCCATCATAGTCGATCACTGCGAGTGCTGGATCTTGATCGGTCATTATTGGGGCGCCGTGGACCATGGTGAAGGCTACCAAAAAGGCGCCGAAGGTGGACTGCAGTTGCATTGTGATGGGAATTCAACTTGAAGTCTGTGAGTGAACAGGGACAAGCTTGTTGTATTGCGTGGGTAAAAGAATGATATTAGGGTCCCGAATTACAGGAGACTACCACCAGGGCAGGTCAAAACAAGTAAATGAATGTAGATATGGAATGGATTGTGAAGAGAAAGGAAGGGGTAACACTACCAGAGTGAACCCTAGGAAAAAGAAAAGAAGGCGGGGTTGAACGATGGTGGTGATGGTGGGAAAGGAAGATCATTCCAAGACCGAGGATCGCCTCTATTATATAGCTATTGACCAAAACCAATTCTTCCATTAAAAATCAACGGAATGAAAGCTGCAACAGGCGGCGATGGTATCCCGAGGTCAGCAGTCGTCCCAGAAGGCCGATGAGGCCGGTGCGGCCAGCTCCAACGGGAGGTCCTGGACCACGGCCGTTTCACTTGGACGCGATTCAAGACTTTGGCATTTCCTTCAAATGGATCAGTTTTGAACAGGAACGAAACATCAGCCACAAAATGCTGCCGAATGCGGTCGCTTACATGTTCCCTCGCCTCGGCATATCGAGTAATAAATGGGGCCACTTGCTTACCCTGGCCTAGATTCCGGTACAGGCAGTAAGCGTGAATGGGCTGATAGCTTACGGTTGCCACTGACATATCATATTATGGATTTGTAGGAAGTCCTTGACGACCCAAAAGTCAGGTAAATTCCCTTGGCAGTGGCCATAAAGACCTACTGCCTGCCGCTTTACATTCCTACCAAGGATTCCGTACGTTTGGTCCACAGTGCCATTTACGCATGATGAACTCGAACAGCCGCACTTCGAATCAGGTACAGTCCCATCCGGCAATTGGGATTGTTCCCAACTGGCGATGATATCTAGGTATCTCTTCAAAACTCCCGCATATGCTATTTTCGGTGGTGATGGCGGAAGCCCGCATGCTACAGGCGCCAGCCCGACCCGCGGTCCACCTCCGGCCATCCACACACCTGATTGGTGTACTGCTCTCCAGGGCTTTTGAGGCCCGGGGGATCATGGGAGGACAAGGTCGCCAGCCCGTCGCCCGTCAAGGCCATGTTTGCCATGTTTGCCATGTGCCGAGTGTGCCGACTGCCAATGGTGGCCAACGGAATTTCGTCCTTTGGTCTGTTATGCGACGTTGCATCCTCAGGTCACCCCTGGGACTTTTATTCGCCTCTAGATATGCGGCTGCTACGGAGCACCAAGGACGAGAGTGTTGCTTTGGCTTTATGGTACAGTGTGGCACGGACCCAGAGTACTTATGTACCAGTTGACCTCACGGCATGTTCGCGAGGCATTGCAAATTTAATTTAGTATCAAGTTGCCAGCGAGCGCTGTGTGTCTATTAAAGTTTACAAGGCAAGGATGGTAGCAACGGATTGATCTGGTATATTTAGATGAAAGAAGCTGAGACTTCAATAAGATTAGTCAGACCTCTCAAAAAGTTGCAAACGTTCTTAGTCACTTCAGCACTGGCCATCAATGCATCTCCTTTGCGACCCGGACCCTCGGATTCAATGGCACGCTGAATTTGATGATAAAACTGTTAGTAATGCATTTTGCTGAGACTGAATTGAGGAACTTCGTCGGGCCGAGTTGCACGCTTTTATGGTCCCAGAGGTCGGCCGCTCCTCGAGCCTTGGCAGCCAACTGCGAGGCCACACTGGGCAGATTGTTCCCTGGGAATGCCAAGTCTCGTACACAATTCCCCCAGGCTCTTCCAGATAGCTCAAACGAACCACAACAGCTCGAAGTCTCTGATGTTGCTGCGTCTTGGGGGTACTCAATGCGCATGTGTGGTTCGAGCAAACAGTCTCAAACCCCAGGCCCAGGCTAACACCTCGTGGAAAAAGAGCTCATACTGGACCAACCTAAGGCCCAGATACATACCACAAGGCAGTTATAGAACGACTTGGTTGAAAAAATACGGGACAACTGTTACTTTAGAACATGAGGTTCAAGGGAACACGACCTTCCATATAGTTTTAAACTGTTTGTTTTGAGGCTCTTTGTTCTGAGAAAATCATACAAGACGACCAATCGAACAGGCCAGGTACTTAATGCTATCATTTTCCATAAGACGTGTCGCAAACATTCCAGAATAGTCTGGCTTCTTTACTTGGGTGAATTTGAGACCATGATTACCCTTCACCAATGCGTCCACCGTCCAAGCCTTTTCCAGATATTGCTAGACAGGGTGACCAGTATTCTGATATGAGGACAACTTACTGGCTAAGTTTTTAAACATTGTTATTTGAGCGTTTACCACTTCATGAAGGCGCCATGTGTGTCTTTGGACGTTTACGGAATAGAAGCGAAACCAGTTACTGACTATGCTTTCGAAATCTGCTTGACCTGCCATGAGACACTGTCTTATAAGATGCCCTCTTACGAGGTACGTTTCTAGAAGAGCCCCCAAGAACACTTGAAAAATGTTCTATGGAGGAACCACAGAAGGCAATTAAATAGGTAGATAGTTATTCGGCCACAGGGATTCTTCTATCACTGATTGAAATTGTTAAATGGTGATGGTGAAGTAATAGTACATGTGATCACCAATCAATCACCCGGCATGCGAATGTCTGTCAGGACAAGCACATAGCAGACGTTCAAAGTGCACTGACTCGCACCGAGCTGATAGGTCATTCGAAGCCCCGGTCACAGGCAACAAGCTACTAAGGCCCCGCAATGATCTTGCCCAACAACATGAAAAGTACGGCTGTGTTACTATGCTCATGTATGTGATCTGTTACGAAATTTGCGCCCCACACTTGGATGAACCCACTGCCTTGTAAAATTCCGTCTTATTGGAGGTACAGCTATCCAGCTTGTGGTAGGATAAGGATCCCTGCTCAGTTCTGGGCCCATGGAACTCAGAGTACGGTACATCCATCCCCTTTTGCCTGCGGCTGAGAAATGGTTCCTGATGTCTCTGCATGCTCGGCCAACGTGCGATTGGTAAGATTCGGCAATTCCCCCTGCATAGGACCCAGCCCTCCTGGATCGGCGAGAGCGTCTCACTACACCTCCACAGGGGTAATAAACGTTGTTTGGTGACCTCCCCACCGGAAGTCGCTTTTGTTAGAAAGTTCGCCGAAGCGTGACCTGGTGGGTCCAGCCAACCAATAGCAAAAGATACAAGCTCAAACAACGTTTATTACCCCTGTGGAGGTGTACAATCATTGATCTTGGGTCAAAGCCGACCTAAGCACTTTCTTCTGCAATCTCTGCCTAGGTAGACCGACACGCCTTGCGACCGTTCTGAAAGCATCCCGCCACAGTCTAAGCATTTAATAGCCAGTCGAAGCTTTTCCCCGGGCCAGACTCCGCCAACATCCAGAATCGAAGTAGAGGCCACCTACGACATGCTCGATCGGAAACATCAGATCCAAAGTCGGCCGAGTTCGAGCCTCGGAGTGTGGAATCGATTCAGATCACTGTCAGGATGGAGGAAGAGCGCTATCGTCAACACAGTTCTGGTCTCGGCCGTCTTCTTGGTTTTGCTTATTTGCCATATTGTTCTTTGGGCCACATCAGGCCATGTGGCAGGATACCAGATCATATATTCTGAGAGATGCGCCGACAATGCTATTGGCCGTCTGAACACACTATTTCACTTGATGATCAACGTGCTGTCATCACTTGTCCTCGCATCCACCAACTTCTTCATGCAAGTTCTCAATGCGCCGAGCAGAGAAGAGCTTGACAACGCTCACGAAAAGGGGTCTTGGCTCGATGTTGGCATTCCCTCACCTCGAAACGTCTTCAGAGTCTCGCGCTTCAAAAGGATTATGTGGATCCTCTTCTTCCTGTCGTCGGTTCCAATACATTTACTCTTCAACTCGGCCATTTTTGCCACAGACCATCGCGAATCCACATTCAGCTACTTCGTATTTGATGAGTCTGTGCTTAATGGGGGAGCGGCTTACGATCCCGGTACTAGGCTTGCGATACCTTACGATTACAAGATCTTACAAGATCACGCCTATTTGTGGAGTAACGATTCACGGGAAAATTCAACGGAATTGTATGGTGCAAGGGAAATGTATTTCAACTCTGACCATGAAATCAGAAGTTTGATTATCCGAGACACAGTGGAATCGATCCGCAACGGCAGCTGGCACCGCCTCGACAAGCATAAATGCAGGTCGATCTACAGCACAACCCAGTGCGATGGGCTTCGAACTTACTCCAATGTCGCATTGGTCCTGAGTGGCTCTTCTGGGTGGAACCGCTCGGTGGTCTGGGACTTGCCTGCGAGTGAGTCTTCCTACTGGGACGCATACATGCCAAACAACGTCAACAATTCACTATGGTCTGCCGATATCTATTTATCGAACTCGTCGCATGAGCCTTGTCAAATACAGATGTATGGTGACGGGGAGACTGGGACTCAAAAGTTCTGTAACAACAACTGCAACAGGAAAATGGGATTACATGATGCGAATACTGACTTGTGGATCTATTCTCTCTTTCCCACCCCTTCCTTCGATTCTGATGACACTTGGTATGACTTGTCCCCTGATCTCCTGCTCAATTCAACATCACCTGAGCCAGCATTTGAGAACGCCCAACTGAGCGTTGAGTACTGTCTCGCAGAGCCAATCGAAACCATCTGTCAAATTGGATTGGCTTCGACTCTACTATGGGTCGTGTCCTTCTGGTAATCCCTCCACCTGATGCCCATTGCATAGGAATTTGTCTCGTCTAAAAATGATATACGATCGCTAATGGTAATTACCAACAGTGTTCTACTCAAGGCTGTCCTTTGCATTGTTGTTATCGTCAAATTGGAGAAGCACACTTCTCTGGTGACTCCTGGAGACGTGATAGAATCTTTTATCAGCCATCCCCCAGAGTATTCGTTAGGCTCATGCCTTCTCGATAGCAGATCCCTAGTTTCAGACCGGAAATCAAATGGGCATTCGCTGCTCCATGGACCGGTACAATGGACTTCTAAGAGGCACAGAAGATGGCATGCCATTCCTAAACACGTTTGGTGGACATCTTACTTGATCTTCGCAACTGGAGTTGTTCTCTTGATCACTTTTTTCGTCATGTCCTTCTTGGCAACACACTGGTAGGCGGAGCCATTCTTCCCCATTGTTGGTGTGAAGCTTATCAGCGGTCTATAGGCAAGGATCTTTCAGTCAAAATGTCGCGAACAAGACGATAGGCTTTCCGTTCTCGCCCACGTTTGAGCAGGCAATCCTGATTGCCAACTCGCCACAACTATTCTTGTCTTTCGCGTACCTGGCTTTGAACGGGCTCTTCACGAGATTTCACATGGCTAAGGAATGGGCTGCTATGAGCACTCGATACAAAGCGCTGAGAGTGACAAATCCCAAGGGCCAGCAGATCTCGACATACTTCCTTCAGCTTCCGTACCGTTACAGTGTACCCCTTCTCATTATCAGCATCTTGCTCCACTGGGTGTTATCAGGCTGCATATACCTTCTCGTCATGCAGGGTGGCTACTTTGGCTACGACACCAATGGACCTTTTGACTCGTTCATGGCTCTCGGGTTCTCTACCAAGTCGCTTTTTACGATGCTCACTCTGTCCATCGTGTTGTCAATCACCCTACCATTCTTTGGCCGTATGTCTTTGCCGCCTAACACCGTCGTAGTGGGAAGTAACTCGCTTGCTATTGCTGCAGCTTGTCAGGTGTCGCCACTCACTGTCGAAAGTGCCGCGAAGGCCTATTTTGGGAAGACGGGCGTGGAGTACAACTCTGCCCACCAAGAAAATGAGATCGAACTACGACATTTGATGGCGCCAAGTCCCAGCCTGCTGACAGGGGGAGATCAAGCTTCAGCGACCTGGAACGACGAGGAGGACCGAAAAACCATTCTGTTTCGGGTCTCACAGAGCAAGATTAGGTGGGGCGTGGTGAAGATGCCACCGTCTTGGGCGGAGCAGTTCAATAGGCGGGATACAGAAGTCGAGCACATCAGTTTCGGTGTGCCTGAAGACGACGTGCAGGAGCCTGTACCGGGTCACTGGTATGCCTGAGCAACACGGCTGTAACTTCCGGTAATGAACGTCTGCCAGTCACGATAATATAAAGTCACCAAACAGACCTACCAGGCACGAAAAGGCTTATACCGCCTCGAATCTTGAAACTTCTGACGCACGAGAGTCTTGTTTCCTTCCAAAGGGCCGGATTCATTAATCGGAAACATGTCAGTGAGACCCGACGGAGCAGTACGATGCTGGGTGAACAAAGAACGGCGGAAGCGCAGGTTCTAGACCTGCGGGCCGCTGCATCGGACCGGATTTAAGTTATGAGTCGAGGAGCCAGGGTATGAGAGTGACTATGGCGACATCGTGGCTGGCATACGGCTGAGTCCGGGTATCACATTGCAGCGCACTTATTTTTGGGTGGTCTGGATCGACCCACATAAGCTCACCTGAGGAAAGCCTTGTTCACTCGTCATCAGGGCTAAGCTTATCTCAGTCTATCTATGCACCCGAAAGTCCGGTTTTCCTGATTGCAATTGTAACCACGTGCTCGTTTCTGCGGGTCGTTTGCTGCTCGACTCGGCCGCAGAGGGGAAGTGAGAAGATGCTCATCATAAATATAGGCACGAGCTGATGAAAGGGATCGTGAGCTGGGGCGCATGAGACGAACGATGGAGATCGAAACGGAAACAGACAAATCACAGCACGGCGATAAAGTGGCTTCCATGCTTGGCTTCCTTGTAAGGAGACTTGAATGACTTGTACGAACCACACGGCCGAGTCATGTCCACCCCAGCCCTGCGCCGAACACACCGGTTCCGACGGTGACTCGCCGCCCTATGGCGCGGTTACAACGGCAAGGCTGCGATAAACTCCCAGGAGGGATCGGCAGAAGAGGTTATATAGATCAGCAAGGTGTCCCATTCTTCAACGCAAATCTTGAATCTTACTATCAGCATCATCCTGTCTCTTCAGCAAACACTCACTTCTCATTCCTTTTCAGCCGTCCTTTCACTCCTCGCCGGCGAGACTCTTCACTTGAGTCCAGACACTCTTTTCGGAAATTCCAGTCATTATCGACATCCAAACCACATCCAAAATGCAGTTCAGCACCGTCACCTCGGCCTTTGGCCTTCTCATGGCCGCCGGCCTCTCCTCCGTCATGGCCCAGAGCGACGGCGGCGACTCCTCGTCCAGCATCCAGTTGCCCGACCCTTCCGTCACCAAGCAGATCCGCTTCCGGTCGGTGGCATCCGAGTACGGCGCGACCGTTGACTTCATCACCAACGCCACATGGCACGATGGAGACAACCTGCCCACCTTCGTGCTCGACAAGGTCGTCTACAACTACAACAACCTGGGCGGCCGCTTCGTCACCGGCTCCGGCCCTTTCATCGGCACCACCTCGCTGTGGATCGGCTTCAACCAGGACACCCCCGGCTCCGTCTCGGGCGAGTCTACCTCGCTCGTCTTCCCCCGCTGGACATACCTCGCCAGCCCCGACGCCAAGAGCTTCACCGTCCGCAACTACCGCCAGGGTGCCGGCGACATCTTCGACTGCGGCGACCTGTGCACATACGATGACATTCCCGGCCTCGAGTCCATCGACAGCGACAGGCCCAGGGTCCGCCGTGAGTTCACTGCTTAGGTTCTTTTCGGGGCCGCAAGTGAGCGTTTGGGGGAGCGGATGGCATCTGAGGGACGCGCACTGCTTACGAAGATGGCTGAGTTGATGGCGTTTGGCTTTACCTACGTTTCTTGATGTATATTGATGAGCAAAGCTATGTCTGGCTCCTGCGTCTGTCAAAGTGCAGGGAGCCTGACTATGTACAAATTGTAAATAACAATTATTAAACCATGACACTACCCCTGATCCCTTGATCCCCTGCTTGTTGAGGCTCGCTGGAGGTACAATATATACCAGCAGATCAAACCGTGGTTGAATACCTATGTGCCCTTCAACGACAGCACCAAAGCGCCGTGTTCGTCAGGTGACAGTCCACAAGCAATGGGCAGATAAAGCTTCGTTGTCGTTATCAAAGGTGTTGTAAAGTCCATGCTCATTGCTTTGTTGTGCGTGTTGGAAAATCCAGGAAATGTGGTTCAGCCACGTTGACTCTGTTTCTCAATGTCGCAAATAATGTAGCCTTTCCCCGACCATAGGTGCTCCAGTCAGTCTATTTGCACCAGTGTAAACTTGGCTAGGTCTAGATATGTAGGAGTGGATAAGCTCACGGCGGCCTAAATCCTATTGCCGTGCTGCTTCACAGTTGCTCAAAGAGGCGTCCAGGCGGCTCACATGTCAATATATCAACGAGTGGTGGATTTCTCTCTGACACCTGATCGCCGATTTGTTTGATTAGGTACCTGAGTATCCAGAATTTATCACCAATTCTCTGACCTTGAGACATGGCTCTGTGTTGTACGGTAGATTCGTGGCAGTTCTAAAGCAGAAAGAGACGTGCTCAAGTGCATACCACACTACCCTAGGGTATTACGGGTTATGAGCTGTTGGGTCTGGTTGATCAAATTGATGCACCCGTTTTGGAAGATACCATGCTTCTAAACTATCAGATGACGCGTCGCTGTTATCAATCATGAGAGATAGCATCCAGGAAACACAAAAGGTACGGCTCCGTGTTGCCATGGCAGCCCACAGCTGGTGGTAGCCTAGGGTAACTTGAACTGCCATGACGTTCACATGATCCTTTCGAAGGATGCATCTCCAAAGAAAAAAAAACAAAACAACCTTGGGAGTGAGCGCAAAAGGCTTCTAACTTCCAACAAACAACATTTCGGGAATCAACATTTCCAACGTCTTGCTTCCTTCCCCGTCAACAAACCTCCTTGCACATCCACAGCAATCACTGGCATGGCTGATCCTTTTAGCATTGCGACCTCGCTTGCAAAGACGGCGCGAATCTGCTACCGTTTCGTCAGGCAAATGGAGGGTTGTCCGGACGAGGTCAAGCGCCTGAACTCTGAGGTAGCGAACTGGCATCCGCAACTTGAGGTGAGTTAGGATTTCAATATTGCCGCGTGAAATGGTCAAGACGATGTCGCCCTTTCTGACAGAGACAAAAGGGTCTTGCAGAGCTCATGAAAGGCGACAGCCCATCCGCGATGCGTTTGAGAGACAAACTTGAAGATGGAGGTTTGCTTGATGTCAAGAACCTTGTTGACGAATTGAACAAAACCTTGGAGCCATACGAACGGGATCTCAGCATGCGGAGGAAGGTCCAGTGGGTCAGCCGTACAAAGAACAAAGTAAAAGAACTCTTGAGCGAACTTCGGCGATACATGGAACACGTCATGAACATCGTGCAGATGGAAATGCAGTGAGTCAAATTGGTTCCTTCCCAGTAGCTTTGAGCCTCGCTGATAATCCATAGCATCATCGCTGGAGTCCTCTTGGGAAAGGTCGGCGACATGCAAACTTCTTCTCTTGGTAAGTCTATCCTATCACACATACGACTCCGTTCTAACATGCGCAATAAGACGAGTACACAAGACGAAACATTTTGGAGTGGCTCAGACCTCGAGGCATTGAGGCCGACGAATTCCACCGCCAAAAACGAGCCTTGAGACAGAATGGCACCTGCGACTGGCTTGCTGAGTCGCCCTCTTGGATTGATTGGTGCAAGGGTGGCTCGGCCGTGCATTCTCGATTCCTCTGGATCCGCGGACTCGCCGGTGCTGGCAAGACTGTTCTGGCTTCCTTCGCCATTGACGAAGTCTTGTCCAAGTACAGACACAAGGGTGTTTCTTACTACTACTGCTCACATGAGCGCCAAAAGGAGGGCTACACCTCGGCAGAGGAGGCCTGCTCATTCCTTCGATGGGTCATCAGGGATCTGACAAGTCAAGTCACCCGTCCCACGGCCGGAACTACAGGTCGCCAAGCGAAAATCCCCAAAATACTCCACGATCTGTACGACAAGCACGATTTCGATAATGGAGCCTTGCTGAGTTGCCTGCTAGCTGTGACAGAGCACATCGCACAGGACTTCAAGCAACAGGTATACATCATCGTTGACGCAGTTGACGAGTGCCCGTCGCCCCGAGAGGAGTTTCTGCGCGTCATGACTACCATCGGCACCGATCAGGCTTGGAAACATGTGTCACTCTGCTTCACGAGCCGGAATGAACATGACATCGACAAAGCCGTCCAACCTCGGAAAATCCTCATACCACGGAGCCCTAGAACTATTCGCAGAAGGCCCCAGTCACAAAATCCATCAAGGAGCTTGCAGGGACAAGTCAATGCCGCTACTGGTGGGTTCGATGGGGCGATGTCGCCTCCTGGTCTATCCCCTGCACGAGGTGAAAGTTCGCGAGGTCGGTCTCCTTCTCTACAAATCTGGCAATTTCCAAATTCGAACCACAGAACGACGAGATCAATGGACAACCTACCGCAAGCAGACGATACGTCGTTCAGCCACAATAACAGGGAACAAGCAACCTCTCCCAGTCAAGCCGAGGTGACTCGCGGCTTGGATCTAATGGATATAGATCCTCCAGAAAAGAAGGAAGGCTGCACTATCCTTTCCATGGACGAAAACCCAGACGTGATGAGGGCCATCCGTACCTTTGTACAAAGCCAGCTGGAGGGTGACGTGTCGTTCGACCGTGAAGGTGTAGATGAGGTTGTTACCCTGATTGCTCAAAGAGCAAGAGGCATGTAAGTGGATGAATCGTAACTCCATGAACCTTATAGAACATACTGACGGACTGATAGGTTCAGATGGGCCGCATGCCAAGTCGACATGATCACTCGCTCAAAACTATGCGACATTGACTCGATCTCCCGAATGCTCGACACGATCCCAACTGACATCTTTGGCACTTACGAGCACATGATCATGAAGCTCTTGCCCAACGATCGAGGTGAGAACGAACACAACCGAAACTTTGCGCGCACTGCATTGGCTCTTATCTGCAGTGAGACTTCCGAAGTCCCATGCGCGAACGTGCTTGTTGAGGCATCTCGTTACCATGTGCCGAGTGGTAGTGCTCATAAGTTCCATCTCAATCAACTCCAGAGCATACTCGGGTGTCTCATCAAGGTAACACGTCTGAAGAAGACCCCTGAGTCTATGTACAGCCGCAATATACAAGAAGACGTTGGAGCCACTTCGCAAGTTTTGGTGGCTCATTATACAGTCAAGGAGTACCTCTTTGACGGGAAGACCGCTCTGGGACCAGCGAAAGACTTCGCGTTGTCCGTTGAGGCTATCCAGAGCCTGGAGTTACTAGTCATATTCAACGGTTTGCAGCAATTCGGTAAACAGCGGCCTGCTGACGCAAGATTGCCCACTCGCTACGAAGAGTACTGCCTCAGGATGACCGATAAGGCACTCAGAACCCGCAGAGGCCCCATCCTTCGAGACAAAACAGTTTGGAAAACTGTGACCGAGTGTTTGAAGTGGAACAATGACCACCACTCACCGAGATCCGGGGCGTTTCCAAACATGAAGATTCGGACAGCACTCTCCAGCTGGGCGAAAACTTCACCATTTGAGCAAAACAAGGAGCCGCAGCATGAAGAAACAAGCGTGCTTGTGAGCCTATTGCTGCTCCAGTGGCCGGAACTCGCTACGGTGTACCTTGCAGACCTTGCAGAGGCGAGAAAGAAGGACATCTGGAGGGACAAATTCCAACTGGCCAGGAGCTTCAAGATCGAGGGAACTAGCCCGATCAGCTTGATCCAGATGTGCGTGACCCGCCGGGACATTGCCTTCCTACAAGTACTTTTCGATGCCAGGGCCGACTTCTCGCGTGAGAAAGACCTGGTTATGGACCTCTTCTACAACGCCTACGGCCATCGGAGCCTGAACGACGAGGACGCAGGCGAAAAGACCGGCCGCATGCTCAAGATGCTGCTCGAGCGCGGCGTGCGGCCCGAGGCACCCGGCTACCTTTTCACGCCGCTGCAGTTCGCCGTCAGCAACCTCGAGGAGCGCTGGGTTGATGATCTCCTCAGCGAGGGTGCAGACCCCAGTGCCATCGGCGACCCCGATGGGGTTCATCCCTTCGGTGCTGAACACGATGACATCCACGGCCACTTGACGCCGTTGGAGATCTGCAGCCAAACGACGCCCGAGTGGCTCCAGTCAGATTTGGATGCTGAGCTGATAGAGGACGTCAGACAGCGAGTAGCCGAGTCGCTGCGTCGGTGGGGAGCTGTGGATTCCGGAAGTGCCCCTCCCCTTCTGGAAGACTCGAAGAGCATCGTCATTGTTGACGACGATGAGTAGCTCGGCCATCAGAGGTTCGTTGCGACTCTTTTCGCCCAGCTTGAGGATTTTTTGGAACTTGGTTTGTTGAGCCAAAGAAGCGAGAATCGGAACAAGGCGTCGCATACTGAGGCACGTGTCATGCATGTAACTACCTAGGTAGCCAGCTTCCGAGCATTGATATTTATTATCTAGCCTACATACCTAGGTATGTATTAGCAGCGTGTCTGCCTATGGCGTGAGGAACCTGTAATTTGAACCCGATGTCAACCTAGCTGACCGCCATCGTTCAAGTTCAGTACGCGGCGGCGCTCAAATTCTGGTGGATTGATCACTGGTTGACTAGAGTTCACGGTGAAATGACGGCTCTCCTAAGTGTTCACGCCACCTACGCCCCCTGAACATGAGGACCACCACCCCTGAGTACAATGACAGGCCGCACATGGCCACGACAGCCCACGCAGTGCCAAAGGTCGTCTTCTCCGCGAATGGTATCATATAGAACCCCAGAGTGAACGAGAAGACTTGACGGCCGAAGTTGAGCAGGGTGGAAATCTCAGCTGATTGCGGTTTGTAACACTGTAGAGGCGGCTTCGTTAGCGTCACTTGAAACTTCCATGGCACCACAGGCGAGTCTTACATCCGTGATGTACGCGTAAATATTCGTCGTAACTATCTGCAGGCCGACTGCCGCAGTCGCAATGCCCATGACAGGACCCATATAGTGCGTCTTGAACTGGAAACATACACCCTCGATTATAACGCCGATAGGAATGAGTATGGCTCCAGGAATTGTCGCGTACAGCCGGCTTTCGGGATTAATATCGCCATTGTGGGACTTCGCGTGCAGGTAGACAAGTCGGTCTGATACAGGGCCTGCTGATATCTCGCCGATTAGGGTGCCAATGAAGGTCGATAGGCCGATGGCCAAGCCGATGCCGACAGTGTCCTATGCCAGACCTGTGTTAGCAAATCCTTCCCGTGTTTCCCTCGTTCGATCCTGTGGAATCCTTCACTGCAGGAGAGAAACGTACAAAATGGTAGATGCTCCCGAATGCCGCTGCACCGGTCACCGCAAACAGTACACTGCCCAGCCCGAAGTGGATGGCGTAGTATAGTGCTGGCAATAGCACACTCGGATATCGCAACATGAAGAAGACATGCGCGAAGTCCCAGAGCTTCAGCTTTTTCCTGGCTGCGCCATTGTGAGTCCTGAATATGAAGAGGTCCAGCCATCTGACAGGGCTCTGCAGAGACTCGCCGGTGGAAGTGTTTCGATGATATAAAGTCTCCGGGAGGGCAAAGAGCAACAGAACCCAGGCTGACCCAAGGATTATGGCAGGGATCCAGAAGCACCACCTCCAGCCGAGATACTTGGCGATCGGCCCGCCGATCATGCCAGCGACATGTGCGCCGTTCGTGATGAAGACGGTGTAAACCCCCATGAACCTCCCACGCTCGTGCATGAAAAACATGTCAGCCACACAAGCTGCGCCGATTCCCATCCCGGCTGATGTTCCAACCCCGACAAAGAACCGAGCTACCAGGACGCCGGACCAGGTCTGCGCCGCAGCCGATGCCGCATGGCTGGCTACGCCGACGGCAGTGACAACGAGGAAGACGGGGCGGCGGCCGTAGATGTTGGCTATTGGCGCGAGGAAGAGGGGCGCGACGCCGGCGCCGAGAATGGCGATGTTTGTGCAGTATGAAGCTGTAGTCACGGAGATGTGGAACGATTTGGAGACAGGGACGAAGGCGCTATTTATCACTGCCTGCGTGAACGGCCCGAGGAAGGCGAGGAAGGAGACTTGGAAGAGCACCCAGAGCTTGAGTTTGGAAGGCCAGTTGAGAGGATCCTTAGGATCGTCTGAGTGAACTTTGGTCAGGATGTCCTTCGATCCCAATGGAAATACTGGTGTGCATACCTGATGGTTGAGGCCTCAGCGGGAGGCCATGAGTGTCAAGTTTCGAGGCGCCGATCTCCCCAGAGGCTTTGGGGACTTGGTCTTCGAGGTGCGAGACATGTTGCTTGGCCGAAGTATGGCCTTCCTCTACATCTTCTTTGTCCATATCGCAAGGCAACAACGTGAAATGAATGCAAGGTCAAGAAACTTGAGGTCGGCAAGAAAAGGCTGGGCAAAGGCTTGATTCTGTGCAGATCATTACGACCTGATAAACTGACCGAGCCGATGCTACCTGCCGATGATGCATCTATGTGATGATTTAACGGGCGGATTCAAAGTGCGGAGTAGCTAATAGCCTGTCGACGTAGTCATAGACTAAGCAGTCAAGGATGGCGATACCCCATATTGATCGGCACTATACCGTTGCATATGAACGCCACAAAGCTCGCGGGAGCCGCGAGGCTCTGAGTGGTGGGACTGAGTTCCGGTGTGGCGGTCCAGATATTAGAGAAGATATCCCCAACTGTGCCCTAAATCTCTGCGGATGAAGCACCAGGGTCACAAAAATGAGAGAGCCTACCAACCTGTTTAGTACAGTCAAAGAAGAATTACTGCCACGCATCCACTTGAGGGATTTTCAGGCATCTAACCTGACAAGCTTAGATCCATCTTCGCTCATCAACTTTCATTTACTTACTCAGGTTTCTTGAAAGAATCGTCGGCTAGTGAACCATCTTGGAGTGGCACAGCAAGCTTCACTTCGGCCGGCTACATAGAGTTTCCGGTATAAGCACAATCTCAACGGGAACATAAACACACTGATAATCACTGCACCAAGAAGACTGGTTGAGGCTATTATGAGTAAATTTACATACCCTTGACACATCCCAACTGCACGTTTTAGTTTCGAGTACCTTCTCTCACGGCGCCGCTGTGGTGACTACCAAGCCGCTAGCTAACCACCAACTACTGTGATCTGATTGGCTTGAGACCAGGTAAACCAAGTTTAATTTCCTATTAAGTAGGCAATAGAAACCCTCTTGCATTCCTTTTCCCATTTCATTCCCCCCCTCCCTTGTCCTCCTTCATTCCACTACCGTCGCCGTTCGACTTGACTCTCGTCTATTGTGGCTGGCCTTGGCCCAATCGATGCGGCACTGACCGTGGCCACCAGACCACCACGACGCTTTCCTGGGGACATGGGACGCATCAATCAGTCGCGTTTTGCGCTGGAGGACCTCGCAAACCACGACGGAAGTCATGATTATGCCTACTCGTGGGGCTACACTATCTTCCGCACCGTCTACGGGCCCGACACTGATGAGGACTTCGCAAGGGCCGTTCAGCGCCTTGCCGTTTACGCGAAAAGGTTCACGCAGAATAACCCCCACGACAACCGCCCCGACCAGAAGCTTTGGAGCCGTTACTACAGCGAGGTTGTGCAGGACGAGGAGAGGCTCTCTGGGGCGACTGAGAGCGAGGTTGGTGACATGTTTGATGTTTGGATCAGGGACCATCGCCGTGCCGCCACAACCGCCAATGCGTCTCTAAGACCCAATGACAGGTTTCTTTTCTGCTTGATGCTGGACGAGGAGAGCATGGAAAATATCCTCGAGCTTCCTGAGGACCCCCGCCGCCGTAACTTTGACTATGGTGCGTCTTGGGTCAAGGTCATCAGCGACACGGTGAACACCACAGAGGAGGGCGTCAGCGAAAGATGGTGGTTGCGGGTCGGCGTAACGGACCACCTGTGGCCCCTGTGGTTTTACCCCTTTAACCCGGACATCATGGTTGAGGAGCTAGGGTGGGAGGATGAAGAGGACGGAGTCAGGAATATATGGGGCGATTATATGCTCTGGATGCGGGAGATCGATGCGCAGTACGAAGGATGATGATGTATTTTTGGTACATATCTTGTCCGCTGGAAGTCCACCCCTGGCTATTGTCCACCTGCCCGTCCTATCCCTAAGACCTACCTAAGTATATTAGGATGAGGTCATCCTGCGAGAGGTTATTCTAGAGGATCTTATCTTTTAAGACGTTATCCCCTTAAAAGTTCATCCTATAGGACTTATACCCTCCGTGTTTACGGGTGCGAATTTCTGATCTCTGGCCTGATTGTTTGAAGAAGTCCATGGCCCACGAGAAGGACGATGACTGGTTACGAGGTGTCTATGACGCTTTCTGGAACTAATCACTCTCGTGTAAAAGTATCCGGCGCGGCAAAGGCCTAGGGTAAAGCAGAAAGGCCACCGGTATCGGCCAGGTACAAACTCAGCAAGCAAGTCAACCTCCTTCTACTAAGTAGAAAACATAGGCAAGTCGCAACAGGGTTGGTATCATGGAGCCTTAGTGAGCTTTGGCCATACTGTAGTTTTCTTCTGACCTGTCCATCCGTCCGTCCGTCCGTCTGTCTGCTGTCCATTTAGCTATTAGAATCTCCCCCCTAGAGCCTATATACCAACTCTTTGAGTGAGCATGAAATTCGTTCGGAAGACCCCGACCCAAGTTTCAGCCAACCTAGCTAATCCTAGGGGTAGTCAAAATCGTTAATTCTTATGACACTAAAATCCTTCTTCTCGGGTACCTTGCGTTCCCACGGATCACGATAGATATGCCTCACAGCCATAGCGTCCCAATCGTCGAACCGCAGCCTACTTGACCGCTCACATATTAAAGGTAAAGGGCAGGAAGTCTGTGCGCCACCGCCGCCGCTGCCATCGCTGCTATCTTTTTCAGCTTTGAAAAGGCCTAGAAGCGCTTCCATCTGGTGGTCAAGTAACTTCCAAACCCGGACCGTCTCGTCCCATGAGTTTGAGTGAAGGTAGACGGCCTTGCATTCCGTGTCGGATTCCCCACGGTCAAAAAGGACAACACCTCCAAATATTTTATCCTAATCAGTTGGATGTTAGTGAATTGAGTGGCATCCAGAAAAGGGTCGGACTTATGGCATTAAAAGAAAAGCCTCGTGGACGATGCTATGCGAAGGAATGGGAGCCATATGTGGACACATACCTCAGCCCAATAAGCAGCCATGTCACCTAGTCCTGCTGGATAGTTCTCATAATCCAAATACCGAGAATGAAAGAATAGAGTTGGCTGTGGAGAAGGAGGTGGCAGGGCTTCCCCTGGAGGAACATCATATCTGTTAACGATAATAGGATCCATACGCCAGAGTGTCACACGGCGTAGCTCTTCCTCGTTATGGGACTTGTTTCTGTCTTCAAATAGTTCGATTGCAATTTCGTGGATGGCGACTACCGTAGTCTCAACAAGACGTAGGTTGAAGTTGTGGCTTCCGGGGTCAGTTGCCTGGAATTGCTCGAGCACCTAACGATGGTTAGCGCGGCGGCTGCCATATGCAATTACAGCAACTGGCGAGATTGTACTCTGAGTCGGATGACGCTCTCGCCGGTAAGAATAAGGTTGACATACTGACTGCTCGATTCTCAGCTTAGACACATCCAGAGCTCCTACCCAAGCCCTGGCCCTATCAAGGGCCCCCTCACACAGCTCCCGGTGTTCTTGGAGAGGATGACCTATACCGATTGTGTGGCCACGACCTTCTTTGGCGATATGACGAAGCGGAAGTCCGTCAATGAGCTGTGCCATAGTAATTTCGGCTCGAGACGTGGATAAAATATTAGTAATGGCCAGGATTGCCGCGCTGCCGTGCTGTACATCAAGAATGTCCCCGATCGAGGCCTTGGGACCCTGTTCGCGGGGCTTAGGAAACGAAGGCATCGTATTGGGGTTGATCGGTGAAGTTGCGTAGTGGGCTATCAATGAAAGACAGTTGTCGGGACATTTGTTGAGATATTCTTGAAGACCGAGGAGAGGAGATTGTTGTGCAAACTACTAGCCAGGCAGAAAATAGAACCAACAGTCCATGTTGGCTTTCTGAAGTGGGGGTGGACGAAAACATGTCCTTGGCCCCCGGCCTGCGCATCTTCCGCACCGGACATCCTCAACGCGAGTGTCTAAGGTCCCCAAACCCCATATGCCTCCCCATTCCGCCACCGTCATCTTGGCTGTGAATTACATGCTTGATGCTCCTGTCTGGAAACAATCCTTGGCAATCAGTCAAATCAACAGTGCAGCGTAGGAGACCACTCTACCCTACAAAAGCACATATCCATACCCAAAAGTTATTACTAGTAGTCCTTAAGACCCCGAAAAGCCTGTCTTTCAGTTCCCTAAGTTCTTTACAATTCTACGATAGACAGGATACCTCCACATAGTTGCCATGGTAAAACCACCACCTACCTAGGTAGCAACTAACAGGTAAAACCCCGGTAGAGGAAGGAGCTGAACCCTTGCGTAGTTTGGGGAACCCACCCAGGAACACATAGGGCGGCGCAGCACGGCAACTGCGCCACGGCACTCCGTAGAAGGTTTAGAAACGAAATTACCCCAAATCCCTCTCTCCAAAATGAGGCTCCTAGAGTGTAAGCGCTAAGCAAAAAGTCGCACGGCAATGACATCCTTTAGGAGGGGTAGTCAGCTGAGGTGGGTTCATTGGCCGTTTTGCTGGAGCCGAGACACTAAATACGATATTTCGAATAGGCAGCTAGGTATCAATTGGCTAGTTCTATACGAGAGTAGCACTAAGACGTATGCGCCATTTATCCCTCTGTGATGAAGAAACTGTGCGAACGGCCGAAAAGGCCCATCTAGAAGGACTCGACTGGCATATATATGCCTGGTCAATGGAACCATTCCACTGACTAGAAATTGACTCATTCTTTGACAGCGAGGCATCCGGTCAAGAGATCAATTAACCATCACCATGGGGCGATTTGCGGATACGCTCAGCTTTTCTGGCCTTTTTGCAACGTTGGCATTCAAAGCCGTTTGTGGCCAGGAGTCGGGGATGGTCTATGGATTTGACAGCGTGAGTTTTGAATTTTAACAAACCGCTGCCTCCAAGACTTCTAGGTTTCAAGCTTTCTAACTACCCAGCCAGATTGAGCCATCAGCTAATCTCACGTGGACACAATGTTTCGATGGTCTCGCATGCTCCAAGTTGGAGGTTCCTTTGGATTATTCTAACAGGAGTCTGGGCACAACATCAATCGCTTATATTAAGCTGGCAGGCAAGAATGCTACCGTCGAGTCCCCAAGTATTGTCGTACTTCCCGGTAAGATCTTGATCAAATCATTTGAGAAAAGAGGGCTTTGACTCGATATAAATGGACTAACATATGCAGGTGGTCCGGGTGGCTCCGGCATCGACCTTCTCCTGTCCTACCGGTCTCTTGCTGGGCAAATCTTCGGGGAGCAATATAATTTCATCTCCTATGACCCTCGTGGGGTGAACAACAGCGGTTTGACGCTCGACTGTTTTTCAGGCAACGCCGAAGCAAGATTAGCCTTCAATCGACTATACAGTACAGGAACCACCAATGTTTCCTCAACGACGTTTCATGAGCAGTACTATTCTGGGTCTATCTATGGAGAGTGGTGCAACAATGCCGTCGAACGCGATGCATCTCATGCATACTATGTGACCACGCCGGCGAACGCTCACGATTTGCTCACCTTCGTCGAGGCTCTGGCTGAGTCAAACGGCCAGTCGCCATCAGATGCAAAGCTATGGGCCTACGGTGTCAGTTACGGCACTGTCACTGGCACCACCTTTGCTTCCATGTTCCCCGACCGCATCGGGAGAATGATACTCGACGGCGTTGTCAACGCCGACCAGTATTATGACAACGACTGGAGGGACGCATCTGATCAGATGGACGAGGCCATGGAGAAGTTTTCGAGCCTCTGCCACTCTGCAGGCCCCGAGGCGTGCTCCTTCTGGGGGCCTACGCCCGAGAACATCACCACCAGGCTGGACGACATCATCCTGCAGCTCCGAAACCATCCGGTCCCTCTGAGCGGAGTCCAGAATCAGAGTCTGCCACAGCTAGTCACCTATTCAGACCTAAAGGCCCTGTTCATCAACACCGTCTACAACCCACCCGCGGACTTCCCGGTCATGGCCGACATCCTCCGCCAGGTAGAAGACGGAGACGTGTCTGCCCTCGCGGGGATGTTCCACGTTTTGGACGTTAAAGCGGACGCCCGTTACATCATCCAATGCGTTGACTCATATCGGAGGAACAAGGTCGCTACAATTGAGGAGTTCAAGGACTTTGCCGAGTACACGGCTTCCCGCAGCAAATACCTCGGCGATATTTATCCCAACCTCATTGGGGGTGTCGTTTGCTCTTCCTTCCGACCGGAATTGCCTGATAGCATGGTTTTTCAAGGTAAGCAGCCCTCATTCAGTGACCTCCGACCTTCTTCTCCATTGTTTGTCAAAATTCTGACCAGATTTTCGTATATTCAGGGCCAGTGGGGTCGAACAAGACCACGTCCTTTCCAATCTTGTTCGCGAGCAACACCATCGATCCAATAACGCCCCTCGTATCGTACGTTTCGACCAATACGGCACTATATCTAGCGCTGAGGCAATGAACTAATGATTCCTTTAGGGCGCGCAAGATGTCTGCTCAGTTTCCAGGGTCAGCCATACTACTACAAGAAGGCATCGGTGTAAGTCTTACCATCGCGCATCCGCCATTTTCACATATGAGAACCCAGACTAACTCGCTGAATAATCTTTTCAATTGTAGCACACGGTCATGTCGCTCGGGGCGTCACCATGTTACTTTGGCTATATCCAGGCATATTTTCAAGGCATTCTCCCACCTTCCAATGTCACTTGCCCACAGCAATACGTCCCCTTCGGAGGAGGTGCTGTTTAGGAGCATAGGTTACCACTACTTCCTATGATACACTCTAGGAGTGTGGATTGACTTAGAAAGCGAAGTATCACTCTGCCTGTTTAGCTTACGGCATATTTGACTGGCCCTAAGTCGAGTGTAAAGTCGAAAACCCAATCAAATCAAAGGGTTCACCGCACAATAGTAGTGCATAGTCTGATTTTCCGGTGATGTATATGTTATTATAGTTTGCGTTATTAATTGTGAGTCTAAATTGTCTCTGTATAGTATCATGCTATTTGAGTCTGGTTAGCCTTCAGTACCTAGGCAGGAAAGTATCGGGCTGGGATGGAGTAGGTTGGGTGTTGTCTTTGCTTGATCAAGCACTGGACCATGGATGTACCCCGCAATGATCGACATTGTATTGTGATAGCTCTGCCTAGGGTAGGCAGGGTACGCTACGTCAGTACGTGTGGCTCGTAGAATCCGCGAGGTTGCAAATGGTGGGGGCCGGGTTCCGGGGTGGCGTTCGAGACGTGGGAGGGCTGTCCTTCTCCATCTCAGCGGATGAATCATGACGAGAGATGCCTTGAGTAGCTTTGCACGCTGGCTGATCCGGCAAGACGTTATACCGTGTACATCATCTCCTTGAACTACCTGTTTCACGACTCTAGGAGCCACCAGCTCTTCAATAACAATATGGCACCGCTTCCAATCACGTTCGCATCGGGCTTGTATGACCGTATGATCCCGCTCGCCACGGGCGAGGTGCGTCCGATTGGTATCGACCTCAATTTCCTAGAGTTAGACCATCCTCGGGATGTCTTTGATCGCATGGTTTCAACCAAAGACTTCGACTGTTCCGAGCTGTCAGCATCGTAAGCGCATGTCTCATCTTCTTCGGGTATGAAGGACTGTAGTTCGGTTTATTTCCCCAGGTAGCTAACTCGAACCAGGGAATACATCACCATGTACGCCGCAGGAAAAAGGGACTTCATCGCCATCCCGGTCTTCCCTTCGCGGGCCTTTCGTCATAGCTTCATCGCCGTGAATGGTGATCGGATCAAGTCGCCCAGCGACCTGAATGGAAAGCGCATTGGCGTCCAGCACTACACCATGACCGCTGCGGTGTGGCAGAGGGGCTTGCTACAGCATGAGTACGGCGTAGACCTCAGTACCATAGAATGGGTAGAAGGCAAGATGGAAGGGCCAGGGTCGCACGGCAAGCCGTCTAGCCTTCCAGCCCTGAAGCCGGTCAGGATCACACAAAACAGCAATCCTGAGAAATCGCTAAGCGACCTCCTCCGCGACGGCGAGATAGACGCGACCATCGGGGCCGATCCGCCAGAGTGCCTGGGCAGGTCGCCGCACATCAGGCGGCTGTTTCCGGACTTCAAGCAGGTTGAGAAGGACTACTTCAAGCGCACCGGGATATTCCCAATCATGCACCTTGTCGCCATCAGGCGGGAGCTGTATGAGAAGGACAGGTGGATGGCGACGAACTTGTTTGAGGCGCTGGACGACAGCAAGGAACTGGCGAGGAAGAGGATGCTGACGACGAGCGCCCTGAGGTATATGCTTCCGTGGCTGCCCGAGGCAATCGATGATATCCGGGAGACCTTTGGCGAGGACTGCTGGCCCTACGGGCTGGAGGCGAACAGAAAGACCCTCGAGGCTCTGGTCACGTATCTGGAGGAACAGTCAATGATTGACCGGAAGATACCCATTGAAGAGCTGTTTGCGCCTGTAAGGCCTGCCAACTTTAGGACCAGATAGGCGGCATGAAGAAAGCGCATCGATTCGCCCGGTGGTGGTCACTGTACGCCCGGTCGCGCGATAACTGTCCGCCATATCCTTTCGTATATTGATGAGGTGGCAGCTCTGTTATATAACACCTCGACCTGATTTCCTGAAGCATACAAGTTTGCTCAAAAACGCTATGCAATTCATAGAAAGCAATCCAATTCGACACTTGATGTAGGGTCGCGAAACCATTCCAGCTCCTCCCAAGGTCGGTAAAAGCACAATGCGGTATCGCCATATTAGATTGATTACTCGCGGCTCTCCAGTGATCAGTCCGAGTGCTGCATGGCACATCCGCCCCAATTACTCCCCATCTGCGCTTTCTGGCTCGCCGCTTATATCTTCCATGTCTTCATCACAACCAGGCCATAGCAGTTCCCTCCGCATGACGGCTCTGATGTTTTTGACTGCAACGTAAATCCACAGCAGAAACAGCGCCACTGTCGCCACCATGACGACAACCTTGACGCTGCCAAGGTCCATCGCATCCGCGAGCTGGAGCAGCGCAATGAACAGCCCAACGTTTGGAAATATGAAACCCCACCAGTTGAGCGTAAATCGAGCGTCCTTGATCGAGATGAGAACCGCGACGGTACTGAGCGAGCTGAACCAGAACGCAACAAGCCACATGAAAACGCCGACGGCTACAGCCACGGCCTTGAACACGTCGCCGACGGGGATGGAGTGGATGCCGAGGAAGCCCTCGGGGACGTGCTTGGGCGCCTGCATGCCGAGCGCCACAAAGGTGTTGACGGTGTACGAGGCCGGCCCCACGGCCACGAACATGGCGGGCCGGTTCGACGCATCGGGGAGGTCGGTGTTGATAAGCCGGGTGACGTAGATGGTGAGCATGAAATACGCCACGGTCCAGCCCAGGCCCTGGAACGCGATGCTGCCGATGAACATGGGCAGGCCGGAGGCCGACGGCTGGTTCTTGAGGAGCGCGCTGCCGAGCACGCCCAGCATGAGGAACGGGTAGACCGGCAGGATCCACGACGGGACCGCGTCCGCGACGGGGAGCTTCTCACGGTCGAAGATGATGTGGTACTGGAAGACCGCGACGAGCATGACGACGCCGGCGTAGATCCAGTAGAGCACCTCGATGGTCTTGAGGAGCCAGCTCCCCGTCAGCGGGACGGCGTAGAGGTCGACGCAGTATAAGATCATTGCGATGCTGACAAAGTATGCGCCGAAGAAGAAGCTCTCGTGCGGGTGGTGCAGGCTGCGGAGCAGTCTCCCTTTTGCGGTGGTGAATCGATACGCGATGAGGCCGGAGAAGAGGACGAACAGGGCGAGATTGAGAATGGCCAATGCCCACCCAATAGCCCCCAGACCGACGAAATCGTACGGCTGCTGCCCGATCAGAGTAGCCAGAGCACCGGTAGACATGGTGACCTCAAACCATGCCCAGGTGAAGTGCTGCAGTCGTTCACTCCATGGGAGGCCATCTTTGGCACTGCCGGGCCCATCTGGCTGCCGTTGAAGGAGAGAAGTGTATTCGGACATTTTTACTGGAGGATTTGATGAAGATAAGTGACAGTGAAGCCTCTGACCAAGCTGCCAATACGAAAGTGTTCGAGGTTGAGGTTATTGACGTCAGGGGAGTAGTGGTTAGCCCCACTAGCCCACTTCATACTAGTGGAGAAGAGAAAAGCAGTTGAAATCTGGGACTGGAAGCTGGGACGACCATACCGTTGTTTCAAAGACATACAGTATTCTCCGAAGTATGCCAAGTAGCCACTGCACTTGTGGTAAGGTGGATGATTGGCATTGTTGTGCGGCCGGAATCAATGCAAAATTGCAACGTATTCAATGCAGAGTGTGTATAATATGACGTCGTCTCGCTATGAGAAAGTGATAAAAGGAATGAAGATACCAACCAACCTATGAATAACACCTGTATATTATAATCTCACATTTGGAAGTTAAACGAAGTTACCCTAGGGTATGGACGCCGTCACCGACGCCGCAACAAATGCATGAAAAAAAGAAAAAAAAAAGTCGAGGCCACAATCTCAACGGCGCCACCAACCTTGGAAGCGACCAGTATCTCACCCAGAGCGCCTCACACGTGGATGCAACGCCAGAGGAGGAAGAAACCGCGAAGAAAACCGGTGCAACGATGAGTAAATGCAACAACACATGATTTCGACCATCAACTTAACGCCTAGCGCCCCACATGTCGAAACAACTCCTAACAGATGCTTGACACGGGGAGGTATTCCTCCCAGGAGACACTTATTCCGTGCTCCTGACCGCCCTAATTTTTAGGAGGTCAAAATGACGCTCAATTAAACCTTGGGATGAGCTAGTAAAGCATCGGCCTCTAGCTAGCAGAAACAGGTCGAGGAATGTCGTGCATCATGAGATGAGCAGGAAGGAACAAGAAGACATCAATCCGGCTCCGACAAGGAGGGAGGGCAAATGGCATTGACGAGATCCGGCAAGTCAGGTCCGAGGAGCAAACGACGTTGCTTGAAAATGGCTGTCCACTACACAGTTAGAGCATCTGTATTATCTAGTGGCCTCGGGAAGCACTTCAGCAGAGTTCATGACCGGATCTCTTCCGGGATAGCCCCGCCCTGATTAACCTGTGAGAAGGCCGGAGGACCATAGAGGTTCTTGGTCAATGTTTCTATTGTGGAAGCATATAGTTATTGATTAACAAGATACGAGTCGATTAATCGAAGAGTCAGTATATTGAAATTTCAAAAGTCTGGTCCACGGAAGTATGCGGCTGTACGGAAGTATCGCTGCATGTTCAGGGTTGACCGGTGTGATTATCCTCGGCAAACCGAACCGTCATGACAAGTGGGAGGGTTGATCAATGATGCGTGTGTAGCTGCAAAGAAAAAGGAAACGGAATTACGCCTGTTGTTAGATTTCTTTCTAATTGCTAGATACCGTATTACTCAGTCTTACGATTCTCTCACAAGAGTGGACGTTTATCTTCTTCTTCATGTTTTGTACCTCGCTGTATCCCACGAGCATATCCGCCGATTCGTCAAGAAACCCCCTGGACAAGGTGCAGCCGAGCCGGAAAGTCCCTAGGGCCGGCCCACGAATTCCCACTAGATCCGGTCCTGTTGGCTGCGCCCCACATGCACCTGTTCGCCAGCCCTGGGGTGCTTCAGCGGACCGCCAAGAAGGTCAGGCGGTGACCAGTTGGTTATCCACGCTGCCACGGTGAGTTCGCACTACGAGGATAGTTGAAGTTGGACCGCCTGCCATGTGAATCCTGTTTTACCCGCCGCCGGAGCTTCGAGACCCGCAGCCACATGCTGGCAGCCACTGGCGGTCAGAGTGGAAGAAGGCAAAAGGGAAGGGGGCAGCAGAGTGCGAGCACGCCAAGGTCGACCGAATCGTAAATCCGGGGGAAAAGCGGCTAAACATCCCGCGGTCTGCCGTGGCCGTTGGCTGTGTGTGTGCCCCACCAACAACAGACAATCCCATGCTGTGTGGCGAGTCGGTTGGTCGATTGGTTGGTCGGTTGGTCATTGACTTTCCAGCCCACCGCCGCGAACTCCACCAGGCCAATGCCCTCATTTTGAGTGTTCTCGAGTCTAGTTTCACTCTCGCTCGCCCACGCCACAGCATTTAGAGCTTCTGAATATGGCATGCGAATAGGCTCATCCGGTGCATGTCGAGATAAGGAAAAGCCTAATACCTGACCCCGGCCCCGAGGATCGATCGGCTGCAGCAGCCGTTGAGATGCTCCTGAGCCAGATCGCGGCAAGCACCTGAACCTGCATGCATGACATCGATTTTGCTCGGCAAGAGGGCCACTAGGCCCAAGTGGTGATCCACACCACCACCCTGCCACCCCGGAAAGCTGCCCAGATCCCGGCCAGAATTCTAAATAAGCTCAGTATAATCATTTAGTAATGGACGCTGTTCGTAGCGCATAAAGAGGCAGGCACGACACGCTGCGCAGAAAATAACCACATCAGACATCCCAGCAACAGTACCCAAGGGTCCTTGGCTTTTTCTTCTTTCCCCCCCCCCCCGGTGTATCTTCTCCCGTCGAACAGGAAATTTGAGCCCGTGAGATAAACGTCCACCAGACTTGGGACTCAACACCAACCACCACCCTCCAAGCACCCAGCGAGGAGCAGCCATGGCCGACGAAGACATCGTCAAGACGGACCTCCTGATAGTGGGCGCAGGCCCAGCAGGCGCGGCACTAGCATGCTTCCTGGGCTCGCACGGCCTCAAGGGGATCATGATCGCCGCGGCGCCGGGCAACGCCGACACGCCGCGGGCGCACATCACCAGCATGGCCGGGCTCGAGTGCCTGCGGGACGTCGGGCTGGAGCAGGCGTGCTGGGACGCCAGCACAAAGGGCGACAGCATGGAGCACACGCGGTGGTGCCGCAGCATGGCGGGCGAGGAGTTCGCGCGCATCCACAGCTGGGGCAACGACCCGGCGCGGCACGGCGACTACGCGGCGGCCTCCCCCTGCGCGCACGTCGACCTCCCGCAGACGGAGCTCGAGCCCATCCTGACGCGGCGCGCGACCCACTCCGGCTGGACGGTGCGCTTCAACACGCGCCTGCTGACCTTCTCCCGCCCCGCGCGGGACCAGATCATCTCCGAGGTGCGCGACGACGTGCTGGGGAGGACGTACCGCATCCAGTCGCGCTTCCTGTTCGGGTGCGACGGCGCCCGCAGCCAGGTCGTGCGCGAGCTGGGGATCCCGCTGATCAAGAAGCCCGGGCAGGGCCTGGCGCTCAACATCTTTGTCGAGGCGGACCTGTCGCACCTGATCCCGAACCGCTCGGGGAACCTGCACTGGGTGTTCCAGCCCGAGAGGGACTACCCGCCGTGGGGGTGGGCCGTCATCGCGAGGATGGTCCGCCCGTGGAAGGAGTGGATGTTCATCTGCCTGCCCGTCCCCGGCGCGGACGTCTCGGCCGACCAGTTCAGCCCCACCGAGGAGGAGTGCATCGCGCGGTGCAGGGAGATCATCGGGGACGACTCGGTCGAGGTGCGCATCAAGGACGTGAGCAAGTGGTGGATCAACGAGATCGTGGCCGAGTATTACTCGGACGGGAACGTGTAAGTGCCACAAACGCATCCGGAAGAGAGTTTGACGCCCTGGGCCTAGTGCTGACTTTTTATTTCTCCCCTGCAGCTTCTGCTTCGGCGACGCCACGCACCGCCACCCGCCCTTCAACGGCCTGGGCTCCAACACGTGCATCCAGGACGCCTTCAACCTGGCCTGGAAGATCTCCTACGTCATGAAGGGCAAGGCCGGCCCCGAGCTGCTGGACTCGTTCAGCACGGAGCGGCAGCCCGTGGGCCAGGACGTCATCACGCGGGCGAACCAGGGGCTCCGCGACCACGGCGGCTGGATCAAGGCCACGGGCATGGACCACCCGGACAAGGAGGAGCGCGCCCGGATCCTGGCCGAGTTCGAGGACCCGGGCCCGCAGGGCCGCAGGCGCCGGCGCGAGTTCCAGAAGGGCATCGAGGACACGGCGAGCGAGTTCCACGGGCTCGGCATCGAGATGAACCAAAAGTACTTCTCGGGCGCCGTGTACCAGGACGACGAGCCCGAGGGCGCCGCGCCGCCGCCGCCCGCCGACCCCGTCAAGGAGCTGCAGATCTCCACGTTCCCGGGCCGGCGGCTGCCGCACGCGTGGCTCAACGAGCGCACGCCCAGGGAGAGGTTCTCGACCATCGACCTCGCCGGGCACGGGCGGTTCTGCCTGCTCACCGGGCCCGGCGGCCAGGCGTGGAAGGCCGCCGCCGAGGAGGTCACCAGGGCGCTCGGCGTCGAGATCAAGGCGTACTCTATCGGCTGGAAGCAGGACTATGAGGACGTCTACTTTGACTGGGCGAGGAGGAGGCAGGTCGAGGAGGACGGCTGTGTCCTCGTGCGCCCGGATCGCTTTGTCGCATGGCGGTCCCAGGAGATGATACCCGACGCGGCGGCGAAGCTGGACAAGGTGATGCGCAAGATATTGTCCCTGAAATGAGCTCTACATTGTTATAGATAGAATGTCACTTTTACGTGGATAGATAGAGGCAGCCTAGCGAGATGTCCTTGACCCCAATCAGTGTATTTCCGCACATTTACGGAGACCGCTGCCAGAGGTCTTTCCAGAACTGCTTGAAGCCGTAGTGAGGCGCTCGGGAGTCGTAGACCTTGCTGGACTTGCCCTCCATCACGAAGCGGTCCAGCAGGCTGCCGGGCTGGGGCGCGAGCTGGCCCTGCACAGGCCTGGACGGACCCCGGGCACGCTCCTTGATCTCGTTGGCAACCAGCGGCGCAACATCGGCGAAGCAGGCCTTGAGCTCCCTTTCCAGGGAGAAGTATGGCTTCTTCGCCAGCTCGGGCGCCATCAGGTTGTAGGCCCGTGTGAGCGTGTTCATGTTGCTGATGGCCAGCTCCATGTACGATCGTTCGGTGGCCTCCCAGGCGGGGTCCCGGAAGGGTCTGGTCAGTGTGATCTCTGGCTCAGAAGTCACAGCTGGGGATGGGGAAGGGACCTCGGATGGGGACACTGGCAGCGCCTCTTGCCTCATAGCCACCATGACCACGTCGTCTGTCGTATTTGTAGGCACGGCCACCTGATCCGAGTTCCTTCGACGGGGGTTGTGGACCTCCTCCGCACGGGCATATTCCTCGGCGGCGCGCATCTGCTGCTCTAGGGAGCCGCCGCGGCTCGCAATCGTCCTGGCGGCGTGCCGCTTCCAGTCATTCCGCAGCCGGGCCCTGAAGACGTTCGCGGCCTTGACGAGTTCCTGTTGCTTTTCTATCCACGGCGGCACCATGTCTTGCTTCTTGATCATCTTGTTCATGATGTATTCCGTCGTGTCTATAAAAGGGTTGTCGGCCCTCGCATCGCGCTCTACCCCTTTCCCGCGCGGTATGTGTTTGAACTGGCCCCTTGCAATCGCATCCTCGATTCTCTCGTTCGCCAGAGACTGGAGGCCAGAGATGGTGTTTGGCAACGCCCGCGCCGCCGGGGTGAAGCGGTCGCGCAGCTCCTTCTTCATGGCCTCCCTCTCTTGGTCGCTGAGGCCCTTGTCCTTGTCTTTTGCGGCCATCCCGGCGTACACAGAAGCAGCCTCCTTTGCATTGGCCACCTTCCTGCCGGGAGTTAACACAGGCGGCTTCTTAAGCCGCATGTCCACTGGAATCCCGGGCTGTGGCATGTTTGGCTTCCCCCGCAGCCCGGGCCTCAGAGGCTTGTGTGCATCGTTGAGCATCCGCAGGACGGCGTCGGACTCGGTCTCTGTGCCCGTCCACGGCTGCGCGGTCGCGACGTCGCGGGTGCCCCGGCCTGCTGCCTCAGGTATATTGCTCGTGAGCCCTGCCTCCCGCAGCGAGGTGGCATGCTCTTCGCGGAACTTGGCGTCGGCGACCTTGTCTAGCAGGCGCTGCTTAAGCTCTTCGCTAAACCCGGCGTCCTCGATGGCTCGCCGCCCGGCCCGTCCTCCTGTGAGAAGAGCTTCCTCGGTTGCCTCTTCCAACCGTCGGGCCATGGGCCCTGGTTCTGATTTGCCTGCATCTCGGTTTGAACTCGAATCATTCGACGTAGCTGGGGAGGGGGGCTCGAGATTGGGTGGTTTGGTTCCCTCCGAGTATGCGCGGCATCCGTTGTGGATTATGGCTGGCGGTGTTGGACGGACAGGCCATTGATGAAGGCATTTCAAAATCTGTCCTGGCACGCGACACGAAGTGGCCATGCTGTTATGTGGGTTGAGGAGGCTTCATAGGAGCGAGGCATAGCAGCAACGGTTGCTCCTCGAGGAGCTTGGCGCCGCCGCGACGACGGGTCCTGTCGATGACGGTCTGAAGCTGTAATTGCCACTCGCGGACTTGAGGGCGGAGATAAGATAAGAAACTTTAGCTGAAGTGCGTTGTGCGGAGTACTTGGGTACGTAGGTACTTGGGTACTTAGGTACGTACCGCCACAGCCGAACTGCATACCCTACCCCTGCCTGGTGCTGGGGAGGGAGTCCTGGGAGTGCAGCGCGTAACGCGTCAGGCAAGGAAGGCATCCTTCTCATCTCGTTCACCTCTTCGAATCGATGCTCTAAAATGCGATTGCGGCCCAGCGAATAAACCTCAATTGTGCAGTCGGAGGCTCATGCAGAGAAGCCATCAACCCCAAATCCTAAGACGGCAATCTCCGCTACACAGCCTTCACAAGGCATCTGTCACTGAGGTTCAACGGCTCGTGAACTCGCAAGAGACCCGCAATCACAGCCAGCCACCTGAAGGATCCTGTAGCTTATTGATCCCACCGGCATTCCGGGCGTCCGCAAACGAGGCCGCGTACCTGTCGAGCCTGTCAAAGCCTCTGACCTTGTTATATCCCCGGATCATCCGGGTTTGAGCTTGAAGGGATTCGACTCCTCCTGTCTCGACCACGAGAATCACGATGGGTCCACAGGCACCCGTTCTCGCGTGTCCACGAGCATTGAGGAGGAGGAGATGATGTATCAGTTGACACCACGCGGATCATGCCCGTTCTGGCGGTCCCCTTGGACGGGAGACTCCAGCACTGCCAGCCTGACCCAGGACCCAGGACAGACGGTACCGTACACGCCCGCTGCTGGTGGGGGCTGCGACTTTGTCGGCAACACGCTGCTCTTTTTCAGTCCATGAGGATCCAGTATGAGGGTCTGTGTAACCTTCATGATGCCCCACAAGGACGGGTGTTGATGCAATACTCTTCCGTGGGCCACTCTGCGTCGCCAAAGTAGTGGGCCTGTGAAACACGACAAGAGGACGTCCAGGGCCAAAATCCTTCGTCGTTCTCCAGGGCCTTGGCCCCTCATACTGGCAGACTGGATGACGGGTAGGATCACATGTGGCTGCTTGTCTCGACCATCAGCATCACCCACCGGTATGGAGTGTGTGATTGTAGGGCTGCCTCGTCAGTGGATCCGGACACAACTCACCCCTGATTCCCAGCGTTCCCATCGTTCAAGGTGGGCTCAGCGACTGCCACTCAACTCAAGCCTACTACCTTCAAAACGTGCTGCAATGGCCCTTTGTCGGAGCATCAGGGCCCAGTGCCCTCAATTTACCCGTCTAGCCGGCTTCCAAACTGTGGCACCAGAGACATGTCCATGTCTGTACGGGGCAAGATTTCAATGGAGAGCACCTCCGTGACTCACGCTCGACGCATATCGTAAGTCTCGAGCCGGCGGAATCCCCCGCATTTCGACAGGCCAAATGACTGATCTGGACAAGATGCAAGCGATGTCAGAAGCGAAAGGTGCGACTCCCAAGCAACTACAACTCTGTCCACTGGGATCCATGGATGTAAGGATTCCCGACTAAACAATTTTCCTTTCCAGATAAAATGCACGAGAACACATCCCTGTTCTAATTGCACTGCAGCAAATGTACGGTGCGAATTCCGTGAACATGACTTCAAGCGGCCGCCAGTCTCCCGAGAGTACATAGCCGCCCTCGAGTCACGGATTGCAACTCTCGAAGCCGCTCTCGGAAGACTCAAGGGCGCTTCACCTGAAGAGCGGGATGAGATCTTAGAGGGGGCCACTGTCCAGGATCAAACCCAGCCTTTCTCACCCGGGACAGCAGCCGAACAAGACGTGGATGAGATCACGCTCAGCGATGCTCTGAGGAACGCAACGCTGCATGAAACCGATGAAGGTATTTGGTCGCCCGGGATGGCTTTTCTAGGCTGTAGCAATGCCCTAACGAGAATTTGCGCCCAGGTGCATTTGCGTATCACGGCCCAACCAGCATCTTCAACAGCAACCTCATCGAGCCGCCAAGTCCCATGGCGACATCGGCTGTCTCGTCACCCTTCGCCAACAGCGTGAACGCCTTGCACACCCCGACAATCCGGCTATGCATCGCACTCTTCTTTGGGTGGCAATACGCGCACTTCCCGTTCATCGACCGAGAATACTTCCTGCAGATGTTTGAGGACAGCTCTGCCACTGGCGTTGAATCGGGGTTTGCTCCTCTCGTGTATGCCTGCTGTTCTGTGGGTGCACTGATGTCTCAAGACGTTGAGATACGAGAAGAGGCCGCACCATTTGCGCAGTATTCGGAGGAGCTGTTGACGCTGGACAAACTGAATGCACCAAGCATCACTGTGGTCCAGGCCTTTCTGGTGCTGGCCGCCTATAACTTTGGATCAGGTCGGATGACCAGGGGCTGGGTGCTGTCAGGTATGTATTGATGCGTACTTCAGAGTGAAGTTCCTTCAGGTGCTAACAAGCGAGACTCCAGGGGTCTCATTCCGTATGGGACAGGAGCTGGGCTTCCAGCGCGATCACTCACACTGGGAAATCGCCCGCAAGCCAAGCAACACCCCCTCCGTGAACTTCAATAACGAGCATTGGCGGAAGCTGTATTGGGGCTCGTTTCTCGTTGATAAGTGAGTACGCACACACACACACACACACATGTTAGGCAACTTCTTTGGATTGTGAATCTGACAGCTTTCACCAGAATCCTCAGTCTTTTCATGGGCCGACCAACCTTCATGCACGATACCGACGCAGATGTTGATATCAGCGAGCCTCCACCGTTGGTTTCTTGCTCCTGCTTCTTTTTCTGGCTAGTCTGACGGTGACTCGCAGGGATGATCCTCACATATGGGAAGACTGGCTGCTCTCCCACGATCTCGGCTTCCTTGTAGAAGACAGAACAGCCGCCCCAAACCACACATCGCTGTTGCATCAGCAAGTAGAGCTGGGCCGCATCATCCACGACATTCTGTCCACAACATTTGTACCCAAACGAAACGAGCAGTCCAAGGCCAGGCGGTGGACCAATGTGCTGCTCAATCAGCTCAACGCCAGGCTGCTTGCATGGCACGAGACACTGCCGAGTGATATGAGGTGGAAAAAATGGGTTACGGCAAAAGAGAACCTGTTGCCGGATATTGCCATGCTCCAGTACGAACCCTCCAGATCCCGTTCACATCGCCCCACACTGACACTGCACCGTTGCAAAGCGCGTTGTATCACAATACTCGAATCTGTCTGAACCTGCCTTTTCTCGCCTCGTCCTTGGAAGATGGGCCCCGCCCCTCAGGCGCAACACAAAGCCACGGAGGTCCCAGCAAGCCCCAGGCCGCGCAGGCGCGCTACCTCGTCGAGTCGGCCAATATATGCAGGCTCTCATCCGAGAGCCTGGTCGACATCCTGCACCGGTTCAGGGCGCAGCACACCCTCGCCAACTCGCCGATCATCCTGCTCTACGCCGCCATCGTCGCGGCCAACGCCTGCCTCGTCACGCTGCGGCACCAGCACAGGAGCACGGCTGAGCCGCCACTGCGGATCAGAGACACCTCCCTGCCGGCGCTGGATACCTATCTCCAGGAGCTGAGCGTGTCGTGGGCACTCGCTGGAGAGGCGAGAATAAAGTTCCAGCGGGCGCTGACCGCGCTGTGCCGTCCGGACATGACCGTCCCAGGACAACAGATCTTTGGCAGCGAGCAGCGGTGGGACAGTACCTCGGCACAGCCAACCCCCGCCGCCGCCGCCACCCCCGCCGGGTCAGACACGCATTTCATGGACATGTACACCGTGGATCCAGCCCTCCAGACCTCCGTGGACCAAGGGCTTGTCTCAGGCTGGTACCACGCATCACAGCATCACAGCAACATGCGACCGCAGATCCAGGTGAGTGGCGGCGCGACGGGGACTTGTCCGTCCCCAGACGCCGGCTTCGAGAGTCCCATCCCGTTCGTGTGGGACCCGATGAGCGTGCTGGACGGCGAGGCTGAGCTGTGGGCGGCCACCGGCGGCGGCGGCAGCGCCGTGTTCCCGGCTGAGGTTGGCGTGGGAGGCTTCGATGTGGGTTCTGGTGGTGGGGTCCCGTGGGCGGAGGGGGAGACGCAGACGACGGGGTTGTGATGGCATGGGGCTCATGAGATTGTTGAGCTGGAGAGAGGAGGGGTCCGCTCCTTGCCCACGCGCCTCTCCTTTTTCATGTTTCTAGGTCAGCAAGAGTTGTGAGGCCGGGAGGGGGGGGGCGGGGGCCTGGCGGGTCTTGTGGGAGCCCCCAAGGTACATATTCTTATTATCAGCACGTACATAACTGCATGGTAGGAAGCGGTTTTGTTTCTAGTCTATATACATATTATAGAATGTATGTGGCGCGTTCATACGGTAGTGGACACTCAAGGCCTTTTGAACCATTAGTGCCCTGTGCCCAGGCTCTTGTTGACAGCGACACTCGTACATACAAGAAATGTTCTGAACCCAACGTTCGAATTCCAGGAGACGCCGCGTCGTGTCTAGGGTTTCACGGGCGGCCACATAGGCACAGCGACCCAGCGACTCTGATATTTACAACATGTCATGCTAGTGTCTGTGTCTTCATGGTTGACACCCATTAGCTACTTGTTATGTTCAGGTGAATTATTCTATGTACCTATATGTGCTGCAACTTCAGAACTGCCAACAAGACCACCCCCTCGGGCACGCCTACTTGGCCACCGGCTCCTCGTGCTTGTGGTGGCACCCCGAAGCCTTAGTCTTGGGGCTGTACGCATCCCGCTTGACGACGCGGGCCGCGCGCGGGGGCAGCGAGTCGAACGAGGTGGCGTAGGTCGCGACGGAGTGCGCGATGGCGCGGCTGTTGATCAGGAAGGCCTCGAGGTTGAGGTTGTCGACCGTGTCGCCGGCGCGGTGGTAGTTCTCGTCGAAGGCGACGCCCGCGGTGCCGCCGTACAGCGCGGCCTGGGCCTCGGTCATGAGCTGCTCGGCGCCCGTGAAGAGCCCCCCCGCCGCGACGCCGACGGCCAGGAAGGGCCCGTAGTCGGAGCGGCCGTTGAACTCGGTCGGCTCCGAGGGCAGGCCCTTGCTCGCGAAGTAGGCCTCGAAGAGGGCCTCGGCCTCGGCGGACCCGGGGGGCCCGCTGAGGTTGAAGGCGGACCCGTCGCCGTCGTAGATGGAGAGCTTGTAGTTGGGCGAGGCGATCATGTCGAAGTTGAGGTACAGCCGGATCTTGTCGAGGTCCTCGGGCGCCGACTGGTTCACGTAGTACTCGGACCCCAGCAGGCCGAACTCCTCGGCCGACCACCAGGCGAAGCGGACCGCGTTGGTGACCTCGTACTTGGCGAGCTGGAGGGCCACCTCGAGGATCCCGACGGTGCCGGACCCGTCGTCGTTGATGCCCGGGCCCGCCTCGACGGAGTCTGCGTGTGCTCCGACGAAGATGACATTGTCGGGGTCGCCAGACTTGGTCTGGGCAATTACGTTCATGCTGGTGATGGGCGGGTCAGCGTCACGGTTGGAAAAGGGGTAGGTAATAGTTGTTTCGAAGGACGACTCACGTCACACGGTCCTCGATGATGGAGTTCACGTTGAGGTCACCGATGACCTCGCCCGCAGCGAGAAGCGACACGATGGCCTGGCCCGCGTCCTGGGAGATGGCAGCAACTGGGGGGTAAGGGCCCTCTGGTCGGCTGGGGGCTCCAAGAGTACCGCTGAGCGCGCCCGCGACGTTGTTGTAGATGACTGCTCCGGCAGCACCGGCGGCTCCCGCAAGAGCAGCCTTCAATCCGAACTCGCAACTTCCACGCGAGATCAGAGCGATGGCACCGCTCACCTCAGCTGGGTAGTCGGTCTATCGGATACCAAGTCAGCATTGCTGCCACTATTCAGGTGTAGACACCTTCGTCTGGCTCGATGGGGAAGAGCTTACAGCGTTGCAACCCAGGTTGGATACAGCCACAAGCGCAGCCTCAACCTGTCCATTGGGGGCATAGGTCATGAGGGCCGCACCCTGATCCTCTCCGTTGACCACCAAGGAGGCATCTCCGCCCGAGTATGTCTCGATGAAGGGCTGATACTCGACGTCGTAGTACTCCTCGAGCTGAGAGACGAGCTGGTAGAGATACAGAGCCGTGAAGTTGTGGCCCGGGCTGCCAAACACACGGTTCCGTCCGGTGGTCTGGTAGGCTATGGCCTGGAGGTGCTCTGCACGGTCGAGGAGCGCTTGCGACGTGATGTCGTTCTGCAGTGCATCCTTTGGAGAGGTTAGAGTTTAGATCTATCATTGATCCGATCTGTCAAGATGCAATCCGCCGGCTCAGCTTACCGACGTCACAGGCTTCCTCGTGCCCGATCCGGTGTTACCCTGCAAAGTCGAAGCTGTGCTGATCACTTCAGGCAGCGGGCCCCAGTTCTCGACATCGGGCTGCCAGTCAGCTGGGAACGCGGCCGGCCCACGGCGTTGCAGGTGGGAGAGCACGGGTTCCACGGCATGGACGTGACCTGCAGGAGTCGAGGCCTCGCCAAGAGCCACGAGGGCCGCCAGGGGCGCAACAGCTCTCAGGGACCAAGTCATGTTCGATACGCCTACTTGACTGGAGGGCGGAAGAGGTGATGCAGGAAGAAGAACCTTGATGGGTTCTGCATCGAGTCTACATAAAGCCGACGCGCTTCTTATACGGAAGTCCCGGTATACTAGACTACTTAAGAAGTATAGTCTTGCGCGGCGTGTAGACCGCCCAATTGCCAACCAGCCCCTCATTTCAATAGAGCCCCTAAAGCGAAGAAGAGGCCATCTTGGCAGAGAATATTTTCGCCGGCGACACCTGGACTCTCCGCGCAAAGCTGATAGTCGATTGCGCGATCAGCAGGTACGAGCAAATAGACGAGGCCCAAACAGGCAGGCGACAATCACGCAGAGTTGGATTTTCCAGGATCCATGCGGTGCGGTGCGGTGCGTTGCTATCAATTCAGAGCCGGGCCAAGAGAACCAAGACTCAGCCAAGTGCGGGTCGCGGCCTTGGTAATGTGGAGTGATGTCGACCACCTGATTAGTGTGTTCTAGTGTGGCAACTCACCTTCCATTGCACGTCTAACGCGTGCCTTGCCTCTAAGCTGCCCAGGCACTCCAAATGGAGCGACGCCTTCCAAGGTTGTGATGAGCGTCTCCGTCTGCCTATTCAGAACCAACGATGGTGGCGAGTGCACTACGTAGGGATCGAATTACACGACGCCACACGGAAGCTGAATCCGGGTTTCGTCGGCCCAACTTGCCAAGTTCTTGTACAAAGGCCGGATAGCCGGCTTCATCAGGAAAACATTGAAGACACTTGGAACTCGAGCGGAAAATTGTGGTGGCGCAAACGTGTTTTGTTTACACATGTATGTAGTCACGGTCTCAACGATTGCAAAGTTAATTCACGGATGCTTTTTGTGTGTCAAAAGGATTACAAGGATTAATTGATGGACCGTGTGTAATCTTTGAGTTCCTCCGTTAATAAGCTGGACTCGGAACTTTCAGTGAACCTTGGAAGCTGACCACAGCGCAGTAGGAACTGTTCAATAGACCTCATGAGCCAATTGATAGCTGTAGGCGTGTATCGGGACGGTCTATGGTGATAAGATGATGATTTCCTGTTCTTGGCATTAGTGGTGCAGGTCACCCATAACAACATTGTATGGCTTTGGATCGCTTCGTCACAAATGAAAGGAAATTGGTACAATTCTGAAAATAGGTACGCTAAAGGTAATCTAATTTGCGTGAGATACAAGCTATCCGGATACTTGGTCTAAATTACGTGTTCACAAGGCATAACTCACTTCCTCAAACATAAAGTTTGGGCCCCGAAACTCTATAAATCAAAAAAAGGAGAACCGAGTTCGTGCATTCACATAGTGGGCCAGGGTATAAGAGACGGAGGTCGAGACTCATGATGGAAGTAGATATTTTGGAATTTCCTGGGATCAATAAGAAGACTTTCGGTTAAGGGACTCTAACTAACCGCCTTCACTCGAGAGTTAGCTGTAAGGGCATCTCCGGCCTGTGCAAAACTTGAAGACATCATTACCCACCATTGCGGAAGTCCGACACTCGGTCTCCCGGGTTGCATTGCAGAGTGGTTCGCATATCTCGGGTCCGAGAACTTCAAATTGTATATGCACTGCAGTCAACGACGGGGCAAGAGGCCCAGCGAATGTTCTCCCGACATCTTGAGACAGCCACGGAGGCAGTGATGTGCGCTGCTAGAAGGCAGACTCGTAAAATAATCATTAAGCACGCCAAACGTTATTTAGATGGTCAAATACTCTAGAAACACGATGTGAACCCCCTCGAATCACCGTATTTCTGGGTCTACGACCCTTCTCTTGTAAATTGGAAGCCCGCGCCACTTGGAAGTATTATCTAGCTGAAGTGCCAGCATGCTTACACTACACAAAACATCCCGAGCCAACCAAACATCCCTTTCCAAGATGAAGCTTTCCTTCATGCAGGTGGCATGCCACAGCCGCTCATGTCGTCTGTCGGGATCCGACAGAGGCCGGTGTCGGTGGGTATGCACTCGGGCCCGAAAGACAGAGGCAGGATCACCACAAGAAACTTCGGACCTCGTACATTCATGCTCGACAAAGCTTCCTCCACGCGCGATAAGCATTCTTGCCCTGGAAAACAGATGTCGTGATACCTGAGGCGCAGGTCCCGTGTTGCGGGCCCCGAGGATGATGCAAGCCTCCGGCAGCCACCGTGCCGTGTAGACGCCCGCATTGCGACGCAGCTGACGCGGAAATGCACAAGGCGGATGGGCTTCAGGGAGGAAGCAGGTTCAGCCAGAGGAGCATTGCGTTGTACCGTTGGGTGCCAGCGGGCGGTGTGTGGGTGGGTTCATGCGCGGGTCCGAGCCGCGTGCGACGCTCTTTAGCTTTGCAGGGAGCTTTGCAGGGACACGGCATCTATGTCCAGGTGTAGGCAACTATGCCGTCAGCCCATATGCAGGAGCCGCGCCCACCGAATCTGCATGAGGCTCACAATCCTTGCGTCTATCTCGCAGGGGGGCGGCCTCGGTCTGACAAGAAGGTCTTCGGACGAAACGAATTGTTTTGTGCAGATGACATGCCGAGTGCCTTGATCAGGGCTTTCACAGTCGACCGACCTGGCTTGCGGCCAGCATTCTCTGTCTTCTGGAAAGCCTAAAATATCAGGCGAGCCGGGTCTTTGAGTGTTTACCCCTGTGTGAAAAGACCGCACACCTTCGGGATGTTTACGGATTAAGAACGAAACCACTCAGGTGAGCCGACCGGGAGCACCACTGCAGGAGATGAAACAAAGCAAAATGTGATCTTTTTTTATGCGTGGGGGTGGGGAGGAAGTTCTGTGTCGGAAGTAATAATACGCGAAATGCAGATTGCATGAGGACAGGGACAGGAACAAGCCGCGGAACATCTTTGATTTGATCCGAACATTGGATCGTACGCGTCTCAATGTATCTCTAGTATGAAATTTGTATGATCGCTGTCTAACAACAAAATCTTTCTGGTATGCTGTGTTCTATATGCATTTCAAAGTACAGTATGACCACGCCATCCCCTGGTCCGATTCCGCTGGGGGGCTCATGGTAAAGAAACAATTTTGCCGCGATGTAAAAATCATCCCAAGCACATGTAAATACAACCAACCAACGTCATCCATTCAGACGCTCGACTCGCTCGACTCGGACTGGTCGGGGTACTCGACGTTGGGCGGGTTCACCCTCCTCACCGTGATCAGCTCAGCATCGGTCAAGCCGGTACCGGTAGCATTCCAGCCGACACTCCACAGGCCATCGATGCCAGTCGCCACGGCGTACCACTCAGTGTAAAGCGAGCCGTCGATCTTGACCATCGCAGTCGTGCCATAGAAGCTGAAGCCTGTGGTGATGATGTCGCTCTCGGTCACGTTGCTGACTCCCGACTTGTAGAAGCCCGTGGGGCCGAACGGCTTGGGAACGTAGAAGAGGGAGTCACTCCAGGTGTTGTTGGTGGTCGTGAGGGGGCTTGCCATCCATTGGGTGGTGTCGTCTGTCCCTTCGGCTGTGATTTTGTGTTAGTGGTGCTCGTGGGTTGTTGCAGTTGGCCTGTTGAACGGACTTACTGAAAAGCACGTATCCGGAGGTATAGTTCAACTTGGCGGGATCGGCAATATAAGAAAGGCCTGGTAATCATGGGTAAGTCTCGTGATTTGGTGATGCCACAGACACAGGCTTTACCTTGGTAATAGAAGATTGGAAAGCCTCCAATCTCACTAGATGTGCCTGATCCGTAGGCAAAGAGACTGAAGTTGCCGGACGGGGAGTCGGCGCGACTCTGCAGACCGCTTGGGCGAGCCATTACCCCGACGATGGCGGCAGACAAGGCCGTGATGGCTGTAATCATCCTGGACATTGTGGAAGACGTGAATAGAGACTCAAGAAATGAGATGAGTGGGTTGCCTTCAGCAAAGACGGTGATTTCGAATTGTTATTTTGTAACGAACGTCAGGTAGAGAGTGTAAGGTGAAGTGGAAGCAACAAGGAAGAGCTCTGTGGATGCGAGCTGGTAGAATAATGAGTGAGTTGTTGATAATGCGGTGCAGAACTCCAGGCTTTGTAAGGCGCGTACTGAAGTCATATATCCACAGGCACTACGCAACTTGCAAAGCCTCAAAGGCTGACGCCAACTGCATGGAGAATTTTGGCTGCTATTTTCATGCCTCCCGCATTCCGGCAAATTATGGTTGACGTCCGACTCATCATCCAAACTGAATAAACTTGCATCTTCTGCCCCCGTAGAAATCGTTTGGCGGATCCATGATAAGGATGACGCCTAGGGGCTGACTCGTCACGAGACCAACGGGCAAGCATCCCTTGTAGATCCTTACGCGAGCTGGCCTAGCTGCAGCGGGAGAAGAACATGCTTGGCGGGTCCCCACTGGGCGATGCTTGACCTAACCGAGCCTCATGTCAACGGGGCAGGGTAGTAGTCTAGATCACGACTGCCAAAAGACGGCACATGCATGTTTCCCCGTCGGCGAACCACCGCATGCCCCGGACTCCAACAAAAATAGAATGCCAGTGCACATCGGGCAAGGCGATGCGATCCATCTGCAACGTGCTGAGGCGGAACGTGGCGTAGTGCCCTGGAGTAGAGCTGAACGACTACGTTGCACATCGTCCTATGCTGCGCACATAGCTTCTATTTTACACACGAAGACCAGTCCCTCCTGACGTGCTGTCCGGGTTTAACATGCAGTATTAGACTGCATATTGACACTGTAATACGTGGCACAGCTTTTGGGGCTTTCGGGGTTTATGACCACCAGAATCTCGGATCACTAATCCCAACTTGAGCCGCGTAACCAACTATCCAGTCAGCAAGGATCAACAAACCAATATTCGACCATTGAAACTCAATCTGAATCGCCGCAGCAATCCGCAAGCAAGTTGAACCTCAGAAAAATCAATTTTTAAAATTGCGGCCTGATGGGGTTGAGCGGTGCAGACGTATTGCCGTCGGATCGATAGCACTGAAAATCGTGACCGGATAACAGCCATCCCTTCCCGTGATCCACGACTTACGCAACCCTATTTTGAGTTGATGGATCCGGATGGGCAAGTCCGGCCCTTGGCAGAGAATACCAGGCCTGCAGGAGCTTCCGCATGTGTGGGGGCCTGCCTCCTTACCACAGCTCTCCTTGTAGCGAGATAGCAACAAGGCAGGGGTACCTTTGCATACCGCTTAACCGTTCGTCTCTTCCGGCAATGTTTCGACTTTCAGCCAATCCTGAGTAAAACAATCATCCACCCCTGAAAGCGTGCGTCATGCGTCTCCCTGCCGCCCATGGATACATGCATGTAAGTTGGGGAGGGATCTTGGCAAGGGACACCCTTAATTGATCCAAGCTTGACCAAAGCTTTTCTTAACATAGGGAGAGCGGAGACAACAACAACTTTCAGCCTCGAGAAATCGAACATGATTGTTTCCTGTTGAGAGTTCAAACTTACTGCATTGGGAACATAAGCAACAGTGACAGCACTAAAGGGGCCGGCAATTACCCGGCGACGAAGAACGAAACAACCAGGGATCCCTCATTGAGGAAGCAATGCAATAGTGTTGGTTCCTACAAGACTTAGTTGGCTCCATAAATGTGATCGGGACGTGTCGAGGGCCCACTGTGGTCCAGGCCGGAGATCATGTGCACGGATGCTTAGCGAGCGACACGAGAGCATAAGCCTCAAGTCTTACGCAGTGTATCCCACAGCGAATAGCCATACCCAAATTTGGTGTGGGTCATGCCACGGAGGTGCTGCGAGTAATTGCTCCTGCTCCCGCTCCATTCAGCCCCAATTCCCCGATCATCGTTCGGACGAGAATAGCAGAGCAGAATCAGGAGTAGACACTCAGCCAGTGTATCGTCGGTTGGGCAAGAAATGGAGCATCAAGCAGATATGCGCATAGGCAGGTAGGATATATATCTGAACCAATTCCAACATCACATCATGTTCAAGTCCATCATCATTACCATCACCATCGCTTCTCAGCAACAACCCTCACTCCTTGTGGTTGATTGTTTCCCTCCTCTCCCCCTTCTTGATTTTCTCTCCCTATCGCTCTCTTTCTCGTCCATCCTTTTCCACAATGTTGTCTTCCTTGGCATTGGCCGCCTCCATGGCAGGCTTGGCCATTGCAAGCCCCTTCGACTCTTCACTCCTAGCTCGGGCAGTGTGTGATGGTAACACAGCTTCCACTCGCTCTCAATGGTGTGATTACGACCTCACTACCGACTGGTACAACGAGGTGCCTGATACTGGCGTGACTCGGGAGTACTGGGTACGATTCTCTTTTCTCTGCGATCGCCTTCCATTCTAAGCTGTCCTAACCCGATGCAACAGCTTGACTTATCAGACACGACTGTCTCCCCCGATGGCGTTTCACGATATGCTATGGCCATAAACGGATCCATTCCCGGGCCAACTCTGATTGGAGACTGGGGAGACTACTTCAAGATCCATGTCACGAACTCACTCACTCAGAGCACAAACGGAACATCGATCCACTTTCATGGCATGAGACAAAACTACACAGTCCAGAACGACGGTGTCGTCTCTGTCACTCAGTGCCCCGTTGCACCAGGATCATCTATCACCTATGAGTGGAGGGCCACTCAGTACGGATCGTCATGGTACCACTCTCACTTCGCTCTGCAAGCATGGCAGGGTGTGTTTGGTGGCATCATCATCAACGGCCCTGCCAGCGCCAACTACGACCAAGATCTCGGCCACATGTTCCTTAACGACTGGGATCATCAGACTGTTGACGAGCTTTACATATCTGCCGAGACAAGCGGTCCTCCTACTCTCGACACTGGCCTTCTAAACGGCACCAACGTCTACGGAAATGACGGTGATGCCGACCAAACTGGTCACCGCTGGAACACTACCCTGACTGAGGGAACCACCTACCGGTTGCGACTGGTCAACGCCGCTGTTGACACCCACTGGAAGTTTTCCATTGACAACCACACTATCGGTGTCATGGCTATGGATCTTGTCCCCATTGTGCCCTACAACACCACCACTCTGAGCATCGGTATGGGTCAGCGATATGATATCATCATCTACACGGAGGGTATGACCGATATCGCCACCGATTTCTGGATGCGCGCCATTCCCCAGACCGCCTGCTCCGACAATGCCAACGCCGACAACATCAAGGGAATAATCTCATACGGCACCACGGTCTCCACCCCAACCACCACCGCCTACCACTACACTGACTCTTGCGACGACGAGGACGTCTCCACACTTGTCCCTTACCTTCCCAAGACCGTCGGCGGCTCAAGCTGGGATATCGACGAGCCCGCAAAGGTGTCCTTCAACGATGAGGGCTTTTACAAGTGGTATCTCAACTCCACCTCCATGGCGGTCGAGTGGGCAGACCCGACCCTGGGCCAGATTTACAACGGCACAACAACCTGGGACTCCAGCGACGCCGTCGTGACGCTCGACAAAGCGGACCAGTGGGCCTACGTGGTCATTTCGACGACAATGGCCGTCCCCCACCCGATCCACCTGCACGGATTCGACTTCTTCGTCCTGGCGCAGGGTGCCGGCACCTACACCTCGGGTAGCACCGCGCTCAACCTGAACAACCCTCCCCGCCGTGACACGGCCATGCTGCCATCGAGCGGATATCTCGTCCTCGCGTTCGAGACGGACAACCCGGGCGCATGGCTAATGCACTGCCACATAGGGTGGCATACTTCGGAGGGCTTTGCGATGCAGTGGGTCGTCCGCCAGGATGAGATCACTGACCTCGTTGACTATGCGAGCCTCGAGAGCACTTGCAATGCCTGGGACACACACGCTGCCACATACTCTGTCGCCGAGGATGACTCTGGTGTGTAAAGAGAGGATGTGTGTTGGGGCTGACTTCGGAAGATGACGCACTACTAAGCGGTAATTTCCTGGGTAGACGATGCAGCAATGGTGTTCCAGTAGATTAGATAGACTAGACGTCGAGTTTGACATCTGCTCGTGTGAGCTTTGGGGGTGTTATGCATTTTGCATGATTGGGCCGGAGTTACAAAGGGAGCATAGAATTTTCTTATATCAGCAATACAGCATGATAACATTTCAGACCTGCAGCCCATCTCACGTTCAATGAGTTCACTCGATGTCTCGGCGAAACCAAAACCCGGCGCCGCAAATACCTTTGAAAATGCTGCGGGCAAGGTCCTGGACACGTCACTCTTATATGCCTACGTATCTACTTCAGTACATACTTAGTTAACCAGGTCTTTAGGTAATCTATCTGACTGGCGCACTTATTCGGGTCTGCACCAAATTTGGGTTTGTAGCTGGCCACCTGGATAGCCTGTTGGGCAAGCAGTCAGTAACAATCGTGACGTCTGGAACGAGACGGACCCATGCATCGCTTGTACCATAGGCGGCCCGTCTAAGTAGTTTCGTATCTAATCCCTATACATGTAAAATGAATGTAGCGCTATCATGCAAACGCTCAAAACTTAGCGTTAAAAGAATATAGTACTAGTAACAGTGTAATGAGAATACAGTACGTCTGTGGGCACGCAGCCTCAGCCTCATACCGCACAGACAAGGCTAGAAGGCATCGCTCCCAACGGCACCGCTTACTAGAATCGCTCGTCAACGCAAATAGCCCAAGGGCTAATCTGCCACGATACTAGAGTTAAAGCCGGCAAAGGAGTCATGCCGCGTGGACACAAGAATACCTAATACCTGCGTACCTAGGTAACCACGTATGAACCAGCGCCAGCCATCTATAACCGGTCTTACGGCCAATCGGTGTCCGAGAGGCCAGTCGGATGATATATAAATTGTGGTCTCTGCCACAAACGCATCCATTCAATGTTTCCGTCCCGACTACATCTTCATCTTTTGTTCTCTCCACACAAACATACCCCGCCCCCCCGGAACATATCGAAAGCAACAGAATCAGAAAAATAAGTCAACACTGACCTATCACAAGATGCTTCCCAACGGCAACCCCATCCTGATGGCCCTGGCCACCGCTTACTGTGCTCTCGCCGCGCCCACCAATGGCCAGCCTGATCACGTGCAGGAGGTGATTGATGCTCTCAAGCTCCATCTGGAAGCCGAAAATGTCAAGGATGCTTCTCAAGTCATCAACGACGCCGAGGCATCCCTTTGGGCTGACAATGTCCTGAACGACGCTGTGATTACCGATCTGAAGCAGAAGATCGAGGTGAGAAAACAGCCCTTCTCCATCAATCGGCCCCAGGCTCCCTACTGCATGATGAGGATGATAGGGGGGGATATTTGCTAAGCACAGATTTGACCTAGACACTGAAAGTCGAGGAGGGCATCACTGTCAACACCATTGCCGAGGAGACAATCGAGTACCTCAACGCCAAGGGAGCGTTCAAGAAGCCCGACGAGGATGGAGACGCAAATGGCACCATCGTCCTGGAACCCGAAGTCATCAAGCAGGTTTTGGACCACGGAGTCAGCTTCATCCAGTTGGGAAAATGCCCCGACGGCAGTCAGGCCGACCTATGCTGTGTCATTCTGTGAGTCGGTTGGAATTCGCAAAGGGATAATGACGTGGCTCGGTTGCCCACAATATTACTTGCGATGGAAGGCGTAAAACTGGATCATCACACATTCTATCAAATCGCTGAAGTGGCCAGTTTGAGGTAATCTCTAATGAATTAATGGCTAATTCCGTGCTCAAATGGAATGGTAAGGACCTGACCGATGCCCCTGTTGATGTAGCAAACTCAAGGTCTAGAGTGGTACGATCTGCTATTTGCTTTCCCAGTGATCTGACTTTCGTCCCTTTCGACATTGAGTGAGGTCTTACAATTATTCGGCGCCTTCTATCATGTGCCCAATATCAGGTGCCGTATATTCCTGTGGTGATTTATGTAGGTATCAAGCCGGACATTTGCATCTGGTGGAGTGCAGAGACCCCATGCTGAAAAATTCTGCTTGCCTTTCTTTCCATATTTATCGTATCGGAGCGATACCATGATTAATATAACCGTGAAGCTTAATGCTATAATATTGCGGCGTAATCCTTTACGAAGACTGCACACAGATCATGACATCGTGAGCTACCGGCAAGGAATTGAGTTTCTAGGCTTTAGTAGCATCCATCGTCAATAGGCACATGCACCGATGCCAAGAATGTCTCCCATGGTAGACATCCTGACAATATTGCGAGGCGAAGGCATTGTAACTGGCTTCTTTTCTATTCAGTCTCAGTACAACGCCATACATGGCGCCTGAAGACATTCCAAACACTGCGTCTTTTATCCACATTCGACGCACACATGCAATTTGATGCTTCGCCAAGATTTCGAGCGAGACTCTGCGTTGTTGAATTTAACTGATCTCCCTGTCATTAATCAACACCGTCCGAATGAACCACCAGGATCGTGCTCACCATTAAGAAAAGTCAACCCCACGCGGGCTTGGCATGCATCTGGACATTATTAACCACTCCGCATCAGAACTTACCTTCCCTACCACACTTTCTTAATTGATGAACTAACACCATGTGAACTTGGACATTGCGCGAAGTACCTCGCCGTCGACCAAGGTGCAAGCGCACTGCATTTTCTGGGCATAGGCCGTCCGAAGTCGCTCCATGTGAATGACACAGTCATCAAGATCTATGCGATCAGGGGCGGACGAAGGTCCAAGCGGTTGGGCGGATGAGACGAGGCTACTGACTAGAGTAGCCTAGGTTCTAGGTGTGGTTCCACTGCGGCTCCTGGGAGGCGGGGCCGGGGACCCGTGGACTGTTCGTGGCATGTGTACCCGCCTAAGAAGCCTCGCTGGTTCGGGAAACTTGGAAGTTCTCAGCCAAAACCATCAACTTCGGGACGCTTGGGAGGACCGATCACGTGAATCACCCAGCCATGGTTCTCCCCGTTCACAATACCTAGGTAGGTTCTTATGAGACTGTTGCCTCAGACACTCGTGAGCTACGTAGTAGTTCCGGCATCGACACGTGCACAGGAAATCCTTGCTGTGCGGCATTTATACCAATGTAGAACCAAACTATACATCACTATCCAATCAATAGCCGCGTATGGCGTGAAAGTTCGCAATATTGGTTTGCACTCACACACTCCACTTCAGCTGGTCGGCCGCCCGGAGGCCCTTTTCGATAGCGGGAAAGCTCCAGACGGGGTCCACCTGAATTTGCAACGTCGAGTCTAACCTGAACCCCAGATTTGACTTCGGTCCATGACAAGAGACGAAAGATGAAAGCTGGAGGTGAAAGCTGTCACCCGCGGAAGAATCGCCTCGACTGCTTCGGTCGGCACTAAAATTGCGACGGGAACTAATAGGATGAAGTCTGATTTAAGTTGGCGCCCCGTGGGAGGGCGGACGCCTCAGCCTCTTAGACGTTGCTTTCAACACGTCTCACTGGTGTTAATCAGGGGTTCACACATGGCTTTCGGCACTGCTCCTCCTCACCGGGGCAGGCCCCTCACCGTGGTGGTCACCCGGCACAGATCTTTTTGACTCGAGCCTTGATACGCCGACCAGGATAGGCCGAAACCGTCCAGTTCGTGGATCGGGTGAAGACCTAGATAAGCTTCCTCGGCGTCCAGACGCAACCGAAAGCTTAAACTCGGCCAGTCTGCTGATACTCCCAACATGGCTGCCCCCCAATTTACTCCTCGCCAACTCAGTTACAAGGTTCTGGCCCCCGCGCGCCATGCAGGCACGACCCTCAGACCATTTCCGAAACGCTGGGAATTTTCTGCCCTTAATGTCGTAATGTAGCAACGAGCGGTGCGTTGGAACCTGCAGGAGGGGGCACAGACCTTGTGGTTTAAGCTTTCAGTCCAGATGTCAGGCGGGTTTGATATACCAACGATATTTTCCCTAGTCATTCCAGCAACAACAACGACGCGAACCAATCCCCATCGGCCGTTTGAAACACCACACGGCTAAGCACCGATCACGGCATGATGGACCGGGGGAGTTTTTCGCGGCATTGCTATATATCCCCGTGGATCTACGCGATGTTTGGAGGTGTTCGTGGGAGATCAGCAGTACCCACCCATTCTTTCTCTTCAAATATCCAATCCCTACATATCAAAGACCGGCAGGGCCGACTTGTCCATACATCGTAACATTCGTTTGTACGCATACTGCTACGGTTACACCTCTACATAATTATTCTCCTGTAATATTTGCTCCCGAACATAACAAATTTACCTTTCAAAGATGAGGACCACTCAAGCATTCGTAGGCCTCTTCGCCGCCACGGCCTACGGGCGCGTGGCCAGGCGGGCCGCCTTCGCAGACGGTGACGCATGCATCGCCGCCGAGGCGCTGGCCGACGGCATCCAGAGCAACATCGACCTGCAGACGGGTGAGCAGGCCAGCGTGGAGAGGGTCAAGGCCGCCGTGAGCCAGAATCCCGTCGACCAGGCCGCCTTCACCGCCGCCAAGACACAACTGCTCGACTTTGTCAACGCAGGCATCGGGGCCCGCGAGAACAACCAGGCCATTGCGCCCGAAGGCAATGCCGCCATCGCTGGTCTTGCAGTTGTAAGCTCTACAATAGGACTTGACAACGTCTAGTGGACCTGGCTGACCACCCCCCGTGTGTCAGGTACAAAAAGCCCAGGCTGAGGAGCTCCAGCTGGCTCAGTCTCTCAAGGGAGACGCCAGTGACCTCGACATCGTCTCAAAGCTCGAGACGGACTTTGCTGGTGGCATCAAGCAGAACCAGCAGAACGCCGCCGACGTGAGTGCCCTTTCTGCTTTCTTAAACTAATACACCATTCTCGCCCTCGTTAGCCTCGGAGTCCCGGTCTCCTGAATATCCACCCCGTCTGGTTGCACAGCACAGCAAAATGAAGTGGATTGAGCCTCCTGATTTCAACCCTTGTGTGTGTGTGCCGTACGCGTGCCCGCTTGCCTGTGTGTCCACTCGCGTATGCATTGCGTACAGGGCGGTGATGCCAACTGGCTCTGTCTCCCACAGAAGAAACAGAAACGACAAACGGCCTCGCCGGACGACGAGGCCGTCGTCCCGCAGACGGGCTGGATATTCGGGGCCATCATGATCTCCCAGGCGATGGTGGTCGTCGGCATCCTGTCCCTCCGGAAGAAGCGGCACGAAAACCTGGCCAAGGCTGATGAGGGCTACGAGATGAGATCGTCACATGAGGATGCGCTGACCTGAAGTGTAACTAGGCATTGACTGGCTGTGCGAATGCCAATGCCAATGCTGGTGCCGGAAACAACGGTACCGCAAACGCCGGAGGCAAGGGCAATGGCGGTAAGGGTAAAGGTGGAAAGGGGGCCAAGAATGGCGGCGCCAACGCTGGAGCTGGAAACGCGCAGAACGGCGCGGATGCTGGTGCAGCGAAGGCTGGCAAGGGCCAGAACGGCCAGGACCAAGCTGGACAGCAACAGCAGCAAGGCGGTCAGCAGGGCAAAGATGGCAAGCAAGGCCAGGACCAACAGCAGGCTCAAGCACAGCAGCAGCAGCAGCAGCAGCAGGCACAGGCTGGACAAAATCAGGAGGCAGCGCTTGCTCTGGCGATTGCTCAAGCCCAAGCCCAGGCACAGGCAGTGAACACCGCTCAGACTCTGCAGTTGCTCGGCGTCCTGTGATCAAGTAGATAGCTGGGATTGATTCAGGAGTCCGACTATTGGAGAGGATGCTAGTGCAATATGATTTTGAGGGAATGGCGGTCTTGGATCTGGCGTTGGTGGTTGATTATGTGCCCTCAAATTGAGGATGAGGCGCAGCATGTCTTTTTCTCTTCCGGAGTCTTAAAGGATCTGAAACTGTATGTCCTCGGACGTATACGGAATAGAAGCGAAACCACATTTCTGTTGTAAACTGTGACTCTGATGTGATGCAATGGGATCAAAAAACAACTATCGCTTGTGAACGCACTTCAAAAGTTGTAAAAACGTCTTAGACGATGCACACCTCGGGGGCTACGCATAGCTCTGCGTACCACTGCAGTGTCAGGTTCACAGGTGACATTCCAAGTCTTTCCTCGTGTAATGCGACATCTTGCCTAAATTATTGGCCACTTGAAGTCTATTTTTGTATCGTATACTTGTCGCGGTCTTCATGTCCCTAAATTGGGTGCGCGCGCTTCCTCGGTTGCGATTTCTATAGGTATCAAGCGACATCAGACGAATCTCACTTCGCCCTATTTGCCTCTTGTGCACTGGCTCAAAGCTTCAGTATAAATTTGAAAATTGCGCCTGATTTGATCACTGGACACAACGATGGCTTCCTCTTTTCCGGGCAGTCCTTGTCACGACATCACGGGTTACGACTCGTATTGCTGCCAAGATGGCTTACCTCGGTCTGGTGGCAACTGGCAATCGAGTTGAGCGCCACATGTGGAAGGCTCCCGAAGATCCAGATTCGTATTCACGAAAAAGAGTCCAAAAAAGGCCGATTCCTAATGTTGATCCGAAGCCATCGACGACGACCTTTGCGGCATCGCCGGCATCCGGGGAATCCGGGCATGCGGGCATGCTGGCTCCGTCGTGAACGCAAATCTTCGCCGAGTAAAGCATGATAGACAGCCGCTCCGTGATTTCAACTCATTCCACCTGGAGTCATTATCAGGGGGTTCGATGTCAGTCTTCAAACACGTCCTCCCTTGGCGGGACAACCAGCCATGGAGAAACCGTAGCGAGCGCCCCGAAAGGCTGGGCGCCTAAGGCTCGGCACTATAACCGAGTGGAGCCGCCGCACCGTCCTGTTTGTTTCACGTGTCCGAGTCGCCAATGAGCTTCGAGCCCGACGGCGCGTCCCCCTTTTTTTGTTTAGGGGCGTGACCGGCCTGGAGAAAGGATGCGCAGGCTTGCAGCTGTGTTGCATCATTCCGCCTCTGCTGGACTCTACTGAATCGCCGTGGATCTGCATTGGCAACTTTATCATACTGTGGTAGAAGAAACTTTGTTTTGCCAATGTGCCCTGACACTAGAAGAAAATTTCAAGTCGCTGGCAATTGCAAGTCGTCAATTGGAAAGGGGAAAAGTTCCTCCATTGTCACCAGGCCGTTATCGCCAGACCTGAGCAGCAAGAACCATGACAATTACAGCATTGAGTATCTTGCATCCTGGTAATGTCCTGTTCTAACCCGAGCGGTCAGCCTCGAAATAGCCCCAAGACTTTAAGGATCACAGGTACTCCGTTCCTTGTGTGCTCTGTTGGTGGGGGCCAGCGGTTTCGCGAGGAGTATGCCCAGGTGCCCAGCCGCGCTCGGCAATCCAAGCTTTTGCTTGCCAGACTTTCCTCCTATCACGCGCGGCTTTCAGAACAGGAGCCGCCATACGATGTCAGCGTGTATTCCAAACTGGATGAAGGGATTGCAGATCTGAGTCGATTGCATACCACACTCAATCTATCCGAAATTATCAACGGATGCTTCCAAGACTTTGTAACTTTAGCTAAGCAGCGTTACTATGTCCAAGTTCATGGACAATAAATACAGCCGTCTGCGCTGTGACAGAGAGCTTTTGGAGTGAATAGGCATATTTATCAAACCACTTCCATTCTCTTCTTACTACCTTGAAGGCATTCATTTAACATTTTCACACACTCCCTATCACCATGAAGACAACCACATCAGTAGCAGCCCTCCTGACGGCGTTCTTCGCCTCAGCATCGGCATTCCCTACCGTTACACTCAGGAGACAAACCAATGGAACCGCTGGCGGCCCAATCGGCTTTGGCGCAGGAACAACTGGCGGTGGCTCAGCATCACCCGTCACAGTCACATCGTGCGCTGACCTCGAGGCTGCCATTGCCGGTGAGGAGCCCAAGGTTGTCCAGATCGACGGCCAGGTCTCGGACTGCGGAACCCTCAAGATCGGCAGCAACACCTCCCTCCTGGGTGTCGGTGCCGGCTCTGGCGCCAGCGGCACTGGCTTCAGGATCAAGGACAGCACCAACGTCATCATCCAGAACCTCGCCATTGGCCCACCTCCTGCCAAAGCTGATGCCATCGATATTGAGTCGAGCACTCAGATCTGGGTCGACCACTGCGAGCTGTTCTCTGTTGGCCTGACTGGCGGAAAGGACGATTTCGACGGTAAGTACCGTGATGCAGGCTTTGCTGAAGGCGGCAAATGGGCTTTGAGTTCAAGTTGCTGACAATTTGCACAGGACTCTTCGACGCCAAGCGAGGGTCCGACAACCTGGAGGTGTCGTACACCAAGTTCCACGACCACTTCAAGGTAAGCGATCCGCGGACATAAGCCCAACAGGTCGACAATAATAGGGCAAGCAACACCAGCTAACACCGTCAACAGGGAAGCCTGATCGGCCACTCGGACAGCAACGCCGCGCAGGACGAGGGCAAGCTGCACATCACCTACCACCACAACTCCTTCGTCAACGTCGGCTCCCGGCTGCCCTCGGTGCGCTTCGGCACGGCCCACATCTTCAACTCGGTGTTCCAGGACTGCCCGACGTCGGGCATCAACAGCCGCATGGGCGCCCAGGTGCTGGCCGAGAACAACGTCTTCGACAACGTCGACCGCGCCATCGTGACCAACCTCGACAGCGACGAGCCCGGGTTCGCCTGCGACGTCGGCAACGTCCTGAGCGGGAGCAGCACCACCGAGATCACGCAGGAGTGCAGCTTCAAGCCCGACTACCAGTACACTCTCGATGGCACCGCCGACCTGATTGCCGCTATCGAGGCTAGCGCTGGTACCGGCAAGATCTGAGGGCCTGATGTGATTGCAGCGACGATGCTTCTTCTATGTGCACATATATATTCTTGGTTCATAAAATTGGGCACGGCCTGCCCTTGAATATACTCTCCGCCATTGTATGGCTAGCCACACTTGCAGTACAGCACTTTGGTCCGCGTGATTTTGACCTGGTATTGTTCAGTTAAGCGATGTAGTCCCACGTTTCCCACGGAAGTCGAGGTCCTGGGATCCGTGATACCAAGCCGTCCCTGAATGCAAAATGATAATAAACAACTAGACAACTTCTGACGCTCTAATCGCTGGCTATAACACCGGGTGCAATTTACATCACAACAGGCCGACTGGGGGTATAATCGATGTGTCATAGCTAGATATCGGGCTAGCCTAAGCTCAAGGGTGGCTACCAACACAAAGCACATGTGCAGATGATGATGCGCACTAAGCTCTCACGTCTACTATTGCGTGCCGACAAATGCGTCCAGCTTCTTCTTGTCGTAGACCTCTCCTTCGACCAGCTGAGACCAAGACTACAAAGAAAGAGGCGTTAGAGACACAGTCGGAAGCGGTAAGTATCGTGTAAATAAGTGCGGATATGGCGCTGACTTACCCCATCCGGAGTGACCTTGTAGAGCGTAGGCAGAGCAGGCACGCCAAATTTGCGCCACTCGTTCTCGGGCGATCTCCATCTATTCACCACAACGTGTCAGTCAGAGAGCAAGGGAGAATACACACCGAGTTAGGAATTAATCAAGCCCGTGACCGTGAGGGAGCGGAGAGAAGGGGAAGCAGGGATATGCATGGGAGATTCTAGGGTCCAAAAACCTACGTATCCCTGTCGCCGGCGTACTGGACGGTCAGGCGTGACTGCTCGCCGGCGGGGAACTTGTCCTGGATGAGCGGCTCCGCCCGGACGCAGTCGCCGCACCAGCTGCGGCCGTTGACGATGCTGGCGTAGACGATCAGGAAGTGGGGTGCCTGGTTCTTGGCTGCCAGGGCGGCCACGGAGTCGGCGACTGCCCTCGGTGCGGTTGAGGCCATTTTCAACGATTGCTGGAGGATTGGTGCGAAGATTACAAGGTGGGCGCCTGAGGTAGGGTCGGCAAGCAGGGCTTGTTGATCTCAGAGCTTGAAGAAGAAAGATGGTGGGGGATAGAGTTCAGGTAGCTAACGCTGGGAGTTGTGGGTTGTTGCTTGTCGAAATTGATTCTGCGAGCTGTGTCAACAGGCGACTTTCCGTTTGGCCGGCTAGGGTCGGTGGGACGTTCCATGTTGGGAATCGGCTGATATTGAAGGGTTCGGGTTCAGCAGAACCACCATATATCAATTGATTCCACTGAACAAGCAGAAGTGCAGCTCAAGGGCAGCAGCTTGTGAGGCGCGATTGCACATCTTTCAGCTTCAGAAATGGATTGATTACTATTTCTGTACCTTTTGAAAAACTTCATTTCAATTTGCTGAGAAAACTTGAACAAATTTGCACCTTGTGTCCATCGTCACGAAATCGCTGAAACCCCATCGATGGACCGTGATTCCAGCAGAGCGAGTCAGGCCTAGCCGATGACTACAAAGATAAAGAAATTTCTAGTCCATGGATCATGAGAGGATTTGGGGAGATCCTTCGGCAGCCGAGCCATCTCTTCGCCTGTACTGCTCATGAGCTCATCATCCGAGCATAAATCCTTGAAGTCGTTCGCATCGAATGAGAATCTTCCTAAGTTCTGTCTTGCTTGCTGGAACAGGCTGTGATCCTGAGGATGTCCGGAAGTTCGTGCCACCGCATGTGCGACCGCCGTCTCTTCTATCATAAAACCTACCTTGGTATGGTACACTCAAGTATTAGTCGAATGTCCGACAGGGTACCGCTCGCCAGAAGGGGTGAAGTCAGCCAAGATGGCATCGATCTGCGCCATCTCGGAATCCGTGATCTCAACCACCTTGCTGTTCTCCTCCACCCGCCCCGCGGCGCTGGCACCCGGTATCGGGATGATGACCGGCATCCCAGGACGCCGCGAGAGCGAGCGCGTCCAGTTGATGGCAAGCTGCGCCGGCGTGCACCCCTTCTCCCCGGCGAGCTCCCCCACCTTGTCGACCAGCGCGACGTTCCTCTCCATGTTCTCCTTGTCGAAGCGGGGGAACCCCATCTGCGTCAGCAGCGAGTCCTTGGGTATGTCCTCGACCGTCCTGAACTGGCCCGTCAGCATGCCCCTGCCCACGGGCGAGTAGGCGATGATTGGGATCCCGTGCTGGGCACACGCCGCGGCGATGCCGTTGTGCAGGATGTCGGTGGCGAACCTGTTCCGCGGGGGTGAGAGGTCAATCAGCGGAAGAGACTCAGCCTGCAGCTCGCGTGACATACATGGATAACTCGACTTCCACAGCGGCAATCTTTGTGTGCTTCACAGCCTCGTGGATCGTCTCCGCAGATACCTCCGACAAGGAGATGCCCCCTAGCTTGCCGGTCTGGATGTATTCCTTCTCGATGATGCCAAAGGTCACTTCCATCGGGACATTCGGGTCTCGGCGGCCGAACTCGAAAAGGTCGATCTTCTTGCGTCCCTTCAGCTGCGCGATGGAGTCATCCAGGCTGCGACGGGTGTTCTCGGGAGAGGCATCGATCCTGTGCGTCGACGGGTTGATGCCTCCCTTGATGCTGATTGATATCTGATCCGCGTCCTCTGGGTATTTCGCGAGGTACTTCTCCAGCAGGACCAGGGAGTTATTATCAGGCGGGCCGTAGAACTCCCCGCCGTTCCAGCAGTTGCCTACACCAATGCATCAGGATCGTCCGAGAGAAATGTATGCATTTCTACTCACATCCGTTCTTCAGTGCAGCGCGCATAGCTTCCAAAGACTGGTCCAAGGGCGGTGGTGGGCCGTTGCGCCATGTCAAGCCCATGAGACCATACCCTATGGGACCTACCTCTTTGTCTAAAAGCTTTGGCATTATCTTTCTCGGTCGGGATGAGATAGAGATTTGTTGCGAGCAGTATCACAGACTGCAACGTATGTCGAGGACCAAAGACGGTGAGACAGGGTCGGGAAGAGAAGGCTCGCTGACATGTAGTGCCGCCGTAGACAGCTTATAGGAGATCCTCGCCTAGAAAGCCTCCTCTAATGAGCCGCCTGAATTCCGAAAATGGCTTGTGGCTTGCCTGCCTGCCTGCCCATTTTACCTCACGGGTAGCAAGCGGCTATAGCTCCTCAGCCCGGGATATCATTTGCCGGGGCTTTTTAGTGCCGGATTCTCCTGTAGCTAATTCCGCTAACGCCGATAGGATCACCTGGAGGCACACGGTAGACCATTGTGCTGCGCAATTTGTGCATACGACCAGTCGGGGATTAGGGGTGCGATTCAAGGCACGAAACTGTTCGGCTGCTTCGTGATTCTGTTCTGGTGACCATGTCGAAGAGTAGCTAACTATTATTCCTCTGTGAAGGCCTTCGTGATCACTGGCATAGCGGGCCGTCCTTCGTACACCACACTGATAGCAATGCGTCGTACTGCATAGAATGAGAGTGTTATCGCATTCCCCTCTGTCAAGGAAGATTCTATGAAATCAATTCATCCCTGTATTAAATTCTCATGCTCTCATGACCCAAACTGCGGATCCATTCCCTTCGCATCAAAAGGAAAGTCGACATCTGGAGAGTAACCCGAGACGTTGTCCCTTCAAGAGAACGAGGTCCCGGCTAGGCATCGATCCGGAGTAGTTTGGATTCGTTGACCTCAAACTGCAGACCCCCACTGAGATCAAGCCATCCGAGTAGTTTTCCATCTTCTGACCTGTCAAGGGTTAGCTGTCCTCGAGCATATTTCGTAGGATCCTGGAAGCCAACCAACCTTGTCTCAACGCCGGTGAGCCTGATCACGTACTTGGGAGGATTCACGCCGGAGTTGACATTCTTGACCTCTGCCGTGTACAGGTGACCCTCATAGCTCACCTTGACTCTGTCATATCTCTTAAATTTCGGAACTTCTGGCATGGTTCCTGTTCTCCGTGGCCGCTGTAATTCTCAGGCTATTGCTATGCCCTTGCAGGTTTGTCTTTGGCTCCAGTTTTCTAGGGAGACTTTTGAGTTCCAAAGTTGAATCCAGTAGCGACGAGATGCTGTGTCTTTATAAAAGGTGTTGACAGTGTGACTACGACGGTCTTTTGGACAAGACAAAGACATGATGACTGTTGATATCGTTTGTGGCTAGTAGGGTACTGTATCGTGTGGCCTGCTTGCATACTCTTCCGAAAACACTGGCTTCCAGTGACCCAAACACTCTGAAAATGTTTTTACCATACAAGCATGACAGTGATGCATTGTCTTATGGCCACATGGGCAAAGTGCCATACACAGGGAACACGTACCTGCCTTCGTTTTCAAAACACCAACACCGGCAAAGAGACTTGGCAAGATTCCAGACTGCCACGGCTGGAGGCATGGAAGAGATTGTGGCCTGAGAAGATGAAACAAGATTATCCGACTAACCTCATTCTTCTCAGACACCGGAGATCAGGGCAGGAGATCACTTCTGACCCAAGGCTTGAGCCGAAGCATTTGGATACCCATGGGCTTGACCTGACTTGGTTCAAACTGGTCTAGACGTCACATAACCTTCTCTTTCTTTTTTGCGTTAGGTTCTGCAAAGGGACGTGGTATAAAAGATGATCCAGTTCTGCGCTGGATGCTAGTAGTAGTCGGGCCCCAGTCCGAACCCAAAATCGCCCCAGTGTACCAAAATATGCCCCGGAGACAGATGTCTCTTTGATAGGTCGCAACTCAACTATTTCCCGTTCCATGACGTGAGCTTTCCCTCTTTACAAATTACCTCACCTCCGATCGGCCGCCATGGAGCTTTGTCCTTCTTCGCCCCAGTCGCCCTACAATTCTAAAAGTCAGCTCAACTCCAAATCACTAACTAGTGTAGAAGGTAACTGACGCAGCAACTGGTGCGAAAATGAACTTCCGCGCAACAGTGTAGGTGTGCTCGTTGTCCTTGGTATGGACAAACTTGACTTCGCCTTTAGTCTTATGCTCCCCTTCCACGTTTACAATGACGAAATCGCCTGGTCCGTATTTAGGTGTCGTCACCTCAGGCTGCTTAGGCATTTTCGCTTCAGCCTTCTGATGGGTCTTGATTTTCCGGGAATGTTGCCGCGGGCAGAGATATCGATGTTCCAGGAGTTTGCTGTGGAAGAAGAAGATTGATTAATGGGAAGGGGGGGGATTCCAACGGCAATTCATATACACGGCGACCCTGCTGCGGAACCAGGGATGTGGAAGGCTGCTGTGTGACGCACTATGTCCTGTGACATAACACCATCAACCAACATGACACAGACTTGCGCAGTGCTTTTTGTTCGTCACCGAGAACCCCTTGGTACATACAGAATTTACTCCCTGACATCCAGCCAGACCTTGTCGCCACTTCCTTTCAGTCAGGAATCGTCCATGACGCCTGTTGGAAATGGGCCACGCCGCTTCCTTGTTCACAGAATCGGAGCTACCAACCGGGCAGCTGGCCCTCGTTGCTCCGGCTTCGTTGCCAAAAGCCCCCTCTCGTGCCCTGGGCTTCTTGGCTCACTCATTGTATGCGTTCACTGCCTTTCGCATGTGATGGCCTGCCTGACGTGCGTATGCTTCCCACAGATCAGCCTTTTTGCTGTGTGCGCACGCACAACGCGACCCTATGACTGGTCATGAGCCCCGTGCGTGTCGTGCATTGCAGTGAACAAGCAGATCCGTGGTCTCCATCTTATCCCATGGGGTTCCAGCTAAGTTGATGTAATCAACTCGAGTACGGTTTTTGAACGTTGGGTCTTGAGCGTTTGCCACCGAATGAAGGCGCCATGTATGTCCTTGGGACGTAGACGGAATAGAAGCGAAACCGGATAAAAGGACCGTACGCCTTCACGATACATCAAAATCTAGAACGAAACCACTAATACCAGGTCCCCAGACAACAAACTTCCAGGTATCAACCAAGTCGCGCATTGCTAAACTCTATGAACAGGGTATCTTAAAAGAAAAGACAAACCACACAAGAAACATCCAACACACCAGACCACAGAGAAAAGCCCCCAAACCCAGCCATCAAGACCCCACCCAGGTAGTTGATTCGTCAAGTTAACCTACCCACACCCAGGAGAAGCCCCAACAACCTCAACAAACCCCTCCGCCTCGACATCGATCTTCTCCCCGCCGACGGTAAGCCCAATCTTCCACTTGAGCCGGTGCGAGTGCCGGATACAATACGTCGCGAACCGGGGGCTCACGGGCTCCGCCGCCACGCGCGCCACCGGCTGGCCCCCGCAGCTGGCGTGCGTCTCGTGCAGGCGGAGGCCCAGCGCCGCGCCGACGTCGATCCAGGCCCCGGTCTCGGCCCCGTCGGCGTCGTCCCACGCGCTGGGGACCACGAGGGGCCCGCGGCCGTTGGGGCCTGCTGCTGCGGGGGACTGGGCTGGCGCGGGCTGGTAGGCTGGGGGTTGCTCGGCTTGGGCCGCTGGTGGTGGCGGCGGGGGGGCATCGTTGTTGTCGTCGCGCGGTTGGTACGTCGGCGGGGAGGACGAGTCCCCCACTGCTGGCGGTGGCGGCTCGTCGTGTGTTTCCGGGCCCTGTCCTGCTCCACCAGCCTGCTCTTCCTTCGAGCTGCGCTGCTGGGCAGGACCCTGTGCCGCTGACGACGACGACTCCCCGAGCTCATCCCGCGGCGGAGAAGGATGTCCCAAACTGCGCCGCTTCACGTCCGCGCCCCCCGACGACGCCGGCCGGTGGACAGCCCCTGAGTTCGCCGCCTCCTTCCCACCCCCACGGCCCATCGTCCTCAGCACCTCGGCCGGCACAGCCCCCGCAGAAGCAACAGGCAGCACGACATTATGCTTGACCGTCCCCTCGCCGTCATGGGTCCCCCACGTGCCGGGCGCAATGACGTTCGTGTCAGCCTTGAGGACCATCTCGAGCGAGGTGAGCAAGACGGGCACGGGGACCCCCCTCAGGACCTCGCTCGTGCGGCGCGCGTCGGGGACGGCGCGCATGCGCAGCGGGATCGGGGCCGGGTTGTCGAGCTGGATGACGGAGGGGCAGTCGTACAGCAGCGTGAAGCCGAAGGCGGGGACGCTCGAGGACCCGAAGAACTTCTTGCTCTTCTGCTTGAAGCTCAGCTGGGCGTCCTCCATCCCGGGGACGAGGCGGTACGACGCCGCGGCGAGCGGGGCCGAGCGGCGGGACAGGCCAAAGTCCGTCAGCGGGTAGGGGACCACGGGGGCGGCGCGGATGTGCAGCGGGAGGGTGGCCGTGGTGAGGTCGCTGTGGCGGCTGCTGTGGTGGCTGCTCGCGCCCTGCTGGACGAGCGCCGCCTCGAGGTGGTACTCGACGTAGGCCTCGAAGCGGGTGTTGTGGTGCCTGCCCTCGGTTGCGAACGACGAGGGCAGCGGGGCCTGGGCGATGCTGCCGGGGTCGACGGGCTGGTAGCTCGCCTCGGGGTCCCTGAGCTCGCTGGCGACGGCGCGCGGCGAGGCGCGGGTCGGGATCTCGAGGGCGAACTCCCACGCCGCGGGGCTGCTGGACGAGGGCACGTGGATGGGGCCCTGGTGCAGCTGCTGCTTTGTGTGCATGTATCCCGCGTCGAACTGTGATATATGTCAGTATATATGTCAGTACTCGCTCAGGCTCAGTCTGGCAGAACACTGTTGGGTCCATACAAAGTTGAAGCGGTTGCGGTAGTAACTGTGCGTCGTATTATTACCATTATTCCTCCTGACGACAATCTTGGTCTTTGCCCGCCCCAGCAGCTGGATCGTCACCGAGGCCTGGGGGCTGACGGCGTGCGTGCGGCGGACGACGCGCCCCGTGATGATATCGCCGGGCTGGTACGGGCGGCCGATGCCGTCGAGGTGGATGTCCAGGTGCGGACCTGTCGTCTGGCCTGCCTGGGGCATGATGACCTGGGGACTCAACAATAGGGATGCAGTTTTCTAGGAGTCGAGGGTCGAGGGTCGAGGGTCGTCGTCGTTGTAGGTTTGTTGCCTTGGGTTGATTGAGAAGGGTGGGTATCTCTAGGTAAGTCCGTAACTTATATGAAGGTGGAAGTTGTCAAGGTGAGATGAGATGGATCACGCGACGTCATCAAAGAGACGAAAGAACAGAGCCGGCTGTCGAGATAAGCGCTCATGTGATACGCACCTGGGGCATCTCACAAGGCAGCCGCGTGTGGCAGTGGCAGTGGAAGCACTGCATAGCCCCCAGCCGTCAGCAGGACCCGTTGTTCGCAAGTTTCCAGGCGGCTTCTTTGTCGAAATTGGGCAAGACTTGGCGTGAGCCGCGTGGCGCAGCTTCACCCTTTGGCGGGAAGGATTGCAGATCCGCAACAGATGAGCGCGATTAGCGCCTCGAAGGATTGTGAGGCAGACAGACGCCACATCGGTCATCCCAGTCAACAAGATTGGCCATATGAATCAAGGACCACATAACTCGTAGAAATGGATCATGGTTGCAATATCACCCCGGGAAGTGAGTGAGCTGAAGAAACAAATGACAACACAACACATCCCACACAACTAACCCAAGCGCAGTCACAAAACAATGCAAATCAACATCGAGCATGCTGGCAAAACACAAGTAAGCCCCAGCCAGGACCAAAAATGGCATTCATCAGAAGTGCTATAGCCATCCATCAGCAAACAACAACAAAAGAAAAGTGTAAAGCATCGCTCCCATATGATGGCCTGCCTCCGGCCCCAAAACTCCACATCTAATGCAATCAATCAATCAATCGCAACCAAAACAAAAACAAAAATCCTCAACGATCAGGACCCATCGTCCCGGACCCAATCCATCAGAAATCTCAATGATCTGATCAGAATCCACCGTCTGAGACCCAACCCGTCCTGTGACCCTTTTGCTTTTATAACGTCCACAACCCGCTCCGCCGCTTACCCAGGGGGTATATGATAAGCGCGCTGAGAAACAAACCAACAGTGATGCCAATCGCTATCTGAATCATGCTCGCCGCAACGCTGAAAACCTAAGACGCAGAAAACAGACATGGTCAGCGACTTTGATACTGGAGGAAAGCGGACAACATGGTTGGTAGCGAGGAGGTGTGGTTGGGTTCAAGACATTAGGACTGCTACTCACAAGGTTATTACTCGCGTCGCAGACCTCAGACCCGACCTCATTAGCAAGCGACTTGGAGATACAGATCGCGCTCGTCACGGCCCCCGACGACGCCAGCGACCCGGGCACCTGGCAGTACACGGCCGGCAGCAGCGCGGCGGCCGCGACGCCGTGCCGCAGTCGGCTGTACAGGTTCGCCAGCACGCCGATGGTAAAAGCGCCAAACGTGTACGCGATGGGCGCGCTGGCGCTGAACTTCTGGCTGCTCCAGTAGTTGACCGCGTACCCGGCCGTGGCGATGAAGATCATGGCGGGCATCTGCTTCCACTTGGCCTGGACCATGACGGTGCTGAAGAAGGCGTACAGCGGTATGAAGAGGAAGTTCCAGTGCGACGGCAAGGGGTCGCGGCACGTCGCCTCGCTCGCCGCGTTGGGGTCCACCGCCCCGTACAGCGCCGTGCCCACCGTGATGCCGTACCCCAGGAAGAGCGAGTAGATGACGGCGTACACCATGCGCACCGACCCGGCCACCATCGACTTGGACTGCAGCTCCAGCGCAGAGCACAGCACCAGCCACCCGGGCAGGATCAGCGCGATCGAGCTCTGCGCCAGCGCCGAGAAGCAGAACAGCCCCCCGCCCTGGATGCTGCCCAGCCCCCGCGCTATGAACGAGAGCAGCACCGCCGCCACGATCTCGAACACGTTGCTGTACGTCCGCGACATGGGCGCCAGGTACAGCTGCATGAACCCCAGCGCCGTGCCCATCACGAAGATGGGCGGCAGGTCGATCAGCCGCGCGCTGAAGAAGCACGCCACCACCGCGCTGGCGAACCCGTACGTCAGGATCACCACCCACAGCGGGAACCGGTCCTTGGCCGAGATGATCTCGTCCAGGTGCGCCACCGCGTCGTCGAGCCCGATGCAGTCGTGCAGCACCTCCTTGTAGATGTCGTGGATGTCCTTGAGCTTGCCCAGGTTGACGCCCTGCTGCGTGCGGACGATCTTGACCTCGGCCGTGTGGGTGAGCACGTCGTCAAACGAGATGATCATGCACCCGGGTATGTACAGGAACTGGCACGTGATCTCGAGCACGTTGGCAGCCATCGACAGGTACTCCTCCAGCCTGTGCGTGGGCGCGCCAAACAGCATCAGGGCGCGGCACATCTTGATCAGATACTTCTGCCTCTGCAGGATGTCGGCGACGTGGATGGTGATCCGCGCTTCGTCTTCAGCCCCCCTGGCCCCGATCATGGACAGGATCCGCGAGCCACTGGTCTTGCGTCGGTGGGCCGGTCTCTTGGGTTTCCCGTCGCTCGTGGGCGGCGGGCCCTCGGCCCCCGTCTTCTCCTTGCCGTTCGGGTTGGCCAGCTTGGTCGACGCGCCGATCAGCGTGGCGAGCGTCTCGACCGAGCGGTTATCGGGCTTCTCGTGCCACTTCCTCCTGGGCGTCTGCCTTCCAGATGAGCTGGGCGTCCGGACGTTGATCTGGGGGCCGGCTGGGGAGTCGTAGGCAGTCAGGCCTGACTCCATGCTCGGCATCTGGTGGAAGGTGAGGTCCGGGTTGCGGTATGCCTGTAGGATCTGGTAGAAAACACCACCACGGGGAGCCTTGCCACTCTGCCCTGGGGATGCCACGCCGTCTGTCTGGGGTGAGGTTGCTTGCTGTAGATCATGAGCCTGGGCACCAAAGCCGTGTGCCATGAGAAGTTCCTGTGCCTCCAAGTTGCGCCGTTCAATCTGCTCCTGGGTGGTTGGCTCTTCAGGACTGGCGCCGGATGGCCCGCCCGCGCGCTGGTTACTGTCCAATGTCGTCAGGGGAAGGAGGTCATTCCTGTTGTCGTCTTCCAGGTCGTCGGACCACACCGTGCTAGGTGGTGGACTGCCTCGTACCCAGTTGAACAAGCGGTCGTCATCTTCGTCGTGGTGGCTGAGGGGGTTCCTTTGGGCATCCTCGGCGATGGCCTTGGCCCTCTCCTGGGCCTCCCTGGCGGACTTGTGTTTCTTCGGATCGGAGATGTCTGGGTCGGGCTCGGATGAGACGATCGAGTTGGATGAGTTGGGGTTCCGCACGAGGGAGGGCCGCGGCCGAGTGGCGCCCTCAGAGGGCCGCCTGTCTCCAGATCCCGATGCCGCCGATGTCATTCCAGCCTTGCTGTTGAACCTGACCCGTCCCTTCTCCTTCCTCTGTTGGTAGGCCAGCCCCGAATGCGTCGGCGCTGTCTGTTGTTGTTGTTGTTGTTGCTCGTCATCGCTCTTGATGGCCGTCTCTGGCTCGGGCGACTGCGTTCCAGACGATAGGTCTTGTGGCTCCAGCTGCTCGAGCTCGAGGTCGACGTCATTCCCATGCCCACTGCGAGGCCCAGGAACAGGGCCAGGATCGTGGTCAGCATCGGTTGGGCCAGGCTCCATCTCTGCGAGTGTTATCGCGACTGAGGAACGCCCGCAACCGAGACTGGTGGTGGGTGGTAGGTACTTTTAGGGAAAAGCTTGGTATCCTTGTGTGAACTAAGAGGTGATGGGCGGCATAGGATCAGGGCAGTGAGCGGAAGGGCATATCAGGGCGGGTTATAAGAGTGGGTGGCGTGTGGGTTTGGCCTTGGGTGGGACGGGATGAGCTGCCCTGGATTCCATCAACTTTGGGCAGTGGCAGGGGTCGTGGCTCCGTTCCGTTTGGCGGAGGGGCGTGGGCGCGGCTCCTGCCCAGTTACACAGGTACCCAGGTACACATGTACCTTTGTACCTCTCACTCACCTTACCTTGACGTCGGACCGTTTCTTGCAATGCATCTTTCATGTTAATGCCATGCCATGTATCATGATGACAACTCGAGAGTCTAGACTGGCGAGCTTCAAGTTGTGTGGAACCTGCTCGAAGTAACGGGTCGTGCAGGAGTGCATCGCCTCAACTTCCTCAGGAGAACCATCCCTATAATTGTGCCGTCTACCATTATATCTTATATATTCACTGTTGACCGCTGCGCTGCCTTCGCCTCGCAGGACACCCACCACATACGGTGAGATGGTGACAGCTGAATTGGGTCATCTCCTCACGACCAGTCCCTCCGGGCATGTGCTCCGCCCGTCCGTTTGCCCGCACGCACCCACCACACTAGAGATGCGCAATGTCTGGGGAGATGGGCTGGGCTGGAGCTCCGCGATCGCTTGCGAGCCTGACATGTGCCGGTTGCATAGGCATCGGCGCATGTACCAGACACCGCGTGTCTCTCATCGATGTCAGTATTGGGCGGTAAAATCGTGATCCCCGGGGCGACATTCATCATTGTGGGTCCGCGGCAAGGATTTTGTTATGTAACAGCAACGCAGCGCCCTGGCCCGAGCAGCCCGTCGACGGCAGGCCCAGCCCGTCGATCTGTGCTGGTTGGACGGCAGGATGGGGCCCTCTGGAACCTTTTTGGGGCTGTTTGGAGATGTGGCCGCCCGGCCCGGTCAGAGCCTGACGCATGGGAACTCTGGTGCTGCTGCTGGCGCCAAAAAAAAAAAAAAAAGGAATGGTTGGTTGGTGATGGAGGAGTTCAGAGTATTCACCACGACCGGGTCGCTGATCATCACGACAACCACCCGCCGCTTGTGTGTCAGGTGTCGGGTGTGGGACACGAACAAGTTGGAGAACCCAAGCGACGCGACACGAGGAGACGATGGAAAATTCTAGCTCGAGGCATTGGCCATGTCTTCTCTCCCGACAGCCTGAGAGAATAGGAGAAGAGGACTCGGAACACGTGCAGCATGTGATCTGTCACAGCTCGAACAGCTGTAAATAGAAAAAGGCATTTCAGAGTTGGGCGAGGGCCAAATCACACAAGAGCATCCAAATCTCGGCCCAGGTCCAGATCACCCAGATCGTCCTGTCAAGCCACCCGGGCGCTCTGGCTGCCTGGTCGTCCCAGCAAAGAGTCCCACGAGTCCCTCCTTGCATTGCACACCCGTTCTGCCGTTCCATGCGGGGACTCCCGCACCCTCCCTCATGCAGATGCCGCCCTGCTCTGCCCTGTCGGTGCCCTGCAACGCAGCACGCTTCCAGTTCTTTCTGTCCCAACCCGGCCGCGCCAAGACGACGGGGTCTCCCCATACGAATGACCCGTCGGCTGCGACTACCCGAGTGGGGGGTAGGGTAGCTGTCAATACCACCCTTTGTCCCGGATCGCTGGGTGGGTGGCGGCGTCTATCAAAGCACGACCAAGGCAGTCAGTCGTGAGAAAAGTTGCCATCATCCCCCCTATTTTTAGAGCACGTCACACAACACGAAGAGCCGCTCACGTCTGCCGCACCACTCACTCAGGTCGTACTAAGCACATCACGATGCCGAGAAAAGTACGGGGCAGAAGGGGAAAAAGCTCGCCGGTAACGGGCCACAGTCAACCCCCGGATTCCATGGGCAGACGGGACCAAGTCTCACCACCTCAGCCTGAGGTAACAAGGCCACTGCGCACCAACGCACGTGTCCCTCGCGCCCGGGCGTGGTGCCGCGCCCGGCCCCTACCGGTCCTGGTATCCCACTCCGCCCTTTTGCCCGGCAGGCGTGACTCGCTCCGCGCGCAATCCCATATCGACATGTCAAGTGATTGCAGCGCGGGTGTGCCGGGAGGCGGAGTCGTGCTGTCCTTGGGAGTTGGAGTGGGAGATTCCAGGCCCCCGTCGACGAAACACGTAGCAGCACTGCAAACATCGGTCCACTCGGATCGCCGTGCGTTCGAGTGCAGGTGGTTGTATGCGAGCACGTCTTTGCTTGCAGCAGCAAGGTAACACCTGGGCGAGAGCAGTTCGGTAGGTGGTCGCTTACTCCAGATGTCCCGTAGTGTCATGTCACCGACGAACCCATGGGTCAGTGCATTAATTAATGCCCGTCACTCTAGCCCAGTCTTGGCCAAACGACAGGACTCAGGAACCGCCGTTAACGGAACGTATGGACTTCTCGGTCTGCTCGAATTGCGAATCTTGTGATCCAGGGGACTGTGGAGGGGGAGGCGGTTCCTCCCAGCCCAGTCAGGCCTTTCGGTTGGTTGGTAATAAGGTTGGGGCGAACCCGGCCGCAGATCCACCCTCGCGAATGTAGAATGGTCTGGACCGCACGGGACACATGGCAGAAGGTCTTTTTTGCGTCCCACTGCCGAGGGCAAAAATGGGGGGGGGGGGCACTCTTGAGCCCACCTCGACGGCGTGCCTAGATCACGATAGCTTCATTTTCTGGCTCAGCCTGGAGCGCTAGACATTCCGGACACCGCCCAGCACGCCGGAAGCGCCCATGCAGCCCCTGCGAAGGCGACAGAGCTGCGGCCGGTGGCCTGCTGCCGCCCCTCTTTTGGGCATTCGCCTGACGGCTTGTCGCCCATGGGTTCGCCCATTGGGCTCCCTCCCTGGGTGGGATCCGGAGCGGCTCCCGAGGTCTTCGAGGTGAGTCCCACCAGCACGCGGCTTTGCCGAGGGGGAGAGGAGGATCGCGGCTTGCTCACCGGCCCAGATGAAAATTTTCCATCCTTTGAGGGGTAAGCAACGCACCGTTTTGCATCTCATGCCGTCAACGGTTACCAGGCAGCACGAGAACCCCGTTTCAGATGGCAAGTGTCGCCCTGAGGCTAGTCATATGGGCTTGGCTTGTTGATATGATATGTGCTCGATGGCCAACGAGTCCCCTTTTCTCGAGTCATCAAGCGCTGAGGTCGGCTCACAATGTCCGTCTTCCTCCATGCTGGGTAGATATATCACACCTGGGCACGTAACATGACAGCGCGGCGCTGCTTATTATCAATCCCGATGATTCGGCAACACCCTATATGTCAATCGAGGGGGCTGATTTTCTTCCTTATAATGTTCTAGAAATAGATGGGGATGCGGCTCAGTCTAACTGTCGACAAGCTCCTCCAAAGGCGTGTCCCAATCTCCGTGGCCCGAAAGGAGATTGTGCAATGCCCCCACAGGATTTTCTGTGGGCCGGTATCAACCCCGATTGAGAGGGTAGCGGCACCGCGATAACATCGTCGTAAGCTCTAACAAGTAAGTCATGCGCCACCAACTCTGTTTTCTCTCAATACTAATACCCAGGCAGCACTTTGTTTTTCCAGTGCTGGTTCTTTGAGCTTCTGTCATTGTATGAAGAGACCGCTTCCGCCTTTTGATATATACGGATTAACAAACAAACAAACAAACTACCTAGGTACCCATAACACGTGGTCTTCAGTGAAAGGTGGAACCTTGCGAGTCCGAGTGCGAGTCTGGTCCACGCCGTTTGCGGTTAGAAAATCGTCGAGTGTGGACACGGACCTCCTGAACCCACGAAGCAAAGTGACTCCCACCACAATATCAACGGCAATGTCTTTTACGGCACAGAATTTCGCTGACGATGGAGTGTCAAAAGGGGCAATGGGAGGGTGGCCTACAGGGAAACATTCGGTCCATCATCAGCGACAAAAGAGGAAAACCCCGCTCGGCCCCGTCAATCATTTGCCCAGTTTGGGTGTGCTGCAGTGTAAGAAGCTGGATTGAGGCTGACGCCCTGCTCCCACTCCTCAAGTGCTCTCTTGTTATTCGCTCGGAATCTTTTTCGAGGGTGTCGGGACAACTAGAATACCGACATGGTGAAACGCAGTAAACCGCCGGGCCTCCTATTCCAACACAGCAATTACGGTAACCCCCGCATACCTGGGCACAGAATCGCGGGGTTCGTGAATTTTACCTAGGCAGGAACGGATAACTCCGTCACCAGAAGGCGCGACGGCGACTCGGAAAAGTCTTCGCACCTTCAGGCTGAACTTGTAAGATTAGTGGCTGTCGATCTGAAAGGCGTTACGCTGTCAATGACTAGACTTCAGGAGGCTGGTGACGATCAAACAACCACACCAGAGGCTGATGGGATCCTGAGTAGGTGGTTTCGTTACTAATCTTCACACACATAAACACATATGCGGTGCCTTCATATAGTGGTAACCATTTAAATCCTTATCTAATTTCTATTTTTGGTGGAAACAAAACGAATGCCTACCACACCTGGGCAGACTGGGACTGAATAGAGTGTTACATCACGTAACCTGCAGCATGTGCAATAAAGCCTAACTTGGCTGGCTGAGAAAGCCTTGGCTGATTGTTCACAGCACCGGATATAGTTGGACTTTTCCCCCTGAGTACGCTGTGAACACCGACGTCCTCGTGACCGGTAATAGGTCGGCAACACGACAAGACTGGAGTTCTCCGTGTGGTAGCATTTATTAAGGGCAGCTGGGCGGGGCCTGCAGGAAGGTCGATCGACGATAACTGTAATTAGCCGGCCTGCGAGGCCAGACTTTATTGGAGCTTACATAGGGATCAAAATAGACGTCACTCAAACTATGGCGACTATATAGAAACAAGCACGAAGCACATCTCCTCGGCCCTGTCTCCATCGACAACCATCAACATCTCATCGCTGGGCACACTACGCCATGCGCACCTTCGTTTTATCATGCATTACTATACTATCGCTCGGCCTGAGCACCTCCGCCCAGGAAAATGCGTGCCGCCCGCAGGAAATTGACGCCTCCTTCACACCCCTTGGATGCTATACTGACAGTGACACGCGCACTCTCGGGGGGAAGCAGATAACCCTCGCGCAAAATGACGCCAAATCCTGCGCCGATGCCTGTGGCTACTCCGGCTACAACATTTCTGGTACCGAATTCGGGAGGGAATGCTACTGTGGCAGCAGCATCAACCCGATCGCGACCGAAGTGCCCCAGAACTCGAGCACCTGCTCATACCCCTGCTCAGGTAACTCATCTGAGGTATGCGGAGGCAACTACTTCATCAACTTGTACTCGATCAGCAACGCCAATCCCAGCCCGCTGCCTCAGGGCCACCGAGACCCCGTCTGCCAGACACAGCCCTTCTGCTCCAACAAGGCCTGCGATACCTCGCTCACCCAGGAGGAGCGTATCGCAGCACTTCTTGAACAGATGACTGTCGAGGAGAAGGCCGAGAACCTGATCAACTCTGCGGCTGGCGTGTCGAGACTTGGACTGCCATCCTACGAGTGGTGGTCAGAGGCTCTGCACGGCGTCGCCACGAGCCCCGGCGTCGGCTTCACCTCGCCAAACGGCTCCGACTTCAGCTACGCCACGAGCTTCCCATCTCCTATTCTTACGGGATCTGCATTCGATGACGAGTTGATCCATGAAATTTCATCTACCGTCGGCAAGGAAGCTCGCGCCTTCGCCAACTACAAGCGGGCTGGGTATGATTTCTGGACCCCGAACATCAACACCTTCTTGGACCCCCGATGGGGCCGAGGCCACGAAGTACCCAGCGAGGACAGTTTCCACCTTCAGAGCTACGTTATGCAGCTCATTCCTGGGCTTCAGGGGGGTGCCGACAAGACCGACCACAAGCAGATCATCGCGGTAAGCACGGGGGTCTCAGCCTGTCACGAAATCCGGGTAGCTGACTGCAAGATTGATAGACATGCAAGCACTTTGCCGTGTACGACGTCGAGACCAACCGCGAGGGACAGAACTATGACCCCACCCAACAGGACCTGGGCGAGTATTACATGCAGCCTTTCAAGACCTGTGTCAGAGACACCCACGTTGGCTCCGTCATGTGCGCTTACAACGCGGTCTTCGGCGGTTAGTAAATACTGATGAAAGGGTCCGCGTATCTATCCATAATTATCTGACTGATGCCATATTAGAGCCGGCCTGCGCCAACAAGTACCTCCTGCAAGATCTCCTCCGCGACTCGTGGGGCTTCGATGAGCCGTACCATTATGTTGTCTCGGACTGCGGCGCCGTGGACGACATCCATGAGCCTCACAAATTCGTCGATAGCAAGGAGAAGGCAGCGGCAGTGGCCCTGAACGCCGGCACGGACTCCAACTGCGGCAGCACCTACAGGCTGCTCAACGAGTCCGTGGCCAGCGGCCTGACGACCGAGAGCCAGATGGACATCTCCCTGACCAGGCTTTACAACGCCTTGTTCACCGTCGGATATTTCGACGGGCAGCCCGAGTTCGATTCGCTGTCGTGGTCCGACGTCGGCACCCCCGCGGCCCAGTCTCTGGCATACCAAGCAGCCTGGGAGGGCATGACGCTCCTGAAGAACGACGGGACGCTCCCCCTGACGAGCTGCTTCAGCTCAGTTGCTCTGATCGGACCGTGGGCCAACGCGACCACCCAGATGCAAGGCAACTACCAGGGCGTTGCCCCGTACCTGATCAGCCCGCTGATGGCAGCAGAGGTGCAGTGGACAAGCGTGACATATGCCCAGGGCACCGAGATCGACAGCTCGGACACCTCTGGTTTTGATGCTGCTCTTGCTGCAGCTAAGGCGGCGGACATCGTTATCTACATGGGCGGCATCGACACAAACATCGAAGGCGAGAGCTTGGACCGCAGGTCCATCGTCTGGCCGGGTAACCAGCTTGACCTGATACAGCAACTGTCAGAGGTTGGCAAGCCGCTGGTGGTCGTCCAATTCGGCGGCGGGCAGGTCGACGACACCGAGCTGCTGAGCAACGCCAATGTCAACTCCATCGTGTGGGGCGGCTATCCCGGTATGTATTGATCATCAATCTAGCAAGAGGCCACCAGCTCGAGAGAAATAATAAGCTAATGCCATGTCTCCTCACTGTAGGCCAGGAAGGCGGCAACGCCATCATCGACATCCTCACCGGCGAGAAGCCCGTCGCCGGACGGCTGACGACAACCCAGTACCCAGCCGCGTACATCGACGAAGTCTCGCTCTACGACCCCAACCTGCGCCCAAGCGACTCATCCCCGGGCCGAACATACAAGTGGTACAACAAGGAGCCCGTGCTGCCCTTCGGCTACGGGCTGCACTACACAACCTTCAGCTCGTCCTGGGCCGTCACGCCGGACGCATCATACGACATCGGCTCCCTCGTCCACGGCCGCTCCAACGGCACCATCCCGTCCAACAGCAGCAGCTCGTTCGCGACCGACGCCTCGGCGTGGACGACCGTCAGCGTCAACGTCCAGAACACGGGCGACTACGCCTCCGACCACGTGGCCCTGCTGTTCCTCAGGACCCCCAACGCGGGCCCGGCGCCGTACCCCAACAAGTGGCTCGTCTCGTACGCGCGCGTGCACGGCCTGGCCCCCGGGAAGACGCAGGAGGTGGAGCTCGACATCAACCTCGGGGCGCTCGCGCGCGCCGATGAGAACGGCGATCTGCTGCTCTACCCGGGCGACTATGAGATGATGTTCGACTATGACTCTCAGCTGACGTTCAACTTTACGCTGACTGGCAGCCCGACGTTGTTGGATGCGCTTGCGAGGCCGTCGTCGTAACATTGGATGATTCCGATTTCCTATACTTCTTTCTCTTCGTCAGATACCGAGTCCAAGTGTTGGACCTGCGGCCGAGTTTGAAATTGTACTTATATTTAAGTTTACTATAGTCTATGTCTCGAAAACGTTATGACATTAAAGCGTTTATTTTAATGCACCACAATCATCTTAGGTGCCCTCCCCCTATGATTGAGGAACTCCTTTTGATAGGAATGTGTCCTCAATTCTTCGGTCCCCAAGCCACCCTGGGGCATTGACTCTCTTGAAATTGAACAACTGGACGCTTCGAGGTAACTTTTCTCGGAACCTTGGCTCTTTAACAACATCTAAGTAGCCGTAAATGTATTTGATATGAGACTAATGAACAGCTGCGGAAGCTTTGGGTAGCACGGTATCACAGTGGTTGTTCCCGTTAGGTTCAAATACCACGCGCCAGCAGGTAGCGAGGCGACAGAGGGGGTCAGCAGGTTTCTTTATAGTCCTGTGCACAAGCTTGGCCTAGAAGCATATTGATGGGGGATGGTGATATGTGGATGACAAGAGATGCAGGTGAGTGAAAGTTGGATGGAGCCTTGACCCACAGCCACAAGATACCTGGGCAGCCTTCATACCCCCGCCACACATCACTTATGCAACTAAGAGATCCACTATTACTTTCTAAACCGTGTCCACCTGGGCACATACGCCCTAGGCTGCAGCCAACATCACACAAGAAGTGGCTTGGCTCTTATCCACGAATAAACAGCATTAATTAGAAGATTGATTGCTTTCATTTCTAGTCCTATCCTATCTCAAAGGAAAGCCCACAGCCAGATATGGCTTCAACATCATTCCAGATTTTATCAGACCTCCATCTCGAGACTCATAGCTCGTACAACCTCCCCATCAAACACAGCGCACAGAACCTAGCCCTCCTCGGGGATATCGGACAGGTCACCCATGACGGTCTATTCGACTTCCTGGAATCTCAATTGAACCGATACTGGAACGTCATCTTCATCCTCGGCAACCACGAGCCACATGGGACCAGTCGGGAATCAGCAAAGGCTCGTGTCCGCGCCTTTGAAGCGAGAATGCAGAATTTGCGGAAATCATCAACCATTGGCAATTTCATGCTCCTCGACCAGGGTCGCTGGGACGTGAACGACACTCTCACGGTACTTGGCTGCACGCTCTTTTCGAACATAGTATCTTCCCAGCGGCCTGAGGTGGACAAGCGGATGCGCGATTTTCGTGAGACCCGAGACTGGGCAGTCGAAGACCACATCACCGCTCACCGCTCCGACCTGGATTGGCTAAATGACCAAGTCAAAACTATATCCGAGGCCGAGCCACAACGGAAGATTGCGGTGTTTTCTCATTACAGCCCGACGCTGGATGAACAGGCTGTTGCGCCGAGGCATAGAGGAGGTCCCATATCGTCGGCTTTCGCTACGGACCTGAGCCAGGAACAATGCTGGGCCAACCAGGCTGTTGTATTCTGGGCGTTCGGGCATACTCACTTTAATTGTGATTTTACAGACAAGCACGGTAAGCGGATTGTTGCTAACCAAAAGGGTTATGCATCTGCTGTGGAGGCCGATTTCAAGATTGATAGAGTCTACACGATCGGACAATCGAAAGAGTCAGGGTTTTTATTGTGATCTCTTGTATATGCTTTCTCGTTCGAAGCGTATACGACACTAGTTAGTCTTGCCTCATATATATCTTTGGCACAGCCTTGAGACAGACATCCAGGTATTTGGCGACAATCAATACAAACTAGTTCCACGCAGATCAGAAATTGCCTTAAATTCCGTGTAGATCAAGATCATTAGATGCCACGTTAGACCTCGTGTCTCCGTAAATATCGGTGACATTTGTGTTTTACGAGAATGATGTTGACTGGGCTTCACTGCATTAGGCGAATAACTCTCCGGCAGAGAGATGGATCAATTTAAGGAAACTACCAACAAATCTGATATGTCAGTAGCCAACGCGAATATCGGTCCAAGCCGCCAGAGCTTGGGAGTTCCGGAATCCGCATGCATCGATAACCAGCACCGCCATTTCGTGCGCCAGTGGTCTAACCGGAACGGGGTTCTTCACGCCTCCACTGGCTCTGACTGGGTATGGTCCAAAACTCGAGGGGAAAAAAGCAAAACAAAACAAAACTGTCATGAAGGGGAATCGAACCCCTGCCCCAGGCATGGGAAGCCTGGATTCTACCACTAAACTATCATGACTGTCATTGTGCGAGGGGTGGGTGAAGTACATGAGCTCCAGATTGCCCGTCAGCAAGGGGTGGGGTTGGGATTGTGGCGCCATCGCAAGGTGGAGACGGCTAGACGCATGCAGTGCAGCTCCCCGCCCTTTCTCCACCACCTCACTCACAATGGCTCAGTACGGGTGAGACATCGGCGGGAACCGCGCTTGGCAGATACCAACTATCGGCGCCGGTGAGGCATACCTAGGTAAACATTCAACGGGGACCTCAAGATACCACGGCTCGGACGAGTTGCTTGGACACACTGTCCGGCGTCATTCAGGACTAATCGGTTTTTGCCCTTGTCGCTTATTAGCCGAGTTGGGCGCGAAGAGCTTGTGTGACTGCGGGTGGATGTGTACCCAGGCGCGTCTCGTTACTGAGAAAGGCATTTGCCTCGAACGTTTAGCATAACAAGTAACCCCGAGTGTCTCTCTACTACCATAGAGATATTCAAGATAATAATACCCATTACTGATTATCACAACTTTGCCATGACACTGACCCAATGAATACAACCATGATGAGACGCAACTCTGCAGTTCCACATCAACGGCCCCACTCCACAATCTTGGTGATGACCTGATGCCGATAAGTCCAGCTCCTAGCCCTCTTGCCAAACATATACATGGGGATGGTCGTAAGCACGACGGCCGCGGTGATGCCCCCGATGACGAAGAAGCAGTTGCGCACCCCCTGCACCATGATCCAGTCGTTGGCGTAAAAGGTCATCCCAAAGGCAAACAGGTTCTTGACAAAGTTCATGATGGCGAAGGCCTCGGCTGCCTGCTCACGGTGGCAGTCGACGATGTACGTCACGACGCCCGTGGTGCCGAGCTGCACGCCCAGGTTGATCAGGCCGAGGCACACGATGACGGGGACGGGCCAGGGCTCCTGCGCGTAGAGCGACTGGCCCCAGGCGAAGAAGCCCGCCGCGGTGAGGAAGAGGTAGGTCGTCATGATGGGCAATCGGAACTCGGGCTCTGTGGGCGGTGTCAGCTGACTATTTCATCATGGTTTGGGTGGACCGAGGACTACTTACCAAAGATACCCCTGTTCCTCTTTGACATGAACTTTGCCAAGCCATCGATGAGAGGTCCGGCTAGGGCCGTGCCGATCAGGGTGGCCACGAAGGAGGACAGGTTTGAAGCGCCGACCGCGGTGATGGAGAAGTTGTACGGCGGCGCCGAGAAGATCTGAGACAGCGTGATGGAGATGAGGACCAGCCAGGAGATGCAGGTCGTGAACAGCAGGGTTGCCCAGGAGACCATGGGCGAGCCGAGGAAGAAGAAGGGGCGGATGAGCGTGCGCCAGAAGGATGTCTTGTCCCAGTATCCGTCATAGGGTAGGAGCTCGCGCAGAAACGTCTTTCTCGGTTCGTTGCTGGCCTCCGTGGTAGGGCTACCGGACGTCTGCTCCTCGGTGTGCTCGAATTCGGTCTTCTTCTCGAGCATCTGGCTGAAAGACTTGTCCGTGGTATCGATGTCGATGGCGCCCCTGCGGTGGTAGGCTGACTCGGGCATGAAGAGCACGGTGAGTATCAGCTGCACGACGAACGCGCCGCCCATTGCGTTCAGGCAGATTCGGTAGGACCCGTATTGGATGATGGCACCAGCTGTCCCTATTTAGTCATCCTGCATTCACCTGCTTGATTTGACCATGACTCACCGATAGGAGAGGCCAGATTGATGCCACCTAGCACACCGAGGTTGAACACGGCTGACTGGAAGCCACGCTCGTGGACGAACCAGATATCGGCGATGGACGCCGGGACAAGTGCCTCCATGGGAGCCATGGCAAAGCCCTGGACCGCTCGCGCCGCAGCGAGGGAGCCGAAAGACTCGGAAGCGGCGGCCCAGAAACATGAGATCATGAGGAGGACGGATGTGACGATGTAGATCGGTCGCTTCCCTATCTTGACAGCCAACGTGTTGCAGACCAGGCTAGACACGGCGATGGCGACAATACACGAGCCCTGGAGACCGAGGGTGAATTGCTGCAAGGGGATTTGGAATTCTTCGGCGAGCGGTGCGAGGGCGGCTGTAAGTAGAGGACCCACGGCTGCATGAGCGCGTCAGTGACGTGCTCGAGTCGAGTCTGTGTTTTGAGGAGAGAAAGTAAATGTGGACGGCGTACCTCCTACGCATCCACAGCCATAGGCTATGGCAACCGTGAACATCCTCTTCTTCCATTTTGGCCAGTTGTAAGGGTCATTAGGCGAATCTGACGGCTGCGGGACGAGGACGATCTTCCCACTCGGGTCGTGTTTGAGGAAGTTGGAATCGATGCCTGCTGTGTCCTCAACCCCAATGTGTCCCAGCTCATTCAAGGGCGACGTGCCCGGGACATGCTCCAAATGGCGGTCTTCGAGAATTCCCAGAGGCATCTTGGCTTGCTCGAGGCGCGTATATTTTCAATCTGTTCGTCCAAGAAAACAAAGAACGTGGACACCACTGGCCTGGAGAAACTACACAGCACACAACGCGACAGGTCTGCCGTGGGATGGGATGCCGGGTCCCAGGTTATATCCCGAGAATCACACCCTGCACCCCCCCCCCCAACATTGGGCACCTGGGCATGTCAAATCATGGCCAGATTTCTGCGGGCCAGCTGTCACCCGTGTGTTTCAGCACCACCCAGAGGTCCTTAGACGTCGCTGTGTCAGCGATTGCTCAAGCAGGGCCCAGCGATGCACGCTCCCATTTTAGCCGAACTCGAGGACGATCTAAGCATTTAGGGTGCAGCCGTGCGGGGGAAAGCCGGGGTGGTGGATCTGGGGTAGGACGGCATGAACCTTGTCTGGATGCGCGCGCGCGGGACAACGTTCTTTCGCTTGGTACCGCAATATCTCGCTTCCCCGGGATGGGTTTGTGATTTGCCATGTTATCTCGGGTGATATATCTGGTGTGCCCTTCGTATTTCTTCCCTGGTTGGTCCTGCAACACGACATGCTTTTCCGACTTGATGCAATGCTCGTGCCGAGCTCACCAATTGGGCCCAGAGAATCTGCATCGAAAAAGCTTACTCGGGGATCGCCAGCAGTTAATAGTATGACAATTTCATTTATTCATCAGCGCCAAGATGCTTACATCATGCTGTATGGACTGTTAGAATTAAAGCTGTCAGGGGATGGTCACATCGGGGTGAAGGGATTATCGTGCTATTGAGCCGCTGCGGTCATCATTCCACAAGCCTATATAGGTCAGATTTATGTATGAGAGACACCTGTCAGACTTCTCATTTCCTTATCGCTACGACCATGCATAATCAGGCGTAACCTAAGCTCCAGAACCTCTCTAGATTCTTCTTACTATCCTCATCGATGTAGTCGTGCGGCGGCCGAAGTGTGGCACTGTCTCCGTGAATCTCTGCCAGTTCGCCATTCAGCTTTGGATCGTCCACAAATTTTGTGACACCTTTGATCAAAGTCGACATTGGTGTAATGATCATGCCCTCGAATAACTCTTTGCTCGGCGCGATATTCGTTACTAGCGCGGTCTTGTCAGCGGAGAGTCCGGGAGCATAGGCTGGGGGAATTGTATATCCGACCTAATACCGCAGGGGCCAACCCGTTGATCTGGATCTTGTGTCGTTCCACGATCGGTGCAGTTGATCGGACGAGGCCTATGACCCCAGCCTTTGCAGCTGCATAGAGCGGCGACACTGGAAATGGGTACAAGCCGGCGTTGGAAGCTGTGCAGATGATTGAGCCTCGAGACGGGCCGGCTGATGCATTCTTGTTCATGTAGTGTATCGCCAGTTTCACGGCTGTAAAACGGTTCAGCTTAGGTTCAAGAGTTGCAGGGGTAAGAACTCACTGTAAATGACGCCAGTAAGATCAACGTCCATGATCTTCAGGTTGGGCTCTTTGGGCTCATCCTCTTCTATGCTTGCCATGGCGCTTCCTCCCTGTTCAGAAATGCCAGCGTTTGCCATGACGATATCGACCCGTCCAAATTCGCTGTACACATCCTTGAAGGCCTCTGCCTGATTCTGCCACGACGAAACGTCGCATTTCTTGAACAGTATCTTGGCTTTTGGGTGACTCTGCGCAACGCTGGAAACGACCTGCTTGCCGACCTCTAGGTTCACATCAAAGACAGCGACGTTGTTTCCTTGGGAAGCAAAGTGCTCGACCATCGCGAGGCCGATGCCGCTTGCACCCCCCGTCACGATGATTGTCTTTTGGACATGGCCATCGGCTGTTCCGCCGTTCATTCTGATCGTCGTGGAATCTCGAATCTTGCTCAAGTTACCCGACAAGGATGTGTTGAGGCAAAGTAAATGCAGAAGAGGCGTGTAGAGAATCGGTCGTTTGTGCTGGTAACTGGTTTTAGCCTTGGCTGTGTGTCCGGGATCTCTCCTCTCCCCAAAAGATATAGTTGACCCGGTCTCTACACGGTGAAGTCGAGCTGCCGATCCGGCCGGGTTGGGTGCCGAGACTTCGGTGGCTTTTGGCTTTCTTTCAATGCTTGGACCGTCAGGAGGACAACCCCGCAGCCACGTCTCGTCTACTTATCGTCGATGCGGGTACCTTAGTGTCCCTCGGCCGACAAATGATAAACCGAGAGGTTCATATCCTTTTCGTCGCGGCAGGCGTAGCGAAACAGTCAAGATTGACGCGATCTCAGGATCCAGAATCGTACCATTAATTCTGAACTCATATCTCCTACACCTCACGGCCCTAGTAAAGATTACTTTAACCCCTGAATCTGTAACGATGGCAGAGATACACTTCTCTGAGGATGACGCCAAGACTTTGAGGGGCAGGGTTGTCGTCTTGACAGGTGCTAGCTGCCACCCATCATCTGCTAGGCCAATGAACGCTGACATGAAACCCCCAATCAAGGTGGAGCGCAAGGCATCGGTGCGGCGGCTGTGGCTTTATACCATAAGCATGGCGCCCATGTGTACTTCGGAGACTGGGACGATGCAAAAGGCAAGGCAGTCGAGCAAGAACTACAACCGCAAGAGACAGGAGGCTCAGTACACTTTCAAAAGCTCGACGTCCGGGATTACGACTCACAGCTTGCCCTGTTCGATGCGCCATTCAAGGATCACGGCCGTGTTGACGTCGCCGTGTCCTGTGCCGCCGTCAAAGAGCCAGACGGGTGGTTTGAGCCGGAGGATCTGGACTTGGCGACCGTCCGCCGTGTGAGTGGGCAAGTTTCTTCGACGGTTGAGTAGGGAGCTGATCTTTGCCTCAGGAGCCTGTCCCATTGAAAGACCACATCGACATAAATCTGACCAGTGTCGTATCTTTTTGCCGGATCGCCCTGGCGTATATGAAGGCCAGCCATTCCTCAGGCGAGAGCAACGACTTTTCCAAATCCATCGTGCTCGTCTCCTCGATAGCGGGCATCACTGAGGCGCCCGGCCTCTTCGCCTATTCGCCGGCAAAGCATGGTGTCATCGGCCTCATGCGAGCCCTGCGGCCGTGGGCACCGCGGAAATACGGCGTCCGGGTCAACGCACTCTGCCCTTGGGCGACAGACACCCAACTACTGCTGGGCGTAAAGGAGATGTGGGTTAAAGAGAAGATGCCGATGAATACACCCGCCGATGTGGGCAAGATCATGCTTCAGTGCTCGACCGACAAGGGCCTCAACGGAAGGGCGGTTTTCATCACGGGCGGCAGGTTCTTCGACACGGAAGAGGGAGTGGATCGGACTCTGCCGCAGTGGATGGGGGAGCAGAATGCTAAGGAGTTCCTCAAGGGCCAAGATCTACTGGGATTGGTAAGTTCAAGTCATTATCTCGACGACGATTGACGTGTGCTAAAGAATACATGTCGCGACAGGGAGATGGCTGGACAGATTGAGCGGTGGGCCCGTGCAAGTCTAGGCTTCACGTCAACAGTGAGCAAAGCGTTGGCGAGGGGACTCCTCGTTTGAGTCAGAATTGAATAGATTTAATGGATGTGGTAATGCAATGCATCTCGCCGTTTGAGGCCGCTACCTATCTCTTATCCCTCCTTTTATTTCCCGTCAACACTGGTAGTTCTGTCGTGTAGCCATATCCAACCAACAGACCATCGACTATGTGTATTCTAGAATACTCCGCTAAGCACTAACATCCCAAATAAGCTTAGGACCTGGCTTTAACCATATTATATTTTTTATTTAACTATATATTTATTTATTTATTGTTTTTCTAGCTTTTAAATTAATTATTAGCTTATATTTTAAGTATAAAGTTAATAATTATTTAATATATATTTTTAAATTGATTTATATATAGAGTTACTAACTTTTTTTATAAAGTTCTTTTTTTTACTATATTCTTTATATATTATATAGAAGTAGATAAATTTTTAATAATAAAGTAATATACTTAAAAAAGAAAGATTTAATTTTTAAATATCTAGATTTCTACTTTCTTTATATAATATTTATTTAATATATAATAAATAAACTCTATTCAACTTTTAAAAAAATTTAATTTTTTATAAAATTTATATAGAAAGGCTTTTAAATAGGTTTATTATTATAGTATTATTATTTTATTAATAGCTATATATTTAAAATAAGAATTATAATATATTTAGTTTATTTAATAAAAGTAAATTTAAGTGGCTATATAATAAGTATATTAATAGGGAAGAGTTAGTTTATTAAGTTTTATATTATAGAATTCTTTTTTTATAGAGGTTATTTTAAGATTATTTTAGTTTTATTATATAACTATTTTATTAACTTTTTAATATAATATTATTAAAAGTAATACTTTCTAACTTTATTTATATAATATAAAGTTTAACTATATATTTATATATTATATTTTCTTTCTATTATTATTAATATTATATTTCTTTAAATATTAGGTTGTAAGTGTTTACTATTATATAAAGGTACTATATATATTTTATATATATAGGGATTAAAAACGAAACTATAAGCTTAGGACCTCGCGGCCCTGGTCCGATTCAGTCGGGAAATTGTGCTTTAATCAATAGACTATCATATCTTGCTTTTAACTCGAGCCTGCCTGTGAGTGGCGTTCTCAGTCTTTCCCGAAATAGTACTACCGATATCACGCCGCCTTCATTCAAAATTCCATCACCTCCGGCTCCTGGCTGGCAATGCGTCAAGATGGCATGGGCACAAACAAAACCTCATCATCCTCAATCTCCGTCTGCCTCTCCAAACATTTCGTGCAGAACAGTATCTCCGGTCGATTGCCATAAGGCCGTTGGTATAAGCCCCTCTGGTATAATTGGTCAAAGACCTGGCAGTGTACGTCATGCATGGGGCCGTCGTGAGCCTTTGTGACCCGCTCGGTGATACAGGCTAGCTTCTGCCTGGAGATGTAGGGGTTCATGTCCCTGGGCCAGCTAGTCTCTCCCTCGGGTGTGGTGACCGTGATTCGGGGGACGCCAGGACTCGGCTCCGGCGCCTTTTCCGACATGGGCCGTAGTACCCAGTTAGGGTTTGTGTTTTTCGGCCTGGTCAGTCTCGATGTCCACTGCTTGTTTCCTCGGAGAACATGTTGAAGGCTGTCCTTGTAGCTGGCAGGTCCGAGTTCACGCCCCTTTTCGCGACGCTTCGCGATCAGCTTCGAGAGTCGCTTCTCGTGCTGGACAAAATCTTTCGGGGGTACGGGGAGGTGGTCCAAGTCCTTCGCGTGCAGCTTGACGATATGCTTCCAGTGGTTTCGCGGACGCTTGTTTTTGATCGTGGGGGAGGGCCTCGCTGGTCCCATCGCGGAGGCGGATGTGGATGCCGAGAGTTCCGTTGCGTACTGCGCGTCTATAGCTTGCTTCAAAAGCATTCGTTGGTGTTTTTTCGAACTTTCGGATTTTGGATGTTTCCTTTTCGTCTCACATTCGGTCGCGCCCACGGACGTCGCCATTGCGGTACCTAGGTCGTTGACTCGATGACTGATGCGTACTGTTTGCTGATGCGCCCTATACTCCGAAGAAAATTGACTTCGGTTTCTGCTCTGACCAGTCTTATAAACGTGCCTCCGGGCTCGAGCCCGAAAAGGTTACTGGCTTGTCGTGTTGATCGAGTGTAAGACGCTCCGTGTACTAGGAGATGGTTCCTAACTGACCACGAGTCTTGGTGAAGATGAATAGAGTCTGTGGTGGATACGAAATACGATAGATATTGAGGTTATGACCACAAGAGTAATGGAATGTATGTTGCGTTAGGTTGTCCGTGGTTTGATAGCGATTGTCTGATGACTCCGAGTTTGATAAAGCTTGTCTGAGAGAGAGGAAGTTTGGGTGGGATGGTTTCGAAAGGCAAAAGTTCGGGGCGAACTTTCAACTTGAGCCGCAGAAAACTTCCAATTTGTGTTCGACTTAGACACGCACCGGCTCCAGATAGATTTGGACTATTTCTTTTGGCCCGCGGACTAGCACACACCACTGGGGGCGCCATGGAGCCTCAGTGCCTGGCGCGCAAAAATTGGGCCTTAATGTATGGAAGTAAAAACTTTTGTCCTTAGGCAGAAAGTGGTATGTCGAACTTTTCTACACTGTTTGTAGGTCTGACTGGTTTCGTAGCCTCGTAGGGGGTTCGTTTATAATCGGTTCCACAAGCCATAAGCCCGGTGCCGCACCTCAGTGTTAGACCATACCTACCTACCTAGGTAGGTAGGTACCTAGCTGCTTTCAACAAGATATCTACTCATATTTGAACTTGTCATGGGCCTAAAAAGCACACTATATAAAAGGCATTCCACCGTATGAAGGCGCCATGGATGTCCTCGGACGTATACGGAATAGAAGCGAAACCACATATAGAAGGCATTCTAAGGCTGTGATCCATCACGTAATATCATCGTCTCGAAGCGTCACAATAGCATGGGACAAGATGGTTGATCAAAATTTCATTTTGGGGCAATCTATCACGAAGAAGTAGTGACGAGTAAGACTAGAGACATGTTGAGTCCGTCTCGTATGATACGTGCCAAAAAAAACTAATGAGGGGGATGTTTGTGAATCCACCTTTACAGTAGCCCTGCCTTCATCCACTGGCGTCTCAAATTTTCCTTCTCAGGTGCATCCTGATTTTGGGTACACTCATGTCGCCGTAGCGTATCGTCGAAACCCTTCCGTCACATGTTGTCGTACCATCGGGCGGAAGACGTGTATCCGACTTTCTCGACCCTCCTTAGTACAGAATGTGCCCTTACTATCTCCTCATCAACTCCGCAAAGAGGTAATACGATGTCGATTCGCTGTCATGTGTGCCCGAAGACCACTTTTTCTCCACCAAGCAGATGACCCACGCAGTTCTTGTTCTCTGCGAGCCACTTCGCTACTGGCACCAACTGCTCCTGCACCGCCTTCTGGTGGTCGACCGCCTCATGCTGCTCAGCTGGCTGCAGAGCTGGGCCAACGGCTCATTGTGAGTTTGTTGTGCCTGCTCCTGATCAGCCGAATCAACACCGGAAGCCGAATGAGCGTACTAGTAGTCAAGTCAGTACTCAGGCTGTTGCTCCGAAGCCTCACCGGCATCAAAGTCGAACCACTGCTCGTTGGGGTCGCTGACGTGAGGAGCAGGCTGGTCGAAGGGTGCAGGGGGCTGCAGGCCCCGCTGGTAAGAGTTGTAAGCAGCGTTGGGGTCCCCCAAGTTAGGAGCAGGCTGGTTGAGAGGCCGAGGTACCGGAAGGCCCTGCTGGTAACAGTCGTAACCAGCGTCGTAGAAGCCCGGGTTGTTGGCGGGAAGCGCAGGATCGTACTGCATGTTTTGACCGGCATTCTGCGTGACCAGGCCCATGGAAGGGCCCTCACCAATGCAGCGGCGCTTAGCCGGGGGCTCCTCGGAGTTCTGGCCGGAGGAGGATCCGCTCGCGGGTCCGACAGTGGCGTTCTAGGCCGAAGTCTGGACCTCGATCACATCACGCACCTCCGCGGCAGGTTGGTGCTGCTGCTGCTGCTGCTCGTCGTCCTCGTCCTCTTGCTCGAGCTCGAAGTCGTCCTCCTCCTCGTCGTCCTCCTCAGCCTGCCTCTTCCTGCCCTTGCCCCTGGGCCTACCAAGACCGCTGCCGTGTGCGGCCTTCGACCTGCCACGCGCGGTTGAGTCCCTCTTCAAGACAGCCCTCTTGTTGTTATTATTCCTTTGGAACTTCACCTTCGCGGTACGCTCCCCGACGGGGTCAGAGGCGATCCTGAGGGCCATGCCGGCCGTCTTGAGGGTGCGGCAGATAGCCTTGTTGTACTTGAGGACTTCTACAACCTTGTCCACCTTGCTGGTATAGTCGTCCTCCTGGACGACCTTGGGACCCGTGTGATCTCCCCTCTGCACGAGCAACATGGCTTCCATGAGATTGAAGCACAAGACCTCTGCCTCGATAGGCGCCGTAGCCTTCACAGCCTTGTATGCCAGGCAGTCGTCGCGGTTGGGGAGGGCCTCCGACACCTGATCCTGCTCCCCGTCGAGGGTGAAGAAGGCCTCGTAAAGGCGACGGACGATCTCCAGTCGTCCCGCTTCGGTGTCGGGGTATCCAGTGGACTTGTCGTCCTCCGCCGGCGACTTGTCCTCGTTGGTGCTTCCCTTTGCGCTAGCAATAGCACGCTCGTACTGAACCATCTCTTCTGCGGTGCGGATGTGTGCCTGGTAGCCACGGTTCTTGTGTTTTAGGAGGCCTTCCACGCGCTTTTGGAAGGCGGGGGTGATATTCTGGACCGCAGTAGATTGAACCTGCGTTGTAGCAGAAGAGCTTGGGACTACATACTGAGCGGGGTGGAAGGTTTGCGGATGATGTCCATGAGAGTGGCCACCTTGGAGCCCCTGGTAGTATGGAAGGTAGTCATGAACGGAGGCCCCATGGAGATAGGTCTGATCACCGCCGGCTGGCTGACCGTAGAGTTCAGCTCCGGAGTTTGGTCCCGCAGTATCAGTGGGGAGGAGGGTGTATTGCTGGTGGCATTGAGAGTGGTCACCTTGGAGTCCCTGGTATTGTTGTGGGCTGCCCTGATCAAAGTCCCCATGGAGATAGGCCTGATCAGGGTTGTCGGCTTGTTGAATCGAAGCTTGAGGCTCGTGGAGCTGTTGGTTGCAGGCTTGAGCGTGAGACGCAGGATCAATTGGGTTGTTCTCCATGGTAGGTTTTGTGGAGGGAAATTCGAGGCAAAGTGGATGGGGAGGGAGGAAGTCGACGGAGAGAGAGGAAGCTGATGGAGAGGAAGCTAATGGAGAGAGAGAAAGCTGATGGACAGAGAGGAAGCTGGTGATCAGACACCAAGATAATGGGGGTGGTGGTTGTTCGAGGAAGGGTGGTGCGAGGAAGGGGGGGGGGGGAGGCGGTGTTTAAGTATTGGCACTCGAGACAAGTGAATCTATTCCGAGAGGCTAAATCATCGAGTAGTAAAACCACAATAGCATTGTTTTCCCATTCAACGAGTCCCAGTGTCTGCCGAAGGTGATCTAGACGATTTATCAAGTGGTCCGTGACGGAAGAACACCAGGGGCGGAGACTGTCTGGTGAAGTCAGGATCCCGGGAAGGGGTCACGGGGCATGGTTCGGACCTGCGTGCGGATAATGGAACATTGGATGATGTCTCCATGAATATGTGTTGGGCGTAGACGGCCATACTGTGGCTATATGAAGATACTTCGATCCGCAGTGCGCGGTCCTCCTCCACTTACTTTCCACCCATTACTTGTGGCGAGAAGAGATCCACAGCCTGCCCACCCGGAAAACAACTCCTGGCCTTCACCGGAAACGCGTCAAGATATCGAAGGGGGGCCAGCGAGGGCTCCATGACATCGTCTGCTTCCATGGCGCGTCGTGGGCTGCTCGCGCGTGACGCGTGACGGCTCCGGACAGGTGTGGTCTCCCGGCAAGTCTGTGTGGTCGTCCGGCAAGTCCCTACGCATAGACCCCATCAGTAACTGGATGCTGTCCTCGGGAGACGAGGCTTGTCGAGGAGCCACTTGTAACTGGAGTGCCACTCACCGAGTTGGACTTTGAGTCAGCATCACCATAATGTTGGCAGAATCACATGAGGCTTCAGGTTACAGAGGCGAGTGCTTGTAGAGGGTGATTTCAGGGCTGGTGGGTGGATTGATGATAGGCAGGGCGCTCGGGGGGCGCCCGGGCGTGGGACGACGGGGATGCGTTGTAACGGCTTCGAACAGCCACGTGAGGCTTGGGGCACGGGCAAGCTTCGTGACCATAGACCAGGGTGGTTTCGAGCGGTTTCGTTTCTAATCCCCATACATATAAAACGGCTGCGGTGCCTTCATACATACAGTGCTGCTATCGTGAACGCCAGTAAGGGGTCCTTGTGGCGCCTGCCGCTGGGTGCGCAGCAGAAGAGAGACCACAGACCAATGAATCCTGATCACGACGCCAGGAGGTACGGTGTGGGCCAACACTCGAGGTACGCCGAATGGAAAGGGTATTGAGTCAAGGCAACGCTTGGAATTACTTCTACGAGACCTCGAAATCAACGTTGCGTAGGGATAGTTCGGGAGTGAACCTCGATGATTATTGAAAGATCAAGTTCGTCGTCGAGAAGACCATATTGACCGCCCGTCAAGCCGGCCATCCTAGCCGGGGTGTGTATGGGTGGATTCGTTTTTAGTCCCCATACATATAAAATGTATGCGGCGCCTTCATACAGCGGTAAACGCTCAAGACCTCAATTGCCAACGTTTATAAAAATACCGTGCCAAAACAGCGGAAAGACATTACAAGATGTCTGTGGGCACGTGGCTCAACCTCGTGCCGCACAGATAAGGCTGGAAGGCATCGCTCCGGCGGGGTGTGTATGTACTGGGCATCTTCTGTGGCAGTAATAGAGCAAAGCGGTAGCCGTCCGGCCTCGAAAGGGTTTAATGCTTACAGCAACATGGCAGTACGGATTGTTTCAGGAGCACGATCATGTATAAAAGGCTATTGGGGGACGATTCGAAGCACATAGAAGGAGGGGGGTAGAGGAGAATTCTATAAAATATATATTGATAGGCTGGGGCGACAACTACGTTGCAAACGACCGCCCGACACACCTCACTACGTGCTTGATTAAAAAGAAAACCACCCTTCCAGTATGAGTAATGACAACCAACGGATCCAACAATTATTGCTCACAGCAGGAGCTCGCACGCCTTCCATTCCACCTTCGTCCAAAAAAAGCAAACCAGTCCTCCATCACGCAGTTCATCGGAACATATCCGCCCAAGTCCACATCAGGGACGACAATGAAGGACAAATAGTCCACCGCAGTGATACACAGTCCCATGGCGTGTAAGCCTTTGGCTTTTGTACACCAGTGCTGTGATGAGGGACAAACAAAGTCATTTCGTCTCTTCCTTCAGCCCGGACCGAAGTCCAGATAAGACGGGATGAACGAGGCCGCTATCTCGTCCAGCCTTCCAGTCGAAAAATTCGTTGCCGACTACCGCAGTAGTCCTCCACAGCTTGTTTATAGACATCCAAGTCTGTCAGTGACTGCAAGCTTGCCGCTTAGGGCCTGCGGCCATACAGCGTCTCCGCCCAGTTAACGCCACGGAGAAACTTGGCATGGTCCACCCCGTCGGGCACTCCCTCCATGACTTGGCCCTGAGGCTGGTAAGTCTCATCGTTGGTCAGGTTCGGGTCGGCAGCCCCGTCCTGCTGGGGCGCCGGGTCGTTCGGCTGGTTGGGAAGCGGTTGCTCCGTGACCTGGCCTTGGTTCTGGGGAGCCTGATCGTAGCCCTCCAGGCGATACTTCTGGTAGAAATCGGCGAACTGCTGTTCCGTGAGCTGAGGGTGATCCGGGTTCAGATCGCAAGCCCCGTCCTGCTGAAGCGCGGGGTCGTTGGAAAGTGGTTGCCCCGTGACCTGGTCTTGACTCTGGGTAGTCTTCTTCCAGTCCCTCAGAATCTCCGGGTCGATCAGGTCCTCTGAAACTTGGTCCGTGACTTGGCCTTGGTCCTGGGGGGTCTGATCGTAACCCTCCCGACGATCCTCCTCCTGGACGAACTGGGCGAACTGCTGGTCTAAGAGTTGGTCTTCCCGGGACATCAGAGGGTAATCCGGGTTCGGATAGTAAGCTCCGCCCTGCTGAAGCGGCGGGTCGATCAGCTGGTTGGGAAGTGGTTGCCCCGTGACCTGGCCCTGATCCTGGGGGTTCTGACCGTCGTGGCCCCCCAGAACCTCCTGGAGATTCAGCCCGTCCACAAATTCGACCGTGATTTCGTCTGGAAGCTGGTATGTCTGGCCGTAGGTCAGGTTCGGATCGCAAGCCCCGTCCTGCTGGGAGTCGAGAGCGGCAGCGTTGCCAGGCGAGTGCGCTGGTGCAAGTGGATGGGTTGCCTGGGGCGCGAGGGCAGGACCGTCGTCGGTCCTCCGACGCTTGGCCGGACGGCCGGTGGGTGGCTGTGGTTGGCCTTGAGTGCCGTTTGCATCTTGGGCCTGGGCATTCTAAGCCCCAGCCTGGGAAGCCTGGACAGCCTCGTGGCCAGCCACAGCCCCGGCGGAGGAGGAGCCAGGCTCCGAGGCAGTCTCCGCCTTGACGTCGTCGTCGTCGTCCGCAGCCCTCTTGCCCCTGCCCTTGGCCGTGGCCTTCCTGGCGGTGCCGTTCTTTTGGTTCGCTTCGCTGAGGAGGTCTCCCTTCCTCTTGTTGGTCCTCATGTTGCCGTTCTTCTTTACCAATTCCGAGGCGGGATTGGCGGCAACGCGAGCCTGGAGCTCCACAGACTCCATTACACTCTTACACAGCAGCTTGTTGAAGCTAAGAGCTTCGACAACCGCGTCAACCTTCTCCCCAAAGGTTGCTTCCTGCACCAGGGGGTAAGGTTGTTGTCCGACCGGCAAGCCCATCTGGACCTTTCTCATTGCCTCCTATACCAGCAAACGTGTTAGCAACAAGGGACTGAATAGACAGTGAGCAAACTATTAAGACGTACCATAAGATCCCAAGCCACAATCTCGATCTCGAGAGGGGAGCGGTTGTTGATAAAGGTGACCGCAGTAGATTCTCGCAAGGGAAGCTTCTCTGAAACCTTGCACTGCTCGCCGTCAAGGTTGACGATGGCCTCAAAGAGCCGCCGCACGACCTCCTGCTTGCCGGCGTCGTCGGCGGGGAAGTCGTGGCACTTGTTCTCCGCGGCGCGGGCCCTCTTGGGCCTCTTGGCCCACCAGACTGCCGACCTGTACGACTCGACATCTCCCGGACCCTTAATGTGTCCACAGAACCCGTCACTGGTGGGCTGATTCAAGAGGGCGTAGACGTGATTCGAGAAGTCCTGGTAGGCCTGGGGGACAGGGGGGACCTGGCAGTGCGCCGCCGGATGGGCGGGCCCTGAGGGATCGGCTGCCTGGGGGTCGCCAGCGAGCGTGGCGGCAGCTGGGCCGGCTGAGGCTTGTGCAGGAGGGCCATTGTTTCCCTCGGGCTTGACGCCAGCGTGACCGGAATTGGGAGTGTTGGCGTGACTGCCAGAGGGACCATTGGGCGCAGGTGGGTACGAGAGGTTGGTCCCGGGCGGTGGGCGCATGTATCTGGCAGCTTCGGGATCCATGTTTCGAATCATCTCATATTGCTGACGCTGAAGCTGCTGCTCCTGCTGAGAGTAGTAGTTTTGAGGGTTGCCATTCGGTTGATGGGCAGGGTAGTTGTGGCTCACTGGCATGTTCTGGGCTGAGTAGTAGTGTATTTGATGTGCCTCGGAACCATGGGTCTGATTGACCTGAGCCTGGGGGATCTGAAAGTTGTGCTGAGTCTGGTCGACACGCTGGGGGGCCGCTGCCAACGGGGTCGCACCTCGAGCCGCCGCGGAATTCGGGATCCCAATCAAAGGATAGCGAAGGTTGTCCAGGTTTCCCGAACAGCCGTCGTTGAACATGTCGAGAGGCTGCCTACGCTGCTGACCCATCGCCGGGTTGCCATAGTAGCGCGGCACAGACGCCGGCGGGCGGACACCAGCGCCAGCGGCCCTGGGGAAGACACCGCCGCGGGCGTTGGCCATGTTCTGCTGGCCAGCGCGTGGGTTCATGGGGTGGGCCTGACGGTTGACGGGGGTGGATGGGGAGTGGGTGGTGCTGGGGGGGTTGGAGTCGCCGACGTTGGTCGCGGGAGTCGCCAGCTGCTTGGGCGTGGGGGACTCGGGTTGATCGTTGTTGGACTGCATCTTGGGTGTTGTCGTTGGTGACTGACTGATTGAATACTCAAGAGCTGTGTTGGGATTGACTACTCGTGAGCTGTCTGGGGATTGATAGTTAGAATTAACTGGCCACGGGCTTGATAGTAAGCGACAGACGTGGCGGGGCGTTTGACTTTGTCGCGTGAGTGGCAGTTGGCAGAGGTCGATTGGACGACGATGGGATTGGAAGATTTGTGGGTGGATTGGACGATGGAGATGGAAGATTCCTGGGTGGATTGGACGATGGAATTGAAAGACGCTTGGGTCGATTGAAAGACGATGAAATTGGAAGATGCTTGGGTCAAGGAAGGAGGGGCAGGCTGTTGACAATCGCGTGTGTTGCAAGGCAGATGTAGCTGCAATTAACGTTGGCTGTCTTGGACGCAGCTTGTCGCGATGTCAGTGGAGATGTGGTGTGTCGGGGTGTGAGAGGGGTTTGAGGCAGGTATTTGCCGACAATGGGATTTGATCGGGCAAATGCTTGGGCAGATGTTGACTTACGTGAGGAATGGTCGACAATGAGATATGATTGGGGCAGATGCTTGGGAAGATGTCGAGTTGAGAGAGGGATGTGTTGTGGGTGCGAATCGCGACAGTCGTGCAAGAGATGGAAGGGGGACGGCGGCGGCACCTTGGACCAGACGCCTCTGCTGTCGGATCCTTTGGGAGGACGGACTGCAGAAATGCAATGAGATAGTACTCACGAATCAATTAAAAGGCTTCAGGAAGCAGATGAACTTGTGCATGAAAGACGCAACCTTGACGATGTTTGGTATCGAGAGAGAGAAGCAGGTTGTGTGGTGTGGTGTGAGAGGGACAGGTTGTGGACGGAGGGAGGGGAGGGAGGGGAGGTAGGTGTGGGCAGAAGGGGTGTCAGGCTCGCCCGTCCAGTTAAGGTGAGGTCGGGATAGTGAATGTCAACAAATGGGGGGCAGCTCGAGAAGTGTTTGTCAAAAGCTGTTTTCCGGTCGGCTCTGTCAGCCACCCGGACGTGACAGGTGAATCCGAAGACACCAGGGCAGGGCACCACCTGGGCAGTCTTCCGCATCGAGTACCGATGAGCCCATGTATCTACAGAAATCGATCTCCCTGGAGCTGTGCTCGTTATAAAGGCCCGAGGTCTTGCGTTTTCTATTCTTGTGTCTTCTACTCTTGAGTTTTCTACTCTCATTCAACGAGCACCTCTCCTCTTCAATACCATAGTACCACCCACTTCCACCCATGCCTCCAAGCCGTGTGTCGTCCAATTTCCAGAAATCCTTGTGCTGACCTGTATTTCGGCCTGCTCACAGATCTCTTCTTCGTTGCTCGTGTACCATTGAGAGTGTTCTGCGGTCTCATCTGTGGGACGAATGGCCAGAGCAGAGCCGAATCGAACTGGTCTGTTTTCCGAAAATACTCCACTCTGGTATCCTATCACCTCGCGATTTTGAGCGATAGACGCAGTAAACAGCCGTCTAGCCCACCGATGTGTTTCTCGACAGGAAAGCTAGTGGCGGGCATTGTACTCTGCCACCGGCGCCAGCAACAGCATGTCCTCCCAGTCATCGGCCGAGGCACCATCGTTGGCCAAGTTGGACTGGAGCGAGCCGTCTTCGGCGGCCTGCTGCTGACCAGGCTGCTCGTGCTGGAACATGGGCAAAGGCTGCCAGTCCATATGCTGCTGGGGAGGCTGGGGAAAAGGCGAGTAGAACCCGTAGTTGCTGGAGAAGGCTGCGTCCGAGTAGTCGCCCCACTGCGCAAAGCCAGCCTGACCATCCAATCCCATGGACCCGGCTGCGTTGCTGTCTGGGAATCCGGTGTCTCCATGTCGGGGCGGGCTCATCTGAGGCTCTGGCTGGACAGTGGCAACGTGAATCGTCGCGTCACTGGCAACCTGGGCGCGATTGTGTCCTGCGAAACCAGCAGTGGAGTTTCCGAGGCCGGTGTGCTGCTGTACGGCGACACGATGGGGATTCACAGGCAAAGAACCGCATGGGGTAGCAGCCTCATGGCCAGCCTGCTGCGCCTGTGTGGTCTGAGCAGGAGGCTCGCGAGTGGCCTGGCCGTACGAGACCCGGCGCCGCTTGTTGCTCGAGCCTGGTGCGCCTGACGCGCCGCCGCCGCCGTTCCTCGGGGCACTGGCAGCCTAAGCCATTGCCTGGGCGGAACGGACGGCGTCGGGGACCACCTCGGCCGTGGACTCGCGGGTGGAGGCGGAGCCGGAGCCGGAGTCATCGTCGGCGGCGGGCCTCTTTGGGGTCCTCGGCCTGCCCCTCGACGTGCCCTTTGCGCGCGAGGCGTCCCTGAGGATGGTGGACTTGCCCTTGTTGGTCTTGCAGTTCGCGAGCTTCCTGTGGCGCTCGCCGGCCGGGTCGGCCGCGATGCGGGCGACCCACTCCGCGTTGGTCGCGGCGCTGCGGCAGAGGAGCTTGTTGTGCTGTTTGGGGGGCGTTTAGTTAGTCTTTTGTCTGTGTCTGTGGCTTCGAGGGTCCGAGTAGCAGTGGGGGCACCACTACTTTGTTTTGTACTTACGCTCAACGCCTCGACCACCTTGTCTAATTTGTCCGTGAAGCTAGCCTCTTGCACGAGCTTGTAGTCGGCGGGCAGGTCGAGGACGCACTCCCCGCGCTGGATCTTGCGCATGTACTCCAGGAGCTTGTGTGCGATGAGTTCCGTCTCCAGGCTCGACAGGCCCTTGACGGCCTTGACGGCGACGGAGGTCCGGAACACCCCGTTGTCTGCGTCGGCGTCCTGCTCGCCCTCGATGTTCTGGATGGCGTCGAAGATGCGCATTATGACCTCCTCCTTGTCGTCCTGGCCGTCGGGGTATCCCTGGCAGTTGCTCCCGAGGGCGCCCTCCTTGCGCTTTGCCCTCCAGATTGCTTCCTCGAAGAGGGCGAAGTCGTCTTCGGTGTCGACGTAGCCCTTGTAAGCGGAGGCAGGCTCCTTGAGGAGATCACCCACGGTGTCCAGGATCTCCTGGGTCAGGTCCGTGGAATGATAAGACTTTGGGCTGCCAGAGTCGGAAGAAGACCGAGCCTGAGGAGGAGAGGAAGCCTGAGGAGATGAAGCCGAATGAGACGAAGCCTGGCGAGGAGGGGACGCGTCGATGTCCTTGCTCTGGTCCTCGCCCTGAGTGTTTTCTGGTGGGGTGTGATGAGAAATGGCTGGACGAGTGCCCAGGTTCTTGCTCGCCTGAGGTGACGCGCCAGGAGAGGCGGGCTCCACGCGCTGAAGGATCTGTTGGTTGTTGGCAGGCTGCTGCTGGTGGTGGGCGTGGTGTTGCTCCTCAGCCAGAGCTTGGAAGTGGTTGTGGGTGGCCAAACAGATCTGAACGAGGCCGTTCATGGCGCTCAAGTCGCCGTCACAGGCCGTCAGGACGTCCCGGGCATCGGCAGGCAGATCCAGCAGCTTAAAGAAGTCGCTCTGGGCTTGAGCAGTTTCCTCGACGTAGTCAGCCCGATCCTGCTGGGGCGGCTGCATGTTGCCTTGAGTTGGCATCTGGGGGCCTGGACGGCCTCGGAGAGGCAAGTTGCCGTGGGTGTTGTTGTTGTCTGCAGAGGGAGGGTCGCCCTGGGGGGCGGCCTGCTGGCTCTGGCTCGCAGCTTGAGAAGCGGGCATGGCGGGGGCCTGGTTGTTGTTTGTAGGCATCGCGCGATTGTTTGTTTTGAAGTTGTAGGTGTTGAAGACGATTGGATTTTCAGCGAAATCAGGTTGGTCTTTAGGCACCGTTGGTTTTGCTCAACTTTCTGACACTGTTACTCAAGCGTGTCAGTTCTCGTTACTCTAAGAACTTTTCTGAGTGGGCGCGTGTAGGTGTAGAAGGTCAGCCCGCGAGAAACGGCCCGCGCGAGAGTTGAAATGGGGACGGAAATCTCTTCAAGACGATCCTAAGGATCGAAGAGTGCCCGTCAGAGCGCCTTTTGGGAGACACTTGGCGGACAAGGAGGACTAAGAGTATCACTTACCGATCGATTGATCTGGTCAGAGTATTTTGACAAGTGGAGGACACGAGCAGTCTTGGAGACTTTGAAGTTCTGAGGACCGAGCAAGACTCTCAAGGCGAAGGATGGGTTGACCTCGGGAGGGAAGAAGTGGATAGGATGAATGGGAGGACCGCAGCTTGATGGATCGGACGCACAAACGGCAACCTCAGCCCAAGACTGTCGAAGTTGAAGGGGGAAAGGGTGGGAGAGAGGGTTGCGACAACGGGAGGGAGGCTGTCTATTTAAGTTACTTGAGGGAGTCGTGTCGTGATCTGTGAATTTGCTGATCCGTTCACAATTTGATAGAGTACTGATTCTAGAGAAAAAAAAACAATTATTTCGGCGACCCACAACACCAAACAAATATTCACTTGCTACATTTGTAGCTTCACACAAACGGGGGAAGGTATTCCAAGCCCAGATGCTTCCCAATCTGGTATAGACCACCAGACCGTGAGATGCCACATACGGTTGGTGAGCTAGATCAGCCTTGTTTTTGTGGGTCTGACGAACAAATCAGATAGGTGAGGGTCAACTAGCTAGGCTGTGGGCACTGGAATGAGGCTATTCAGAAGGCGAGACGATTCCCAATCGGGTATAGACCATTAGACCGTGAGATGCTACATACGGGTGGTGAGCTAGATCAGCCTTGTTTTTGTGGGTCCGACCGTGGGCACTGAAATGAAGCTATTCGCAAAGCAAGGCGGTTCCAAATCGGGTATAGACCGTTGAGGCTCTGGGGTGCAGGGGCCAGCAAGTGGTCCGCTGAGCCAGATCAACCGGAGATATAATGGCGGGAACGAATTACAATTTGACGAAAGGAGCATAGTGCATTTCTAGTTGCTGATCTGGAAGGTTGGTAGCTTCGAATCATGTCACGTGCGTGTGGTGGTCGCATGGTGTCTGCGGAGTGTAATGTTGGCATGGAGGTGTTCTGGTTCTGGCGTTTGTTGTGTCCAATCACGATACTTTCACCGTGTCCGTCCGTCCGTCGGGGCGGCACAAGATCCTGGGGTCCTCATCATTCCGGCCCAGGCATCGCTCTTGAGTCTCACGAAATTGAGCCTCCCCCTCGGGCAGTTTGCGTGCCGATTCACGGTGGAGATTGTCGACGATCGGTTTAATTTCCCAGTCGTCGGCGTCACTGATCCTATCACCCGTGTCTGCAAATACAAGGTGGCCTTCTCCGTCGAATACCCAGGTCCTGTTCCAGTCAGGAGAATCCTTGGGGTCATGAGACTTATTGTGGCCATCTTGGACAAGAGTCGGTGTTTTGATGCTTCTTATTTAAATACAAGACATCCCAGACAAACAAGTTCATGGAGAAGCGACAAGAAGACTATTGCGAGGAGGTGAGAATCGCAAGAGAAACATTGGATAGAGAACTCAAGTCTGTCAAATTAGGCTACGATCATATCATCATGTCAACGTCCGATTCCCCCTCGACGCTGCCTATCAGAACCTTGGAAGGCAGTCAGTCCGACCCCTTCCATCTTTGGACGGGGCGTCCATCCTGTAGCACGTGACCATGGTGAACCAGTGACTCGCTGATGAACCAGTGACTCGCTGATGGACACCGTCGAGGCACAAACGACTTGCCGTTTGTACTTGAGCAGACCCAATCCATAGTGGGGCAATCCAGGTGACGTCCCCTGTCGAGTCGTCTCTCGAGGGTTGCCGTCAAGCCAAAGGTACCTAGCACTAAGCAACTTCTGAGAACATTGGAACAGCGTTGTGCATTGCATTAATCTCACATGTAAAATTGTGCAAGCAGCACAAGCTCCCTGGCCTTGAGCACAACACGACCCACTGCCCCTGAAATCATAAACGCTAACCATAAACTGTTGTCATACCCACGTCCGCGGCTCTCCCAGCCACAGCAGAGCTACATCTAAAACCATCAAGCCCCATTCCCATTATAAGCCTTCAGATTAGGACTCCCCGTCCCCAGCCCACTGAGGATATCCGCAGTCGCCAGCTCCGTGACCTTGGCAGCGACGTCAGCGGGCGCCTCGAGCCCGCCCAGCACGGTCTTGAGGTACAGCACCAGGCCCGAGACGTGGGGCGTCGCCATCGAGGTCCCCGAGATGACGTTGGTGGCCGTGTCGGAGCCGATCCACGCCGAGAGGGTGTCGACGCCCGGCGCGAAGACGTCGACGACGGTGCCGTAGTTGCTGAACGACGGCTTCGTGTTGTTGATGTTGATGGCGCCCACGGTGATGGCCTCGGGCGCGCTCGCGGGCGAGAAGTTGCTCGCGTCGAGGCCGTTGTTGCCCGCCGCCACGACGGTCGTGATGCCTGCGTCGTAGGCGGCGGCCACGGCGGCGTTGAAGGCTGAGGAGAAGCCGCCGCCTGGGTGGGGGTGGGTGGTTAGTATGGTCTGGCTGCTGGTGGCAGGGTCGCCTCGACGACGGGGGGAAGGGGCGGCTGCGAGCGGCTGCTCGTTGCTTACCCAAGCTCATGCTGACCACGGAGGTTGCCTCTCGCGCCTCGGCAGTGATGTTGTTGATTGCCCAGTTGTACCCGTCCAAGACGATCGCAGTGGTGGACTGGATGGAATCATTAGCCGCACGGTCTCCTCGAGTGTCCTTGCCAGCCGGGGATATGCCAACTTACGCCGGCGGTATCGAAGACCCTGACGGAGATCAGGCTGGCCTGCCTGGCCACACCATACGTCCGCCCGCCGATTGTGCCGGCGACATGGGTGCCATGGCCGACCAGGTCGACAAAGTCAGTGTTCGGGTAGGCATTGTAGCCGAGGGAACCACGCCCTTCGAACTCGACATGCGTCGTCAACAAACCGGTGTCGATGATGTAAGCATAGGTGCCGACACCGCCCTCGGTGTCATAGACGTAATCAGTCGAGTTCTCCGTCTTGTGCGAGATGGAGCCAAGACCCCATGGCGCGTCAGCCTGTGTGGTCAGCTCGTAGAGCTCCCAGACGGCGTCCTCCTCCACGGCGGCGACCTGCAAGGTTGTCAGCAATGTTTCAGCAGCACTCGAGGTGTGTAGGACGGGCCAGGGGGTTTATGGAGTCAGCAAGACGCACCTCGGCACTGTTTCGGATCTCCTCGATGGTGGCGTCGTCGAAGGCTCCGGCGTAGCCACTGAAGCTGTTGAAGGCGTATTGGTTGGTGACGCCGCTGCCAGCGTCCTGACGGCGCACGTTGCGGGCCTGGATGCCGTTTGCCCATGTGATGTGGCTCGTGATGTCTGCCCCGGGCTTCAGAGTGACAATGTACTTGCCAGGGATGGACGCCCGTTTGTGATTCACCGGGTGGCCCCACGCCAAAGACCAGGTGCCCAAGAGAAGAGCAAGGCGGTTCAAGGCCAACATGATGGTACAATATCAGCGGGTAGGAGATGTATAAGAAGAGGTGATGCTGAGCTGCGTCAGACTGTGCCCCGTCGTATTTCGATCGGCGGACTGGGAATGCTTCAAGCCTCGTCTTATATACCTACTTATTACTCAAGCCAAGTGATGCATTCAGCGTTCACTGCGAATGTGCCCCTTCACAGAAGCAACCCCCTCTCCTGTACGAGCTGCAGCCAAGAGGCCACGAGACTCGCCATTCCGATGTCGAAAGGCCTTATCGCGGCCTCAGTCAGCTCGGGCGAAGGCGACATTGGCCTGCATATCTCGCTCGTGAGCCAACCTTGGAACCTTGCCGACTGCCTCATGGGTAATAACCTGCTCATGATGGTGGGAGCCGCCGCCGTTGTCGTCCCCAGTCATGGCCTGAAGTCCAATGAGGCCCAGCCGGCTGGCCGACCCGGCAGGCGAGCAGATGCAGTCTCGGCTTGGCGATGAGACGTTGAGGGTCCACTGTAGATTTGAACCATGGACAACTTTCCGAGAGCGAGGGCGCAGAAAAGCTTTGCCTGCCTCAAGCCCGACTTGGCGGCCCAGGCTGCAACCCTCGAGTCGCCAGCGAGATGGTCGCACAGCCCGCGGGGTGTGATGCTATTCCCGCGCCAAGCCAAATTATTTGGTGGGGGGTCCTGCACGCAGAGATCCCTTTTCATCTCTGAGCAGCATGTCAGGCTGCACCGACGTGTACACCGCGGTGCTGATCACTGCCCGCTGCGGTCTATCCGTGGTTCGTCCATGGTCGCCCCGCGTCAAAGCTCCTGGAGACATCGGCCGCCGTGCCGAAAATGCGACAGTGCAGTCGAGGGCTCAAGTTTACGACAGCCTGGGGCGTCAATACACGACATCGACATATGGGCAAGGCGAGACGAACGAGGTGGGGGATATGCGAGCCGTCTTCAAGTTCCCCTCACCAGTGAACCGGTCTTCTGTCTCTTTCGCGGGGAAAAAGTGGAAATGAGCGTCGTACAAACAGCATGATTCCCTGTCAGGCCGCAGGATCAAGGGCCACGGCGACAGGGCGGTCAAGAGAATGAGGACGTCAAGACGGGAGATAACGCCTTTGCACCAATGTGACATTGTGACCGACTTTCAGCACATGTGCACTAACGGCTGCACACGAGCTCCCAGCTCTGACTCGTTGCGACGGTCTGGTGGGTAGCATTGGCGATATCTGGGAGCACCAGCGCGGCATATCTTATCAAATGGACATGTCCTTGGGGGGGGAGGGGTATTTAATGTGGGAGAAGAGGGTAGAGTAGTAAGACCACGACCATCTTGATGACTACCAAGGGGTGGGATACGGCATGGGAAACATCAGCAGGCTTCCACGTCGCAAAAAAAACGCAAAGACTCGTATGGAGGATGACTGCGGCACGCAGAGGCAATACCAACTCCAGTTGGATGACAAGAACGATGAGCAAGATTAGCTGACAATGGTGGCAGCAGCACCCTTAGACAATGAGGCAGGTCGGCGGCGGCGAGTGTGAGTCGCGCGATTTGCTCCGCGCATGAGAGGACGGATGCCTTGATTCAAAGGGAGCAGTCGAGTCGTGCTTGACCGTGATGCAGATTCCGCCGCTGTCACCAGGGCAGATGCATTTCTTTTTCTCCTGCCTTTTTCAGAACCTGGAGATCACGAGGACGACACACTGCGCTGCGCTGGGAGAAGTGTCGTTCGACCACGTCAAGTTCGAATAGCTTGTCTTGGATGAAGTCGAAATAAGGTTCCGGTGTTAGCCGAGTCGACCTTGGCCCTAATAATCCCCCCTGGAGCACAGGCGTGCTAACGTTGCAGACTAGGCATTCTAGCACTCCCGACTGAGACCTCTGACGCCCGTTGGGCGGGTACAGCATATCTTGCATGCCGCAGCAGAAGGACAAGCTTTTCCGGACAAACTGACAAGCTTTTGTCCTTCTGTGCGTGCCAAATTCAGGGGAAAATAGGGGCACGCAGCCCGCATGCATGCAATCCTTCTGAGGAACGTCGACGGGCTCCATCGTGCGAAGGAGTGGATGTTCTCACCTGTTACAGGCCCCGCCGACTAGGATGCCAGATTTGGCGACCGAAAGTCCGTTCTGCTGACGGGCCTTATCTCAGGACCTCTGACGAGCTCATCCAGCGTCGACGGGCGCCGCTCACGCGAAGCTCGGGCTCCAGGGAGGCGCCCCTGGCGTCTGCGACAGTATAACTACAGATATGGCGCAGGAACTTGCGCCATGGCGAATGTTAGGTATAAGCACGCTTGAGGTCCTTGATGGATGACAAGCGAGAATCTTCACGGAGAAATGAGAAACATTGACGGCAAACACACGAGCTGATCCGGATCGTGAGGCTGCAGAGCTGACTGTTCAGACTCAGGCTCTCGCCGCGCACATCCCGAAGATTAGCCTTGTCGATAGGAATGTGAAATCCTATTTCATGTGCCTTGAATCTGACGGTACCAGAGATCAGGTGCTCCTTGCATGTCTAGTGGGCGGCATTTCCTTCAGCAGTGGGTCGCTCAGTGCTACCTGTGCCCTCGGAGCTGGAGACGCACTGTGCCCAGATGGCAAGGCCCACAGTCAACATTCGCTCTTGGTATCCTGCAGGCCTAAGAATGGTCGGCAGTTCAAGAGACAGAGATTGTGGGGAGAATCGCTGCTAGTGCGGCCAGAGAGAGAGAGAAATACCGACTTTGTGGCTCGGAGACGAAACTGGCAATGCCTTACTACCACAAGATTGTGGCCCATTGGCGTCCTATTTCTGCCTATGGTATCCCAGAGAAGATGCACCACTTAATTAGATAGTGTGCAGAGAATATGTCTGTATTTTTTATCACTGGTCCTCATGCATTTTCTCTATTCGATCACTTTGCCAGACAAAGTGAGCCGAATTTGGTCTTATCATTCTGTCGAACGATCGATGTTTCCGGGACCTTGTAATACCAGGCGAACACTAAGGCAACTCCAGCATCTTGTCGTTTGAGAAATCCTCCAGGATTGCGAGGATTTGAGGCAGCATATTAGACAACAGTTGGACGCGTCGCCATCCACTCGGAACTAGCCGCATATGTACATTGCCTTGGTCTTCTTGGTGACCTACTTTGGAAAGTGATTGGTGCAGAAACCTGAAGGATCAACCCCGGAAATGACAGTTCTCGATCCAGTCTGGACAAAAGTGACAAGTCGTTATGCCGCAAAACGAATCAAACATGAGACAGAGACCTGCTGGCAGTCCACGTTCGGATACCACCTGAGCAAGCTCGACATTTTCAGGCCAGCTTCGATGTGATGTTGCGAGTACATTTCCACAGCAGGCGGCAAGCGACCACGCCGACAAAAATACCTCTTTCGTCTAGGCAAGTAAATAACATTTGAATCCAAATATTATAGAGAAATAAGTCAAAGGGATCCGAAATATGAGAGTTGCGACACTCTTAGCATGGCGATGTTTTCAATGACAAAGACTGGGAAGCAAGCGGATCATATTTGCTTTATTAGCTTGAGCATCTATTTGTCAGGCTTCTAGGTTACCGCTTTAGTAGAACCAATGCCATACCTAGGTATCTTTCACGGCTGAAGGTACAGTTACGGGCCAGACATCCTGATACTAGTAGGGCTACCTAGGCAGAGGACTATAGCACCAGTTGACGGCCCTCCTGACCTGCCCCCATCTCAACTTCAATGTTTCTTTTTTCTTGAACTCCCTTGCCTTGACTTGTCTTGAATTTATCGGGTCAGAGTATGCTCCTCCAAGGTCTCTTCACCATTGTACCCTCTTCCGACCTCGTCTCCATCTACCTCCCTTCGACTCGGATTTGGGCAACTTCCCCATCCAAACTGTCTCCCCATCCGAATCCTTCTTACGACACAGAATCATTATTTGAGCAGGCCTAATACGAGGAGTGCCAAATTCGAGTCATGATACTGCATCGCTAATGGTTCAGCAGTCCACCAACAGCGTGCTTTGACCCGTCGACAACGTCGCGCCAGCCCAGACTGTGTGACCATCACGATACCTGTGGCGCGTCGAGGACACGTCGAATTTCCGGCAGTGCTCACTGTCGACGTCTCCACACAGTCAAGGGACTAAAGAACACCAACCCCAATCTCGGCATGCATAAGTTTTGAGGCTAGACTGACTTGTTGGTTCAACATCGGACGACTCCCCGTACCTGTCCACCGCCCAACTCGGCCGGACGCTCCGGGTTTAGTTTTCCCGGAGACTCTTGGCATCAGCAAGCCAGACCCAGCGGTGGATGAGGTGGAGGCCGGCCAAGGTGTCCCCACGAGGCACAGCGAATGCAGGTTGAGAAATGAAAACTGGGGACACTTTCCCTAACGGAGCCCACACTGGGCCCAGGGCTGCCGCCCCGAACCGTCTTGGTCGATCGCCAAGTACGGAAAAGGCTAAGCTTTCTGACAAGGTTGATTACCTACGGCCATGGCCAAACGCACAGCTGCCGATTTAGCTTGGCGCATCCGAGTTGATCGTCAGAGGTCCAGAACACCAGAGCTTCGCTGCTGACGTGATTCCCAATAGTCGCACGTCTAACGTGCATGTGTCTCGCTAGCTCGACCGTTTAATGCTCGCTTGCTCGAGATCGTGGGATTGTTTGGCGCGTTCCTGGCGGGGGATCTTCGATCTTCACGAACCGACGCGGCTGGTGCTCATGTAGCGTCAAACATCGAGGGATCCATGCACACACACACACACACACACACGGCGACGTCGACTCCGAGGTGACGATGCAGCAGCTCGGCTTCGCGGCACACACGGAAATAGCAATGGCGGCCGGAGGAGCTGACCAACCTGTTTTCCCGTGTGCTGAAGATGCGTGTTGGGCCTCACATAATCTCGAGTGTTCCTATCTTCCCCTTCCCCTGGGCGCATGGTCAAACGCCAAGAAACGTATCCTGCTGCCCATTCGCCCGGCTGCGTCTCCACGGCCCCGGAGAGATGAACGATTCCACCGCAGGGGAGGCTGCAGGGTGGGTGCCGGGCTCCACCCAGCGTGTGGGTCTCCATCTCTCTCGGTGCAAGGCCGAGTGCCGTCCACGCAGCCTTCTGGAAAGTTTCTGGGTAATTGTTTGTGGATCACGGCGACTGTTCTATGCGAGGGACGGCAGATTCGGCACGCATCCTCAAGGATGCACACTCGAGGGGATGAACTCGACTCTAGGTATAAAGGTTTCGAAGGCCTCGTCTTCAAGGACAGTTCTGATCTTACTCTGCATCCGCTCACTCACATTCATTGACTGAACTCTACAGCACACATTCTTTTCTAACCACCAACTTCTTCACTCTTTTTCAAACAACAATCACTTAACAACCGCAAAAATGGTTCTCAAGTCTGGTCTTATCGCGGCTGCCCTGGCGGCATCCGTCATGGCAACGCCCACCCCCATGGACGTTACCAAGCGTGCCTCCTGCACCTTCTCCGGCTCCAGCGGTGCCGCCGACGCCATGAAGCAGCAGGCCTCTTGCTCCACCATCACCCTCAAGGACATCGTGGTCCCTGCCGGCACTACCCTGGACCTCACCAAGGTCAAGGACAACACCAAGATCATCTTCCAGGGTGAGACCACCTTCGGCTACAAGGAGTGGAAGGGTCCCCTCGTCTCCATTGCCGGCACTGGCATCACCGTCGAGGGTGCCTCCGGCTCCGTCCTGAACGGTTCTGGTGAGAAGTACTGGGACACCAAGGGCTCCAACGGTGGCAAGACCAAGCCCAAGTTCTTTGCTGCCCACAAGTTGGTCAACTCCAAGATCAACAACATCACCATCAAGAACGCCCCGGTCCAGGTTGTCTCCATCAACCAGTGCGACGGCCTCACCATCAACCAGATGACCATTGACAACTCCCTCGGCGACTCCAAGGGTGGCCACAACACCGACGGCTTCGACATTGGCGAGTCCAACAACATCAACATCAACGGCGCCAAGGTCTACAACCAGGACGACTGTGTCGCCATCAACTCGGGCACCAACATCAAGTTCGACTCCGGCCTCTGCTCCGGCGGCCACGGCCTGTCCATCGGCTCCGTCGGCGGCCGCGACGTCAACACCGTCAGCGGCGTGACCTTCTCCAAGAGCACCGTCAAGAACTCGGACAACGGCATCCGCATCAAGGCCAAGAAGAACACCACCGGCAAGATCTCCAGCATCACCTACAGCGACATCACCCTCGACAACATCGCCAAGTACGGTGTCCTCGTCGAGCAGAACTACGACGGCGGCGACCTGCACGGAGACCCCACCAGCGGCCTGCCCATCACCGGCGTCACCGTCAACGGCCTGCACGGCTCCGGCGCCATCGCCTCCGGCGGCAAGAACATGGCCATCGTCTGTGGCTCCGGCGCCTGCTCCAACTGGACCTGGAAGGACGTCAAGGTCTCCGGCGGCAAGAAGTACGACTCCTGCAAGAACGTCCCCAGCGTTGTTGGCAGCTGCTAAATCGGTGGTCTTGGGGTTTGCTGATCACGCCCAACTTTTCGGGTGGTGCATCTAGCTGGTGAGGTGTCTTTCTGTATATAAATTAGCTTTAGAGTCGCTGGGCGTTTCGTTGTACATACTTGGCAAATGCTATTCAGCTGTCCGAACATTCCTCACTGGTGCCTTTCTTGGTGATTTGTGTGCTGTTTGTTTCAATAAGGGTAGTTCACTGTCGAAAAGTGCTACTAGGTTCTATGCTGAGTCTAATGAATAAAGCATTAGGGCTTTGACAGATAAACATTTGAGCAAGACTCCCCCTCTGCCCTCCCTCCGGCGCGATAACATTACCTAGGTACCCAGGTAATTAGGATGGACCGTCACGGGCACCCAGGATGAGTTCTGGTGTCAAGTCCACGGTTGAATAAATGTTCGCATTATTTCAGTAAGTCCAAAATAACTATATGCTTACGAACTCCCCTTTTCTTGAGAGACAGCCTATCCTGCTCTGCTACGTGTTGAGGAAGACTCAAAAATCTCGTACGTGGTCACGACAGGAACCAGGCCCATGGCTTTCGTGGCTATCCCTTCCGACGCGCAGTTTTGGGCCTTCGGGCTTTTCAGTGACATAGTACGTTGTGCTTGGCAAAAATGGACCCGGGGACATCTCCAGGGCTCTGAGGAGTTGGGCCTCCTCGACTCGCGCAGGCGGATGCCACTTGAGCACATGCAGTGCAGATAAGGCCCAGGTGGCATGCCAGTGGTGGCATGCAGAAAGTACGGCGGAGAAATAGTTGCATTCGGACCAACGAGCATTCATACCTGTGGGCACATGTCAATTGCCCCAGAGGAACAGCGTTGACGGAGCAAACCTGACGGACAAGGCAGTGCCAGTCCAATGGCTACCGACCTAGGTACTTGGGTACTGAAACATCTGGACACAAATTATTGCAAGTGTTCTACTGATGCAGTCACTTTCAAACTTGCTCACACTAATGTCTAGATGTATCATTCTTTTTTCCAAGGCAGCCGGTCCTTTGTGATGAAGCACCTAGGCAGCTCGATAAGCTTTTACGCGACATGTTCAAAATGGCCCCTGCTGCGATTCGCTTCACGGTGGCAGCTGATAACTCCACGACTATATTCACGCACCCACTGCGCCTCTAAATGCTGTACTATAGTACCTAGATGATTATTCTACCGCTTCAACTCCGGCAATGTACTGTTAGGCGAAATTTTATGGACAAGTTAGACGCTGACTCACGCACTAAGACCATCCGGTGCTGTCTAGTGCGCGGTCCGGTAAGGATAGTGTCTCTTGGGCCCGAACATCGACTGCAAGCGACACCTGTAGCCGCACTATATTCAAGAATTGACGACACGTCGCCTGACTTCTCAGGCATGCACAGTGATTTCAGTCGACCGCGCCTTCCTAGCCGACTGCCCGGCCCCCACGGGCTAATTTGGCGCGCTGTGTTCTAAACTGACGACGTGTCGCCTGACTTCTAAGGTTTGCTACCTAGGTAGGCGGTTGCCCGGCCCAAATGGGCTGGTTTGGCTCGCTGTGGGCATGTAAACAAAAGCTGAAAACCTTAGTCATGTTATAATTTGAGTAAAAAGTGGTTTCATTTTTAATCCTTATATATATAAAATATATATAGCACCTTTATATAATAGTAAATACTTAAAATCTAATATTTAAAAAATATAGTATTAATAATAGTAGAAAAAGAATATAATATATGTCAGGGCCATGGGCTGAACGCCCGCAGGACCAACCAGTGGGTCCGTGCACTCTGCTTATCTTATCAGCCCAAGTGGCCTCCATACCTCTCGCGACGCGGGATTGCAGCTTCGCTGCCTCCCCCATACTATTCCTTAGGCAACTCTAGTTTTGAATCAACAATTCTTCGCAGACAATTTGAGCCTTCTTTTGCCATAGGTCGCGAGGACCGTCTCAATATATAAATATATAGTTAAACTTTATATTATATAAATAAAGTTAGAAGGTATTACTTTTAATAATACTATATTATTAATATAAGTAGCTTAAGGGTTAATCTATTATAATAAACTAATAAGGTAGTTAAATAGTAAAATTAAAATAATTTTAAAATAATCTTTATAAAAAAAGAATCTTATAATATAAGACTTAATAAACTAACTCTTCTCTATTAATATATTTAATAACTATTTAAATCTACCTTTATTAAATAAATTAAATATATTATAATCTTTATTTTAAATATATAATTAATAAAGTAATAATATTATAATAATAAATATATTTAAAAACCTTTTATAAATTTAATAAAAGATTAAAGCTTTTTTAAAAGTTAAATAAAGTTTATTTATTATATATTAAATAAATATTATATAAAGAAAGTAAAAATTTAAATATTTAAAAATTAAATCTTTCTTTTTTAAGTATACTACTTTATTATTAAGAATTTATTTACTTTTATATAATATATATAAAATATAGTAAAAAAGGGAGCTTTATAAAGAAAGTTAGTAACTCTATTATATATAAATAAGTTTAAAGGTATATATTAAGTAATTAATAACTTTATATTTAAGATATAAGCTAATATCTAATCTAAAAGCTAAGAATATAATAAATAGATAAATAGTTAAATAAAAAATATAATATGGCTGAAGCCTTTGAGTAAAAAGAACAACAATCTCTCAACCACTATATTCAAGCTGATTAATGAACTTCGAAGGACGGCCATGACTTGACAGAATTCAGTAGCTGGCTCAGAAAACATACACAGATTCAATACACAAGTAACATGATGATCTAAACTGGCTCATGTATGCGATGATAATTGTAGCAGAAATCAACTCTTTGAGGTCCATTGGAACATCGATCTCACAGGTCGGAGGTAAAAGGCAAAGTGGACGCGAAGCCCAGTTTCTGAACCTCCGGATGAAAGGGCAGCACGCCGAAGTTGTTCCCAGGGCTTTGCCCTTTGCACTTGCCTCACTTAGCACCGGAACACGTACCACCCATCTCCGCCTACGGACGGCCAGAGCACAAGACAAGGTGTGAGCCTTCCATCGGTCTTTCCTTCATTATAGCAATCACTAGAAAATGATACCGGAGGCTTTCCTCCTAGATTCACCCCCGAGGCAGGAAATCAGTCAGCCGGCTCGCCTCATCACCCGGTGGACTATACTAGACGAAGTAAATACGGGTTTGAATCTAGAGCAAAGTAAACAGACGGACCAGATTTTATCATCTCTAGTTTTTTTTAGCCATTGATTCCTGGCGCTCAATGAAAATTCCGATACTCTTAGTTGCCCCTAGCTATCCTCTCATCAACTAGCTTTCTGAAGCGAAGAGATGAGGCTCGCCTAATCACCCAGTGCACTATAAGAGCAGGTTAAATAGTGCGCCCTTAATACTATCACTTAGACTGTGATCTATCCAAGCCTACTAGTACTGAACCTTGATATATAAGGATATGGCCACCCCCCCGTGCGACCCATTTTCGGTTTTCCTCTTTACCAAACCTCAACTCTCACAACTCTCATCACGTGCTCACCTCAAAAACAATACCAACCACAACAACACTACTATTACTACAGCACTACTACTACTACAACACTACTACTACAACAACACTACTACTACTACAACACTACTACAACAACACTGTCGCGCACCTCGTCTACTATAGACACTATTGCGCATCGTTATAGTAAGTACAAAGCCGTCAACTTCTTACCAGCATCACCTCTTCACTACACACACATAAGATCCCCTTCCTATCAACTATTACCTCTTTACCACCTACATACACATAAGATCCCCTTCCTATCAACTATTACCTCTTTACCACCTACACACACATAAGATCCCCTTCCTATCAACTATTACCTCTTTACCACCTACATACACATAAGATCCCCTTCCTGTCTATCATCACCTCTTCACTACCTACACTACCATATGAGGATTCCTCTCCTGTCTTCCATCACCTCTTCACCACCTATATATGAGATTCTCCTTTCCTCTCTACCAAAGCTCTCTTTCTTTACATACACTGTTCACTACGGGCCTATACTCCCGCCATTAAACCCTGATCCTGTCTTTCTTGTACCGCTTCTTCACGCGCACACACGTCCATACATGAAGTTTCTGTCTCTCTCCCACCTTTTCAGCTCTCAGACATGCCTTCCCATGTTCAGTTTCTGTTATTCTCACTTCGGGCATGCACCTCGTTCCTGCTGTGCGCCGGGCTTCCCTCGCGCATGCCCCATCGCACCAGCTACTTCCGTCCAGAACTTTATACTAACTAACTCAATCTCAGAATCTCACACCATCAAACGCTAGCAGCCTAAGGCTACTAGGAAATCCACGCCAAACGCAATGGCCAGCGACCCTATTTGGCTATTCTACCCGGGCTACGCCCCATTCGACGCGGTGGATCACGCGGCAGGAGACCCAGACCCAGACCCAGAACAGCAACTGCAAGAGCAACAGCAACTACACCAGCAACTGCAACTGCAACTGCAACAGCAATTGCAACTGCAACAGCAACTGCAACAGCAACAACAACAACAACAACAACAACAACAACAACAACAACAACAACAACAGCACCACCACCACCACCAGGAGGAGCAGCAGCCCGAGCAGACATTCGAGGAGAGGGTTGCTCAATTCCGCCGAGTCCCTTCCCTTCGGGACGACCCCCACCGAAAGGCAGGTGCAGGGCGGAAGAAGAAGAGCCAGCGTTTTTGGGCCCCTGCAGATGCGCCAGGGCCCCTCGTGGAGCAGTATGCCGAGCTCCAGAAGGACGACCAAAGAGTCGCCACCGCCGAGAAGAAGCTGGAAAAGGCAAGGGGGGAGGGCGCGAGGAACGTGCCTCACTACGAGGAGATTGTCCTCCGGAACATGAGGACCCGGCAGGACCAGTGGGAGAAGTGCGAGCGCGCGGAGCAGGGACTGGGCCCTGTGTTGACGACTTTTGAAGAGGCGGAGAAGGAGTGGCAGGCCGCCCACGCCGACTGGGAAACACACTCCAACAACTACCACGCCAAGTGTGCCGAACTCGCGCAGGCCTACCCGCAAATCCTGCTGCCCGACAACACCATCGACCTTGAGCAACTGGGTCGCATCGACAAGAAGGCGAGGCAGGGTCTGTCAACCCGGAAGAACTGGGTTGGGAACAAGCAGAAGAGGGTTGCGGAGGCTATGGCGGCCTTGGAGTGTGCACTGGAGAGGGAGTTCGGCGAAGTCGGCGGATTGTTTGCCGTTTAGTCTGGCAGGTGAGGAGGACTAGGGGTTTAGGGGGCGGCTAAAGGGTGGACTCGGAGAAGGGCTTACTTAGTTCTCTTCGCGAGGTGAGTTTTTCCCCATGCTTCTTAGGAAGGCTTGCCATTTAGTCTGACAGGTTAGCAGTTTCTGTTTTGTTAAGGTTCGTGTGGGTTTGGAGTGGTGGATTCATCCTTTCCCCTCTTGGGTGGGCGGGTGGGTGGTCCCAAGGGGAAAGGGGCATCACAGAGGCATTTAAGAAGCCTGACTTCCCAGAAGAATTCGCGGAACACCAAAAAAGAAGAAAACGACAAAAGGAACAAATTCCTCGGTCGACAACTACATCAGCATCAGCGTCACGGATTAGAGGAACGATACGGAACGATACCCACCCTGTTGTATTTACCGACTGGACGATTAGACTTACGATACCCACGGCACCGGCCGTCACGGACTGAAATTTCGATACCCATGCTGCGATTCGGACGACAGCATAAGCGACTTCAACGACACATTCGATTAGATACCTAAGTAGATAGATTAGACTAGGTAGTAGAGATATGCAATTTTTGTTACACCCATCAAATTCGTGAAAAGATTAATAAATCTAGGAAGCTGTAGCGTGTGCTTAGCTGTGAGGTGAAATGTAATAAAATACTGCACTTCCAAGGGAGTTCCGACTTCAGACTTCCCCGTTAGATTCCCCGTCGTGGACGTCGCTCTCGCTGAGCTCGCTGTCGTGGATGTTGCCTTTGACGGAATCGTTGTTCTGACTGTCGTCGTGTTTATCCTCTATCTCCCTACTTCTGGCTTTGGATTCCTTCTGAGTACATTGTATATGCCTAGTTCTAGGCGACAACCTGTGGCTTCCTCTTTGGGGCCTACGTCCCCGTCTGGGTTTATCGTTTTGGCGTTTAGTAGTTGTCGTCTTGCTGCTTTGTGGTGTTTTGCGCTGAGAGTGGTGGGGTAATGCTGGCTTTGGTAGGAAAGGATCTATGGTAGATGCTAATTATTTAAGGTGGTTTTGGCGTTGGTGTTAACATCGGTGAGTGCAAGGGCCCTGGATGGGTAGGGAGGAGAGGGAGGTGAGGGGGTGCGTGTTTCTGCCTGGTGGCTCCGCATCTGGCAACAAACGCCAGGTGCTTACTGCTTTCTGCTTGGAGACCAGGAAAGAACTTCCCTTTTATCTTTTCATGATTTTCTTCCCCAGAGCATCCTGCTTGAGAATCTCTAGATTTCGGCGAGGAATTCGCGCCTTCATGCCGTGAAGACCCAGAGCTGAGATCTCCACTGACGGGAATCTGACAGAAAATTCAAACCATGTCTTGTTCGCGGATCTACGTTGTCTTTATGACGGTGCTCACTGATTCGATCACTATTATAATGGTACATGGGAAATTTCAGCCACTGTCCCGCACAGAGTCGGAGGGTCTGTGCAGCAGCATGTCCTCGACGGGGCTACTTGTCGTGGACTGCGCAGCCGGAACTGCAGATCAATCGACCAACCGAAGGATTAGGACATACCGAGAAATGTTCCAGAGCAGAATTAACTTAGTGTGCAATACATGAATTGGACAAGAAGTCTCTGCTTCTTATGCCACACTGACAGGGTGACTCGCCGTATCCTGAAGGAAGAGGCCAGCACCATAATCAACCCTAGGTTGGCATCTCGCCTTCATCAGGTGGTCAAAGGGTCCTTAAGAGGCTCTCAATCATCTCCCGGGTGTTTTTCCGGGACATCTGTGTGTAGTCTGGCGGAAAATAGGGACTGTGAGTGGTGGGTGGTTTCATTTGTAATAACTATAAATATGAACATTTGAAGCGTATGTGGCGCGTTCATACAGTGGTAAGCGCTCAGGACCTAGGGTTTCTTCTTTTTCTTTTTCTTTTAAAAAAATAGAAAAATGCAAACAAAGGGACTGTAAATAAAATCGAGCTACGGCGGGCATATATGCTCGCATTGTCTCTGGTAACTCAAGGGTCTGGGTGAGGACAGTTGCCCAGGTGTCGACGACGCACGGTGTACCTGCCAGCGATCAGGCGTGGGGCAAAGTGGTCGTCCCCTCGTGGTGTCTAGACTAATAATAATCCGTTCCTACTTAAGTAGGCATCTTGGTCGACTTGGCGGTTTTGGCAAACCCTGGTTTATGTGATCAGCTGTGCCACAAATGATATGCTTTAGCCATTCCACGGCACCTTGGAAATGCTCTTCAGGAGGAAACGGCAGATCTGACCCGGACGTATTTGTTCATGCTGAGAACCTGACACGCAGCAACCGTCTGAACCATGGAAGTCGAATTGCACCTGGCTTGGATGACACCAATGCAGAGCAATGCGATATTTGCTCGGGTGTCACTCTTTGGCCGCCGCATCTCTATTCGCCGCTCCCTATTTCCTGTACGAAAAGGCCATGTGGAAGATGCACGTGTCGGATAATGTCTTGCAGGTAAGTCAACACACCCGTCCATGCATAAGCCCTAACGCACAGCCCCTTTCCTACCGACAACTACAAAGCTCACCTTTACAAAACTACATTTATTCATCTTAGGAAAGTCTTGGAAACAAACGTGCTTTTTTATAGATTTATAACTATAGTTCAAACTTATATAATTATTTAAATATTAGAAAGGTTTTATTTCTAGATTTTTAATAGACGGTAATACTTTATTACTTTCTTTTATAGTGTATATATAATACTTTTTATAATTAAATTAATATATAATATTAATTAATAAATTAAAATTAATTAAAACTAGCTTATTTAATAACCTTAACTAAGATTAAAGAATTTATATAAGGAAATACTAATTAAAGATTAAAAATTTATAATTTAATTTTAAATATTTTACTTTTTAAGTTTACACCCCTTACACCCCTTACACCCCTTACACCCCTTACACCCCTTACACCTCTTACTCCCCTTACTCCCCTTACTCCCCTTACTCCCCTTACTCCCCTTACTCCCCTTACTCCCTTTTAATCCCTTTACTCCTTTTAGTCCCTTTAGTCCCTTTAGTCCTTTTAGTTCTTTTAGTTTTTTTAGTTCTTTTAATCCCTTTTACTAAATGTAACTTTTCACTAGATGTAACTTTTTACTAGGTGTAATTAAGTTTAAAGACTATCTTTTGAATTATAGTCTAACTAAAGACTAAAACACTATGGACTAATTGAGTCACATTAAGAAACCAATGAATAAATTTACAATCCTGCTTGTCAAACCATCAATGTCAACAATGCAGAATGACACTGCTATGTAATTTGAACTACGCAGCTCAAGATGAGTAGTTTTTACCAGTGTTGGCAAATTAATTAAATTATTACAAACAGTCTGGCAGGACAGCCAAGACCATCATGTTGGTGAAACACCTGCCGAGCTCCAATTATCTCGACTCCTCGGCTGTCAAGCCAGCCAGAGGGTCGAAGCCGAATGGCCTCAGTACCTGCGTACTTTGTATTAAATTCCCAACCCGAGCGGCCACGCACAGCCCACGCCGGCCACAACCTCAAGACAGCTGCGGCCGTCAACCCATACTCTCCCAAAAATTAGCCGCGGCGTCCAAATCATCCACATTCAAGATATCCACCCCAGCATCCCAAAGCGACCTCCAGACGCCGTTGCGCGTGCCGACAGGCCACCCGGGCTGGTCCCAGAACCGCAGCTTGACGCCCTTGACCTTGGCGAGGGCGACCTGCGCGGCGAGGAGCACCTTCTGCGCGTCGTTGAGCCCATCATTGCCGCGCACGCCGGGGAAGAAGACGTTGAAGCTGGTGCTGGCGATGGGCGAGACGTCGGCCGGGACCGCGGCCAGCAGGGGGATGGGGGCGTCCCAGAAGTAGTCGCGGGGCGCGACGCCCTGCACCTGGCCGAGGGGCGTGTTGCCGGTGCCGATGACGGTGACGGGTCCCTGGGTGACGGATGTGCCGTCGAAGGTGGTCAGGTAGCCCGCGTCGCGGAGGGGCTGGAGGGCCTTGATCACCGCGGGGAAGGTGGTGGCGCCGTCGGTCTTTAGGTCCACGAAGAGGTAGAGGGTCTGGCTGGGGACGGTGTCGTAGACGCCGTTCCTGGTGGTGGTGTTGCCGACGAAGCTGCTGTCTGGGTTCTGCTTCTCCAGGACGGACAGGATGGGCTGGATGTACAGGCTGTCCAGGGTGCGGGCCTCGGTCAGGGAGGACTCGTCGTGGCCTACGTGGAGGGTGCCGTTGTAGAGCCAGACGTCGGCCTCGATGCTGATTGCGCCTGCCTTGAGGGCCGAGTAGAAGGGGACTTGGCGCCAGTAGTCATTGTGAGAGTGCTAGATGAACATTAAAATCAGCCTGACCTCGTGGGATGAGAAGTCGGGGTTCAGCCACTAGTGGGGACTTACAAGGCCCTTCGGGATGATGCCCCGGGTCAACGAGGTCGGGTAGTCGTATTTTGGGTCCGAGGCGGCATCGGTGATGATCTTCTCCAGGTCTGGCGAGACTGGTATGTCTGACTGGGCCAGGACGGCTTGGACCGCGACCAGGGCCGCGGCGATCCGTGAGAAAAACATTGCAGAGAACGAGGGTGGCAGAGGAAGATGGGGGGGGGGATGACGGGTGCGGGGTTGGCTGGCTTGGTGGTGATATCTTGATGACCCAGAAGCCAGGAAAAAGCACGACCACTGCGAACTGGTGTTCGTCCTAGAGACCCTTCCCGTTATTTATTCAACCATCTTGAGGTCCCATCGTCTTGATGCGGGCAGCAGCCGACCAGGGACCCGTGATGTCACCAGGGCCATGTCCCGACCGGGAAGGTATTCATCTCGGGTTGGGCCAATCAAATGTCCACGTGGGACCCTGGCCTGTTATGATCTTCCCACCATCCCCTCGAGCTCTACACGTGCTGTCAAGCCAGGCCTGTGATGCGTCTTCTTCTTGGGGGTGAAATCTAACGGGGCCCAAAAGAGATTTGGCTGTTTACATTGTCCGAGTCCTAGTGCGGCAGGGACCAGCAACCTACTTCCATGGTTCCAACCCGCGCCTCGTCTAGCAGCCATGGGTTAGGGTCAACATGGTATATAAGACATTGAAAACTGCTGCACTAGCTGCAACTTTTTGGTTGTGGTCGTGTGCCAGGCAACTGCGTTGGTCGCGTGTGTGCATTTGTCGGCTGACGTTCTGGTCCTTGGCTACAGCAGCATCACTGTTGGGGTCTGCAATCGCTTGAAAGAGTGTCAACAAGTCTTATTGGACTGATGTTCTGGCAGGCAGATGATTCGGGACGTTTTACAGGATGGCAGCATGGTTTGGGGGGCCCAACTCAATCTGCCGGCCAGACCGGGCTCTCGCGATTATCCAAAGGTGCATCCCATGTGGCACGTGACCCCTCGCGCTTGTCTGCGGGCCGAAACGTGGTGGTGCAGGGGTATGCCCACCTGGAGGGGGCCCGCGTGAAGATGGAGGGGAGATGATGCTGAAGGAGGAGGGCGGATGACGCCGTACGAGTTGAGACACATAGCACAAGACAAGACAAGCTGTGCGACACGTGCGCTTGTCTCTGCAGTGGTATGAGTGAGTCTGATGGATGCATCATAGCGGCACTGCCCAGGAAGAGGATTGGACCTGCTTTCTGTGCCGCTTCTCCGCGTATATCAGCCAGGCATGGGAAGGACAAGATGCAATACTGTGTGTGTACCATGGAATATTTATAAGGAAGCTCCAGTGCTCCCCCCTGATGTTTTTGTGTGGCCTGTGCAGCAGCAAACCGACGGTGGTGACGGTGACTGACGGTGACTGACGGTGACGGCCGGTTACGGATTGACATGACGGATACGGCGGGAGTGGACCGTCGCAGTCGATTTTCTAGGGTTCAACAGTTTGGCAGTGATATTAAGGGCACAAGGGCACAAGGGCACCATCAGCAGAGGCATTTTTGACCAGAAGCATGCCCCAGTGCATGGTAGACTACACGTAGATCACGGAGTATCTGAAAAGGCGCGATGATGCTGCACATGGGCGCGTGCTCGTATAGCTAAAACGCTCCCAAGAAGCCAGGGCTGACGTTTGTTGGGGAAGAGCAGCTTGCTCGTTGACAACCTTGGAACTTGACGCATCAGAAACGGCGGCTGCACCCTCCAAGCCCCCACAGAAGCAAGGCCTTTTTTACACTACTCCCTAGCCTAGGCCCCACTGGCGAGCTGCCCTGCCCTGACGTGCGTGGCAACCCACCTGCCCTGCTGCCCTGCCGCCCTCTCTCTCCTGACGGCCTGTATGAGCCATCGAGCACCTGGCCTGGGCATTCGGGCATTCTGGCGTCCACCTAGCCCAGCAGCACCTGTGGGCCCTGACTGCCAGCCCCTCGGCCGGTCTCGACCCTCGACTCGACTCGCCCACTGTCGGGCAAAGCTGGCAATCTGTGTTTGTTGACTGACGTCCACCCGCCATCGCATTGTCCCATCCGACTGAGACTTCTCCTTCAACAATCCTGCAGTGCCTGTGACAGCTCTCTCACTGCAACTCGACACGACACGACTCACCCACCCCGTCCGTTTCCTCCTTTATGGCTCTGTTTCTCTCCTCGGGTCTGTGCTTTTCGGTCTCTGGAACAGTCACGGCGCATCCGCTCTGACGAGATCACGACTGTTGGGGTCCAGGGGAGCTTTTCCAAGAGATTTGTAGGTGCTGCCCCTCCCCCAGTTTGCTTCCCCTTTGAGCTTGGCCATCCATCCATCCATCCGAGAGGCATCGCATCGCGGTCGGGTCTCTTGCCCTCGGGATACTGGCAGGGCAGGCCATCTTGATCATCATCCTGCTCCTCCTCCTTCAAAAACTGGGGTCCAACCTTCGACTCAAACGAACGGCGGAGGCCAGGCCAGGCCGAGTATGACTCTTGACAGGCGGCCCCTTACAGTTTTGCCATGCTGCTCCGTGCCATCCCATCCCATCCCGTCCGTCCCATCACACTGGGGACAGCCCTGTGCATCTGTCCCAGACTCCCAGCACGGTCAACTTGACCTGGGGCTTGCATCAGCAAAACACATCACAGCAGCAGCTATGGCGGCGTCGGTCTGGCAGGCAGAAGCACAGGCACGGGCATGGATGGCATCACAGGTCGTCAGGGCCAGCCCGGGGCTTGAGCTTCCTTCCAGCTTCCAACCCCGGACCGCACTGGGCTCGACTTGGACTGGCCTCGGCGCACGCAGACGACCCCAAACCTGGGCGGCAGGGCGGCAACCCCCAGCACGCTGATTCGGCCTCTCACATGCTGTTTCACTGCCGCCGCTGCTGGGCTGGCACCAAACACTCGAGCCCTTCTCCCACATCCCCCAGCGCTACCCGTGCCCCGAGCCTGCCAAGACCGTTGTGTTCATCCGCCAGCCCTGCTGCTTGGTTGGTTGGCCAAGCCTCGCTGACAAGTCACTTGGTTTCTCCGGCTTGACCTCATCCCCATCATCCAACGCTGACCCGCGCCTCTTCTGAGCAGACAATAGACTTCATTGAGATACCCCCTCGCGATTGACCATCACAGCTCGACCGCGACTGCATGATTTTGGGTGTATTTTAGACTGCCGTGCCGAACACCGCCTTCCGATCCCCCCTTCCATTCCGATCCCGCCTCCTCCCGGGACACCCTCCCCGGCAGCCTTCGACTACTGCTACATCACACGACACATCGCCATCATCCATCGAGACCATACCTCCTTGCCCTCGCCTGGCGCTGCACCTCGACCGCCGCGTGGCCATCTGTATGACCTCCGCGCAGCCTCAATATCTACCTCCCTACCACCTCTCCCCTGTCAGGCGTCAGGTCGCTGGCGTCGTCAAGTAGGGGGTTGTTGCCACCACCTCCAAGATGTTTTGGAGGTTTGGCGGTTACGCCAACATATCCACAATCGATACCATTCTCGACAAGAATGACTTCACACTCGAGGAGCTTCTCGACGAGGGCGACCTGATACAAGAGCTAAAGCAACACAATGCGAAGCTTATCGACTACCTGCGGGACGAGCCCGTCCTCGTCAGGCTGCTCGAATACGTCGTCGCCCCGAGATTAGAGCCAGTCGCGACTCCCGATGCTGAAGAGGACCAAGAAAAAGAAGCCGAGCCCGAGACCGAAAAGGGTAAGGGCCGTGTTCTGCCCTTCTCTCGGCCGAGGGCGTCTTCTAGGGCGTCCGAGCCCGAGAGCAAGGAGGAGGAGATGGAGAAGAAGCGCAATAGGTATGCGTACGTTGCAGCCGAAATCCTGGCGTCCGACAACTGGTCAATATGCGAGGCCCTGCTTGCCAACAAGACCATGTTGCGCGACTTCTGGGAGTTTCTGCGGCATCCTATCCCTCTCGACCCTCTACAGGCCAGCTACTTCACCAAGGTCAACGAGGCACTGTTTGATAAGAAGACCGAGGAGATGATCGAGCTGCTCAAGTCTATCGACAACGCCGTCCCGGACATGCTCAGGCATGTCGATTGCCCCATGATCATGGACTTGCTGCTGAAGATCATCAGCCTGGAGCGGACCGAGGCTGGCCAGGGAATAGTCGAGGTAAGTCCATTCCCAGACATGCCCCAGGATCGCCTTTCGCTAAGCTGACCGTTGCGCAGTGGCTCTATACCCAAGACGTCATGCCTACCCTCCTCTCCTTCCTCGGTCCCGAGCACAGCTGGGCCACACAGACCTCAGCTGGTGATTTTATGAAAGCCATCATCACTGTATCCGCGAATGCCTCCCAAAACGAGCAGACATGCATCGGCCCGAACGAGCTTACTAGGCAGTTGGTGTCGAAGGAATGCGTTGAAAAGCTAATATCCTACATGCTGGGCGGAGGAAACGCCTTGACCGTCGGAGTGGGCATTGTCATCGAGGTCATCCGTAAGAACAATTCCGATTATGACCCCGACGTTGGTGCCGAGGCCAGCTCGTCGCCTTCAAGTCGAGACCCCATCTACCTGGGCACCCTCCTGCGGCTGTTCGCCGAGCATGTCCCCGACTTCGCGAACCTGATCATGAACGCCCCCGCACAGAAGGCCCGCCTTGATTCCACCTTTGGCGACAAGATTGAGCCGCTCGGCTTCGATCGTTTCAAGACCTGCGAGCTCATGGCCGAGCTCCTGCACTGCAGCAACATGGGCCTGTTGAACGAGGTTGGTTCTGAGGAGCTCATCGCTGCTAGGGACAGCGAGCGCCAGCGGCTGCGCGTGGAGGGCAAGCTCTCGGCTCTGCGTGGCGAGGACGCCCCATCCTCGGCAGACGACCTCACTATGCGCATATCACACTCCTCTCCTGTCGACGAGGGTCGCCGACTGGAGATTACCAACATTTCCGAGGACGATGGCTTCGAGGAAGTCGCACACAGCAAGGAGATGACCGAAGACACCTCAGACGAGTTTGTCAAGGCCGAGGAGGATTTGCAGGCTGGCCAGGCAACCTCGTTCCTGGACAAGGATGAGGACGACTTTGTCGACGAGCCGCTGAGTTCGCCACGGCTTCAGGTCAACGATGCCAAGATCGAGGAGCCGGAGTTCGATGATCCCGACTTGGTGGTGGCACCCTTGTCTCCCTCAAAACAGAAGGCTAGTGAGCTGAACGAGCTGCCCCCGTCTCCGTCCAAGGACGAGGGTGCTAAGGTCGAGGAACTGGTGGAAGACATGCAAAAGTCCTTGCTGGAGGACAAGCCCAAGACCCCAGAGCCACAAGAGGCTGCACCGTCCGCGGACGGTAGCGGTGCTTCTACACCTGCGATTGATACCCCAGCAGCATCATCGGTAGCCGATTCTGAGACGACAAAACCTGAAGCTCAAGATCCCCAGCAGCCTGAAGCTGAGGCTCCATCTTCTGAGCCACGGCCCGAGGGAGTCGAGACACCCGCACCACTGTTCTCTCAGCCGCAAAACGCCTCCGATCAGGATGCCGCTGACACAGAAGCCCCGAAGGAGGCCGATGCGTCTGACGCTCCCAAGGAGGCAGAAGAGCCCCAGGATGCATCACAGGCTACCGAGGCCGACCAGTCGGAGCAGGCAGCTGGGGACGCATCTATACTTGTTGGCCATGAGATACAGCCCGAGGCTCAGGATCTAAGTAACGTGCAGCCTGTCGTGGGCGATTATCTGAAGATGCAATTCGTTGAGTATGGAATCGTTCCTACGATCCTGTCATTCTTCTTCAAATATCCCTGGAACAACTTCCTCCACAACGTTGTTTATGACATCGTACAGCAAGTCTTTAACGGACCCATGGACCGTGGCTTCAACCCCACGCTCGCAATTTCCTTGTTCGAATCTGCGGACATCACGAGCCAGATCATCAACGGCCAGCAAGCCAGTGAGCAGTCCCAGCAGCAGAACAGGACCCGCATGGGCTACATGGGTCACCTCACCCTCATCGCCGAGGAGGTTGTTAAGTTCACCGAGCGTCACCCGCCTGAGCTCCTCAGCGAGACGGTGCTGCAGAAGGTCATGGACCAGGAGTGGATCAACTATGTCGAGGGTGCCCTCGCAGAGACGCGCGAGCGTGACAACGCAATCCTGGGAGGTGTCCGGCCCGAGGTGGCCATGAGCAATAGACAAGCTGGTGGTCTTTCAGCGGTCGGTCTATCCAGTCTTGGCGCCGCGTTCGGCAGCTCACAAGGCGGTAGCTCGAACGCCCTGGCTGATGCGGGCCTTAACGGCGGCCTGAACGACGGGGGTGACAATGGTGGTGGCAACGGGATCGGGCCTTTTGCCATCTCATCGGGCACGTTGATGTCTGGGTTTGGTAGTAGTTCTGATGAGGACGAGGACGAGGAGGCTGAGAACGAGGAGGATGTGAATAATGAGGTTGGTATTCTTCCCTTTGCCCCTTCCCAACCACGCCCTAGGAGGCTGTCTGGTTTGTCTTCTTTTGCCGGCCGCCCTGTACCGCGGCTCTTCACCCGTTGTGCATCTGGCTTCTATGGGAGCGAGGACTGTATCGAGGATTGCGACTCGGACGACCCTGAGCGATCCTGCCCGGACTTGGACGACGACAACGACCACGGTAGCATCGACGAAGATGAGCTGGAGCCGCGCAAGATGAGCCCGGCGAGAATCACCCCTCCCCTCGCCGGCGGTTCTCATCGGGCAAGCTTGGCCGGGCCCATGGACGACTTCGAGGATGTCTCGCTGGGCGACGAAAGCGACTCCAACTCATTGGGCCACCTCTCGCCTGAGGAGTGGGAAGATGTCCAGGACCAGAGCCCGGAGCGCACGGACGACGACTTCACAGGCCCTGTCCAACAAGTGGACGATGGGGCGATGGAGCAGGAGACGTACGATGTCGGCCAAGCGGACGATGACAGCGACCCTCTCTTCAGCCTGCTCATCTCGGTGAACTTTCCGTCGGAAGAAGAGATGCAACCACGCCGAGCACGACGAGACGAGGAGATCCACCGGGGCATGGTCGACCTTGTTAGGGAGCTTTTCCACGGCAAATACCCCGACACGTTCCTGGACCGCATGGCCGACATACTCTCTTGTCCGCCCGGCAGCCCTCCGAGCGAACACGACATGAGGGTGCAGACCTGTCTTGTCGAGATAGGACGACTGGTCCAGAAGAGCACGACGCCAGACGAAACCACGAACCCAGAAGTCCGGTCAGACAAGCTTATAGCCGACGCAGAGGAGTGTTGAAGTGAAGAAGCAGCTCTAGGAAAATCAGTAGTTGTAGGAATAAGCACAATGACTCGGGTATACAAGAGCTGGAGTAATGGGCTGGCTGGCTGCCATGTCTGGTACAACAATGGGCGTCCATTCGGCCACCGGACCACATGTCCTTGCAACATCGGTTTTTGCGTCTCCATTCTGGCCTTGGGATTGGCTGTCACTTGTTGTATCCTTGTGGGTCTGCCTGATGCTGTGGGACGGTGGTTGGTGATGGTGGCCCATGCTCCGCGCTGGACTCCTCTTCGGCCGAGCGACCCCCTCTCGGCCACGATCCGACAGGCCCTCCGACCAAAACACAACCCATCATGCCCGGCCCATGTTGCTCTCTACGTTCCGCCGGTCGTCCTCCCCTGTTCCGATGGCAGCTATGCACACCATCTTGCCCTGGACCTCTCCTTCTGTCTATTTCCTTGTGTCATCACTATTGCACCGTTGCGATTTTCTAACGTTGAGTACAGTTAGGTATACATGCTAATAGCTCATAGTTCCGCGCCTACACCGACCCCCTCAACTCCTCAAGCCAGTCTGCATCCAACAGCTTGAACCCACCATCAATCCCGCCTCCGCCACCTCCCCCGCCACCGCTGAACATCCCCCCTTCCCGTGCCCGCATGGCCTTTGCGGCCCGGCTTGCCTCGAAGCGCAAGGAAGCAGAGGAGGCGGGTGAGGATGGGGAGGCCAGCGAGGATAAAGGCCTGAGTTCATTGCTCCAGCAGGGCAAGGAGAAGGGGGCCGATGAGCAGCTGCAGAACCCTTTCGCGGATGACGAGGACGATGAGGACCAAAGCGACGACGAGGATGAGGATGACGAAGGCGACCTCGGGCGGGGCGAGGGCGGCGGAGGACAGGGCAGCAGCTGGAACCGAGGGGGGTGGTGGCGCGGAGCTCTGACCAACAGGCCAGGCAAGACGACCAAGGAGACATTTGGTGACGGCAGAGACTCGAGCGACTCGGAAGGCGAGGCCGAGGGACAGGCCGGCGACGGCGGCAACAGCAGCGACGAAGAGTTTGGCGACTTCGCGATGCCTGAGACGTCGGGAACCACCGGGGAGGCGGGCGGAGCGGCGTCAGGCTTCGACGCGGAGCGGGAAAAGGTTCTTGTCAAGCCGACGGCTGTGCATCCGCCCGGCGGCGGGGGCGGCACCGGGAACAAGGGCAACTTCCTGGGGCTCTGGCCTTTTGCCAAGAAGGACAAGGACAGCAGCAGCCCTACCAAGGACGAAGCCGGAGCCGAGGGCGAGAAGGCAGCCGATGGCGCGGCGACGGGCGAGAAGCCCGCCGAGGCACAAGCAGCCGACGAGGCGGCCAAGGAAGACGCGGAGAAGTGTGCGGCCGGCACGGAGAAGGACGGCGCCGGACAAGAAGACGACAAGGACAAGGCCAAGGCCGAGCCGCCGGTGGTGCTGAGCGAGGACGGCGAGAAGGTGCAGCCCGCCATCGAGGCCAAGCGGCGCACGAGCATCGAGGAGCCTGACGAGGGGGACGAGGTCGTTGTGTAGGACGCAAGACCACCCATAGGGGCGGACTGGTGCTTCTTGGAGAGACCCGCGGGACGGTGAAGGGGTCCCGGACCAGCCACCACCACCACCAGCAGCGCCGCTCCTACCGACCCTTTTCAGGGGGCCAAGCCGTCGTCTCACCCCCGGCGGCGCAGCGCCAGTCACATAGAGGTGTACCGCGCACGGCTCGAACAGAACAAGATCCCACGCGCCTATGAGAGAGAGAGACGCGAGACGTGGGAAAGCTGGGGGGAGGGAGGGCTTCGGGCGAGTATCTGTATGTGTTGCTGTTGCTGTTGTCGTTGTAACGCACCGTGTATAATGGAGAAAGCTACTTCGGGAGTTCCTGGGGTCTTGCCGGGGTTTTGCCGGGTTTCTGTGTTTTACTTTTTGGTTAGAAAGGAGAGGTTTTTACCACGACGCGATGATGACACACACGGCCGACCCATCGGCCGGTGCTTGTGTGTTGGTTGCATGCAGGTTTTATACTGTAGTAGTTGTTGTCCGGGCCCCCGTCGGCGCCGTTGGGGGGGGGGGGGACCTGGCTGGCTAGCCTGTCCGTCTGTCTCCCTTGTGTTTTTTTTTCTTCTTCTTGAGAATTGTATTATATGTGTTCTTTTTACGCCGCTGTTGCTCTGTGGTAGTGGTGCCTTTTTTGAGGGTTGTTTGTTGGGTCGTGCATGGGTAGATACTCTCCAACAGTACTTGGCAGCTGCAGCAGCAACAGCAATCAACTGTCGAGCACATCAAAGATGCGGCTTGTGCTTGGGTGCTTCGGGCCGAGATCGGCAGAACCCTGGTGGGGGGGGGGTTGCGGGATCTCGGCTGCTGCTGACATGCGACGGAAACATGGGCTTGCTTCGTGTCACCAGCAGGTCGTCCTTGAACAACGACATGGCCTGCTTATTACCTGGTATAGCTCACTAGCCCTTTCCACTGAATTGATGGCACGGGCGTGATGTAGCCAGCCAGCCAACCAGCCAACCAGCCAGCCAAACGTCCCGGTTGATTGGGCCCCGCAAGTCGACGTCGCCTCGTCCAGCGTGAGCCACACAACACACAAACCAGTGGTTACGGTGCGGTGCAGGTGCATAACAAACCCCGCGGCCCAGTCGAAGCGCCAGGCGCCCTGGCCACCAACCACGCCTCAGCCCTCGGGACACACTCGCCCATCACATCCAGGCTCGCATGAACCCGGGTGTTTCATCGACGCATTCCTCATTCTTGGTCCCCGGACTGTGTCTTCTTTTTCCCTCTCGGTATCAAATAAAAACGTGCACATCCGCCCGTTCGTCCGCCCGTCCGTCGGGCCGGCAATCTATACATACCATGATCGTCAGGGCCCTGCTTGCCGTGTTTGCGGTGCTTTATGTGCATGTTTACTTGAGGGTATGTCCTTTTTGTTTTTGTTGGGGTTGGATTGTTGGAAAGGGGATGCTAATGCGAGGTACTTTTGGCTGGGTAGGCTTTGCATTTCCTTCGCCCGCCGCCCGAGAAGCGGACTTGATTGATGGTCGACCAAGGCGATAGCCACAAACGAGCGACAAAGACGATTTTATACTCAGTACGGAAGGCACCCGATAAAGAACAGCAGCAACCAAGATGGCCGCCACCCTGACGGTGACCCAGCCGCCTATACCTCCCACCCCCTCCTCCTCCGCAGCGTCGCCACCAAGGAGGAAGCGGACCAACTCACGGCTGCAGGCATGGCACGACGGCGCGGACAAGCAGCAACAGACACAAGGCCGGGGGCCGTCGAAGAGCAGGAGGCCGCCGGGGAGGCAAGGGGGGGTCAAGAAGGACCCGCCGCCGCTGCTACACAAGGTCGGGCTCGCGGCGCAGATCTACACCATCCGCGGCGCGATGGGCACTGTCGACTGGTTCCAGGGCTGGCGGGAGTGGCTGTACCCGCCCCAGGACGGGCCGGACTTTGTCAAGGCTTATGAGTGTCGGCCGGGCATGGGCGTGCGGTGCGTTTGCCCAGAGAGAGGGAGAGGGGGAGAGAGAGATGGTGGTTCTAACAAAGCCCGCAAACAGGATATTCTTCCCCAGGACCTTCGACCAGACCTCCCCGCAGACCCTGCCCACCATCCTGACCGTCCACGGCGGCGGCTTCTGCATCGGCACCAGCCGCGACGACGACGGGTGGAACAGGCGCGCCGCCGACTCCCAGGGCGTGCTCGTCGTGGCCCTCCCCTACGCCAAGGCCCCCCGCGCCCCCTTCCCCGCGGGCCTGGCCGACCTCGAGGCCCTGTACCTGGCCGTCCTGGCGGACGAGAGCCTGCCCATCGACCGGACATCATCGTCATCACGTGGGGGCAAGGGCAAGGGCAGGGGCAGGGCAAGGGGAAGGATCGCACTGGCGGGCTTCGACGCGGGCGCGAACCTCGCGCTGGCGCTGAGCCAGATGCCCGCCGTGCGTGGTGACAACAACAACAACGACGACAACAACAACAACAACAGCAGCGGGCCGGCGCCGACGGCCGTGGTCAGCATCTGCGGGATCCTGGACCTGTCGCGGCCGGCCGGGGCCAAGGCGCGCAACAGGCCGTACAAGCCGGGCCTGCCGGCGCCGCGGGGCGGGGCCGCGGACGTGCTGGCGCCCACGTACCCGGCCTACGCGTGGGGTTACGTCCCCTACGGGCAGGACCTGCGGGACCCGCTGCTGAGCCCCGCGTTTGCCGCGCAGCAGCAGCAGCATGGCGGTGGTGGCGGTGGCGGGGGGCTGCCGCCGCACGTGTGCCTCGTCGCCGCGGAGCTCGACATGCTCGCGCACGAGAGCTGGCGCATGGCGTGCCGGCTCGTCGCCGAGGGCGGCGTGGCGCGTGGGGACGGGCGGCGCGCGCGGTGGAGGGTGCCTGACCCCGATGCTGACCCCGATGCTGACGGGGCGCAGGCCGTGTGCGGGCGGGCGCAGGCCAGTGCCGTACGGGGGGCGCTCGAGATGGAGGAGCTGGGCGGGGGTGGGGGTGGGGGTGTGGATGCCGAGGACGGGCTGGGGCCGCGGAGGAGGTTTGGGTTTGAGGTTGTCTGGGGGGGCGGGGACGGGGAGGACGACCAAGGGGGCAGCGTGAGGTGGGTCCTCGTGCCGGATGTCGTGCACGGGTTCGACCGCGCGCCGTGGCGGTACGGCGGCGAGGAGACGGTGAGGGATGCCGAGCTCAAGACTGTTGCTTATGTTGATGCCGTGGGGGGGTGGCTGCGGGAGACGGTCTGGGGGGTGTGACCTGGGCATGTGGGGGAGGAAGAAACCCCTGCTCGTGAATGTAGGCAGAGTCTTTGACTTGTCAGGTCTCGCTGGGCTACACAGCAGTCATCCTCAGGCGTCGTGTGCAGGTAGATAGATATCCAGGGCACGAGGCTACAAAGGGCTTAGCTGCAGTCCCCCTCTAGCCGCCACACCCACCTGGGCATCATCATCCTTCGCGCCCCTGTTCAATCCAGCCTTGGTTGGTTGCTTATCAGTAGTACATACTATCCCGAAACACCAACATGGTATAAATTAACGGCCGTGAAGATACGTGACCAACCAACAACCCCAGATAGACATTCATCATCCCTCTGTCTTAGCGCATCCTCGCAAACAACAGACAAGATGGCCTCCCCCAAGCCCAAAGCCAACGACCCAGGCCTCACCCTCGCCTCAACGGCAGCCCTCCTCGCCCCGGGCGTCCGCATGCCCCGGCTCGGCTTCGGCACCTACCGCGTGCCGCCCGCCGAGACGGCCGCCGTGGTGCGCGCCGCGCTGGCCGCCGGGTACCGGCACTTCGACTCGGCGCAGCTGTACAACAACGAGGCGGAGCTGGGCCGGGCCGTCCGCGAGTGCGTGCAGTCGTCCGGTGTCAGCAGGGCGGACGTCTTCCTCACGACCAAGATCCGGTACCCGGGGGTGAGCGGGGCCAAGACATGGGGGAAGTTTGTTGATAGCGTCGCGAAGATGTCCGGGGTTGAGCCTGCGGGGGGGCGGAAGGGGAAGAGGAAGCGGGCCGTTGACGACGATGAGGGCCGCGAGACGGTTCCTGTTGCTGAGGGGGGGCGTGCAGGAGCAGCGGGGGAGGCGGCCGCGGCCCGGAAGGACGGGGAGGAGGAGTCCCGGTACGTCGACCTGTTCCTGGTGCACACGCCGTACGGCGGCGCGAACGCCCAGAGGGAGCGCAGGGAGATGTGGCTCGCGCTCGAGAGGGCGTACGAGGAGGGCAGGGCGCGGGCGATCGGCGTCAGCAACTACAAGGTCGAGCACCTCGAGGAGATGCGCGCGTATGCCAAGGTGTGGCCGCCGCATGTCAACCAGATACAGGTAGGTGGGCATCTTTACTACCACACATCAATGCATACAGACTTTCAAGTTTGTGGCGATGCTGACCCTACGCACGCTCACAGCTCAACCCATGGTGCCAGCAGCGCGAGGTCGTCGCCTACTGCGAGGAGCACGGCATCGTGGTGCAGGCGTTCAGCCCGCTCGGCCGCGGCGACCGGCTGGGCGACGCCGTCCTGGGCGCGGTGGCGGGCCGGTGCGACAGGTCGCCGGCGCAGGTGCTGATCCGGTATGCGCTGCAGAAGGGGTGGGTGCCACTGCCCAAGAGCGAGAGGCCCGAGAGGATGGAGGAGAACGCCGACGTGTTTGGCTTTGTGATTGGGGAGGAGGACATGGCGGTGCTTGATGGGCTTGATGGGGTCAAGATGGGGTATTTTGATTGAGGGGGTTGGTCAGTCAGGTATTTAGAGCCGAGGGAAGGGTTGCTTTGTGATGGTTTGGATAGTTTGAGTGTTTATGTATAGTTGTTGTGTATATAGACCGTCAGGTATGGCGACAGCCCTGCACTGTCTCAGATGTCAATATGTGTTTCCAACCCAACAAGCACGCGTTCCCTCAAGGGGGATCACGATTCAGACTGAGATTAGCCACGACATGATCCCCGGAGAATCTTTGCAGGCGGAAAAAGTTGGTAAAATTCAAAGGCATCATGTCCCTCGAGTTACGAACTACCAAGTGTCCGAAATTCCTCGATGCTCAGAGCTTGATAGTACCTAGGTAGGGTGTGTTCTCCCGAGTGTAGGAGAATGAAAGAGACGTCGGGAGCTTCCTTTCATTATCCCCCACCTCGGTCCTGCCATGTGGCAGCGGGAAGTAGTACGTCCGTCCAACAAGGAGTACGCAGCCATAATCGCCATTCAGGCACGGCAAATCTGTTTATAGTTCCTTCCAATATCCGGTTCAGGAATAGCGAGCAGGTGTTCTTCGGTGTTCTAGTTAAGTTTGGGTGACCGTCAGCCATAAAGAAAAGGCTGTCGCCCGTGCCCATGTACGCAAGAGCATCTGAAGTTGCTCAGCAGAACGATCAGTTGATTCAGCCTAGCTTGTTGTTTTGTTGGCAGAAACCTTCTCATCACAGTTCAATTCAACAGCCCAAAATGGACAACATCCGGCTTGCCAGTGCGCCCGTTCTACTGGACGATGACTCGCTTCGGGTCAGCCCCGACTGGAGGATGCGCTTGTTTCCACACGGGGCAGAAGATGCGCGCAGGGCCATTAATGCAATGAATACTCTTCAGGTATGTGTCTAATCATTCCGTTGCGCCATGAAGCAATTTGTCCTTCTGAAACATTGTCATGGAACCAGAGCACCAGAGGCGGGGCCATCGACCAGTACACCGTCGACCAATGCGTCGAATTTCAACTCCAATACCTCCCAGCAGCGACGTCGTCCCTCGTCTCATACATCGCGGCAGGCTCCACGGCCAACCCGACACATTTGTTCAACACAAATCTCTACGACACGGAACTGAGGACCCTGAGCCAGGCGTTTTGGATAGAGCACAGGGAGTTCTTCAGACACATAATAGCCAACTCATGGACAATGTTTCCCATCGGCGTGCGGGGCCACTTCCTCCTGGCCATCATACGCGCCACACAGGCCTACACGCCCGAACAGGGGTATATCGCAATGATAGATGATCTGGTCGTGTTGGACCCACTTAGGGACAAGGCGGTGGAAACCTTTGCGTACGAGCGCCTGCGGTACTACATACTCCTCCCGACAAGAGGGTTTGAGTTTGCAGGCAAGGAGCCGGCGAGTCTCTGGTACCCAGAGCACGGCGTGCGCGCCTCCACATGTGGGCTTAGGTTTTACGAGATCGTTCGGGTCATGATTGAGAGGATCAGCCAGTCGGTTGGGGAGAAGGGCCTCAGGGTAGATTTTGATGAAAGCCCAATTTGGCGAGACTTGAGCGGTATGTGTTCCTACTTCGATAAATCCTTCACTGGGGTCACAATACCCTCAAGGAGACACGAGCTGTCACAAATCTATCACATCGTGCTCAAAACCTGGATTTGGCTGACTGGCCTTGAAAAGGCGACTTCCAAGCCGACAAGGTGCGGGCCGAGATGATCGGGATAATGGCGAACCGCGCGATGCGGGCAACGGACTGGACGACCAGGATATGCCTCGTCCCCGTGAGCCACGTCAAGAACCGCACCTTGGACGCCGAGCGGGGCTCCTGGGTCCCGACCGGCGAGCACGGGTCCAGGCTGTACCTCGTGGGGTACAACACCGACATGCAGTACAACAACTTAGAAGAACATCCCGCTCGTCACAGGCATTATGGTGAGTCTCAGACCCCCCCCCTGCCCCCCCCCCCAGTTTCATGCCCCAGGACCTGGCCTAACAAGATGATGTCCTCATAACAGCCGGACCCCCCTCTCCCTCGTCATACGCGAGAGGCATCCCCGGAAGACATGCCGACGCCAACCATGGCGGCACCGAGTTTGCTGTCGAGAACCCCAGCTAGGAGCAGTAGAGGCTCACGCGCCTCGCTGTAGGCTGAGGTTCCCGGGGGACCTATACCGCCTCCTCCACTGCAGCGCGGAAGGGTCTGCCGACCACTGGATGCTGATGGCGGTGCCGACTACGGGAGCCCGTATAGCTTCGCTGGACAGCGATAACTCCATGCCGGACGCTATGTAGTCATGATTACGGACTTAGTGGCGTGTTGTTTCTTCTGGTGCGGTTGGTACGGTTTTGCGCTGGAATGAGTAGTATTGTAAACGGAAATGATATGTGTAGTTGTGTTCGGGAGAAGCTGATATACAAAATCCTATATATACACGCCAAATCATTGGCATTATGGCTGAGTCAACAGGTACAAAATCATCTCGGACCATACGCATCGCGATATGCCCGTTGTTGAGGAGTCATATCGGCCAGCATCTTCGCCTCCGACTGCGCTCGTCTCTTTTCCTTCTGGGCCCTGGTCGGCTCAAAAGGAGGTGGTTGGGGCAGTTCGTCCTTATGCGAGTACGCTTCCATGATGAATCCCAGCAGTGCCTTGCGAAAGTTCTGCCTGCCTTCCACTGGGGTACCGTAAGCCCATCTCGCATGACCGTCCAGCGCTGTGTAAGGCAACTTGCTCGCCCTCCTCAGTCTGAACTCTTTGCCAGCAAAATGCCACAGGAAGAGGTTGTCCCAGTCGAACAGCGCCACGTATCTTGTTCCAAACTTCGAGGAGTAGGCGGCTGCTTGTTTCGTCAGGCACTTGGCGTTGTTCGCCATAAGGCTTTCTGTCTTCGTCTTCGTGACGAGGTCGATGGAATCGATGATCTCAAGGCGGTTTGCGACTGAACAGTCCCGGATTCGGCCACGGGCAAACTCAGCAGGCTTGATGTGCGCCCTGTTCTTGTACTCTATCACAGCCACGACCTCGCCGTCGATTTTGATGAGAGCGTCGCACCGGCAGTCATCGATGGTCACCTCCGCATGGCATCCAACTTTTTGGTCTGCGAGATGGCTCTGCAAGGCTATGACGACAGGGTGGAGTAGCCACAGCGCAGAAGAACGGACAACGTCGGCCTCGGTCTCGAGGACACATGGGCTGTATGGAGCAGGCAGATATGAGCGCGTCAGCTTGGCTTCCTGAGCCACGCAGACAGTATTTCCCCTTGAGGTATAATTGGAGAGATCTTTCTTGAACCAAATAGCCGGAGGGGTGGCGACCTGGGTAGAACCTCCTCGCGTTCTGATATCGATTTGGGGCACAGTCAGGTGCACGGGTCCATGCGACAGGATTAACAGTTCCTCAGAAAACGATTGGTACAAGGTAAGGGCGTCGAACTTTGGATCATAGCTTAAGGGCTGCTGTGGATACATGATAGAAGATAGGCTGGTTCAAAACGATAGTTCGGTCGTGCACAGCCAGTGTGAGACAACTGATGGAAAGTTGGGAAGCAGGTATTAATCTTTCGTAGCCACTTGATTCGAAGTGACGAGTGCCAGTGCAGATGGTAGGTCGATGAGAGCTGAGACTCATCCATAATCCGACTTGCAGGTCACACAGATCTCTTATAAGCTCCAGCCTCCAAGAAGGCTGATGACTACAACTTTCCAAGAACAAGGACCTGATGGCATTCGAGTCGAGACGGCCGAGGCCATCAACGCTCTGGCGTAACTCGAAACCAATACCTGTCCAATGAGAACATGGCGTCATATTCTTCCCCATATAATGAAAGTAGTAATATAAGTTGGAGTGGCCAGGTGCAGGCCAGCGAGCCGCTGAACCGGCCAGGTGAGGCATATCGGCGATAAGCAACATTGATAGTTCAGACCAGTATATCACAAAGGCCAATCGGAAATACATGGACGTTGCATCGACCAGGGATCACATGATATGCATTTGGTTTCACGATTATAGGCGTTGCTCAGCCGGCCAGTTTTGAGAGCCTCATGTGCACTTTTAGGTGCTCACCCGATCGCAGCCTGCGGTTAGCCGCCATGGGACAGGGTCTCCGACCGATTGGATAGATTTGCCGCTATGCCCCACATCCCCGGCTTTATCCAAGCGCCTGGAGAGCTGCGACCTCTTCAGCCGATGTAACCCTGAGCCACAGTTCCAAACAACCCATTTCTGGACCACGTTCGACGCACGGCTGCCCATCCCGTCAACCCTTAGGAGCAGGTACACACATACACCGATCGACCTGGGCGGGAACTCGTGCTTCGAGTCTTATCCCAGAACCATATCATCACAGCTGTACACTTGCTTCCACCACACCGTTCGCGTCCCTGTTTTCTTAGCTCGTCATGACCGACAAGAGATCACCACAAAGTCCTGGGTTTCGCTCTCAAAAACGATCCAAGACCTTTCCCTTGACAAGAAAGGATGAGGAAATCGATCATCCAGGTCGCAGTGCTACTCTACCGGTAACGGACAACATAGAAGCGCCCGCAGACACACCCTTCGGCAGCTCACCAAGCAACCAGACGAGCCCTGAAAATGAGGCTTCAACGCCGGGTGAGAATGAACACGAGAAACCCAAAGAAGATTCACCGGTTGCTCCAACACCAAGCGACCAGCCAATTACACACCAGCAGCCCCCTTCGTTGGCAGAGCACGAGATTGAAGATCCACAACAAGACAGTGATGAGAAGCCGTTAAGAAACCGCAGTGCTTGGTCGCCAATATCAGACGAAGACAAGAATGACGTCGGCGAAGACAAGAGCGACGCTGGTGAAGACAAGAGTGACGCTGGTTCCGGCAAATACGTCCCTCGTTACTACGAGGACGACGAATCAGAATCGGGCTCCCATGTGACGACCTTTGACGAGCTGAACGAGGAATTCGGCCGGTGGAGCGCACCGCAAGAGCCGCTCAGACCCGAAAATCCTTACAAAAAGGGTCAAATCCTTAACATTACAAAGCATACTGCTTGCGCCCCTTTTGGCCAGGACTACCCGAATTATGAAGGTGTCAGGGAACGTGCACCGGAGAGAGAGCTGCGGAGCAAGACGCTAGTGGACCTTTGCCTGGACCGGCCCCCAGTCGGAGGAGAGACTGCGGCGGCGGGTGAAGAGGCGCAGACTCTCGAGATCCTGGATGGGTTAAGAGTCAGGGAGGACGGCGGTGCTCAGATTGTCGTCTGCCGGGTCTCGGGCAAGCCACAGGAACTGGTGGCGAAGATCTACGATCCGCTGTACTACGGCTTCGCGCACAGGATGTGGTCAGACCAGCCGCGGGATGTCACGTACGAGGCCGACATGGACTATTCCCGGGAGGTCGCAGCCTACCTCGAACTTGACGGCCAACTCGGCGGCGCCGACATTCCCAAGTACCACGGCTCCTGGACATTCCAGCTGCCCCTGGAGCTCCCGGGCGGCAAAAAGACGCGGCATGTGCGGCTTGTGCTGATGGAGCACATAGAGGGTACACCAATGACGGATCTGAAGCCAGAGTTGTACCCAGAGTCGACGCGCATGGACCTGGTGACACGCATGGTTGAGACCGTGGCACGGGTCGACTTCGCCGGCGTCAGCCATGGCGATGTCTCGCAGCGTAATGTCATGGTCTGCCTGACCCAGGCCGACACGGTGGACAGAGTCGCCCTGATCGACTTCAACTACGCCGTTGTTGATCGCCTGGACGATTTCGAAGAACAGTTCCCCGATCTAGAACGGCGGCCGAAGCCAGCCAAGATGCCCAATCCAATCGATCGCTGGTGGGGTGGTGGTCTGTATAGCGTTGTCGGGGAGTGGCTTCCGGCGAGCTGGGAATTTAGGTGGAGAGCGTTGCAGGACTGGCTCTATGAGAAGTACGGAAAGTCGGAGGAATACGCGCCACCGAGAGCAACATTGGACTGGGATGAAGAAAATGTGCCACAAGTATGGATCGCCACTTGATACCACTGGCATTAATCCTCTCGGTGGCTAGTCTTCTAAAATTAATTATCTTCTGAAGCTGTCGTGACAGAGGCCTAAAAGCACAGATATCAATACATGGCACATGACGAACTGTTTGTTACATATGAAGCAATGGGATCTTGCAGAATGAGATACTTATACCATGAGAAGTGGCGGTTTTGTCTCCCCTATATACTAACCCTAGAAAGTACTCAAGTAAAATGTTTGTGGTGCTTTCCTGCAGTGGTAAAAGTTCGATAGGTGTGATGTAAATAACGAGTTTTATTTGGCCCCGACTGCATAAAGCCTTCCCCAACCTCCTGATTCTCTGCACATCGTCTGTTTATGTTTTGGTGTAGCCTCAACCGACCCTCAATATTGTCCCTTAAAGTTGAATTGCTGAGAAAAGATGATTTGGATTGAACAAGAACAGCCCAACTGCAGCTTGGCGGCACAATCAGTGTAGTGCAGCACTGAAACCAACCTTGACCTTGCCGCTTCTAAGAGTAGCCGCGCGCGATCTTGGACTTCATGGGATGTTCCAAGGTTGAGACTTCCCGCTGACTGGTTTATTGCCGCCAACATCATTCCGTACCGGCCACCTGGAGAAGAATGGTGGATCGGGCGCGAGAGGTGTCCGCTCGATTGACGGTCCATCAACGTGTTGGGCCCTATCCCAGACGCCAGCCAATTTTAGCCCAGATGCTTGGGCCGTCTGAAGTCCTTCCAGCTCCGACATTGGTTCATTTAACCGCCTTTGTCGTGCACCAGATAGGTGGCTAAGGCGAAGCTACGGCAGGGTTGCCGCTGTGCTGCCTGCCGTTGCCTACCGTCACTGCGGCGCCACGGCGCTTACAGGGCATCTGATATAGCAAGCGGTTGCCCATGTCTACTGTCCTGCTATTAAGCATCATTTTCCCGGCACGACAAGATCCTAGATCTTTCCATAATTCTCCACCATTATTGAGCGGTTTCATTTTGGAATAAACTATTAGTACTACTGCCAGTACAAAATGCCTCACTTCAAAAGATCTATCGACTGGAGTCCTGACCTCAGCCCTCCCAAGCGTGCTAGGACTTTCCCTGTCACTCAACATGAACATCGTACGAGAACCGCAGCAGAAGAAGACGAATGCTGCAGGCAGTGTTCACAATGCACGGTTACGGCGACCCGTACCAGAGAAGAATTCAAAGAACAGCATAAGCCACCAGAGAGTACGTCCAACAACTCGTTCGCTTCGCAAGTTGGAGACACGGCTCGGGCAGAGGCCAGTGAGCGGCAAACTGGGCAAGACCGCGCTCCTGAAGAGCACATATCTACCCAAGAGAAGCCTTCCACTTGCCACGGCCAGAGCTTAGAGGACAAGATCAATGTGCTGTCTCCTGCGGCCGCTCCAACATTCCCTTCGGGTTTGATCACGCATTCGACAATAAGCTCTTCTACCCAGACTGAATTGAGTTGCCATGGGTCGGACGCATCCGTGTTGGTCCAAAATGATCCCAACACGGACACCTGCATGCACTGTGGGCAATACTGGCGTGCTAAACCGCGACCGCAACCCAATCGTCCGGAGAACCCATACAGGACAGGCTTGAGCCTCAAAATTCACAAGCATGAGGCCAGCCCACCTTTTGGCGCCTACTACCCCCATAAAGACGACACACGGCGGCCAATACCGAGAGAGGAAGTAGAAGAAAAAACACTTGTCGATCTGTGCCTAGAGAACCCACCGCTAGAAGGAAAAACAGAGCAGGAAGAGAGCAGAACGCTCCTCATTGTGCAAGAGCTCCATGTGAAGAGTGGCGGCGGAGCCCAGCTTGTCGTTTGCCGCTTGGACGATGATTCGCAGGACTACGTTGCAAAGATATATGATCCCTTATATTACGATCCCGAGGATGACTTGTTTGCAGACGTCACATGGACTTCCGACATGGAGTACACCAGGGAAGCGGCTGCATACAACGAAATGCATAAATTCGTCGTCAGACAGGAAGACCCTGGGGTCCCGTACTTCCACGGCTCTTGGACCTTCCAGATTCCTCTGATTCTCCCAACAGAAAAAAGGACGAGAGACGTGCGAATGATTCTCATCGAGAGAATTCATGGGAGGTCAATGGTCGAGTTCAACAAGAACACGATATCCGAATCGGAGCGCCTGCTAACGCTGGGCCGCATGGCACAAATCCTGGAACTGACATCGTGGTACGGCGTGCGCCACGAACTTACCCGCCCGTCAAATATCATGCTTTGTGACAGCGAGGTACCTGGGGAGGTCGGGAGAATGGTAATAGTAGGGTTCTCGGGGTCGGTGGTGACGTGGGAGGAGGACGACACGAGATTCATTCCAGATCCGTGGCCTGACAAGCCCGCCAACCCGCTTGACCGGTGGTTCATGGGAATCAATGACTTCTTCCCTAGGTACTTTTCGGAGTGGCTGCCTGCGAGTTGGGACCGCAGAATTCGGCCTTTGCAGGAATGGATGCACGAAAGGTGGAGCAAAGATGATCGCTTCGAGCCTCCGTGGAGAGAATTGAGATGGTACGATGAGGAAGCCAGATGGGATTGATACCTGCTCATGTAGGTAGTGAACACTGAAGTACACGTCTTTGGTAGCGGCGAGCGATGGGCAACATCAGAGGACTAGATTTACAAATGATACACGCAACTCTCAGTTTTGACGAGTTCGATTTGGCATCTGACCATAAAAGCTTGGTTGGGTAGGTCTATCTGCCGGCCTTGACACCAAGAATCAACCTACATAGTGAGCTGAACAGGCAGCTGGATCGTTGAAAAAAGGTTCATAAAATCGGACATGATTATAAAGAACCAACTGCAGATCGGCGGCACCACCTGAGCATCTGATTTAGCATGAAGAGAAGTCCCGCTGGTACATGGCGTCGTCCAAGCTATAGACGCCATCCATCACCGTTGCACTGAAATCTCGGTGACATCTGAAGACTTAATTCTGAAAACATACATAGCACCTCAGTCGCTCAAGAAAACGCTATCGGGTTTTCAGAGGTAAAGGACGAGAAGCAATCGTTTGATCGGCAGCCCGGGATTTGAGCCCCGTCTACTGTAGGCGCTTACCTACATACTTGGGTAGCTTGGCTTTTGCCAAGGGGCCTGGAAATCTCCAGGGGTTCTCGATCACTGCCGTTGGTCTGCGTAGCCGCCTGCACATTGCTAAGCGACAGCAGTGTTGCATTGCAGCACCTGCGCATCGACGACGCGTCACGTTCTTGGAAACGTGGATCATTGAGATCTTTCATGAGCCTGACAGTAGGCTTACTGACTTAATGACGGCAGCCCGGGTGTGCTGATTTGGTCTCATTCTGGTTGGGTGCTCTCGATCCCAAGAAAGACTGCTACCAGGGCGCTCAATATCACTGATGGCGGACAAGAGATCTCCAAAGTTGGATCCTGAGTTACGCTCGCAGAAGCGCGCTAACACCTTCCCCATCTCTAGAAACGAGGCCGATCTGGAAATCCCACGAAAAGATGAGATAAAATGGAACCTGGGCCCACAAAGAAGGTCTACGACGCATCTCCCAGATGTCGAGTCCAATGACAGGGATGGGGAGCCAGAGACTGCATCTGATGGCCCTTCTGCCCCCCTCGTCGAAGATGTAACCCATTCTGAGGCGAATGAGCGGCCATCGCAATGCGGACAGGACGACAATGATGAATATCACGGCTGCGAAATATCTTCTTCACACAAAGAAACTGGAGAGGACAAAAGCGATGTCTCTTCTCCAGCGGAGCGGGACTTGGAGCGCGTTGCTGCGCCTTGCGGTCGTCTGAAGATGCATTTGACCTCTACCAAACCTGCCCAAGACGTCCCTTCTCCCGACCATGAGTCGATTAAATTTGAGGTGGAGGAACCTACCACTGTTTATGAGGCTCCGAATACGGACACGCTTGTGCAACCTGGGCCTTGGAGCCCACCACCGGAGCCACTTCGACCACCAAACCCTTACACAAGGAGTCTCAGCCTAACAATCTGCAGGCACGAGGCATGTCCGCCTTTTGGTCCAGATTATGGAGTTTATGATGATTTGCGGGATAGAGTATTGGAAAAGGACCTACGGCAGAAGACACTTGTCGACCTGTGCGTCGAAAACCCTCCAATGGAAGGCGAGACCGACTACAAGGATATACGAAAGCTGGAAATCGTGGAAGAGCTGCGTGTGAAAAGCGACGCCGGTGCACAACTAGTTGTATGCCGCCTTGACAAGCACGACGAAAAGGACGAAAAGGACGAAAACTACGTGGCAAAGATATATGATCCTTTGTATTATGGCTTCAGCGACACAATGTGGTCAGATTTGCCTCGAGACGTTACGTTCCAGTCAGACATGGACTATTGTAGAGAGGTAGGCGCATATGAGGAGCTGGATCAGTGGGTTGGCGGGACATCAGTCCCTAAATTCCACGGCTCGTGGACCTTTCAACTGCCACTGAGCTTGCCGAGTGGACGAAACATAATGAGAGACGTTCGGATGATTCTCATCGAGCGAATTCCCGGCAATTCGATGCTTGAGTTTGATCAGCATGCGTTACCCGAATCAGAGCGTTTAGAGACATTGGCACGGCTTGCAGAACTCATATCAAGGATCGCCTTCATCGGCGTCCGCCACCACGACATCTCCCAACGAAACATCATGATCTGTGAGGGCGAGAAAGCGGGAACAGTCGGAAGGATAGCGCTGATAGACTTCAACATGTCAACTGTGGAGCGGCTGGACGATTTTGAGGAGCAGTATGGTCCCAGGGAGCCCGGGCCTGACAAGCCGGCTAATCCGCTCGACTGGTGGTGGGGAGGAGGCTGGTACGGAGGCTTTTTTGAATGGTTGCCGGATAGGTGGGAGAAGAGGCTACGGCCCTTGCAGGACTGGATGTTTGAAAGATGGGGAAAATCCGAAGACTTCGCGCCTCCAGTCAGGGAGTTAGTGTGGGATGAGGAAGATCAACCTCGAAGTTGGATTGCCTGGTGAAAGCTGCTTGTCCATGTCGTCAGCAGAGGCCTGGACAAAATGGAGGCACTACTGGTACTGTCAATGATACATGCACTTCGGAATTACTAATGAATTTTATTGGACACATGGCCACGAAGACTTTCAACATTTGAAGGCTGTCTGCTATCGATCGCTAAGCCCACGACAGAAGGCAGTGTGCGTGCACAGCAACACTGGGGAAGCCAGCCAAGTCAATCCCCTCCAGTGTTCCAACACTTGATTTTCCACGACCACCAGACTAGAGTCACCGCGCGTGCAACTTCCACGTTTTATAGTCACCATCACAAGGACATGTTCTCCATCACTGCCTCTTCATAGGTGGGTGGCAGAGTTTCGACCGATGCCGCGCTCCTTTGGTCGTAGTCGCGGTCGTCGCGGTCGTCGCGGTCGTCATCGTTGTTGTTGTTGCTGCGGACGGTCTGTCGGTGGACATTTGAGGCAGACCCTCCAGCCCTTGTAGTACCGGGCCTTGACAGGCCCGAGAACGCAAATTGCGGTACCTGTATCTCTATCTCAAGCTCCCGCGCCATCCACCTAGCCTTCGAAATCAGCTGGGTCCTACTGCTCTCGTCATGAACGCAGTGTGGGATAAGCTTGTGCACGTCGACAGAAAGCTTCCGTATCACCCGGTCCTTGCCGACAACGGGGATCTCGCACAGCATCTCATGTAGAACACCAGTGTATCCCGTCATACCAGCCAAGTACTCCTCTCTGGTGATCTCGCGTCGGCGGGTCCAGAAGAAATAAAGCATGAGGCCGATGTCTGAGTAGTCGTCGGCAACGGTACTGTCCTCGTATCTCTGAATCAAAGTATCCATCCATGCGAGCCGGCGGTATGGGATGTCCTTCCCGTTTCTGCACTCATCCGTGAACTGAACCAGTCTCTTGCAGACCCCATGACAGACAACCCTGCTCATGTAGTGTGTTATCCATGCCGGCTCGGGGTCCAGGGGCCGCAGGGGCCGCTCTTCGATGTTGTAGTCTATCAGAAGCATGTGCTCGATCAGTGAGTTGATCATACGCCTCCCCGACTGGCTTGACACTGTCAAAGCTGAAAGAGGTGTAAGGCTTTGCAACGGGGCCGGGTCCGTCGTCTGGACCATTTGACTGGGAATACTCCCCCGAGTGCTCGATTCTTGGTCAAACAGTATTGCGGTGACAGCGGTGAGGATGCATTTGTTTTCGGCAAAAGATAGGTAATTACGGAATACATTTTCGCCCACGAGGCTGTTATGGAGGAGTCGGTAAACAGTCTGTCGCCTGGTAGTTGCACTGTCGTTTTCGTCGCCTGTGATCATAGAATACTCAGGTCTTTCAGGGCGTAGTATGCGTGTTCTAGTTCTGATGTTCCAATGCGGGTAACAAATCCGACTGAAAGTGTTGATGAGTTGCTCTTTAGCATCCGCGCGTTGTCTGGTTGCCATTGTGTACATGTTTCATCGGCAGTATGAAGTGGCTTAATATCAGGAAGTAGGATCAATTGGATCTTTTCGTGATGAAGAGGGTTTCGTTAAACCACTAAATTTGCTGTCAGAGTACTTCAATTTATGTTATAGACGATAGGAGGAAATCCAGCAATTTCAGAAATTGATCAACTACTACTAGCGGGATGGATTTCTTCATTTGGGACAAAAGAAGCCCACATACTTTTCAAAGTTCCAGTAGACGGACTCTATCTCGACTCACGCCATGTCGCACTATCGCACACTGGTGCCTTTAGTCTGGTGAGGCTCCGGACTGGGTCTATAGCCAGCAATTTTATGAGAATACTATGTTCATCCGCTCATTATCTACCCAGGTACTAAGGTATACTAGGGTAAAGCTAAGTATTGGTAGTATGCTAGTTGGCTATTCGAATATTGAAGGAAGTGTGAATGAATGTCTGCTCGCAATTATCATTTTCAAACTGTGTCGGGCATCACTTGCTCTTAGCACCCATCGTTCGGCCACATCTTGCACTGATATCCATTTTGAATGTACTTATGATGCTGCGACCAAGTGACATAAGCCCAGTAGCTTTGTCGTGAAAGACTTTTATTGGAATAGCCAAACTCTTCTAAGCTCTCATAACAGTTTTATATCGAATATGAACATTCGACAGTATACGATATTGCACATACTCGCTGAAATGATCCTTGCGAATCTATACAGAATTAAAATCAGACAACACCCTGTAACCCTGGGTACCGAGTTAGCATCACCTAAGCGTTCGTTTCTCAAGACAATGAAGGAAGAATGACCATCAAAAAATGCCTCAGGCCTACGGTATTGGCAAGACAATGGAGCGTTAAGACCAATGTCGATAATTATCCACAATGCGTCTAACAGAGCGGTCTTGGCCTAGCTAGCTCTACTTGAAAGTGGAATTGTTTTTATCTGGCATGAACTTCACAGAGTGTAGACGCAGGCCAGCTGCGACTCTGCGATTATGATATACTTATAAGGCTCCTTGACCTAAAGTCTTGCTCCGATGGCAGTGGAAAAGCCCTTAGCCGGGGCAACAACTGGGATCAAAGACCAGTTCAAGTTGACAGCACCCATCATAACGCCTGCGATCTGCACACCAAAGTCTTCCAAAATCTTGGGCAGACTGAAACAAAACGAAGACAATATATCGCCTGGTCATGTATGATTATGTCCCCACGTATATGTGCAACTCATCGGTTATAGAACAGCCTCCCGCATCAGGCGATCGCATCATGCGATTACACATGGCCACCACAGACCCCTCAAGCTGCAGCCAATACCAAAAGTGCCCAAAACAGAAGGCTAGGCCAAAACCTACAAGACGTCTTCCGAGGTCTACGGCTCAATACCGATGACTAAAAACAAGGGTGTGGAAGCGCGCGCGGCTGCACCCCGCCATGGCATGACCCATGCGCCTCGAGGTAAAACTGTAACAGAGGGATCTGGGCCTGTCCCAAAACCTCCCCAAACTCTTGGCGGTGGGTTACCCCTTTGCGAATGCCATGCACGCCGCGACTGGGCTGAATGGACGGGGAGGCTGCCTCGGCCGCAACCTCGAACAAGAAAGCACCTGTTTTTGTCTTGGCTATGATGCATCTGACCTCGGCAGATCTCCCTATTTTGCATTCAGATCCATATGTGTGGCTGTATTTGGGATACCAGCAAGGTGTATCGTGGTTGACATTGGTTGTTTAGGGATCACCGAACGCCCCTGGGTGTCTCGGGATGGCGATCCAACGTTTATTTTGTGGGCGGATACCCAGGTACGCTTCCAGTGGGGCTAAAAGATCGTCCCTAGCGTATCGCACCCCAAACAGATGCACTCTGAAATTTAGTCAACCTTTGTTTGAGGAGCTGAACGGTCGTGACAGCAGCCTTAGCATCAAGACGTCGATCATATGTGCCCATGGGCCCCACAGCCAAAACCCGTTTGAAGCGCCTGTGGGGGAGGAAGCTTCTCCTGTTTCGCAGTTATATGTGGCCAACGGTTGAAGTCAATACACACAACAACACCGAATATATAAATCAATATCATCTCCGGGTTTGGTCTGATTTGAAGCGACCATCCGAACACGTTCCAGCATCTTTCATTAGCCTACCTATTATTCGTCCAGTTGTCAGGCACAACCACCTAGTTTTCCAAGTATATACTTTTCCGACCATCACTTTACGACAGCCACGTTTACGTGCAGACTTCCAAAATGCGTTTCGCTGCCATTGTCACTCTCTTCGCCGTCCTCGCTGGCCAGGCCATTGCTGGTAAGTGACTACACCATTCTCCAAAAAGTGCACCTGAATTTGGACGCCAGATTCTAGACGTCAATTTCAAGCACAGGCTGAGCTAACGCTTCACAGTCCCAGCCAGGGGCAACAATAACAACAACAACAACAACAACAATGCTGCCGCCTCAACTGAGGGTCAGGCCTGTACCCAGAGAATCTCGGGAACCGAAGCTGATGGCACTTGCAACGACATCGGCCAGTGTGTCGTGCAGTCGCCGCCCAACATCGAGCAGCGGTTCGAGAATGACCAGTGTGCTTGAGCGCACTGCATAACATGCTGGATGAGGGTTATCAATGGCCAATGCTCAACATGCATGCCACTGTGCGGAATCATAGTGGGATGTAGGAGCAGCATGGGAGTTGTCAATACTACCCAATTTCTGTGCAGAATTTACCTGGCAGATTGGGTGGCCTTATATTTATCCAAATATACCCGTATTCCAGACTGAAAATGGAAATTTACTTTCGTCAAAAAGAAAACATGGTCGCTATTTGAAATAAATCAGCGTCGCGCCGGTGCAAAGGGTCCACGGGTTGGTAGGGGGTTTGGCATCCACTGGCAGCACCTTTGGTTTCAATGTACTTGGATTGGCCAATGAGTCGTCCTACCCCACCCTGAACCCACCCCTATTTTGCGGCATATTTACTGTGTATGGCGTAATCCGGAGGGTCCTCTTAAGTTAATGGCTTGGTTCATGTTCCGTTCAAAGACCACATGTGTTGAAGTTTAGTACAAAACGACAAGACACCATCTGATATTTGGCTGATTATAATGCATTTGCAGCCCATATTCTGGTCAGCTTGGCTAGCTGCCCTGATGCGTGCAGGCATTGCTCGTGCCAACCTGCCACCCCAAGATGATGCCCAGGCAGTGCTTGGCGGCGAGACGACGGCCCCGAGCCCTACGACAAAGCCCAAGAATGTCGTGTTCGTCCTCACAGATGATCAAGATGCAGCCATGAACTCGATAGCATACATGCCCTTAGTCCAGAAACATCTCTCAGCGAAAGGTACCACTTATGCGAACCATTTTACAACCACCGCGATTTGCTGTCCCTCTCGGGTATCTCTCTGGACAGGAAAACAGCCGCATAACACAAACGTAACCGATGTCCATCCACCCTACGGAGGGTATCCAAAGTTCGTCTCGCAGGGGCTAAACGAAAACTATCTTCCAGTCTGGCTCCAGAATTCAGGCTACAACACATATTATACTGGCAAGCTTTTCAACGCCCACACAATCTGGAACTACGACAGTCCGTATCCGGCAGCGTGGACGGCTACAGACTTCCTCCTCGACCCAGGGACATATTCTTACCTGCACCCCATTTACCAAGCCAACCAAGACACACCGATCTACCACCGAAATGAACACACCTCTGACCTCATCACCAAAAAGGCGCAGGGCCTTCTTCAGGAAGCAATCGCATCGGACAAGCCTTTCTTCCTCGGGGTGGCACCCGTGGCACCGCACTCAGACGTTAGTCCTGATCATGATAGCTCGTCCCTGCCACAGATGACGGAGCCAGTCCCTGCAGAACGCCATGCCGGATTGTTCCAAGACGTGAAGATTCCGAGGACGGACAACTTCAACCCGGACTCGCCAAGCGGTGCCTCGTGGGTGCGGAAGCTGGCTCAACATAACGCCTCTGCTGTTGAGTACCTGGACCACTACTACCGCCAGAGGCTGCGGGCTCTGCAAGCCGTGGATGAGCTGGTGGAGAAGATTGTTGTGCAGCTGGACGAGGCCGGAGTCCTGGAGGACACATACATTATATTCAGCTCTGATAATGGCTTCCACCTTGGTCAGCATCGCTTACCGCCGGGGAAGGAGTGTGGGTATGACGAGGACATCCGCGTCCCGTTGATCATTCGCGGCCCGGGAGTCCCACAAGGGCACGTCGAGGATGCCGTGACTACCCACATTGACCTCGCACCCACAATCCTAAAGATAGCTGGGTCGGAGCTACGGCTTGATTTTGATGGAATGCCTATTCCGCTAGGCGCAGATACTGCGGCAGGCAATGCGAACGAGGAGCAAGGCAGTGGCTCGTTCGCGGTGAAAAGGCACGAACATGTCGCTGTCGAGTACTGGGGTTTTGCGCTGGCGGAAGGCGAAGGCGGAGGTTTCGATGGTCAGGGCCAAATTGTGGTGCAGAATAACACCTACAAGGCCGTAAGAATCATTGGCCAAGGCTACAATTTGTACTACTCAGTCTGGTGCGACGGTGAGCACGAGCTGTACGACCTCGAGGTAAGTGGACGTGTCTCGTCAATTTCTACATCCACACTGGTGGTCCACTCTCCTCCCAAAACAAGAAGCTGACCAGTCCCGGATATCAGACGGACCCTGGGCAGCTGCATAATTTCTACTCGACCGAGTCCAGGCCCAAGAACAAGAAAGTTATGGGAACCAACGTTGACCTGGTAATTGGCCGTCTAGATGCCCTCATGATGGTTCTCAAGTCCTGTAAAGGAGACACGTGCACGGATCCGTGGAAAGTCTTGCACCCCAGAGGAGACGTGCGCAGCCTCACAGACGCACTAAGCGTGCGCTTCGACTCGTTCTACCGTTACCAGGCGAAGGTTGCATACGACAGGTGTGAACCTGGCTACATAATCGATGCAGAAGGGCCTCAGGAGCCATACCAGTATCGAAAAGGATGGAGCTGGCATAGCTGGGTGTGATGAAGAAGTAGCGCTGACCTAGGCATACTCCGTACTGTCTATATTACCACCCCGTCAGCAGAAGTGCACGATGGATTTTGGCTAGGGAATGGGTGGTTGTATTGGAGACAGGATGGAACATGCTTGGGTATCGCATCCCTGAGCTCCGTTCTGGATTGGATCGCATCGAATTTCGACGTATTCCTCGTTTACATACAGCATTCAAAAGCAACACACGTCATAGCCCCCAGCCACACACCATCCAGAAGTTGCTTGGGTTAGTGTCGCCCTTGTGCAATGCGAATGCGAATTCGCCAGGCGCAATAGGCACATTCGTTGGCTTCTGCGGGCCTTTCCCTGCCTCAAACGTTCCCCATCAACCCCGTCCGGCCTAACATCCCTCCGCCGCCAAATACACTCGCACCCGCTAGGATGAGCTTGCTTGCGTCATCCAATATCCTAAGCCGCAAGACTTCAGCACACTTGACCTGCGCCTGGCACAGCGAGATGAGATGAAGTTGTTTCATTGATCCGAGGAGGGCTCCCACGGAAGTCGACAGATATATTTAGTCAGGTTCCATTCCCTTGGCAATCGCAAGAAGACATGCTTCGATTTTAAGCTTCTACAATACTGTAAAGAACAGAAAATAACAACAGTCCATTTCCCTCGAGGCCAATCATTTCTCAGCTTTTCTAACCGACCACGACGCCGCCTGCACAATGTGCTGCAACAAAAGACGCGCCGCTGCTTACAGAGGATACCCGCCTAGCCTCGAGGCTGGGGGTCCCGCGTTTGGACCCCCCTTCGGTCGGAGAGGATGTGGTTCAGGCCAGCGTAGGCCAGGACTGATTCAAAAGCTGGTCACGAAGGCTATCGAGAAGCGGAACGAGAAGATGGTACGTCGCAAACCCTATCCGTTATCATTCCAATATTCCCCACCGCAGCTCCGACCTCAGCGAGAACCCTTTACTAACACCAGATATTAGGAGGCTCGACAGCAACTGGAGAGTGAACGCCAGGTCCCTCAGCAATCAGTAACGCGCGTTGACGAGAAGCGCGAACCTGCTGGCCTTCAGCAAGGCCACTCCAGGGCCCAGCCGGTTAAGATTGTTTTTGATGACGGGCACGAGGAATGGGTTTCCGATTACACTGATGAGAAAGAGTCCGGGGTGCAAGTTGGGGAGAAGCGCGGCGAACATCCACCCAGGTATTCTGAGCTCATGAAAACCTAATGTGTGGCACGATTGGGTACCTTGAACCGATGTCTGTTCCATTCCGTCGTTATTGACGTGCCGTAGCAGGAAGGTGCTTGGACTATGAACAAAGAGGCGACTTAAGTCCCGTGTCTTGCATGCACGTTTCATTCAAGCCTCTTTGTACAGGCGCTGCTGTTCTCTTTTTATCCCAGTCGCTTCCTCCCCGGACCTAGACTACAGACAAAACGTTGTAGTCAGGTTCCAATGTAAAAGGTTTTAGGTAGCATTGTTTCATGTAATGGTCAGCCCTTCAAAGCTGGGTCGAAAGTGAAGACAATACCATTGAGCTTCTTGAAGCACTCTACAAAGGCACCAATATTGCATATTCATGCAGCCAATGATGGTGACCTTGGTCTATAAATTCCAGATAGGCTTACGGCCATCTCATCACCATCCGTTCCTCGCTACTCAACCACCACTCACCACATTCGGACACACCACATCTGATCGCCAACCATCGCCTATTGATAAGGCCCATTGACTATTCGCATTCACAATGTCCGGTAATCCAGTGCCATCCTTTGATCCAGAATCCCTTTATCCTGTAATCCTGGAGTTGCTCTCAGTAATTCCAGAACTTCATCAAGAAACCCTCTCCCTTCTCGAGGACAGCCTAATGTCTGAAGATTCAGAGTCAGATCAAGATCCCAGGAAAGAGAGTTTCAAGCATGAGATGAAGTTGATGATAGAGCTTTTGGACCAAATAGACCAGGAACTTGAGGAGGTGGTGGCTATAGTGGAACGTCAAAGTTCCGAGGCTGTCGAGTCTTCTTCCAATCATCTAACTTCGGCTGAATCGGAGCTAGGTACTTCGCACGGCGATTTTGATGGGCCAATGGGCACCGAATCTGATATTCCCATGAGTGGAAAAGCTCCTGAGATGTCCGCGGGTCTAGGTTCTTCTTACCCACTCCCGGCGTCAGACCCACGGGAACTAATTTGCCCTGGGAGGTGCGGCCGGTCCCAATGTTACTGCACACTATTCGAGCAGCCTGTCGGTCAGGATCGCCCTTCTGCCATCAGGGTATTCCTTGGACCTACAGCTTTCCAGCAGGCCCAGCCGGTCGATATCGAGGGCTCCACAGCTGAGGAGGACCAAGATCCCATCTTCAATGGGCATGCATCTGGAGTACACGAGTGCGTTCCCTCTTCCAGCGACCCCTTCCTCCAGCATTTCCAACAGCTTGCCACCGTCCTAGGCCCCTGTCCCCCAGGAACAAGCCGATTCTTCCCCACTACTAGTATCGATGAAGCCATTGCTACGGCTCCTAGCCATCAGAGTGCAGGCGAGTCCTCCGAGGGGTAAGATGTGCCCCGCTAGTTAGTACTACCTGGTTTTGAAGACAATGACATGGTTCAACAGAATGAAAAGGATTGTGAGTGCGGGGTGAGACAGTTGCCAACTGCCAGTGCTCTGTTCCAACAACACCTTCCTGGCGGGATATTTGAAGCCTTGCGATAGGGGGGAGGCCCGGCTCTCTGTTTATAGATATCTCCTGCGGAGGTCATACTTAGTGCTAGTGCGAGCTCGACAGATATTGGAGGCGGAGTTCTAATTCAGGTAGAGGTGTTTTTACGGTGGGCGCAACTAATTTTGATCTTCACCGTGCTGGTACTATCCCGCACAGCATTACTTGCCACTTTAGGTGGCGTCCTGAACAATCCAGAAGAGACGAATAAAATAAGAAAAGAACAAGGATTCCCCAAATTTTGTCCCTTACTATTACAATGGTGGTTCGCCCAGAATTTCTTTTCGCTTAAACAGGTTCTCCTTTGCCTAGTTCTGCATACGCATGTTATAATACTGTGTTCTGGGCAAGAAGAGAGCAGCTGTTGACCGATAAGTACCTAGGTAGGGCGGTTTGAATAACATAACCAGTGGAAGAATATTTTCCAAAGAGGCTCGGAATGCAGATACATAGATTTCAAACCTAAAATATGTTCTTCGTGGTATTTAGGCATTTCTCAGAATTCCACACTGAAATCTGTTGAAGTTCATCGAGTTTCCAGAGAGAGCGTACCTATATAATTTGAATTACCCATGTGCCTCATTTCCAAGGTTGCAACCACACCGGAAAGATTAAAATAAACCATTTAATTTACTTTTCCAAAACCGGGAATACCAGCCGTCCGACCCTAAAATTATTTTTTTCAGCGCTCATGCCTGCGCAGACCTCGAAGTTCCGGAGTACCTTTCGTGCACTCCATAGGACTGCACAAGGCTTCAGTCCCCAGGGTGGCCAACGTCCCAAGTTTATCTAGGTTCTCTACATATACTTAATTATCCAAGCCAAAAACGAGTATCTGTCAGGCTCTCATATCGGCTTTGCTGGTCCAGCCAGGCTTTTCGTTTCTGGATGCACCACCCCCTGAGCCCTCCCTTGTCCTGTTCCCCAAGCCATCGCAAGCCCTGCTTATCAGGAGGGCAAAGGTGACAAGCCATGGAAATACCCCCAACAATATGAGATCTACAGGAATGTCCGTTCCTATGACCAGCGCTGCGGTTATTGGCGCCGCCAAGCCAACAAGCCAAGCTTGATGAAGTTCTCGGCGACCTCGATCGTATATCCCGGTGAGGAGTCCGCTGGCAACACAAGTCGACAAAAGTGCCCCTACGTCCCCACTCAAACTCTTCAAAGGAGCCTGAGCTCTTATGACAGCAGGGACTCCGTCGGTGACCCAGGCCAGTAAGCCGCACGAATAGACATACTACATCCGTTATCAGCTGAACTGCAAAGGTGTCGCTCGTGAGGCTCACCTCCGGGTGCCTTTGTGCAATGCTCCTAGCTGCAACAGCAGTAGAGCAGATTGCAGCAAGAATGTCGAAATTCTGGACGAGAACCTCCCAAATGCCCGGCATGATGCTCTTTATCGGTTTCCACTGTTGACTTGCACTGGAGAGGTGCTTGGGAACAAAAGAGACGTCTTTGAGGTAAATGATGTCTTTGAAAGATACGCAGAAAACAAGAAACAGAGTACGACCAGTAATAGATTCATGTTCTTATACATCAGCAATGGAATTAGGCAGAAAGCATATCCGGGTCTCCTATAACCCGCCTTGAAGTAAGGCGGACCATCTGCCCGTGTTAGTGGCAGACGAGTCAAATGGTTGGCTGATCTTCCAACCCCTGCCACGGGTCTTGGGTGCTATTGGCCGCAGCCGATGATGACCCACGACGTCGACCATGAACAAGCCCTGCTGTTGCTGGTGAACGACTGCGGTCGGCCATGGAGGACGCCCGTTGTTGCTCATAGGTTTTGGCTTTTAATGAATCATGAGCTCCGACCAGGCCTACGCAACACGTATTGAGCCACTGTGAGCAAGCGGAGCCTTCGGCCACCAAGGAAACCCACATGCCGAGCCATGAAGCTGTGGGCGAATAGTTGATGGGCGACGCAGCAGGACTCGCTCGTTGCTGAAGAGCTCCCAGGGGCTGCGCCAAGGGTCTAGGAAAGCGACACCCAAAGTCGTAAATACCATGAACGATACCACAGGAGATGGGCAATTAATAACTCTCCGTTCTTCAAATTCAAAACTTCTTCTTCTTGACTTCTCCAGACCACTTTTCCAGACCCGACAAGCTCATTACGACTTAACAGCCGAGCCATCGCAAACCTTCGCAAGCCGCCGCAGCTCGTTCAACCCATCCAACCCGTCGCTACCACCTTACTTGCTGCACCTCATCTTCACTCCAAATACTGTCACCCTCAAACCGAGAAGAGAAAACAGGAAGAAAACAAAGGAATCTTTTATTTTGGCTGCGCGAACACGGTAAATATTCACAATTCCCATGGCGCTCAAGGCACTGGAACTGTCTCTGTGTGCAGAGCTTCGCTTCAAAGTGCTGTTTGCCCTAACATTTATCTACTTCAGCGCAGAGAAATGCCCGACGACATGAGAGCCGGCGAAGCAGAAGACGACGGGGAGGCTGAGTGGGGGCTGAACGGCGACGACGGCGCCCCCGAACGGTCCCCGGCACAGCGTTGGGCCGGCACTATCTCCGGCATCACCATGGTCGTGACTGCTGCCGTCACCATACTCTTCGGCCCGGAACTCAATGCCCAGGAGCACTTTCTCTCTCTCGACCCGCAGGTTCTCAACACCGTGCACTGGGTGTAAGTAAGATTTCTCCAACAATCACTCCCGAGGGGACCAGCAAGCAGACTCTAACTGTCACGCCCATGCAGACTGAACGGTGCCTGGGCCCTGTCCTTTGGGCTGTATGCCTTCCACGGCCAGTGGGGCGTGCTGGAGCCGCTCCCCAGAAGCTGCCACTGGCTCGGCTCCATCTCCGTCGTGGCCATCGCCCTCGCCCTCGACCTCAACATAACCCAAAGGATGCCCGTGTCCAGCTACGCCCTGGCCGTTACCATTGTGGTGGAGTGGGTGTACCGCTGGGTCACCGTCGTCTGCCACGTCGTCGAGGTCGCGGTTGGGGCTGTCGTGGTGGTGCTGCAGACTACGGGGGACATTGCTGCGGCTGCTGGGGGCGTGGCTGCTGCTGTCGGGGATCTGATGACGACTGTTGGCAACATGGTGGGCGCAGTCGGCCCTCGCTTAGGCGTGCTGGTCAACGTCCACCTCTGACGGCGCGCCGGATTTTGGAACTGAGCCACACCCCACCCCCATCCCCACAATTATTCCGAGACAGGCCTTACCGCCAGTCCCGGATTCCTGGGAATAAGCTTAAGTTATAGCACTTTTCTTACCCAGAAGTGAGACCGGGACCCCCCGGCGGCCTGCTACAACATTGGGGATGAAGGCGTGGACTTTGAGGTCGTGTAAGATAGATGTGCATTTATACTGTGCACTTTGGGCTTGCACAGGTTCTTTTCTCTTGTATTTACCTTATACTCTCAGCATGATGGGTTTTTAGATAGCTAAATAGAAAGCACTTGACACAAGCCTCCGTCTGAACTCCGCCGACTGTCTGCTGCTGCTGTCCTCCGACCATTGGAACTACGTCACGGCTATACTTGGATGAGCATGGTCGTGATGGACCCGCTATCAAATGGTCCTTTTGCCAGTGGTTCTCGCTCCTGGCCAGGATCCCGGGGCCTTGACAGCTCAGCTGCCCCCACCATCTGTCTCTATCAGCCCCTCCCCATTGCTTGCGCTTTCGTGCACTCCGAGTCGTTGGCTGCCCTGCTTCCGAATACCACAGCAGTACTTCCTCTTTCTGCGTGGTCACGCACTTTCTATAGATCCGCTCGTAGACTACATTGCTTTCCTTACGATCAACTTATGTCCTTTCCCCACGCCGTTTGCTCGCTCTCTTGTCGTACTTAATTTTCTACGTCAACCTATGCCAGTTGTGCTCCGCGTCACGAACTTGTCAAAGTACCTAGGTATCCGTCCATCCACGCCGACCTAACCCTCGTTTTGCGACTCTAGCGTACCGCCTATTGTCTCACTTCCACGTGCCTCCCGAAGCAACAGGCCCTTGGTCTCCAATGGCGACCGAGTCACAAGACGACCTCTTCTTCGACACGTGCTTGAATCAAAATCCCGATGGCATAACGATAAATGCAAGTCAAGCAGCAATGAGCCCATGTTGGACTAGAAACTCATTCGCGCCTTATTACGCAGGGAAAGCAACATGCAGCCCAAGCCAGTGGCAGCCACTTTCTTCCAGAGAACCCATACACCCATCACACACCGTATCGACGAGAAGACGAGGACTCGACACTTATCGAAGATGATTGTAACTTTGACAGTCCCGCGGTTGAACAGCCGGTTCCTGGTCGAGCTTCAGCGGCAAGCAACCGTCCAGCGGAAGCCACCAACCGCTCAGAGGCCAGGAGACTCAAGCTTACCGACACACTTCAAGCTCTCTGTGGACTTGATATAGAGGTTTTCAGGCTGAAATCCAATCCAACTGTTACAGAGATAGAGTGCTGTGCCAACTTCTTTTCCGGGATACTTAAACCGCCACGGGCAGTGACACCTGATGACGTTTTCAAGTGGTGCCGAGACTATCGAGAAAAACAAGGAGCTCGGCCTACTATCGTTGCGGGCTCTCCAGACGGACTCTTATTGAAAATGATCAGCATCAACCACAACCCGACAGGCGAAGAAATGGAGAATTGGTCAGAGTTCATCTCCAGCTGGAGCGGCCTGGCTTTCACATCGAGCCAGGTCTTCGACTGGTGGAGAAAGAATCGGTCAAGACAGAACCCGAAGACGGGAGACGGCCCGCCTGGTACGGGAGACGACACAATTGCATCTAACGGCCGCGACTCGGCTTGTGGTGCCAGGACATCGGGACTGTCTGGCTCCGGTAGCCGACTTGCAGCCCAACCACAATGCTCTGAGCCTCCGCTACCCCCATACACCATAATTTCTCCGCGCCTTCCGGTTATCTGTCCATACACTGGGTGTCCTGTCCAACTCACGACCCTCTCGCAATGGAGGAGGCACAAGACCGCACACTGGCCGACGAAGTACGGCTGCCCATTCTGCTACGAGAGACGACGAGCCTGCGGGCTTTGTCGGTCACCGTTGCAGCCCCCTGAGGCCAGCTCTATGGCGGAACATGTGATGACTTGCGTCCAAACCAACAAAGGGGAGGTCAACAAAATCACTGGTGGCAACAAAAATGGATGGTGGCAGGACCGCAACAAGCTTAGATCCCACCTAGAGACAAGACATCGCGACAGAGCTCCGGAAACTTTCTCCGACCAAGTTCTTGAGACATGGAGGGTGAGCAGACCTCAGGTTCACACGACTTGCAGGAATTGCAACAACGACTTCTCGTCAGGGCAAGAACTTGACAAACACTATGAAGCCGAGCATTTTCGAACGCAACGTAGAAACAATACTCGCGATGACAGAGTTTACGGGGACTACTATGATGCTGACGGCAACAACGGCGGCGGCGGCGACGACGAGGACGACAACAATTTTTGTGCTGGTACATCAAACCAGAACCGTCATTCATCACAGCAGAATGGACAACACGGAGGGTCTGCCCACAATACTCGCCAGTGCCCCACTGCCAGAACATCGAACGCAGCTGGCCAACAAGGGTCGGGTGGCATGCAAGAAATGAGGGGCGGCAGAGATGATATACACATGCCCGCCATGATTCCCTCTGATGGAATCGCCCTTCCCGACCAATACATGACCTTCGACCCAGACCCTACTCTTCAATTAGAGGCTTTTCTCCGGGATATTGGCTCCCAGTTCACGGACCAGTAGGGGCGTTGGCCCAGTACTGAAGTGGACGAGACCTAGGAGTGGCTACATGAGCTCTGCAGCCCAACGAATACCCCCAGCAAGGTCTTCGACCTTTCTCCACGACTAGTCAGTGGATCCACTGCAACTGGGGACTCGGTAGGGTATCCAGTCAGCGATCAAGAGGTGGCGAGGAAATCCAAAAACCTTGGCTGAGCTGCTTCCGATCATTCCTTAATGGTGGCTGTCTTGTTGCCGGCCAAGCGGGCAACTCCCCATCGGATCGGTCAGGGTGTACAATGCCCAAGGAGACACAATAACGCTGACAATAGCACGCCCACTTGAGAAAGAATCATCGAGAACCACTGCTTTATACAGGACGCATTTATATACATGGCACCCACCGCCTGTAAGCCAACACTCTTGAGGGACGGGGTACCACAGCTAAAATTTGTACATCGGACCTATCGACACGTTTCTCTCCCGGAACAAGCACTGAGTGGCGCATTCAGCTCTAGAACGGTCGCCGACTCGAACACCATCCGGGTTTCTTACTGCATATCATGGCCCAACAGCCACATTTCGTGTTGAAAGGCAGACTAGACGGCGGGTTTCTCTGGCGAGGTGGGACATTGCAGCTTGGCTTCGGCGATCAACAGCCTAACCTCAGCCCACTGGGACTTTCGTAGTCGTTCCACGGCGGTGCACAGCTCTTGTATGCACTGTTGAAGACAAGTATTCAAATTACAGTAGCAGTCGTCTCGAGTATATACAAACCTGCAGCTGAAATACATACACTCCCAATCACCTGGGGTTTTCCTCCCAAGGCAGACCAGTGCAGTTGAATCCAGTCGGGTCAACAACATTATCACAGAGGTAATTGGCGGGGCGCGTGCCATTGACCGAGTCGACAATGTCGATGCCCTCGACCACGATGCCCGTGCAGGGGCTCGCGGCGCTGCACTGGATGTCGCTGACGACGTCGCTGGCGGCGGTGCCGGTCCAGTTGAGCAGGCGCAGGTCGCGGATGTTGAACTGGCTCGAGTCGCAGCCGCCCGACGCGCCGTTGTAGCTGGTGCACTGTGTGACGGCGAAGATGCCCGCCGAGTCCTTGAGGTAGAAGTCCTCAAAGGTGATATTAGCCGCGTAGCCCAGTCCGCCGCCGCCGCCGTTGGGCGGGTAGCCTGTGGACTGGCCGGTCCATGTCTTGACGTAGGCGCCGTATCGCATGTTCTTGTTGATTGTGACGTTTCGGATAGTCACGTTCTCGATGGTTTCGAACTCGCCGTCTTCGGGGGTGTCTCTTTTAGTCACATTGCTGGAAATTCACCTTGGAGCAAGGGGGGAGGGGGGAGGTTGCACTCACCATACTGCCCGATGCTGCCGATTGCGATTCCCAGGCCAGTGTAGAAGTCACAGTTCTCAATGAGGATGTTGGTGCTGTTGGCCTTCATGGCAATGCTGTCATCGCCGTTGTCGACAACCCAGTTGCGGAAGGTAATGTTGTTGGCATAGATGGTGTCGGCCCCGTCGGTCTGCAATACTGCTCAGTCTTGGTGCCCTCTTGTTCTCGAATTTCTAGTAATGTTTGGAAGCTTACGTTCAGGGAGGAAAAGTCGAACCCGACGGGATGCTCCAAGTCTGTGCTATTGACATAGATGTTTTCCAGGAGCACATTCTCGGAGTGGATGATCGTCATTGTCCTAGACGCTGGGAGTAAGTGACCGTTCCAGGCAAACTCGGAAACATTCGGGCATATTCGGCGCGTTGAGTAGGTACTTACCACATTTGACTCTGGACGAATCGAAGGCCCTCAATAACAGAGTCTCTTGTGCCGGTATAGGTGATAGAGTGTGGGCGTCCAGGGTAGTTGTTTGTGCCGTTGATGTAGTCATACCACACCTGTCCATTGCCGTCCAAAGTTCCATAGCCGTGGCCATCCCAGGTGATGCTCTCTCCACCAAAGAGCCAGGCACTGCTCTGGTTCTGGTAGCCCACCGGGAGTGAGTTGTTCAGCCAGTACTCCACGTTTTTGTCCCATAGGAGGGTGCCCTGGTGGTCAACATCGACGTTGCTCAGACCTGTAGTGTTCATGACCGTTTTGACCGTGTAGGTCTGGTTCAGGAACACCACCTTGCCTCTGTTGGCAGCGTCATTGTGGCCACACTTCTCAAAGGCCTCGATGATGGCCGGCGCCGAGTCGGTGCCGTTGGGCTCGGGCTGCACGACACAGGTGTTGCCAGCAGAAACTTCAGGAGTAGCCTGCGAGAGAACGAGGGGCAGCTGGAGCGCCGCGGCGGCTAGGGTCTTGCGCATGGTGAGAGACATGATGACAAGGGCCTTGCTGCTCAGGGACATCTTGCTCTGTGCTGCTCGCGGATCTTGCAGCTTTTTATACTGGAGAGAGTCGTGAGCCTTCGGGGGTGAATACACCGCTCACGGGTCCGCTATGTCGTCACTGGGGAAGACGTTTCTGGGGTCTGGGGGATGTGTCCTGTGGGGGTCTCCCAAGTATTTGTGCAGATCCCAGCCTGCCCCTGGATGCTGTATCCACTATTCCAGTGCGGCAGCGGAAGGCATTTAAACGGCACCGGTGACAGTCGTGAGGGAGCAAGAAGCATTGGGTTCCTTGCGGGACATAGCCGAGGTCGAGGTCATTCACACTTGATACAAACCTGTCATGAAGAGGCCAAACGGAATTCAATACGTCTTACACTGGATGCTCTCTAGTGTGTTTCCCCGGATTTGCGGTCGGAGAACTCCTCGCTCGGCGCACAGGCCGCCCACGCTTTCTCTCCGAGTCAAGCTTGGTCAAGAGATGCCAATTTTCTCGCCAAGAGCTTCCCCGGCCCACTCCCGGCCCGACTCTTGGAAGGGTTGATGCTGCCAACGGCGGGCGATAACGGACGAACCACTACGATTCAGGGCAAATGGACGGAGAGCCACATGCAGATCGGAGCAGCATTCCAAGCACGTGCGTCAGAATGTACATCTTCGGAAAACGCCCGTCAGTTCCTACATTCTAAAAACACGGCAAGTTCACCTTGCAGGCTGTCTCTGCAATCATGATGGGCACCACAGGCAGGCTGTAAACAAATCACACAACAAAACTTCTTTGTGTACTGTTAACGACCTTTCGGTATCGTGAAACGATTGTGCTGCCATGAACCTCCAGTAGGACTCCCCGCCTGTTGTCTTTCCGACCTGGCATTCTTGCCCAAGCTTCCTAGGTATGGCCTCCCTGGCCCAAGTCCACGCCATCGACCGCAGTCAAGCAAACAAGCCAAATCAGACCAGTTCTTGGAGGGGATGCTTCTTGTCGTGATCTTGCTAGTTGTTCCTGGCGTTCTTCTTGTTCCCAGCCTTGGTCTTCCGCTCCTCCCTCTGACGAATCATTCGCTGCTCTGACTCCAACATCTCCTGCTGGCGCCTGTTGTGTCCATCCAGAAGCCAGAGGCCCATGAGACGGCAGAAGCGCTCTGCCAGCGGCTTGTGCTGGGGGTCCTCCTGGAGGAACTCGTGAAGGGAGATGCGGATGTCCGCAAAGTCCTGGAGGCGGTCCGTGGCGTATGACTCAAAGGTTTCCCTCATCAAGAGGGTGAAGTGATACTCTTTCAGAGTAGTCACTGCCGCGGTTGCGTGGTTCACTCGCAAGTGGTGCGGGAAGAGCTGGCGCTACAAACGACAAGAGGACAGCGTTAGTAAGGAATAACCATGGTACGGACAACAAAGTCTGAAGTCAGAGTCGTCATGAGAAGCCGTTTTGGTTGTGGAGAGGCTAGGTTCCGTAGCTTTGTGTTGATAGGGAAAAAGAAAACACAACATACAGAAACATCAACCATGAAGGCAACAGTCTCTTCAGAGACCTCTTTGCTCAGTACCTGACGACCGGTGTCGGTCGCCTCGCTGTCATCGGCCTGGGCCATCTCACTGGTGCTGCCAGCCTGTGGAGCAAGGGGGTTGGTGTGGTCCATGTTGATTTATCTCGAGTCCTGGAGTATGGCGATTGATCTCGAAGGCCTGGAGTGTGGCGGTTGATCTTGAGGTCTAGGGTGTAGGGAATGTCGTTGCAAGGGACGAAGGGTGGGACGGGGTTGGAAAAGATTTTCGGAAAATGGGAGCTGGCAGTCGCTCAATTCGACGTTTGGTTGCTGCCAAACGAAATACAAGGTGAAGCAACAACCAAACAGAAACACAACTTGGAGTGAATATCGGCCCTGCGTTTGAACACTTGATGAACAGGGCTGCCACTTTCAACATCAGATGGTACACATGCATACCCTAGGGTACTCACAACACAGACTTATTAGGGAGAAGTAAATGTGTTCCATCTCAGTCAATGATTTTGTCTGGCTACTTGGCCAATAGGCTGCATAGACAAGTTGGCACCTAAGAGTGAAGGGCATTCTGTCATCTACTAATGGACACTGAGTGGCCTTTTGTGGCCTCAGAATAAAGGGTATGAACATTCTACCAGGAGCACCCGAATGGAGGTATTACCTACCTCCACACTCTCACCATTGGTCCACCTGAATATGACGGTCCATGTTGAAGCTTTCCCTGCGTCAGTGAAAGTCTTGCTTGAATGTTTGACTCTGGTCCAAACAAACCTGGGACCAATTCCAGTCATGTGAGTTTTGTCATCTTATCAAAGAGTTGTTAGAATTTCCTTTAACGATGTGCAAGATGGTTCTGTTGTTGTGACTGCAAAGTCTACCTCTTTAGTGGCATGTGTTACCTGAGAACTCGCACATCACAATATGAAGAGATCTGAAAGGTTTTTAAGTGCATTTTCCAATAGGTAAGCCAGCCCCTAGAGACAAATACAACTTGGATTAGCTGGATTAGTGGGCCTAGAGTACCTTTCCACCACTTCTTCTACACCCCGTTTTCAGGTAAAGTAAAACAAGTTAAACTCTAGTAGCTAAGCTACTAAATTATATATAAATTAGAGATTTATATTATTAAATTATATATTATATATATTTAATCTTTACATTTAATTTTCTTTATTTTTAATTTTTTAAAATAAATTATTATAATTTAAAGAGTTATTATAAGTTAATAAAAAGATTAAAAATAGAAATCTTAATTTAACTTATATTTTAAATATTAAATAAAGTTTAATAAAGTAAATAAATAGTAAATATTATATTAAAGTATTTTAATAATATATTATAAATTTTTCTTATTTATTTATTTATATATATTAATATTATATTATACTTTAAAAATATTAAATAATATAAGTAATATATTTATTAATATATATAAAGTAGTTTAAATAATCTTTATATAATATAACTTATACTCCTTACAGTTATATTCATTACCCATCTTATTCATTTAAGGTACCTAGGTAGTTTACCGTAGTAAGTTAGTGGGGAGCTAGAGTGCTTGAACATTGGCAAACCTTGAATTTGCCGAGGGTGAACCTTCTACCGGACCCGCTTACTTTACATGATCTATAAGTCCGACCCCTGGGCATAGTGGTCCATCCTATCTTGTGCAATGCAAAAGGATTGCGACTCAGAATTTTCAGAATGAACAGACGCTTCCAAATAACTTTCCTGTAGCTAATCGACGTACCCGTGGAATAGCGGCCGGCCCTAAATCCCCACGGACATGACTTTTGTCATTTTTACCACCGTGCTCTTGGGCCTCTTGGCCAAAATATTCATCCCGATATGGAGGAACTACGTCGCTGCTCGGGAGACAGGGCTTCCTATCGTTACAAGCCTGATCGACCCGACTAGTGCCTTGTGGGCGTTGACTAAAAGAATCTTTCTCCCATACCTGAGCCTCCTCCCCGGCGATGTTGGGCGAAATTCCAAGCTGAATGTTTTCGGCTGGCAGTTCAGGGCGAAGAATACTGTACACCAACGCCTCGGTAACGTTTTCGTGCAGGTCACACCATCGCACAACATCGTCAACATTGCCGACCCGGACTTGATCCAGCAAGTTTTCCAAAGAATTGATGATTTTCCGAAGCCCCGTCAAATATACCGTATAGCACCCATCGAATCGCGCGTATAATGAAAGAGGCTGACAGCTGTGGCTAGGGCGTCTTGAGGTCTTTGGCCCGAATCTAGACTCGGTAAGCGCAATTATGATGACAGATTGATTGACCGAGCTGACTTTTCTGCAGCTCAACGGCGATGACTGGAAGAGGCACCGCAAATTGACCGCACCAGCTTTCAATGAACGCGTGAGCAGTCTAGTCTGGGAGGAAGGCTCAACGCAAGCTCGCCTGCTGCTAGAGGTGATATATGCCACTTCGACCAGAACCACACAGAACATCACAGAAACTTGTCAAGCTATCGCGCATCACGTACTCGCATATGCTGGTTTTGGGGTGCGCAGTCAACACGGCATAGACGTTACGGACCTCCCCCCTGGCCATCAGTTGGCTTACAACGACGCTCTCTGTACTGTGCTGGCAAACATGGTCCTGGCTATTGTAATGCCAGCACGCGTATTGACGTCTTCGTTGGCACCAAAGCGCTGGCAGAAGGTCGGACTCGCCTTTCGGGAGTTCAGCAAGTACATGCAGGAAATCCTTGAGCAAGAGCGTACCACGACCGAGAACGGGATCGCCGTAGGGGGCTCACCCCGCAGATCTGAGTCACTCACAAGCGCCCTTATCAAAGCGTCAGAGGAGGAAAAGAACACCGCAGGCAAAGACTCAGCTAAGGGCTTAAGCGACGAGGAAGTCTACGGCAACATGTTCATCTTCAATTTTGCGGGACAAGACACCACCGCAAATACTATGGCCTACGCCATCGCGCTCATGGCCATCCACCCGGAGATTCAGGAATGGGTTAGGGAGGAGGTAGTTGCTGTCTTTTCTCAACACAACCCACAAGAATACGACCAGGTCTTCCCTCTCTTAAAGCGAGTACGAGCACTAATGTACGAGACATTGCGCTTATATCCACCGATTGTCTACCTGCCGAAGCTGACGTCGTCAACTCCGACCGTCCTGTCAGCAACCGACGGCGACTCCCAGCGTCGAGACATCGTGATCCCACCCAACAGCTACGTTGTTGTCAACTTCATGCACTTACATTGTTCGCATGAGCTGTGGGGCAAAAATGCACTGAAATTTCGCCCAAGCCGCTGGATTGCAAGCCCAGACTCCCACGAGACCTCTTCCGGTTCAGGATACTCGAAAGATGAAAAGCTGGAACGACCACCACCAGGTGCTTTCATCCCATGGGCTATGGGGCCCCGCAACTGTCCCGGAATGAAATTCGCCCAGGTCGAGTTTGTGAGCGTCATCGCATCGCTCCTTGTAGATAGCCGGGTGGAGGCTGCGCTGCCTCCGGCCCTGCAGGATCAGGCGGAGCTCAAAGGCTTGCATGGAATGGAGATCACTGACTTAGCCAGGGAGAGACTCAGTTCTGTGGTGGAGGACTCTGATGTGAGGGTGACAACTACAATGTTGAGACCGGATGAAGTTTGGCTACGCTGGCGTAGGATTACTTAATGGTTTATCTTTGTTCTTCTTTTTAAAGACAACCGCTATATCTAACAAATCAAGTGTGAGGCCAGATGACGTATCGTAAATTTATCAATGTTATTGACACTGCATACTTGATAGACTCGGACGCTGGGTCTTGAGCGTTTACTACTGTACGAAGGCGCTATGTCTTCGGACGAAGGCGGAATAGAAGCGAGAGCGAAACCAGGAACATATTCGGGATCTACTTCCTTTGAAAGAAAAGTTTAAATTGACATCATATCCAAACTTGAAATCTCGCTTCTCTTAAACACCATTCGATCCGTATCTTCGGCAACGCAACAGCAACATGGATGCTTGTAAATAACTGTAATAGCGACCCATTGAGGTCGAGCCCCTCAAGATTTCAGATCACCCGTGCTGCTGAATGAAGTCTCACCTGCACACCATCATATGGCGTGTTTGCAAGTGTGAGCCCATGCCGGATCTTTCTGTCCGCCACAATACTGCTATCTAGGTTATCAAATCGCTGCAGCAATCTGACAACGACGTACGCCACCTCGGTCAGTGCGAACTGCTGGCCAAGGCAGGCTCGTGGGCCACCTGGTATTTCCTAGTCAGCTGAAATTTCGCGAGAAGCTTTCAGTGTCAAGCTCTTACTTACCATTGAAGGGCAGATATTCCCATCCAGGTCTGGCTTCTTTGAACCTCTCTGGCCTGAATTCTTCCGCGTCTTCCCCCCAGAGGTCTTTACGGTGGTGCATGGCATGAACACAATATTGGATCTCCATGCCTTTCGGGACGAACACTGGTGCAGTTCCGTCAGGTCCTCCACCCGTGGGTAGAGTCGTGTCTTTGACGATCGCAGTGCGACCATTGATGGGAACAAGGGGAAACAGCCGCAAAGTTTCAGATATGCACATCTGAAGGAATGTGCACGACTTGAGGGAGGAAAAGGTGATATCAGTAGAATCGCACGTCTCCCAGTCGCCAAAGTCGCGGATGACGATCTCGCGTAGCTTATCATAGAGGTCTGTGTTTTTGCACATCATGATGAAGAACCAGCCCAACAGTGATGCGGTCGAGTCACGGCCGGCAACCAGAATGGAAAGCAATTGGCCACGGAGCTCGATAGGATCTTTCTCGACCTTGGCCAATCCTTTCAAAATGTTGAAGCCATGGTTTTCATCCTCGTCGTCTTCTGCCTTTTGTTGAAGAGCCAGATTGACAAAGTAGTCTATGTGCTTGTGCAGTTGCGCCGCAGCCTTGTAAAATCGCCTCGTGTGGCCCAATTTGTGCCACGCGCCAAATCTCGAGGCAAATGCCATCCAATCCTGTACCTAACATTGGAACTATTGGTCAGGATTGTGGGCTTGTGACTGCACATAGAGCAAGTTCAACTTACCTCATCAAAGGATTCTGAGAACGTCTGCTCGTCAACTCCACCATTGATGACCTTAGACGTGGATCCGGGCATGGCGATCAACTGGCTGTCAACACTCTCACCGAACAGAAATTCCGTCGCAGAGTCAAGCGTCAACCGGAAGAACAGCGGCTGAAGGTCAAGAACGGGCGTCCATCCATCATCTCCAGGCGGTCCGATGGCACCCAAAAGATTTTGAAAATGCCTTTCCTCGAGGTCGAGTTCAGAAACTCTCTCTCGCGCAAACTGGGGGCGCATTAGGGCACGCGCATGTTCCCATCTCGGCCCGTCGACAGAGAAGATCCCATGTCCAAGAAGGGGAAAGAAAATGCTCGCACGATTGTGGCCGCTATGTGGCACAGAGACAATTTGGTCAACAACTATATGGGGGGAAACAAAGGAGGACAGGAATGGTAGAGGCTGAAAGGAGCCTGGAGCAGATTGGGCACGACTTACAGGCCGTAGTCACTGAATTGCGCCGCTAGCATGGCTTGGATATTCTTCGGATCACAAGTAATGTAGGCATCTTGGCCCATGACTCTGCAGGCAACGGTAGAGACGACGCGGCCACAACTCTCAGAATTCTTGACAAAGCGTTCGATGTAATGCTCAGGACATCTCTTTTCTCTGTCGGCTGATATGATGCGAAGCGCATTGAGCACGCCTAATCTGTCAGAGAAGATGTCGAATGGTGCTGGGAGGCATCCCCATTTTTTCGCCAGGATGGCCTGATGGCGGGTTCGTATCAAGAATTTGATGACAAGAAAGAGAATGTGACAGAACAGAAATGCTGCTAAGAAGGTCAAAAGTCGTTGGAAATTTTGCATCAAGAGCATATTGTTCGTGTGTGTGTGATCAAGTGTAATAGTGCTCAGGCTTGTTTGCAGGCTTGAGGGATTGTAACGAGTTTCCAACTTTTTTTCTTTTTTCTCTTCTTGTTTTCTTCTTCGGTTTTACTGAGATGAGAGGGATATCAAGCGGCCATGTCATCTAAGAGCAAGTTGACGCAATTTGATGCCGGGAAAGCATAGGTTCAACATGTCGCCCAAACATGCCCAGGTGGACAGTAGCTGATCCCCGAAAACAAAGTTTGTCATTATCCGACTTGCATCATGTCCGATCAAATTTGACAACCGGGAGCTACGATTTCCCGCCTATTCCAGCGAGTACTCAGCCACTGTGAGCATGTTCTGTCTCCTATGAGTGTTTTCATTCTGTCCGCACCTAATTGCCGCCCGGGTCGGGGACCTGAATAGTTCCAGAATCCAGGAGCATAGTTTGTGCCAAATCAAGGAGGCTGGGCTGCCAATGTGTGATACATAGTACTCAGCGGTCAACGTCCAGCATCGCACACAGTGTGCGCCAGAAATGCGCAAAGTCACAGTACTTCGCAAGCCAGAATCGGCCATTTCCTACGACCATGGCTTAGGATGCCAGACCGAGCTGCCAGACATGACGGCCATAGACACCTTCTTCCGTCAAGCGGGAGTGGACCTGGCCGTCCGTGCCTGTAGAAAGGCAATGCGTGAGAGCGGCTGCACCGCGGCCGACATCACGCACACCGTCGCAGTAACCACGCTCCAAGAACCGCCTCTGTCTCCCAAAAGCCTGCATTGCTCCCAGCTAACCAGCCCCAACAGGTCACAGCAACCAACCACGGCTGCCCAGGCTACGACGTGCTCGTCGCCAGCAAGCTGGGCCTGCCGCCGTCCGTCGACAGCATGCTCCTGCAGGGCGTGGGCTGCTCCGGCGGCCTGTCCCTGGTGCGCGCGGCGGCCAAAGTCGCATCCGCCGCGACGGCCCGGAACCGCCCCGCGCGCGTCCTGGCGTACACGTGCGAGATCTGCACGGCGATGCTGCGCTACGACCTCGCGACGGCCGAGGAGAGCGCAGACATGTCGCTGCTGAGCCCGGCCGCGACGATGCTCTCGGACGGCGCCGCGGCTTTCATCCTCTGCAATGACCAGGGACGCGAGGGTCTCGCGCGGGGAGTGCGCGGGGAGTGCTTGCAGCTGCTTGAGTCCGAGAACATGGTTGTCCCCAACACCCATGCGGATGTGGGCTTCTTTGCGGACCCTAACGGCATGTGATGATCTTTCTCCGGAACCCTGTTCGTGATCGTTTAGCTAATAGACCGCCGCGTCAGGCTACCGTACGATTTTGGGGCGTGGTGTGGTGGCTAATCACATCAAGAAAGCTATCGCGTTGATGCTTCCAGGCATGCTTGCTTCTTGCCATCAGGCGGTTGGGGTTGCGGGCATCAGTCCATGTGATTTTGACTGGGCGTTACATCCTGGATCTCCTATTATAGTTGATGGCATCAAAGAAATGATTGGACTGGAGGACCATCATGTCCGAGTGACGGACGAGGTCTACAGGTCCAAGGGCAACTCTGGCTCTGTCTCGGTTCTGGAAGTTCTAAGCCAGCTGCTTTCTAAAGGGGCCGGGAGGAATCACATCATTTCGGCTTCATACGGCCCCGGTATCAATGTTGAAATGGTAGTCTTCAGGAGATGCCCTAAGAGTGATAGCGATAGAGACTAGAAAACACGGCGACATAGTCACATGCTTGCTTAAAAATACATACAGGGTAGCCTTTGGTAGATTGAAAGCATACTACAAAGATATGCTAGGCATGAAAGACTCTGTATTCCTCTATACATTCAAAGTTCAAAAAGAGTAACAGATTCGGGAAGCTTCCTTGTGTTCCTTGTGTCGGAGTGTCGGAGTCGACTCCAAGCACTTGAGATAGACACATATTTGTCTCGTAGTACGTTCTAAGAAACCATGTGATATAAATGCGTTGGGAAAATGGAGAATAAAGTTCTGCGCTGAAACCTTCATCTATGTAATGGGGTTCCCCTCTCTTATCTGCATTCTCGTATATCTCGCACTCTTCTTGGCAGCATACTACAGAGATAGGCAGTAAGTTAAACTTCCAGCAATGCACTACGGAACGCCGGGAATGCCACCAGAAGCCGGGGTATCGACCGGTTTGGGCTGCGAAATACGTTGGTGATTCCCATTGACTATGTGAAAACCGCTGCATCGGCGGCAACTAATACTTCGCGCTCCATATAATAAGAGCGGTATTCGACCCGCGCGCTCCCCTCTCCTGAACCAGTCTGGAGTACCCCACCAAAACATATGTGCCTATTGAATTCACCTTCTCTTCAGAACAGACAATCATGCTGGGTCTAGATCTCCAAGTAAAATTGGCAGCGTCAGTTCTGCTTGGCGGACTTCTCAGTGCAAGTATCCCTGGCCGTAGGACGACCGCAGACCGTTCTCGAAGCTGACAAGAATAAACCCAGCTCGCCTTGTATCTCACGGCAAAATGCGTCTACATGCTATTCTTCCACCCGCTGGCCAAGTATCCAGGTCCTCGACTTGCCGCCGTCTCTGAGGTCAGGAGCACCACCCCCCCCCAATAACCCCCACGAACAACTTGAAGCTTTAGATGCTCCCATCTCTATCAACCAGGCTGACAATATGACAGTTATGGCAAGCGTGGCTAACTGCCTCGGGCCGATGTTGCCTGGTCATGCAAGACCTGCACCGCAAGCATGGTAAGCCCCCGGTGTAGCCACAGATCCACACCACTCACATGGACTCGTGACTGAAGAGAGACCTACTCCCAGGCGACATAGTCCGTGTCGGGCCCAACGCGTTGTCATTCGCCACGCCAGACTCCTACATGACCATCTACGGGCACCCCAAGCAGGGCCAAAAGAAGTTCATCAAGGCGGCGGTGTACGACAAGGGCGAGCGCCGCATCGCCAACGAGCGAGACCCCGTGGAGCACGCGCGGCAGCGGAAGCTGCTGTCCAACGCATTCAGCGCCCGGGCCCTGCGGGACCAGGAGGTTGTGATCCACCACTACGTTGACCTGCTGGTACAGCAGCTCAACAAGCTCGGCAGCGGCGGCAGCAGGCCTGTGGATGTCTCGGCGGCCTGGAACTGGCTGACCTTTGATGTAATAGGTTAGTGCACCCCCGGAGCACTTGTGATCTTGCATTTTTCTCCAGTTGCTGACCGAGGTTTATCTCAGGCGACCTGGCGTACGGGGAGTCGTTCGGGGCCATAGCGGAAGGGTCCTCGTACTGGTCATCGCTGATCCTGGACGCGATCCTCTGGGCCAGCGTCGTGCGCCTCATGAAGCGCAACCTGATATTCAAGCTCGTCCTCCCCTTCTTCTGGCCAAAGGGCATGGAGGAGAAGCTGCAGAAGCACAAGGAGCTCGCGGTGCGCAAGGCCAAGAAGCGCCTCGAGCTCGGCACCAGCCTCGACCGCCAGGACTTCTTCAGCCACCTCATCAAGGAGAACGCCCTGACCGAGCGGAGCCTGATCGGGAACGCGCGGAGCCTGCTCGTTGCGGGGTCCGAGACCACGGCGTCGGGGCTGGCTGGGATCACCTACCACCTCCTCAGGAACCCGACATGCCTCGCGAAGCTGTACGAGGAGGTCCGCTCCGCGTTCGGCTCCTATGAGCAGATCACTGGCGACTCGACGGCTGCCCTGCCGTACCTCCACGGGGCCATCGAGGAGGGACTACGTCTGTTCCCGCCGGTGGCATTTGGGCTGCCCCGCGACTGCCCGGGCGCTGTTATCGACGGTGTCTATATTCCGGAAGGAGTTGTCGTCGCAACGGAGAACTATGCCATATCTCGTGACCCGCGCTACTGGGCTGATCCCGAATCGTTCCGGCCGGAGAGGTGGATTGGAGAAGGCTTAGGCGACGACAAGAGGGCCTTCCAGCCTTTCTCGACCGGTCCACGTGCTTGCCTGGGGCTCAATCTGGCGTACCTAGAGATGCGCATAGCCCTGGCCAAGGTAATCTTTGTGTTTGACTTGGAAATGGTCTCGGAGATCGACGACTGGACCGCAGCTTGCAAGAGCTATGGCATGTGGAAGAAACCAGAACTGCTGGTTAAGTTCCGCCCACGTGAGAAGTTAAGGGGCCTTGAGTTGGTCGGGTAGTGTCAAGAAGAAGAGCTGGAGATGGCGGTTTGTATTGCTAAAGATCAGATTCATTTAGCAAAAGACCCCCCCCTCCAATTCTCCCCTTTTGAGCCTCTTGCACCATTTTTCCACTTCTAGATAGCCTAGATAGCTTAGATAGCCCTTGTCTGTTTTGGCCTTTCCACATTAGCCAGCTCAAAAAACTCGGTATTAACCTGCACATACGGCCCACCTCATGAAAGCGCGCGTGCAGTAGACCACACTGTTGGATTCAACCGCCTCCTCAATGCGGGTGTCAGTCGGTTGGGAGAGTGTCAGACTGAACCCTTACTTCAGTTCGTACCTAGGCAATCTGAAATTCATGTGTTCACCACATCAACCGCATTGTCTTTTGCCTATTTTTGCATTTGTTGATGGGGACTCCTCAACTGAGTTATGGTGGCTGTCAGGCTGTTGGATTAGTCAGAGTGGTTGGATGGACTCTGCCTATTGAGACGTTACCGGTCAACCGTTTCGGGAAACGTGGGGGGTTGGATGGCCGTTGTTCCCCGCACCCGACAACCATGACGGCGGGAGCTTGGCTGGTGCTTCTGTGTCTGACGGTGACATTGACAGGACTTGGCTGGGGGTTTGGGTTTGCGCTTCAGCCCTTCAGCACATTTGCACGTACGTCACTCGGAGGTTGTTGATGGTGTGCTGGGTGAATTGCTGAGTCAACAACGACAAGCTCAAGCCATCTCATCTCCTCGTTGGGCGTGTGGTGAATGCAAAACAGTCCAAGCTGGCAAGATTTGAGCCTCGGCACGATGTTGATTGACTGACCTGCAAGAAACGGAGGCCCGAATACGGTGAGCGGACCCCTGCCCCCTTGGGAAGGTACCCCGTGGGGGAGGTGGCTCCCGAGGTCCTGCGGGCCCGCGTGCCTGCAGTTGTTATCGTTTTCTGGTCCTCTAGAAAATGGGCTGGCGCTTGGCCGTCCCCGCCACCAACTACAATTCATCACAGCCTGGCGAAGGATCCCGTGGTTGCAATCAATAACCAATGCACATGCACTCAAGAATCTTGATGCCTCATCGGTCCTAGCCCTGCAAGATAGACAACCAGACAACCAGACGGCGAGATCACCCCCTCCTTGCTGACTTTGCTTACTCCTCCCGGGCATTCCTCTCTCACATGTCGACAATTATGCTAGATGTAGCCCACTTTCCTGCACATTGATTTGCCAGGTGTTGGTGATGTGAGACACCAAGCCATCGAGCGAGTCTGAAGTGCTGTCCCGGCAAGATGCGAGCCTCAGCACTGCGCTCCGCCGTCATGGCCATGACGGCGTCGAGTCTCGCCAATGGCCTCACCCTCCCCGTTCCCGACGTCGAGGGCGATGACGGTCCCTCGTCGGCTGCAACGGTCAGGATTCTCGTCTGCGGCGACTCCATCTCCCAGGGCAGAGAGGGCGACTTCACATGGAGGTATCGGCTGTGGGAATGGTTCCACAACAACTCCAACGCACAGCCGACCATGTCGACGACGACGACATCGACGATGACCTCATCGGCACAGAATGACGCACCACAGTCTTCCTCCACCGGTGCAGGAACCTCAAGCAATGGCAAAACCACTTACCCAACGATCCAATACGTAGGCCCCTTCAACGGGACCCTCCCGGCCTCGGTCGACGCCATCAACGTCGACCCGACCAACCCGCAGACCTGGGGCGCCTACCACCCGACCGTGTCGCCGCTCTTCTCCCCCGGCGGCGGCAGCTCCCACTTCGCCGTCTACGGCCGCCCCGCCTGGCAGGACATCGAGCCCATGCACGGCCAGATCACGACCCACCGCCCGGACGTCCTCATCCTGCACCTCGGCTTCAACGACATCGGCTGGTGGGGCAACAACGCCACCGACCTGCTCCTCAGCGTCCAGCGCCTCGTGTTTAACGCCCGCCTCGCCCGCCCGGACATCAAGATCCTCATCGCCGACGTCTCCCACCGCCTCGCCGTCGCCGGCAGGGAGGACATCGAGGGCACCACCAACCAGTACAACGACCTGCTCGATACCAACGCCGCCGCCTGGTGGACCGAGGGCAGCCCTGTCGAGGTCGTCAAGGTCAGCAAGGTCTATGACTGTGAGTTTGCACCTTACCCTCCCCCCTCTTCCATCCGCAACCATCAATACTAACGTCACATCCTCCTCCCTCCACAGGCCAGACAACCGCCTGCCCCGCCGGCATAGACGGCCTCCACCCCAACTCCCTCGGCGACTTCCAGATCGCCCGCGCCTACACCCAGGTCCTGCACGACAAGTTCCACTACGGCGCCGCCCCGCTCGAGGTGCCGCCCCCCGAGACAATCCCGGGCTTTCTCGCCTCCTCCTCGCCCGCTTCCTCCTCCGCCGCAGCGGCCGGCCACCCGCCGAATCCGCCAGTCCACTTCCTCGCCGCCGGCGCGGGCCTGTTCTCGCTGGTCCTCGTCGCCGCCCTGAAGCCCGAGTGGCTGCGCCTGCGGAGGGGCCGCTTCGGCCTGGGCGGCGTCATGAAGGGCCGGTACCACCTGTTGCCGTCGAGGTGATCTATGCTCGGCTGGCTGGAGGGTAACAGATTGGGAAGAAAAGTGCATGCATGGTGTGCGTGTATGGTATGTATTTCGTCGGCTTACACGTCGGTAATGTGGGGCCGGCGGACATGCAGCCTTGCAGGCCCCACAAGCCACACTGGATGTCTGGTCGCGCGTCTAGTGACGCGTTAGGAAACAGGCAGCAGGAATGGCATAAGGTGATTTCCATTGTGATGGCCGGCCTACGACCTGACTTGTGCCGACCGACCTGAGGGCAAGAGGGAAGAGGGGTGGGCATCGATTCACGTATGAGAGCATGCACTTAGCGTGGCGTACTGACATTAAGGGGTCATGACAGCCACGAGGACACAGATGACCTATGATATATATGTCCTTCCGGACGGGGAATCCGGCGGTCCATTACGACGAGAAATGTATAGACAGACCTACAGAAAGACGGAGACTGGGTAATTAGGCAGACGATACCATCATATTTCTCATTCTGCAGCTCACTCACATGTGCTCTTGCAACAGGTTATCACATAATTCGGGTGCCTGTCAGCGATCCTATTATAATGACGTCTTTGCGCTCCCGTACTGGCCATACATACATACGTTTCAAACCTCGAGAATAATTTCTGAGCAAAATACCCATGGTGTGCTCCATAATCCGAGTACTCTTCTCCAGACCAAGCCACCCCTGGCCACCAGAACCCGGAACCCAGCCCCGGGGAGCCTCCTCCGCCCACTTCAAGCCCACCAATAAAAGTAAGAACCACCGCAGACGCAGCCGGCCTCCTGTCCCCAGACACGACCACCGGCAGCCCCTCGCCGCCACGTGCAAATCCGACGCCGCGGCGTGGGAGTCCTACGTCAACATCCACATGTGGTGAAGCGGCGAGCCCGGGAAATAGAGAACGAGCTGGAGATAAGCACTGCCCGTCGGTATGAGGCACGGTCCGTCTGGCGGTGGGGGTATTATTCTTGTGGGTGCTTGTTCCTGGCCCACGGCGGTGGAGTGCTGGAGGTTTTGTACCGAGGGGAAGTACGGGGTATCTGGGGAACTGTTGAGGTGGGCTGGGGGGTCTTTTGTGGATTATTATAGGCTTGTATGCTTGATATTTGCTTCTTTGTTTTTGTGTCGCCCTTGCTTCTTGCTCCTGTCCTCACGGATGGACTTGGCCTGATGAAGCGCCATCCTGTGTAGAGGATAAGTATATAGTGGGAGAGCCAATCTTGTGGATTGGAAGCTGCTCTTTCACCTCCACATCCTGTGGAGTAGGTCAATTTATTTCCCTGGGATGGTGGCCCGTCTGGTGGCTATGTTACTTAAGTACATACAGACCCGGGATCATGATGTGGTGAGAACCAATCAACGACGGCGTAAGGTACTTATTTATTATTGCTCCGATTTGTCTGCCATCTACTCGGGCTGGGAACCCCTGGCCTCTCCTAGTGATTTGACAAAGTATGTAAACCGATGCTATCATGTATCAGAGCAGGGTTTGCAGTTTGGAGACTCAGCTCAAGTTCTCAGTAGTATTGTAAAGACGTTGAGTGCGCGGCTCTCTCATTTCACCCAGTCCACTTATCAGCAGCGCAGCAGGTGTAGAGGCCGGGGATACAAGGTGCCATTTCAGTGCAATTTCGATCCACTCTTGTTCCGATAGCAGCACCAGAATAGAGAGCCCCCAATCTCGTGGCCGATATATGTTTGACCAATCCCCAAGAGACGACCCATCCATCAAGCCTTAACAACCAGCATCCTCCGATCCCGCGTAATCCGCATGTCAACAACCTCATTGATATGATGCCGGTGAACCGCAACCCGGAACCGAGAGCCCCGATCGTCCCGCAGCGCGGCAGCCTTTCTGATGTAATCATCGTTCAGCCTCCCCTGCTCGTCCATCATGCCCTGCGACCATCGCATCCCGGGGGCCTCGTCCTCCCCCAGCGTGGCCGGGTCGACCACGCAGACCTGGATCCTGAGCTGCGCAAGGCCGTCCCTCTTGGCGCCGTCGACCTGGCGCTTGAGCGACTGCCACGTCCTCTCCATGGCTGGGCCGTCGGCTAGGTGCGCCATGAACGCGTTGGGCCGGGCCTCCTCGCCCGCGCGTTGGTGGTGATGGGTGTACGTGCCGCATACGCTGATGCCGATGCAGCAGGCTAGGCCTAGAGTGTATAGGCCCGGGCCGTTCTCGTGGTCTTGTTTGGCCTCATCCATCGCTGTCTCCTTGCCTGGGTACATGGTGGTGTAGTGGAGTCGGGACTTGGCGGTGATGGCTAGACTGCTTGAGCTTGTTTGATGCTGCCCGTTCGGCTGGGTGGAATGAATAGTCGGCCTCGCTTTGGAGTAGTGGAGGAGGTGGGTTGGATGTAGCATCGTTTGGAAATTGGAAGTTGCTGAAGGGCGGAATTCAAACCTTGATCTGATCATGAAGTGAATGAACACTTCCCAGGAGTGACACCTGGGCGGCCACTTTCGCTTGGACGCACAAAACGAGGTTCTGGTCGTTTGCCTGGTTCGAATCACTTACCATGCTGTAATCAACAACTTAATTTAGACATAGTGACAATGATCAGAGAAACGCTGTTCTAGGAGCAAAATCAAGTTGGACAACAAGTGCGATCTATGACTGACTACCTCTTCACCTGCTCTGGCGAGAAAAGGGACGAAGAGACAAGCCGCGATGGAGAACACATGGCAGGCTCACCAATGGTGACACTTCACCAAGGTTGATTCCTGGCTAGAGTAGGGGATTCTAACCTAAAGTGATTAGGTAAATTCCGGGTGGTGGTTCGGCCTGCAAATGGCATCATTACAGACACATGGATCACGGAAACACTGGGTGATATGTAGCTGTTGATGCACCTCCCGACTGCTTTACCTCTGAAATCTTCAGACAACCACGAGTTGAATCACAATTTCGATAACTGAGGGAGATCCAAGGTAGCTTTTGAATTGCCTCCTATGATAGGTCTTGTTGCCTGCCCGAGAAAGCTTCCACTTCCAATCATTGCACACCAGTATCAGGATGCTGCCGCACCTGTCTACGATGGATGTGTTCCACAACTCATGTGCCTAGTCATTTTTCCCCACTTTACAATCAATCCGGCAGGTTTCCCTAATTTTACATGGTTGGAATCATTGCTTCGGCGTGGGAGTGAAAATTGAGGTCCTCATATCAAATCTAGTAAAGACAACACACGCGCCCCTTGCGCACTTCTACCGACTGCAGTAATTAGAACTACATAGGGGTGGTTTAGTTTCTAATCCCCATACATAGAATGAAAATGGCGCTTTTGTATAGTGGTAAACGCTCAAGACCCAGTGTTCAAAAAAGTTTGGTACCTATAGAAATACAGAGAGAATACAGGACATCTGTGGATCGTCACCTCAGCCTCGTGCCGTATAGACAAGGCTAGGGAGCATTGATCCTGACGGCGACGTTGAGTATTGATGTAAGTAACCCAATGGCTATTTCTTATTGTGCTAAAATACTGAGGTACCTAGCCAAGTTTGGGGCTGGCAGAAATGAAACAACTTCACTTTTCCATCTGCTTTTAGTCCTCGGCAAGCTCCTATCCGATATCACATCACTTATTACCGTAACACCGCCACAACTTTAAAACTATAATAATGTTATATTAAAACTAGGTGTGGCTTAAGTCCGCTCTATACACTACCCCTATGGCTTATTGCCACCTTATAAAACCTATATAGACTTATATAAACTTATATAATAAGCTACCTACTAACTTACTTAAATCCCCTTATTTGTATACTTCTATATAAGTTAAGGTTAGTTTGTGAGGCCCTATTATAAGGTATATTATATCTATCTTCCGTACAAGCACTGTTTGTAGTGTCTTATATAGCATTGTGAAAACCTATTTATAAATAGAGAATTATATTTATAACCTTATAGTATTAAAAACTTCTTTATATATTTTATATAAGTACTTATATTCTTATTTATATTATTACACCCTCTTTTCCTTTTTCTTTTTTTTATACTTACCTATTTACCTTTATTTATATCTATATAACTACACTTAGATACTATAAACTCTATTATTACTAGCTTTTTTATTATTTTTAGTCTATTATTACTACTATCTATTCATTCTTTATAAATATTTTTACTACTCTTTACACCCCTATTCTCTTTTAAAGATAATAGGTTTACCCTTTATTTTATACTATTAGTTTATTTAAGTTCACTATTAATTATATAGAATAATATAGTATTATATAATATAAAGTTAAATAATATAGAATTAAATAACCCTTTTAGTATATTTATTAATTAAATAAATAGTAACTATAATTTATACTTTTTAATATTTATTATAGAGTTTATAGTAAACGTTAATAGCTTAAATTATACCTATATAAAGGTATAGGAGTACTATATCTCTATACTTTAGCCTATACCTAAGTATATAAACTAAAATAGCTTTACATTAGTTTATAATATACTTTATATATTTAGTAGTGTAGATATAGGTATAATAGTACTAGTATCCCCTATATAAAGGTTATTTTCCTTAAATTTATTTCTTTTATTTAAGGATACCTATTAGAATATAATTTTTAATAGCTTTAAGGAAGTTTATTCACCTATATATAAGGAGCTTTATATAAAGCTAGATTAGTTATAAATATTATATTAGGTAAAGTACTATAAGAAGAAGCTATACTATAAGATTAATATTTTTATAGATATATAAATTAATAAAGGAGTAATATATATCCTTATTTATAATCTATTATATATTATTATTATATAAAGGTATTTAAAAACTCTTTTAAAAGGAGTAATAAGATATATATTAATTTATAACTATAGCTATAACTTTATATTTACTCTCCTTTATATAAAATAATCTAGGTATAAATAAATAAGATATTATTAAGTATATAGAGGATCTATATTATATTAGGGGACTTACTAGAAAGAATATCTATAAATATATATTTAATTATCTAGATAAAAGTATTATATATTTAAAGGTTATTAAGATAGATTAATATTAATTTAAATTTTATTTTTTATATAGTTTATAATTTATCTATCTCTTTTATATATTTTATATAAATATATATAGAGGTCTCTACTTTTAAATAAATAAATAAAAGATAGTTTATATTTATAATTTATACTTACTTAATGTAAGAATTATAAAAATAGATTATAATTATATATAATTATATAAAGCTATTTTTATAATACCTTATATTTCTCCTTTTCCTTTACTATTTAATAATATATATTACTATTTATCTTTAAATACTATTATTTTATAATAAATAAACTATAAAAGTACTACTTAAAGTACTACTAAGTTAAGCTAACACCTACCTTCCCCTATAATAAGTAAAGTAGATTATATTTACATTATATAGAATATAAAGCTAAAGTTAAAAAGTATAAACTACATAAAAACAATATATAGTCCCCTATAAAATAAACTTAAAGTTCCTTACACTAGCTATATAAATAACACTATATAACTATAATCTTATAATTATTACAACTACTTACTCTACTAACTATAGCTACATAATTCTATATAGCTTAAGATTAATCTACTATATATCTAGATCTATTTAGCTTAGTTTTAAATTAATTTATTATATATTTAAACCTATTTAGCTTAGTTTAAAACTACTTTAATTTAATTTTAAATTAATTTAATATAGCCTAGAAAGAGCCTTATATAATATTATTTATAACTATATAAATATATATATAAGCACTATTAGTACTATAACCCCTACTTAATAACTTTACTCTTTTTATACTACTTTACCTAAATAGTTAAATTTATATAACCTTATATAATCTTAGTGGTATATTAAGAAGTTATAACTATTATAGTATGTTATTCTATTTAAATAAATACAGTAAGTTATATAAGAATATAATTATAATAAGGTATTATAAAAAGGGTACTTATATTCCACCTTTATTATAAGATTTACTTAGGTTTATATAGGACTAGCTTCTTAACTTAAATCCCTATATAAAATAATTTATTAAGGATATTTAAAAGTATAATAATATATTCTCCCTTATATCTATTTAGGCTAGAGATAGTATATATATATATAGTTATAAGCCTTAATACTATTAGATTTATAGTACACTCTATTATTATATTAATAATTTATAATTTAATATAGACCTAAATAATATAATTACCCACCTATAGGAGCCTTAGTTTACTTATCTTTACTTTTATAACCCTAATACCACTATAAACTTCTAGATATAATAATAAATAAACTTTAATATAGACTATATAATATAGATATTAAATTAATTCTACATATATAATAAATATATAAAGACTTATAAGACTATATAGAAGTAAATAGTTAAAGTTAATACTATATAAGATTATATAAAAAGATATTATATTCTATTAAACTTTAAGCTAGAGTTTATTATTAACTCTACTAATAATAGTTACTATATAAATCTCCTTATAATAGATAAAGTTATTAGAATTATACCTTATAGATGCAACGCTAACTGTTCCTAGTTTAATATTTATCTTATTAAGTGGAAGCTTACTAGCTTAAATATATATAGATTTAAATAAATTTATTTAAAACACCTAGCCTATTTCCCACTTAGGTATATCTTTATATTTCTAGATAGAGATAATAGATTTAATAAGGATATTATATTTATAAATAAACCTAGAAAGTAGTAAAGGCCTATACTATAAAAATAGGTTTATTACCACCTATTTATATATAATATCCCCTATATAGTACTATTTACTTATAGGCACCTATTTTAATAGTTTATTATAGATATATATATATTTATAAAATAAAATAGGCTTTATTATATTTAAATAAATTAGATAGAAATGCGTATAAATTTATATTAAAACCTATATAACTATATTACTATTAATAACTTTTATAATAATAAATTACTATATTATTCTATTATCTTCCTATATTAATAGTACCTATTATATAAAGTAGGTTTATTAAAACTTTATAGTAATTATATAAAACTATAGGGCCCTAACCTTCTTCCTTATAGTAACTATAAATTTAAAGTAGTTAAAGATTTAATCTTAGCTACTACCTAACTAAATACCTTTAAATTACCTAAATATTATTATTTATATATTCTACTAGAAGATAAAGGAGTTATTATATAATATTATATAGAACTTATATTTTAAAAGGTTATTATATACTACTAATTAATTAAGTAT